GATCACGAGAGCCTGCAAGTTGGTATCCGAGTCAGGGAACTTCTTGATGGATTGGATAAGAGGCTTGATGACCTTCGACTTACTAATCAACATTCCATTTTCGTCCGAGTCGCAGTAGAGAATTAATATTTTGGCAACAGCGAGGGCTGTCTCAATGTTTTCAATGTTCTCAATATTGAGGACGGCGTGGAAAACCTTCTCCACAACCTGAGGCTCGACCGCATAGACGGAGGAGAAGTTGAAAGAAGAGCTCGTAGCAAATTCGTGCTCTAGAGGTTCGACATCTGGTGCCATAGGTATTCTGCATGAGCAAAATATCTTCTCAAAGACTAGCAGTGCGCTTGGGAACCAGACAGTGTTGGCCGCCTCTGGTCGTATCTGGTTACCAATAGTGGATAAAATCTCTTCCATAACTCCTGAGTAAGAGGAAATCCACTGTTCATCAAGAAGTAGTGCCAGAAGATTGAGCATGCTTGCAAGTCTTTCATACGAGGAATCATCACCGTCAGTAAAACCAAATGAGCAGACACTCATAAACACAGGGTACAATATCTCCGAGTATGACATAGTCTCCCCATATGATGACTTCGAGACGACGGTACTAAGCAAATCTCCAACTCTGTAAACAGCCTTTGGAAAAAGCTGAGCAATTTGAAGCCAGTAATCAATGAAATTGGGCTCATTGGCACCTCTGGAGAAATTCAGATCATCTAATGTGCACACGTGAAGATACTGAGGACCGACCGGTGGTGGATCAGGAGCAGAATATTTATGGCGATTGGCGCGATCAACCACTTCGGCCCAATCCACTGGCTCGCTATCTGGAGTTTTGACAGGCGAGTCTGAAGATTCAAACTGTGCGAAGAGATCCTCAGGATCCTCTGTATATAATACTTCGATATTGTTGCGATAGAACAAAAGGAAATCCAAAGCTCTGGATTCCGGCACTCCGAGGCTTTTCAAGTATTCGATCTTGCTAGTGGATGGAGCAACCTGTTCATAAGTCAGTGGGTACAACCTTCCTTCGAATGCCGGTGACTGAGAAGTGGAAACCGAACAGTAGAAGTTCTTGTTGATTGCGATCAGCTTTTCAACCAGACTCAGAGGAATGTTCTCTGGCTTCTTATCAAGAATCCCGCAGTTTTCCTCGTTCAAAAGTTCATTTAGCAACCCGAAGCTTGCGAGAGATGTCTGGATAAGAACCGAATTGTTCAACTCCCGGTAGTACGGATAACTGTTTCTGAAAAGATCAGGATAGAGCTTTTCCTGGGAGGGAATAGGGGCAATCATTGTTTTCGTGGCGATGGAAGTGAAGATGCTTAAGATCTGGTTCAACAGTTTGATGGTTGTGGAACATGGGTTTATGTCAATGTACTCCAACTGGTCGAACTTTTCGACTTCCGACTTCTCAAATGTCTGCAGATATTCAAAGTAAGTGACCGCCAGTTCGCGAAGACTAATTATACCTTCATTTTGGAGAAGGCAAATAACCATCATCGTGTTCACTTGTTCCGTACTCCTGCTGCGCATATACAAACTGGAGTAAATCAAGTTCACCATCACGAGATAATAGCCGGTCCTGATCTGCATATTCTCTGTTCCTATATTGCGAATCTGATTGACGATCATGTTCGAGAATTCAACCACCATACGAGTGGCATTTTTTGGGACCATTCCAAACCGACTATCTTGCCTCTTATCGGTGCTGATACGGCACAAAGAATTGAAGATGTAACGTAACCAGGACTGACAACGAGAAAAGTGGAAGCACAGAATGGACAAATTTTTGAATTTGGCACTTGTACCATCCCAATCTCCGTTTTTCTCATTCGGCTTTCCTATTTTGATTTGAAGCGGAGAAAAATCGTTACTGACGGCAGAAACCTCTTTACATGCCTCAGCTGGAGTTCTCGAGTGAATCAGAACTTCTTCCAAGGTAATTCTTCTGTAGAAGTTTGATAGCTCTCGCATCAATATCACACCCTTTTCCGACCCAAAGTATGCTGATAGCTGCTGCATGCTGTTCGCCGTCAGCTTGTTTGCCGAGCCATAATGGTCACTGAAGACATATAGAAGACAATCCAATATACCAAGCTTCGAAAAGAACTCGCCACCTCTGATCGCAGCGGTTTCGTCATTCTGATCAAACTGATCAAAAAATGACTTCTCGTCGCTGTTGTATGTGGTGAACTCTTGTAGCTCTTGTAAGGCAGAATAAATTGCGCTCATTAGCTCCTCAAGAGCAAACGAAGGTCGCTCGTGATCGACAAACTTAATGATTGATGTCAATGAAAACAGGGCATTTGAAAATACGTAATCGAATGTAACATTGGGGATGCACACGTATCTTAGACAATCTTTCATACTAATGAGAGTTGCCACCTGTTTCCAATGGGAACTGTTCTCCAACAAAGATCCAAGGAAAATTAGTGAGCATTCCAGGAGATCTCCCTGATTACTGGATTCCCATATATCGAGTTCGGTACCATTTTCCTCAAATTTGCAGAGCTCTTCATCCATTGAGTAATATAGAGATCCCTTTGGTGATTGGTAAAACTTCAAAGGCTCGAAGCTAACCAAATCCGGAATGTGCTTGAATATGTGTAGTATGTTCTCCTTTATGATAGGCTCAAGTTCAGGATGGTGTCTGGCAAGCTCATCAAACATGAAACCCAGCGGAGAGGCATTTTCCTCACGAAGAAGCTCTTTGCAGAGGGCTGCGTCTGTGAAAATGTTGAAATATTTTCCTACGAGATCCTCAGATTTCACTCTTTGTAATCCTTCTTTGTTCAAGGAGATCGCTCCAATGGCGTCTGGTATAGCCAGCAACAATTCAGCTGACTTGCCTAGCAGACCAGTGAAATTTACCATGAAAGCGTCTATGACGCCAGCCTCGTTTAGGATAGCGTATGCAGTAGGTTCGTTGTTAATAATGCCCGTCATAATGTTGATTGTATCGGTGAGAAGTTCGTAGCCAAAGACTGTTGGGTTTTCCACAATTTTGATAAGGCTTTTAAGAATCGGAGAGTCGTACAGATTTCTCATACGATCGCCTTGGTGATTGACGATCAGATGAAAAAATAATTTGAGAAGCGAGTTGATGGTCTTGACTTGGCGAACGCTAATACTATGAGAAACGATAGCATCCTTCGGAGCGCCGCCATCATAATCTGGGTTTTCCAATGCGAAATCCACTTCGTATGCCAACAAATCAATCATGATTTGAAAACCATTGCTGGCGATGAAACTGTCCAGAATATCAGGAAGAGATTTCAGGAATAGATCAATCAGTTGCAATGGCCCCGACCTTGTCATCCTGAACGAGTTTTTCAGTGGTAAAAACTCAAGGAGGATGTTCATCAGGCCAGCTGTTCTAAGATGAGCCACCAAGTGCTTATTGTCAATCAAGTTCGCAATCAGATTGAAGAAGTAGTTTAGATAAGAATGGTCCATGTCTGTCCGATCCTCTTTCGCTGCTTTGAGAACGGAACGTAATATATGGAATAAAAGACCATGGTTAACGTTTCCCCCCAGAGCCCTCATCAAATCGCTTCCACCACTCTTTTTTGCAGAAATACTCACAAACGCCCTCAGAGCTGCGTACGACGGTTCGAATGGGACCACATTATCAGGATTGATGAGGTCGGCCATGTAGCTCAATAAGTAAGGCTCTTCGTCGAACACAGAACTGGCCATCACTGAATAGAAGCAACAACAGGACGCAGCTGCAACAGCCAAACATTTCAAGGTCACCAAGTTTTGTCTGAGCTGGACGCTTTCATATGACTTGTTGTTGAATGCTTTTGCGATGTAAACGGCAAGCACAAAATCGAATTGGTTTTCCTTCGGTATTATGTTGGCGGCCTTATCATATATCTGCTGGAAGGACAGTTTTCGAACGTTATCTTCGTTGAGAACGAAATGGTGAAGACCTTCCTGCTCAACAGATGCCGTCGACAATTCGCTCTTGATTTTCTTCGTCTGTGTGTTAAATATTTGCTTTGATTTTTTCTTCGAGTGGTGCTCTTGACTAGGTGCTGTCTGCGAAAGAGACTGCACTCCACGCTTTCTCCTTGTATCTGCAGTTGCATTATAATATTTGAAATCCAAAATTTTCCACTTTGCTGGTAGTTGACTTTCTGTGTTGATGCAATCCAATAAACTGATGTGAACCAGAGCCTGGGTTTGTTCCTTGTCCTTTTTGTGTTTTTTCCAGTTCTGCGTGTCAATTGGAACCGGAGAAGTGTAAACAGGAGCAACCTGCGGCGGGAAAAACGTGGAAAGCTTCAGCAGGGTGTTTCTCACCTGTGCTGGCGGAGAAAACTTGCTGTTCTGAACGATGGCAAACCTCTCACAAAGCAGGCACGTAAGCCTCAGAGCGCAAAGCCTAACAGCCATTGAGCACGAACTGATCAGCTGAAAGACATAGGAAGCCGAATTGTATATCTCCTTGTTCGAACAATGTTCCAGCAATGTGTATGTGTAGTTGAGAACCGCACACACGACTCTCTCGTCTGCTTCCTCCACCATAAGTAGCTTCGGATATTCCTTGTCCAGATCATACTTCTTGACATGTGCCTCCAAGAGCTCGTCCATCCGGTTCAAAATCGGAATGTAGTGAAAGAGATCGATTCTCAAGCCATTCCATAGCTCCTTTGATTTGGCCTCGGAAATGAGCACAAACTCTTCCAGGGAACAAGCAGCCAGCTTCTCGATAAACTGTTTTACAGGCTCTGCCAACTCCTGCTTTTCTAGATACGATTTTCTGGAGACAATCATGGCCGCTGAGTATCTTGTTTTCCCATAATTTTTGCTCTTGCCAATTTTTTGACTTCAGGTCCTGGTGCAGAGATGCACTGGATACTGCTCCCTTTTATCAAGGGCAATGGAAATCAGGATTATTTTTTTTTTTCGTGTTTTGTGGGAACAGCCAATGTCCAGAGAGGGTTTGCTGTATGAGATTTTTTTTTAGACAGTTACGTGTGCGACATATACATAGAATGGTTTCCTTTCTGGACGACACCGCTCGGGCCGCGCTTGAGGCCGAGTCCCAAACTAGATCCCCAAAAATATCATCAGCAGACTTTAACTACTCTTTCAGCCAGGACGCAGAAGATGAAGGGGTGATTTCGATAGAAGAGTTCCAGGCGAACCAACGACCTGCAAGTACGCCTGCTGAGCAGAAGTCTTCGTCGGTTGCTGATTCGTCTCCGGTGGACCACAGGACACGAGTTCTGTATCCAGAGTTCAAGCGCAGACAGCGCGACTCGCCTCACTGGACTCAGGGGACGCATGCAGGCGTGACCCTGGACCATGTTCGTGACTACCTGACCTGGTTCGGCACGCTCTCTCCGTCAAACAAGCATATTGCAGACACCGCGGTGAACAAAATACAGAAATATTTTGAGAAAAAGAATCAAGAGGAGTCTGCGCAGGAGAACATACAGCAGGTTCCAGAAAGCCCTACACCAGATAACTCGCATAACGGGATTGAATCGATCATGGAGACGCCTGTCAAACACGGTAGCACTCTTGTCTCGCCTGCTAAAGCTGAAAAAGCGAATACACTTCCTTTGAAGGAAAACAAGGTTCTTCTGAACAAGCCTCTGGAAGGAAGACGTATGATAAGCACCTCCTCCGCTGCATATGCCAAGTTAGAGCTTTTGACGCAGAAAGAAAGCTTGTTTGCCGATGTTAAACGGAAAAACGACACAAACGAAATGAAAGAGCCTGAAGTGAAACGCGTTCAGGCAGTCACGCTAAGCGAGGAGCAAAACCAGGTGATTGAGCTTGCAAGGCAAGGTCACAACTTGTTCTATACTGGTTCTGCAGGTACGGGTAAGTCTCTCTTGCTTAGGTCATTGATTAAGTCATTAAAAAAACAGCATCCCCTGGGAAGTGTCGGTGTCACTGCCTCAACAGGGCTCGCCGCTTGTAACATAGGAGGACAAACATTACATTCTTTTACTGGAATTGGATTAGGTGACGCGCCAGCTGATAAATTGGTAAAGAAAATCAAACGGAACCCTAAAATGAAGGAAAGATGGAGAGATCTGGAGGTTTTGGTCATAGACGAGGTTTCTATGATCGATGCCGCTTTATTTGATAAGCTCGACATGATTGCTCGCGAAATGAGAAAACGGCGCGATGTTCCATTTGGAGGGCTCCAGTTAGTCATCTGTGGCGACTTTTATCAGCTCCCCCCAGTGACCAAGCACGGCGAACCAGTTTTTGCCTTCGAATCACAAGCGTGGAAACAAGCCATCAAATATACGATTGTGCTCAAGAAAGTTTTCAGACAGCAGTCGGACCGCGACTTTATCAACATGTTGAACGAGGTCCGTAATGGGAATGTCTCCGAAGCGACTGCAAGAAAGTTCAGAGCTCTTTCTCGTCCTCTGGCTTCCAAAGAAGGTGTGATTCCTGCAAAGCTGTTTCCCACGCGACGGGAGGTCGACAGAGCCAACAGTACGATGTTGAAACAACTTCCGGGCGCGGAAGTTGTTTTCAGGGCTTTCGACGGTGGCTCGCTAACCGACGAGGATCAGCGGCAGCGGTTACTATCAAGTTTTCTTGCTCCTGAACGAATCGCACTGAAGAAGGACGCTCAGGTCATGTTGATCAAGAATATGGACGAGACTCTAGTCAATGGTTCCTTGGGCAAAATCGTGGACTTCATTGATCCTGATACCTATACGCATTATCGATCTATCAAAAGTGATAAGGTTGACATCAAAACACTAGAGGAAAAGGCCGCCAACTCGATGAATAAAGGTCCTTCAAAGCGAGACGAGAAACATTTAATTGAAAATTCTACTGTTTTGGAAAGCCAGCTGGACGAGAATGTTTTTTCATTCTTGAAAGAGCTCAAGGAGGAACAGCCTGAGGATCTCCCTGAGTCGGCACAGAGGAACATAGAACGCAAGATAGAGCTGTTGAACCAGCTGTACAGCAGTTCTAAGAACAGAAGAATGCCTCTTGTTCGTTTCATTCAGGCCGATGGAACCACGCGTGAGGTGCTGATTGAGCCCGAAACTTTCAGTCTCGAGGATGAGTTTGATAGACCAATTGTTTCACGTACGCAAATTCCGCTAATTCTCGCCTGGTCATTAAGTATACACAAGTCACAGGGGCAAACTCTACCATTAGTCCAAATTGACTTGCGGAATATTTTTGAGCGCGGCCAGGCCTACGTTGCGCTTTCGAGAGCCACTCACAGAAGGGGATTGCAGGTTAGGAACTTCGATCCTTCAAGGATACTCACTCACGAGAAAGTGGTTGCCTTTTACGATAGTCTGATGACGGTGGACGAAATTAAGGACCGCGAGGAGAGCAAGCGCAAGACTACCGGTTTTGTTTCCGGTACGCAGCTGAATAGGCTGGAGAACCTGGCGGACAATGTGGCAGATGCGGGCGACTTTGTGAACGAGAAGGATAATGTAATAGATGAGTTCGACTCCGTGTGGAGCGGACAGTAATGATATATTCAAGCGCTATGATACGAGTTATTGGGCTCCGACTATCCAGCCAATGATGTTTTTGCCCAGGTCGTTGGATTTCTCGATCTTCGTCTGTCCTGACGGAGGAGTCTCCGGCACGACCTGGTCAAGAATGGTATTAAGTAGCTGCCATTGCTCAAGAACATTGGTGTTGAACTCAGTAGGCACTATCAGCATAAGGTGCTGCAACAGGTGGAGTTTCTGTGTGATCTGTTCGTGCTCTTCTGGCTCGGCATAGTCGTTTTTGACGAGCTGGAATATGGAGAACCATCTTTCCTGGATGAGGCCAAATAGTTTGGGATCGCTTTTCTTGGCGTTGACGGCGAGGTCAATCAAGGTCGAGGCCAGTTGCAAGGAGTGGCCAAAGTCTTGCGCAATAGCGAAATCAAGGCAAAGAAGACGCAGTTTGACGGTATCCATCTCATTTTTGCTGTTGATGCCGGTCCTCAAATGTGACAGCAAAGATTCCAACAGCTCGGTTTCTTTGTATGCATTGTCGTTCAGCTCCAAAATTCTGGACACAATCTTCAAAGGGTCTTTGGCCTCCAGGATGTCTAGCGGCTTGATAGGAACACCCGGTTTGAAATATAATCTCCAATGCAATAGTTCTTGGTTAGCTGTGATGAGCTGCTCGAGTTGCAACGTACCAGAGCTGGCCATCTGCAGACAGTTCTTGGCGCTCTTCAGATGGCCCATCGACGGGTCACAGTTGGTTGCTTTGCGGTAGAACTCCCATGCTGCGTTTATAAGAATTTTGTCTATTTGGCCAGCGTCCAGCGTGCAATACTTGGGCAAAAAGACAGAAGTGATCAGGGCAAACATGTTTTTCGAGAGCAGCTTGCTCAAAATGAGCTCATCCACTTGAGCGAGCTTGACTTTGTTGAAGACGCGGGTATTGTTGGCGACCCAGTAGACCGAGCTGAGCAAGCTTTCCCATTGTTTAGCCGTTGTCAGATACGCAGACTCTGTGATGACGAATTTCTCCAGCTGGTCGTACTGCTCTTGCGGGCTCATCTCAGGAAGCTCAGCCACCTGAGCTAGCGACATGTTGTTGGAGAACAGTCTTTCTCCCGTCTCGACATATTGTGTCAGAATTTTGATGGTGTCTGGGCAAGGCACGATGGAGTTTGCCATCTCTTGCAGCGAGGCTTTGCGTGTAAGGTCTTGGTGTGTGTTAGGAGCCAAACTCTCGGCATCGACGAATTTGAGACAGACAAGTATTTCCTTCATCTTCACGTAAAGAGAGAGCGAGACTTCGGGACAGAGGTAGATGATTGCCAATACTATGCTGACAAACTTCTGTAAGGCGCCAGTGGCTTGCAGATAGGCCAACAGGTCGCTGGAGGTGACGAGTCTTGCGAGAGTGTCGAACTTGGACTCGATCTGGACGGCCGGTTTGGCGACGATGGAGTTTCCTAGCGAGAGAACGTAGTTATTGATAGTTGTGCCATTGTCGTTGAGATAACTGTGGAATTTGCAGAGCCAATGGACAATGCGGTCGTGGTTCGAGGTGTCGATGAGTCCGATGAACAGTTCGATCTGGTCCATTGGGGAGTAGTAGTCAACAAAGTCGAGCAACAACGGGACGTCGCCGAACTCAGCCAAACTGGCGAGCGGCACATAGAACAGGCTCCACCAGTCTGTCAACTGCTTGGACGAGAACTCTGAGGCACACACGAGGTCCTCGATCTCGTCTGGTTTCGGCAGAACTCCCAAATAGTAGTTTGTCTTGAAGATCCTGGCCTGGACAAACTGAAAATACAGATCCTGGTTGCTGTCAAAATGCCATCTGTGCACCTGTTCCTCCAGCGAGCGATCAGCCTCGGCCACCAGCTCTGCAACCACCTCCGCTGGAAAAGCAAACGTGTCGGGCAAGGGAAGGGACTCTGCGGCGTCGGAGCCTTTGAGCGCCGATTGCGCAGCCTCAAAACAGAGTCGCAAAGAAACGGTTTCGGGCAGATCGACAAGCAAGATCTGCAGCGTTTTGACAGGCGTGAGCAGCGCCGCAATTGAGCTGAGCCGGGCTGGAAGCTCGCCGCGCACACACGTGTCTCTGAGCGCCAAATATGTGGAGTCTGACTCGGACATGTAATTGTGAGATTTTGAAAATATTTCGCGAGCCGTCCGACTTGGGCCGCGCAAGCGCAAATCAGCAGGGGGGAGGTGATCTGGTATTTCAACAGGAACTGATGTATTTTTCGGTTCAGAACGGGCTAGAACCAGACTAGAGGCGCTGCATACAAAGAAAAGGGAACGGGCGAGAGATCGTGTTGGAGAGGTACGATACTCTCTCTCACGGGGGACTACTCAAACAGGAAACCAACGAGAAAACGGTTAGTGCATTGAACAAAAAGTTGCCAAGTTGTGCATCAGCTCTACAATGGCTTTGGGCTACATCACAAAATTTGCAGTACGCCTTGCCAGAGGCTCGTGATACGTGCTTGAAGGTGAGCCGAGTGCTCGAGTAAAGTTCTAAATTTGGAGATGGCCCCGATGAATGCGGAACGGAAATATTTCCTCACCAGCGTAGGAGCTTTTTTTTTTCGACGCTGGGTGCGGGACAGGTTTGGCAGGGGCGCCAAACGCCCGTCGGGAAAACGGCATTGGGGACTGGACGCTGGGCAGGCTGGCTTAGGGCCGAGGCGAGAATGGGACGCTCGGAGTGGTCAGCATTGCGCGACCGTTTTGCACTTCTCAGATTGTGCGTCTCGCGTACATTTTTTCGCAGCTACTGGGAGGAGAAGACTGCGCAGAGCTCGGGTACAAGCCGAGCCTCGGCTAGCCAACCACTGCTCGCACAAATCTGCTGCCGTTACTGGGATGTAAAAATCATGCCATCGGCCATTGGACGGTAGGTGCCTATTTACTTTTTTGGGAAGTGTCCCTGAGCGAAAGGGGGGAGGGGGGCTGTGCCGTCGGCGGCCATCATGTACTCGTGGCCAGCGGGATGATTATGGTGCAAAGTGGGTAATGGATGGGTGGATCTTCTAGGGTAGGGAGACTGTATATGGGTGAAACCGACCGGGGGCGGGGGTGCAAGATGCGTTGGATAGGGCATTATACGTCCGTCGGACTGCGAATGGCCCATGGGAGGCGCAAACACGCCGGGATAGGCAGGATACTGTATCTGTGTCTGGCCCAGTTCTTGAGAATAGACTCTGTGTAGCTGCGGCGTCGGCGTGACAGGAGTGGCGTTGAGCTGCAGCAGCTGGTTGTGCAACTGGTGGGAGTACTCTTTGAGCATTTCGCAATTGGCCGCCAGGGCGCTGTTCTGGTATTGCAACTCCTCGATGTACTCGGTGGCTTTCTTAAGCACCTGTGCTTTGGAATCTGTCTGTGGCTTGACTAGCGGGATGATGTTGCGCAGTTTCTGGAACCCATCGATGATCTTGCTACGACGTCGCTGCTCGGACTTGATGTGGAGGTGTTTCCGTAACTCTTGAGAAATGGATTCTTGCCGAAGAGAGGAACCCTGCTCGGGTTCTGTAGGTTTGGTGTTCTCCGTCTCTTCAGAATCGTTTATTAAAGAGGGGAGTTCCATTGATCAGCGTGGGCTAAGGGACCATGGATTACGCTACTCTTCGACAAGAATAAAACATCCGCCTTGGTGGAAAATATAAACTTTATATATCCACATGGTGGAATCGCTGTAGCGAAGAAAACAGTTTCCTGGTATCAATGACCGGTCGACTGCAGGATGCATGAACCCCAGCACGAACAATATCCAATCGCAGATCCCTCGACGTCTGGAAGGACGAAAACGTTCGGCATGAACGAGTGCCGGAACATGCGGCTGTATAACGATGTTCCCGGCTCAGAATGGATTTCAGAGCCATGTTTTCGCATGCATTGTATTTAACGATTTCGTCAGCCTGTGCATGCGTTGCACCTAAGATATCGCACCTTCCAGGTGCGCAAAGATATAAACACTGCGAAATTCTAGGTACCTTTTCTGCATTCATAATAGCGCAAGCTGCGCTGCAGCTCTTGTTAGCGCTATTGAAAAAATTTTAGAACAGGCTGGAAACCGCGGGTTTCTGACGACTCAGCCTTTTCTTTCTCAGCTTCCAGACGCATTACGTCTGCAGCGCTTCTTGTTTGGCATTCACCAGAGAACTTTGCTGGCGCGTCATTAGTTGTCCATACCCCGTACGCAGACATTCTTGGAGCACGACTCGTGCCGCATCCTTTATTGTTCCGATCGCCAGAACCCCTGGTGGTCATCCAGAATTTCAGCTTCCAGCTCTGCCACTGGGCCGACCACCTGGATCGGTTTCTGTCCCGACTTGATCACTTCCCGGCAACTCAGCGACATGGTCATGTTCTCCTGGGCAGCCCCCGTCACCTCCAGCAGCCGAGTCTCTGCTACGCCGTACACGATCTGTCCAATATTGGCCCAGTACGCAGACCCTGCGCACATACAGCACGGCTCGAACGTCGTGTAGAGAGTGCAGTCCCACAGAAACGCAGGCCCGAATCTGCGAAACGCCTCTCTACACAGCGTCGACTCCGCGTGGTTCAGAGTGTCGACGTTGCCTTGCTCCAAGAGCACCTCTCCGCGCGGGCCCACCAGGATGCACCCAAACGGATGGCGGCCCTCGGCTTTGGCCCTCTTGGCGACCCCAATGCAAGTGCGCAGGTTCGCGAGAATGTCGCATCTGCTGGGTTCTGTTCGAGTGAGCATGCTGGAAAATCAGGTTTCGCTTTTTCTGGTGCATGGGTGGAATATTTTTATCTTCACTTTACGCGTCCCGTCCAATGTCGCGATACAACGTCCTATGGCGCAAACAGACGCAGCGGAAGAACAAGACGTGGGATGGCGACGGCGTCCTGGCCGTGGTCAACGACGAGGGCATTGTGCGCGACGACTCGGGCAACTTTCTCGCGAGAGTCAAAAACTGCTCAAAAGTGATCCACAACGGGGTGTTTAGAGGCGGCAGCTACGAGTTTGAGCTCGACGGCGACGAGCCCGTGGACGAGCCATCAGTGGCGGTGCCTGCGACCCGTGCGGTCTCGGCGCCGCTCCGGAAGGCACCGCCAATGCGCAGCGTCGGCCTGCTCAAACGGCCCAGACTGGCTACCAAAAGCGTCTCGGAGCTCGTTTCGACCCCGGCACGAATCTCCGCGCCGCCCCGGCGAAACGCACAGTCGTTGCACGACGCGACGGCGCCGGACGCTCTGGTGTTGCCGCGGCCGCCGAACGCGGACACCAGCGCCATAAGAGACGTTGTGGTGGACCCTGTGCTCGCTGAAAATTTACGGCCGCACCAGAAGGAAGGTGTCAGATTTATGTACGAGTGCGTGATGGGATTTCACGACTACGACGGGCACGGCGTGCTGCTGGCAGACAGCATGGGGTTGGGGAAGACGCTGCAGACGATCACGCTCGTGTGGACGCTGCTGAAACAGAGCCCCGTCGCGGGAGACGCGCCTGTGGCACGCAAAGTGCTGATCTGCTGTCCGGTGACTCTTGTGGTGAACTGGAAGAAAGAGTTCCGCAAGTGGCTGGGCCCGAACCGCGTGAGCATCCTGGCGCTGAACGGCTCCTCCAACAACGACAAGCAGAATATCCAGGGTTTTGCAAATACCAACGTCTACCAAGTGATGATTATCGGGTACGAAAAAATGCTCACGGTGGCAGACGACGTGGGGTGCATCAAGTTCGACCTGGTGGTGTGCGACGAGGGCCACCGGCTCAAGAGCGGCAACAACAAGGTGCTCAAGGTGCTGGAGTCGCTCGACATCAAGCACCGGGTGCTTCTTTCGGGCACGCCGATCCAGAATGACCTGGCAGAGTTCTACAACGTGGCGAACTTTGTAAACCCTGGCGTGCTGGGCGACTTCAAGAGCTTCCAGCGCAGCTACATGCGGCCGATCTTGCGCGCTCGCGAGGCGAACTGCACGAACGCGGCGGTGCTGGAGCAGGGCGAGGCCGCCTCGCGCGAGCTCATAGAGCTCACCAAGAAATTCACGCTGCGGCGGACGATCGAGGAGATCACCAAATTCCTGCCGCGCCGCTCCGACTACGTGCTGTTTGCGCCGCCCACAAAGCTCCAGATCAGACTGTTTGAGTCGCTGCAGAAAACCGCACAGTTTAGTAAGATTCTCCACGCTGCGCCGGCCAACGACTCGCTGCAGCTGATCACGACGTTCCGCAAGATTTGCAACTCGCCGGCGCTGCTGACCGAAGACGCCATGTTCGCCGGGCTGTGTGGCATCGACGACCTGCGCGCAGAGCTCAGCAGCAAAGTGCGCAGCGCGAAAATCATCCTTCTCGTGAAACTGCTCAAAGGTATCTACAAACTCAAGCAGGAGAAAGTCGTTGTCGTGTCAAACTTCACGCAAACACTGGACGTGCTGGAGAAACTCATGAACGTGCTGGAGCTGCCATTCACGCGTCTCGACGGAGCAACACCAGCCAACGTACGTGACAAAATTGTCTCTGACTTCAATAAGGCCGCCTGGGATACAAGTTTTGTGTTTCTTCTCAGTGCCAAGTCCGGTGGCATGGGTTTGAACCTCGTTGGCGCGTCCAGACTGATATTATTCGACAACGACTGGAACCCCGCTGTTGATCTCCAGGCTATGGCCAGAGTCCACCGTGACGGACAGACAAAACCGGTGCACGTGTATAGGCTACTGACGGCCGGGTGCATCGACGAAAAAATCTTCCAGCGCCAGCTGATCAAGACGAGTCTAAGCGACAAGTTCCTGGACGACTCGGCGGACTCGAACGAGAACTTCTTTGACACAACCGACCTCAAAGACCTGTTTACCGTGTCGCAAGTCAACTCGAACACACACATGTTGCTGGACTGCCAATGTTCTGGAGACGGAAAAGAGCTGGAATACGCGGAGCCTGCCAAAATCAAGCGCGAGCTCAGCTTTATATCTGCTCTTGATTATCAGGACCCAAATATAGACGGCGAGAAGAAAAAACAGCAGATTAAACGGTGTCTGATGGATTACCGCCATTACGACCCGGCCACCGGCGCACGCACGGGCGACCCGGTCATCGATAGCATCATGGACTCCCAGGAGCCCGACAAACCGGCAATCTCGTACATATTCATGAAAAATTAATTGCTTCGCTACTTACCCAGCTTGCCTAGACGCGCCTCAGCAGCACGAGCGCGCTGTTCGCGCAGCACACGCATTCTCTGCTCGGGCGTAAGAGAGCTGAGGTTCTGCTGCTCGGTGATCCCGAGCGGCTTTCCGCGGCCAAATTTTTTGGTATGCTCTTCCTCTGCTTCCTGCTTGGCCTTCTCGAGCTGCTCGTCTATTAGCTTTTTTGCCTCTTCTTCATTCTGTCTTTTCTCTTCATTGAGTATTGACTCCACCTCCTCCTTTGTCATCGGCTCTTTCACCTTCGCCGCGTCCCAGTCGCAGTAGTCCTCTCCCAGAATATTTCTAGCCACCTGGAAAGAAAATCTGGCATGCTGCGAAGCAAGTTCGTAGGCGGTGCGGCCGTGGCGGTTCGTGATCGCCGGGTCGGCTTTCAGGTTTACTAGCAGAACCTGACACATGTGGCTGAGCTTGTTGGCGGCCGCGAAATGCAACATGGTCGGCGTGTTGGCGAATTCTGTCTCTGGTTGCAACTCCATGTTCACGTCAACTTTATTTTTTTTCACAAACGAAATTAGAGCCGGAGCTTTGGACCGCTTGAGCAGACTGACCAGCTCCCTGGATATCTCCATTTCTGGGGAGTCCTGTTTTGGAGTTGCCGACTGCTTCTGGACCCGGCTTCGGGCGAGAGCTTCCTGCTGACGCTGCTCGCGCTCCACCTCGTCTTTTCGTGCTTTTGGCAGGTCCAGTATTTTCAAATAGCTCAGTTCGATCCAGGCGCGCTTCAGCTCGGACGACGTTGGTCTTTTCGTGGTGAAAGGGAAATGTCTGACTCGCGGATCGTCGTTCTGAATGGGCGAGTTCGCATACCCAACGATGATTTTGTGCGACGCCGATCCGCTCGCCTTGATGAATATGTACTCGCATCCGTCCAGCTCCTTCTTCCACTCGGCCAACAGATTGCGAATATCCTGCTCCAACGCCTGTTCGTTGTATCTTCTCAGCGTCGAACCGGCACTTTTGGCCTTTCCCTTGGCATTATCGCTGGCGTTTTGGGCGCCTCCTTGCTTCCGTCTGGTTGTGTATCTATGGAACGTCTTGTGGTGCAGAAACCGCACACTTTGCATTCTCAGCTCCTCTGCCGACCCATGGTTCCCTTTTGTGCTGATTGGCTCGTGAGAGATAATGGCCCCGGCAAAATGGCCTCCTCCCAGCATGAATAGTGCGCTTTTGCCGGAGCCCAATGATGCAAGTTTTTTCAGGTTCTCCAGCGGATCTTCGTTCTTTGCGTTCAGCACGGTTTTGTAGGCACCAAAGCAAAGTCCTGCGTCGAGCAATGGGCTCTGAAACAAAACGAACGGAGACTGCGTGTTGAGGTAGCTGACTGTGGACTCGTCGTTCTCAGAGTCACTTTCCGACCCAGAAATACTCAGCTGGTCCATCATGTCCTCGAACTGATCCTCGCTGACTGTGGTGAGCCCGGCCGACGATCTCTTGCGGTTGAACCGCTCGAAATCGTCTTCTTCGACTCTGGGCTGGGGCCTCGAAATATAGCCAGTGTTCGATACCTGTTCCTGTTCTTTGGGCTTCGCCTCCAGCGTCTGCGAGTCAAAGTACATGAGCTCCAACGAGCTGAGCACCGACTTGCTCAGGCTGAATATGTACAAGTCCGAGATCTCAAAAGAATGTGTCATGGAAAATTAATTTGAAAGGATTTTAAATAAGTACCAATAAAATTCTTTATTCTTATCGATGAGACTGGGGGTATTATTCTTTTTAATTTCGGTGGTGGTCTCGCTGCCATTTTTCGATGGCTGGCCACAATTCAATCTACTCAGCACGCAGCACAGCTCAACCGCAAAAACGGACGCTCTCGGACTCTACTCTCTTCACAAGAGACTGGTAAGAATAAATAGTGTCAGTTTCCAGGAACAGGATGCTTCTGAATACATCGCCGAGTATCTCAAGAGTCTGGGACTCACCGTCGAAACCATAAGCTCCCAAGGACGCAACAATGTCTACGCTTATCTGGGAAAAACGAGAGATACTAAAGTGTTGCTCACCTCCCATATCGATACGGTGCCTCCGTATATTGCTTACTACGACGACGGAGACAAAATATACGGCCGCGGCTCGTGCGATGCGAAGGGCTCGGTGGCTGCTCAAATCACCGCATTCACAGAGCTGTACGAGCAGAATAAAGTGCAGGAAGGCGACGTTGCACTGCTTTTCGTTGTTGGAGAGGAGACTGGCGGAGATGGCATGTTGACTGTGGACAAGGAAATTGACGCTAGTTGGGAGATGGTTGTGTTTGGCGAGCCAACAGAAAACAAGCTCGCAGTTGGCCATAAAGGTGTCTACTACTTCAAAATTCAGGTTCACGGGCTTTCTTCCCACTCCGGTTATCCAGAGCTAGGCAAAGACGCAAACAACGAGCTTATTAAGATAATGTATGAGATCTCCACCACAGAGTGGCCCTCTGACGAGCTTCTGGGTCCTACGACCGTCAACATCGGACTGATAAACGCAGGAACAGCAGCAAACGTGGTCTCTCCAATTGCCGAATGCGAGGTCCTCATGAGAGTCAGCGTGAAGTCTGACGAGATCCAGAAGATTGCCGACGACATCCTGGAAAAATACCAAGATGTTGAGGTGACAGTCATCCAAAAGGCAGACCCTACTTACCTTGACTACGACGTGCCTGGGTTCGACACCATGCTGGCCGCCTATTTCACGGACGTGCCTAATCTTACACAGCGTGGATTCAAAAGGTACCTGTACGGGCCAGGCTCCATTCTAGTTGCCCACGGAGACAACGAGTACGTTACTCACGAGAGCTTGGAGGACGCTGTCGAGGGATACAAAAGACTTGTCGCGTATGGACTTAAATGATGTATTCCATTTCTATATCCATGAAAAGTCGGCATGCTTTTCACGGACTCAAACCAGGAACTTGATATAGCGACGTCCATCCCATATTCGTAGAGTGTGAGGATATCTGTCGCATAATGAAGTAACGTAAAAAATTTAGAAAATATTTCTTAGCGTGCATGGTGGCAGCTGAGAGAAAATTTACGTAAATAATTCTGGCTACGGTAGCCATTGATGAAGAGTTAGCGGCCAGTACTTTAGCGGGCACTGGTGCGAGACAAAGAGACTGCACTGCTGTATATACAAACAAAAGGTACTAGCGTTGTGTTGAAACCACTCATTTGACTGAGTCCGGATATTAGAAGCCGACTAGTTACTAGACTGTTGTGAAGAGTCGGCGCGGAGGGGAGCATTCAGTTTGTAGGTTTTTCTGGACGAACGATCCGCTTGTATTCTGACCAACAAGGCGATTAGTTTTTAGAGCTTATAATTATTGCTCGTTAAATAGGTCCAATAGTCTCACAAATGATTATCCACTATTATCCAATTACTTAAATACAACCAGGTTACCAAAGGGCCACAGATCGGGTTACTGTAGTGAAAGTTACCCTCCTGCTCTACCGACTATTGGTATCGTCTGTTTGAAACATCCTGATAAATCGCAGTTCTAGTTAGGATATCTGCGTAGTGAAAAATAAGGAATTTTAATTTTTTTCCAGATCGATACACTGACATGTCTGAGCCAGCCTGGAAACGTCTTGGTCTGAAGATCAAGGAAACCGTGGAAAATGATCCGCTCGGCATCACGAAGGTGAACGTTATCAAGAAACGGAAGGCCGAGCCTGGCCCGAACACAGAGAAGAAGCCTCCCAAGAGAAAGAAGCTACCTAAAAACGAGCGTCCTCCGCCGCCAGAAAAGGACCAGCTCAAGTATCTTCGACAATACCACGAAGACCGTGCGAACTGGAAATTTTCCAAGGCCAAACAGACCTGGATTCTCAAAAACCTCAAGAACATTCCTCAGGAGTATGACGAAGCTTTGAAAGCGTACATTGCCAGTATTCAGGGCGGGTCGAGGGACCGTGTGAGAGACGAGATGATGGCTGTGGTGGATAAATGGAATAATGCTGCTCGGCAGGCTCTTGAAGACATGCAGAAGGAGCCTGAGGGTGCTGAGGAGAGCCAGGAAGAGAAGGACGAGAAGGACGAGAACGCGGAAGCGAACGACGACACCAAAGAGAAGGAGGAAGAGAAGGAGGAAAAGAAGGGTGCTGTGGATGAGGACATTCCAGAGTACGATTTTGTCATGCGTGCCAAGGCGCTGGTGGAGATTATTACCGGGGAGCAGGTTTCGGTTGAGGGAATGGCCGAGGAGAGCGTCAAAGAAGGCGACAAGCAGGACTCTGACGGGCAGAAAGACGCCGAGCGGGAGCATCCTATGATAGTGGAGGAGGTGGATGTCCAGGAATACGTTGGAGACGAGGACGAGCAGCTGGAGGTGAATGTGAAAAGCGAGGGCACAGTGGCTGTCGAAGAGACCAAAGAGAAGCAAAAGACGTCCAAGAAGACGAAGAAAGAGAAAAAGGCCAAGAAGGAGAAGAAAGACAAGAGCAAGGAACAAGCATAACAACGGTAGCATGTAGCAGTCTGTATAATAGTCGATCGACGCGAGTGAAAAAAGTAATGCGCTTTTTTATTGAAGACCTCTTCACCCAAACCAGAGACACAGACCCGGATCTGCGGTTCATGGCCCTCAATGACCTCGAGAAGGAGATCGTGAGCAACCCAGACGCGTTTTCGAGCGAGGCGCGGATCCAATACGCCAAGATCCTTCTCCACTGTCTTGACGACGAGTTTCCCGAGGTCCGCACACAGGCATTGAAATGCTTCGAGACGCTTACTCCGCGTCTCGGCGGCTACGTTGTGTCTGTGGTGGCCGTCTTGAGTAAGAAGAAGCCCGAGAAAATCTCCATCACCTCCACCATCTACACCATGGCGATCCACAACATTCTGAAGAATTTCGTGGCCAACGAGTCTGTGGCGCGCGACGTGGCGAACTGCGTGCTGGGCGAGGTGTTTGAGGTCGGAACCGCCGCTTTCCACACCACCATAGACTATATTGAGATCGTGACTGATCTTATTGAATATCTGGGCAAATACCTGACTACTGCCCAGCTAAACAACATGGCCGAGCTGCTGGCCAGGGCGTGCTACGAGGCAGACATAGTGATTGCAAAAAAGTCTGTTTTGGCGCTCGGATTGGTGGCTCGCAACTTCACCTCTGTCGAGCAGCTGCAGAAGCTCATCTCCTTAATCGATAAAACAACCACACACAAACAGCAGGACACAACCCTGAAGGTTGTGAGCAACCTTGTGCGCTCGAACGCGAAGCTGATGGCCCAGATCGTCCATCAGGTCCACCCAACCGTGCTCAATGGACTGTATTTGGATACACTCGGCAAGCCCGACGACGACTTCGACGCCCAGCAGGAGACAGAGGAGACCCGTGCCGAGGCGCTTGGGTGTCTGGTGGCCATGTTCGAGTGTCTTCCGATGGACGAGTACGTTTCTGGGTCGCTGGAGCTGGCCGCACGCTTTATTGGTTACAATCCGTATAAAGACGACGCAGAGGAGGAAATGGACGACGACGACGTGTACGAGCTCTCCGATCTTGACGACGACGACGACGACGACGGGTCTGGACTGTCGTGGAAGCTGCGACGCGAGTCTGCAAGACTGGTCAGTGTTATCCTCGAGAAACACCCGTTGGCTCTCACGACGGTTTTCCGATCCGTCTTCGAGCCTCTTTTGGGCCAGCTGCAGGACGACAACGGCGCTGTTGTGTCGGAGGCGCTACGAACGCTCACCAAAATCTTCCGCTTCAGTGTCCAGGACGGTCCGTACTACACATTGAAGTTCTTCAACTCGTTGAACGACTACGCCAGCGGCCGGCGGGGATCGGATGTCAGCATGCAGAGCGACGAGGACCCGTGTGTTTATCTGGGCAGCAAAAGCGCGGACATCTGCGAGTCGTTCGGCAAACTGCTTGTGGCAAAGAACTCGTCGAAACTGTCGCTGCTGTACGACTTCTTTGTGGAGTTTTCCAACGCGACAGACGGCTGCGAAACGCAATGGGCGCCGGCGTTGATGAACAAGCTATTAGACTTGAGAGAGTCCAGCATCACGTCTGAGGTGATCAAGTTCTACGCAGCAGTCCTAAAGAAATACTCTCTGAAAGACCTTGGAAGCAGCTCTCAGAGAGTCATTGCCGACATTGTTGGCTGTGTCGCGTCCTCGTCCAATCACGAGCTCGTGCTGGAGACGCTGGGATTGCTCACCGATGTGCTCGAGCACGAGCCCGGTGCACAGCTCCCGAGCGTCGAAAAGGCACTTATAGAAAAAGCCTCCAACAAAAACTACTCGACCGAGATCCGGCAGAAAGCGCTCGTCTGTCTGTGCTCGCTGGTCACCAAGTCGGAGGTTTCCGAACTGCAAACTGCGTTGAGAGTGTTTGTGGACACCATAACGATCGAGTTTCTGGTGGCCGTGGACCTGCAGTGTATTGAGACTATCGTCTCTCGCATTCCGCAAAACCTGTCTAGCGACTGGTATCATCCGATTGTTTTACAGCTGGTTGAATATGTCACGATTTCCGAGCTCCAGGCCCAGAGTCTGAACACGCTGGCTAGTTTGGCACCCAACCTGGACGAGACGGACGGTTTGCTGGCTTTCGACCGCATTGTAGCGGCCAGCGAGGCAAGCAAAATCGCCCCGGAAAATGCTGTGTGCGTGTGCAAGATTCTGAGCGTGCTGGCTACCAAGGTGGCCGTGCCAGACGTCGACCGACTCATCGGTTTGCTAGTTCAGTTCTCCAAAGCCCCTAGCTTTGACCAGGACACGCTTGCCAGCCTGACGAACGCCATACTCAGCCAAAAACCGGCCAAGCAGTTTATCGAGGTTGTGCTGGAACACGGCGCACATAGCGACCCAAACGTGTCCAAGATTCTGGGTTTGGTAAGCGTGAGCGACAAGAACTTTGCCTCCATTGACGAGACGCTCCAGAACCTGAACAACAACGAAAACGTGTTGTTCTCCATCACGTTTCTGGACCAGGTGTCCAAATCCATGGACTTGGAAACGGGACTGGCGCCGTTTGTGCGTCATCTCAGCGGTGACGAAGAGGTTAAATCCGCTGCTATTTCTGCGATCGCCTCCGTTGTGTCAGGCAACCCGAACAAATATTTGGACGAGTTGACAAAGCAGATTGAGCAGGGGGCCACGGTTCCTTTGCTGCATGCTTTGAAAATTGCTTTGCAAAAGATCAATCTCGACACAGCGTCCTCCAAGCACCTATTCAACATGCTACTCAAGTCCGACCTTGAAAAAACAGAAGCTGTGGAAGCAGCAGCTGAGATAGTTGCTCTTCTTGCAGTCCACGACTCGCTGCTGCCGGATATGTGCTCCATTCTTTCTTCCAGCCCGTCGCGGACACAGAAACTGGTGCTGGGGTCCACCACCAAACACGTCCTTGTTGACCCGTCGCTGGAGTCGGCTTTGGTTTTGCTGTCCAGGTATCTCGAGCTAACGTCCGTGGAAGATTACATCTTTAGTCCCGATCTGGAACTGAAACAGCTTGGAGTTTCCAACCTCATCTTTGCTCTGCACAAAAAGCCTCTGGTTGCTCTTCCGCTGGTGTCCAAAATCATGCCGCGTTTGCTGGAGACAGAGCTGGAGCAGAAAAAGGAGTACGTCGAGGTGGTCCGGATCGGTCCTTTTAAACACAAGCTGGACAACGGTCTGAACTACAGAAAGGGGCTCTACGAGATGGTGTATTCGCTGCTGACCACCCTTGAGACCAATCCGCAATTCTTGGTGATCAGCCAGGTCGACTGGAGCCAGGTGTTCGAGAGGTTTGTGGCCAGAGCGTTCAAGGACGACCCAACAGTCATTTTCATCTGTCTGCTGACGCTCATCAAAATCATCAACCTCCAACCGACGATTTTCGCTGGGAACCAGACCCTCGAAACGTTCATCGCAGCATGCTCCAAGGTGCTGGATAAAAAACTCAAGGACGACGCTCCAAAGCAGGAGCTCGAGAAACGCAACGACACCGTGCGCGCCGTCCTGAGATGCTGCAGAAAAATCAACACCATGGTGGAGTCTGGCCAGCTGAAGCTTGACAGCTACTCGAGCTGGTCGAACTTTGTCAGCACACTGAAAACCAAGTATCCCATATTCGATGTTGAGGAATGACTATATACGTTTAGTAGCCAAAACACTCCAGACCTTTATCAAATCCCTGCTCCCATTCCCAGATAAAACTGCTGTTCCCGCGTGAGGCAATGTGCTGCTGCCGTCTGAGCGACTTCCACGCTGCTCTGCGGCCGATTCGCGAGTTGTCGAATTTCGCAAACTCCACGCTGTCGCTCCACGCCGTCTCGAACCCCTCTTTGTACCGCCAGTGCTCGTACTTCTCGTTTGCGTTCTGCCGGTTCCAGTATTCCTCGTGTGCGTGCGAGTTCTCGCGGAGCAGCCTGTTTTTCTCGTCGTCGGACGGGATCTGCGGCTCTGTGCTCCGCGACGGAATGCACCCCGACTCCACCATCGGCCTGAACCCCCACTCGCCGCCGTCTCCGTGCTCAAACTTGAACGACCAGAAGTAGGAGCCAAAACCCGCACGTTCCTTGAACAGTCGCGCCTGCTCGTTGCCAAAGCGACGCACACACGCCTGACGGTCGAAGTTTCCCTTGCACCACGACGAATTGTCCAGAACACACGAATACTCGCCGATCATGAAGTCTGCCGGGCCAGACAGATTGGTGAGCACCGAGCCGTCCAGATCCCGGATGATCTGGTCCACCCCCTTACTTTTGTCGTCGTCGCTAAAACATCTGTACACGTGGTGGTCGATAACGATCCCGGGATCTGTGCCGGCCCGGGTGTGGCCGTTCACGTACTTCACCCACTGGTCCGGCCACCAGCCGTCGCTGATCACCACCGGGATGTCTGGGTTGACCGACCGGATCGCTCTGATGGCCTCGGAATAATATTTTTTCTGCCCCATGGCCTCGTCGAAATCAGACTCGTTCACCACCTGCAGACCACACACGTTCTCAAATGAGACCAGGTCGGACGCGATGAATTTGACAATCGCAACGGCCTTATCGACGGCCTTGGAACTGCTCCAGAACCCTGCCCTGTGAAGCCGCTCTCCCGAATGTCCTCCCGTGTTGGCTCCCTTGGGCAGAGCATGCAGATCGACAACGACAGAAATGTTGTAGCTGGCGGCCTTCTGGATGTACTGTTTGTAAATTGCCCAAGCGTTCTCATAGACGGCGCCCACAGACTCGAACGACGTGCCGCCGTTGAACTGGCGAGGGTCGACTGCCCAGTACCCAATTGGTAGCCTCACAGACTGTACGCCCTTGGACTTGAGCCAGTTCCAGTCGTCGTCCGTGCAGTAGCCGGTCCAATGGGCTTCAAAGAGCTTTCTGGTCTCGTCGACGCCCTTCTGCTGCACATTCATCTTGACAGCGTCGAGTTCGTACTCGGTGTTGCCAAAGAGACTGTCAAACATGTACTTCTCGAGCACAAACACAGAGCCGAAATTCACGCCAAAGTTCTGCCGGTAGCGGTAAACCGTTCTGCGGTCAATCTGCGACGGAGTGGACACCGCCGGAAAGTCCGACGAAAGCTTGTTCTTGAGCTTATCAAACATGCCGGAAATTCTGTGAAATTAACTAGTTGCTATATAGGTTTATCGGCCTGCGAGTTCAGACTTGCCCACGTGCTCTACGGTCACGTGATCCAGCTCGTCGGAGCGGCGCGAGGCCTGTGCGGAGAGCAGCAGGGGCCGTTCTGGCGGCTGGCGTCCCGTGGCGACGCGGAAGATCTTGACGGCCACGTCGCGGCTCTCCCAGAGCGGGTAGAAAATGATGAAGCACGCCGCCAGCAGCAGCCAGACCATGATTATCACTATCCACGCGCGGAAAAATTGCTTGCTGTAGATGTACTTCTGGCCGTACATGGGCATTGGGATCAGGAAGATGACCACGAGGAAGAACGACCACGACATGATCTGGGCGATCATCGAGTATCTCTTGAGCTCCTTGGCGGAGTCCTTTTCGCCGACTTCCATTGCCTTTGCTTCCTGCACGGTAGCATCGTCTCCAGCGACGAAGTTGGAGTCGAGCGTGCCGAAATCGTAGTCCTCTTTCAGTGGACGGATATAGGAGATGGCAACGATGAAGATCAGCGAGCCAAAGAGCCCCACAAAGTTGCCGACCGCGCACGAGTACTGCTCGCCAAGCGTGTCTTTGTTGACTGCTCCGTAAAACGACTTCGCCGAGGAGCACCAGCCGATGATGGCAATAACGGTGGCGAGCGGCGGGCCGATGACCACGCTCAGCGGGGTCATTTTTTTCCAGAACAAGGTGAGCACAAACGCAAACACGCCGGGGCCCAGCGCAATGCCGATAAACGTGATGATCCACGAGATCGTGATCCCGATATAGTTGAACACCACTGTGAGCGCGCCCATGGCGACGGCGAAGACCGTCACGCACACGTGCGACACCGCAATCAGCTGTTTTCCGGACGCGGCTGGGTTGATGTACGCCCGGTAGATGTCGTAGGTGACGACGGACGAGAAGCCGATCAGCTCGGCGCTGGTGGCAGACGTGGCGGCGAGCCAGACCATCAGCATGCCGGCGGCGGCCCCGGGCCGGCCCAGGATCTGGTACAGGCCGTAGAGCATCGGGATGCCCTCGCTGACGAGCTCAGCCGGGATCGGGTCGGGGTACGTTGGCGAGGAGGTGTCGTGCATCAGCGCGAGCGCAGACAGGGCTGTGCACGAGGAGAGCGCGAGCGGGATGATGAGCCAGCACAGGCCGCCGAAAAAATACCCCCACATGCTGCTCCGAGGCGACGCGGCGAGCGCTTTCTGGCTGTAGCTGGGGTCGGTGAAGACGGTGGAAAAGCCGCCCACCACGATGTTCCAGCCGTTGAACAGCGCCGTTTTGTTCGTCCAGGTCAGGTAGCTGCCCTTGTACCCGGCCGAGGGGCTGGTTTTCGCTGTTTGCTGGAGCAACTCGTACATCTTGTCGATGGAGCCGATCTTGCTGCTGTGGGTGTAAGTGGTGAACAGCGTGACGGCGATGATCACGTAGATGATCACCGTGTGGATCCAGTCCGACAGAAACGTCGATTTGAGTCCTCCGGTCACGGTGTACGCCCACACACCGAGCGGGAGCAGCATCGCTGCTGCCACCACGTGCATGCCGGTGACCACGCTGATGGCCTGGCACCCGCCGAGCAACAGCATCGCCGAGATAATCACGTTGGTGCCCATGCCGTAGAACAGACACACCCAGTGGGCCGCGCGGCCAAAGCGCGCCCGCACAATCTCCAGCACCGTGTGTGCTCCCGGGGCCTTGCGCTTAATTTCCAGTGCAACCACAGAAAAAAAAGTTATTTGGATGGTGAACGCAAACGCGTACCACGCACCGGGGACCCCGTACTGATAGGTCATTCCAGAACTAGTGAGTACGGTGCCTCGGCCAGGTCCAGGACGATACGACGGCCGAGGCGACAAGGCCGGTCTTGACGTTCCTGGAGGCGGTGGTGAAGTGCTCTGAGTCCTGCACCTCGCCGGCGTATTTAGCCAGTGCCTTGGTGATGCCGATCATGAGGACGGCGAAGACGGCTCCCAGAGCCAGAATGTAGCAGTATCCGTAAGCTTGTTCGAGAATTGGCTGGACCATTGTGGTTTGGAGGCAAAGAGGAGGCCTAAGCAGGACTCTTATATACAATTACTGAGACATTGCTGGTGGCAGATAGAGAAGCCAATCTCTCGGCCTCTCGCTCTGCCTCTGTTATCTCTCGTATTCTGTTCGCAAATCTATTCCGATCTTTTGCGAGCTCGCGGGCTGAGCGGTTTTAGGTTCTCGCTATTGTTAGGGCCTTATCGATTTCCGGTTGCGGAAATTATTTCGTATCAGGGGAAGCACGATTGCTCCTGCATAGTATGCTCTGCGGCGTGAAAACGGCGAGACTAACGGCGACCCGAGCGGCGTGTCTGTGCGCCGTATCGCGCCGCGATCGTCGTTGCGCAGCCTGGTATTTGCCTGCCTGCCAGAAATAAATATCTTTCTCTGCTACTGTCGTCAGCATGAGTAGCAGATACGGCAACCTGGTGGAAACTCTGGTCACCATCGATCTAGAACGGCCAGCCTGGGAGCAGCAGGGCTTGCACAACAGATGGCATCCCGACATCCCCTGCTACCGGAAGATGAAACAGAACAAGGCGTACAAAATCGAGTGCTACGACTGGACAGGAGGCCAGGTCGGGAACAACGACTCTGCCGACGACATCAAGTATTGCGACCTTACAAAAATCCACTATCTGTCCGGCCCGTTTGAGGTGGAAGACGCTGAGAGGGGCGACGTTCTGGTGGTGGAAATCCAGGACGTCCAGCCTCTGGAGAGACAGCCGTGGGGATACTGCGGAATCTTCGCCAGGGAGAACGGAGGCGGGTTTCTGGACAAACACTATCCCAAAGCCGCCAAGGCCGTGTTTGACTTTGAGGGCATCCACTGCTCCTCGCGACACATCCCGGGCGTGCGTTTTGCCGGCCTTGTCCATCCAGGAATTCTCGGAACCGCTCCGAGCCACGAGATTCTGGCAGAGTGGACCAGAAGAGAAACAGAGCTCGTGGAGTCCAACCCAGACGCAGACTTCGTGATGGCCAACCTGCCGACGGGACAGAGCGCGTACGCGGGGACTTGCGCCTCGGACGTGCAGTCCAAACTGGCACACGGGGGAAGAACCATTCCTGGTCGTCCTGAAAACGGGGGCAACTGCGACATCAAGAACCTGTCGCGCGGGTCTAAGGTGTACCTGCCGGTCAACGTCGACGGGGCCAAGCTGAGTGTCGGCGACCTGCATTTCTCCCAAGGAGACGGCGAGATTTCGTTTTGCGGAGCTATTGAGATGTGCGGCTCCATCACGCTGAAATGCTCTGTTCTCAAAAAAGGCATGTTCAAGCTCAACATGAAAAGTCCGATGTATTTGCCTGGCCCTGTCGAAAACCACTACGGCCCCGGCAGATACCTCACGTTCGAGGGTTTCTCTGTCGACGAAGACGGCAAGCAGCTGTGTCTGGACACCACCGTCGCGTACAGACAGACATGTCTAAGAGCCATCGAGTATCTGAGAAGATACGGCTACAACGACTACCAGGTCTATCTGCTGCTGTCCTGTGCGCCAATCCAGGGCCACATTGCGGGGATCGTCGACGTGCCAAACTCGTGCACCACCATCGGGCTGCCCATGGATATTTTCGAGTTTGATATCTCTCCAGAAAAAGATGTCGTCAAGCGCGATCTTGGAAACTGCGCCTTTGCCAAAGACGATCTCGAAAACGGGTTTCCGTTGTGCAACGAGCTGCCAAACTTCCTTTTGGACAGTATCACTAAATAGCTCTCTTATCGATCAAACGTCAGATACCAGTAGGATCCTGCCCAATAGCTGTCGTTCCGCTGGACCACCGCCTTTTTTGCAACCATCCAGTCCAAAACGAGCTTGAGCTCAAACGGCTCATAAAGAGGACTAAACCGCAGACACAGCAGACGGAACGTCACCCCGGGCCGGAAAACTATGCATCGCAAAAGCGAGCACACCGTCTTGTACCAGATCTCCACGTTGAGGTCCCCGTTGAGGTCGATCCAGAGCCGCGAGCACGGCGCCCCGCTTGGCGGAGCCACCGCCTTCAGATCGATCGCCGTGTGCATGTCGTGCAAGATAAAGTCGCTCTCGAGCTTCGTCTTGTCCTGGCTCTTGGTGGAGTAGTTGTCGATCAGCATTGGCGGGCTCTGGTCGATTCTCGTAACCTTGATTTCTGCCTGGGCCATCATGTTTATCAACGGAGCAAAACAGCTATCTGGAGACAACGGAGACAAGATGACGCCCTTGTTGTTCAAAGTGGCTGTTTCCATCATTTCCACAAACCCTGCACACTGGTCGAAAAAGGCCCGTGTGAACTTCCAGTCGATCAAAAACATAATCTTCTCGGTCAACGTGAACTTGATCGGCGAGTCCTCGCCCAAATAAGCAATTACCTTGTCGTCCTCCAGCTCTGCCAGCGCCTTTGCATACACATCCTTCTCGGTAGACGAAAACACCTTTTTGGCCTCTGCAGACGAAAACTTGTCTGGTCCGGTCGCAAACAGGGCCTTGAGCTTGGTCTTGGCTTCCTGAACACCCGTCGGCTCCCCATTCGGCTCCTCGGAAACTAGCGGATACGCAAACATGGCCCGCGCACACTGCTCCTCGCGCTCTATGATGGAAGTGCCTTCTTTGAAGACATCCAGTCCACGTAGATCAATATCGGGCCGCCACCGCTGCTCCTTGAAGTTTTCCGCGTAATTGCGGTAAAGAACCACATCGTGAGTATTTTCAAACGAATCCGAGTCCACAGACCTCCAGAGAGAAATCATGTCGTTCAAATCGTAGTCCAACAGCTCCTCCTCGCCAACATCGCCATTCGTGATGGCTGACATCAAAATTCTCTCCCACGTCTTCCTGGACAGCTGTAGCGCCCTGAGTCCAATCACACGTTTATGCCGTGGCCATTGTCGTCTCAAAACCTCAGAAGTATACTTGTCCTGGAAGAGAGCAGAGACCTTGGCCCAATCAATGGTGTTGGATGGCGACAGCGATTGCGAGATAATGATTGCTCGGATAAGCAGCATCACGTCCTTGCCGCTCAGACGGGTGTTGTTCCGGGCACGTTTAGTTGGCGCCGTCGAGGCCGACTGTGTCTTCTGACGTGTGGAGACCTTTTTCCTCTTTCTCGATTCCATCAGCGGAGCAAGCAGGTCCTCGTCATTGGGAGTTGGCCGCCGTTTCTTCTTGGACTCGGCTGGCGTTTCTGCCGCGCGAAGACGCGCCTCCACTCTTTTTGCGGTGTCGAGACCTTTTTTCTGGCCGGACTTGCGAAGCTGGGATAAGAGCTGGGACGGCATCTCGAAAAAGTGCGAATCGTTGGCCTTGAAAACGGGCCGCGTAGGAGCCAAGCTCAGCCGAGGATTGGCAGACCCAGATTTGGAGCTGGCAGAATGGGCAATGGCGTCGATGTGGTCCTGCGACGGCCTGTTTGTCACGGAACACAGGACAGTGTGCGTGAACGAGCGAATCGAGCTCGGCACCTCTTTCACCGTGATCTTCTTCTGTCTTTGCAGCACTGCCGCATCTTTCTTGACAGTCCGGCGGTCAACGAGATAGTTCACGTTCAGAGCATCAGAAACTTTTTTCGTGAGGTCCATATTAAGAGCAACGCATTTGCTATCGTCAACTATCTGGAGCAACACAGAACGACGTCTGCTAGGGCCGAAATCAATACCAGTCTCCAGAAAAGGCTGGGAAATGTGCTCCTCCACCTTTGGCACGAACTTTGCAGGACTCTCGATATGTCCCTTGTGCTCGTCAAAATATCCTCCTTTGATTATTTTTGGCTGGCCAACTCGTTGTATTTTCTTCGACACAGCAATCTTGAACGTGTCGTCAATAAACAGCTGTTTTATCTTGCCCTGTTTGGAAACAAGACCCTTCAAAACAGGCCCCGAGTAGCCAAACCAGCAAAACTTGAACGATTTGTTTGGGAAGAAAACAAGCGACACACGTTTCGGAAATGGGTCCAGGTAGTGGCTGGCGCTTATCTCTGCTACGGTCTGCGAGTTCTCCTGTGTTTTCGCGAATTCCAGCGGCGGCTCCTCAACTTGCTTGCCCTGTCTTTTGAGGAAATCAGACTGGATCATGTGACAATAGTAACGGGCCTTCCCCTCGTGATGCAAATAGCGTATCACGGCATTGGGTTCAGGAACAGGGTTGTCAAAAACGTATGAGCCAATGTAGTTGCTGAAAGACTTGACAGACAGGTTTCCGGTGATACATGTGTTGAGTTTCTTAGTGGATATACCCGGACTGTTTTTAACGGTGTCGAAAATCTGGTTCTGCAGAGGTAAGAACGGATTGTATGTTGGCGGGTCGTCTGTGCTGCTTTCGAAAACCGCGCCGAAAAGCTCGTCCTGGTCGTCCTCGCGGTCCTGGCCCAGCGACGCGAGCTCCGATTTCAGTTCCTGACGGGCAGCCTGTGTTTTTGGAAGCTCTTTGAGAAACTGCAGTCCCACGAACTTGCGTCCCGACGACTCGTGCTCGACGTTGATCTTACACGCGTAGCCCAGAACCACCAGGTTGCGGATCGCCTTGGCCAGCATTCTGCGTTCTTTCTTCGAGGTCAGCCGCAGCTCGCGTGCCAGGTCCGACGGAACACGAACACCGTTCGGGGCGTCCTGCAGAGTCTTCATCACAACGCCCATGAGCTCAAAACTGGTCCGCACATTTGCAAACGAAAACTGCTTTTCGTACTTGGTGCTCACAATGACGTACGAATTGGCAGAGTCGATGACTGCCGGAAACTTCTTCACCACACCCAGGTCCTCCAGAGTCTGCAGTCGGGACGTCAGACTGCGCCGGTCCTGGCCAGACTGCCTGATCAGTTCCATGGACGTGATCCCAGCTTCTTTGGCTTTTGTAATATATCGCAGTAATTCGTACGGAAAATATCCCAGGTTGTTATTTTCCTTCTTGACCCCGAGCAAAAACAAAGACTGTCTGTCATCAGTAACGCCAATCCGAAGTTTGTCCTCGCCGTACTTGTCCACAAGGTCCACCAGACTCGTGTTCTTGTCAACAGTTTCTGTCTTGTAGGTGGTTTTGCCGCTCTTTTCCTTTGTGGTGGAAATAATATAGTACACCAGGAGATCGCTCTCCTGCACGAGCCAGCTCCAGACAAGGGTCTTCTCAAACGCCCCAAACCGCGGAAACTTGCCCTTGACCTCCTCCCAGACCTCAGAAACGCTCAATCCCGTCTCCTCAACACAGAGACGGTCCAAAACGTCGTCCACAACCTTATCTGGGGAAGTGACAGACATGTAAATAAAAATATTTGTGCATTTAATTAATTAATGTTATCGAGGAAGACACCAATGCCCTATAATTGTGCCAACAACTTATGCTTATCGACTACCAGAAGCGTGGTCTACCAACTCCCTCTAGCGCACTATCTATTAGAAACTGCCAGATTTGTTCAGCCAGTACTCTCGTCTACTTGCCTTGTCCAGCTTCGACGTGCTCGGCTTTTCTTGCTCGCTGTCGCTCGCAGCGCTGTTCGAGGAAACTTCGCTTTCCCGACCGTTCAGCCCCATCAATTCGTCAATGTTTTTCTTGTTCTCCGGCTGCTTACTCTGGGACTTCTCATACAGCTGCTCCAGATGCTTCTCGTACTCAGACTCGGACTCGGAGTCAGATATTATCGTGTACTGCTCGCTCGGGAGCGGCGGCAGCGAAGTCGCGCGACTGGACTCTCCGCTCACAAACGCAAGTGCCTCGTTCTGCACATGCTCACGGGCATCCTCGAAATCCCTCTGTTTTCCTTTGTATTTGATAATGTCTCCCAGCACAGACTGTCCCAATCTTTCTTTGTAGGTGGCCTGGTTCATCTCGTAGCACTTGTTCACCAGAAGCTCAAAGGCTCCGCCAAACGAACGCTTGATGTCCCGCAGATTGAAGGTGCCTCGCGAGATGTTGTTGCCCGGATCGTGCGGGTCCTGAATAGCCAGAGTGAACGGGTTTCTATTTTGGAATGCTGGATTCGAGTCCTTTGGAACGTAGTATGGGTCTCCGTCCTCATCAAACGCGATCGCCGTGTTGTCGTATCCGAAGTTGTAGCCGTACAGCTCAAAAAACTCGATAAGAAGCACGCCCAAATTTTCCAGAGGATCTATAGATTTGGTGGCCACTCTCGGATGCAGCTTCAAAAAAGACCGCACCAGACATATCGTCGCGAATCCTCCGAGACCCCCAGTGTGCACAATGTTCAGTTTCCGCACAGACAAAAACTGTTTCACTATCAGCACAAGCTCGCGGAGACCAGGAGTGTCTTTGAGCCACGAAAGAATAAGCTCTGCCGCTTTGATACCGTTGGTCCTCTCGAAGGAAATATCAATGTGAATCTTGGTGGCAGGGTCCACAAACTTGATGATGGGCACCTTGGCCTTGGCAATGGTCTCCACATTGACTCCCAGCTTGTGGTTTCTTATGTAGGACGAGAGCTGGTACAGAGACGATCGGTTGTCGTATTTGTTGTTGCGGGCCTTGGAAACCACCACCATATCGATATCGGAACCGGGCAGGTACAGGTCAGTGGCAAACGATCCGAAACAGTGCACCTCCGCGTCGGGCCACATCCCCGTGATGCAGTCTCGGAGTTTTCCCACGGCGTTGTTACGGGCCTTGATTTCTTCCGCGGACGGAGAAATGTACTTGATGAAATCCTTGATCTCCATCGTCAGCCAGTCGCTGATCTCTATTTGTCGCGAGTGGTCGTTATTGCGGATCCATGGATATTTGGGATTGAAGTTTCCAGCCTTGTAGTCGGCCGACTTTGTATGGTACACGGTTTCGTCGTTACTCAGATACTCGTTCTCGCTATCGGAGATTTTGGGAGATCTCTGATGGTCGAACTCTTCGTTCTCGTCTCCTGACGACGTCTCGAACCCGATGAAGTCCTGGTTCTCGAGCATGGCGTCTCTAGGAGCAGAATCTGCCGAGTTCTCTTGTTCGAGCGGTTTCTGTTTTTTGGCCGGAGGCTCCTCATTTTCGCTGTCGCTCGACGACGATACCATCACCACTTCGTCGCCGGCGTCGTCTAGTTTCTCGTACGAGTTCTCGGCCCGCACAAAGCGCGCTTTTGAAGGCCCCAGTTTTCGCTTGGACATATATTTAAATTTTTTTTTGAGAAAAAATATGGGGGCTACAACTCCATAGGGGAGCGAAGGGGGCCGCCGAGACGAATGTGCCAGGAGCCGACTGCTAGTCGCTGGGCGGAGCCGTATTCAGTAGCGCAGTGACTGCCGTTAAAAGAGAAGTCTGCGCATCATCAAAATCCACACATCCTACCATCCCAGCTTTGGCACTGCTAGATAATTACATGTATTTTTCACAAATTATTTTTTATTTCAGTGGCAAACATGGCGGACAGATACTCGTTTTCGTTAACCACGTTTTCGCCAAGGTAAGTTGCAAGGCCGGCAACACTAACACGCCAGCGGAAAGCTGAAGCAAATTGAGCACGCATTGGCGGCAGTCAAGCAGGGAGTCACGTCGCTGGGCATCAAGGCCACGAACGGCATTGTGCTGGCCACAGAGCGCAAATCGACGTCTGTGCTGGTCCAGGCGGACTTCGTCGACAAGATTGTGCATGTCACGCCGGATATCGGCATGACGTACGCGGGAATGGGTCCGGATTTCAGAGTTCTCACAGACAAGTCCAGAAAAGTGTCGCACACAAACTACAAGAGAGTATACAACGAATACCCGCCAACGAAGATCCTTGTGTCTGAGGTGGCAAAGGTCATGCAGGACGCCACCCAGAGCGCTGGCGTGCGTCCGTACGGCGTCTCGCTGCTGCTGGGTGGCTACGACGACAACAGCGGGTTCATGCTGTACCAGGTGGACCCTTCAGGGTCGTACTTCCCATGGAAGGCCACGGCCATTGGCAAGGGCTCGAACGCGGCCAAGACGTTTCTGGAGAAACGGTGGAACGAGGAGCTCGAGCTCGAAGACGCCATCCACATTGCGCTGCTGACACTGAAGGAGAGCATTGAGGGCGAGATGAACGGCGACACCGTCGAGATCGCCGTGATCGGCGCAGAGAACGACGACCAGCTTGGGTTCCGGGGTGCCGCCGGCGTGCACGGCCCCAGATTCAGAAAGCTGTCGCCAAAGGAAATCAACGATAGACTGGAAACTCTGTAGTGAAAAATAGTATGTGGCCAGTAATTTTCATGTATTATTTTCTTTGCAATGTCCAACTACGCAGAGGGATTTATAGATTTTGTCAACGCTTCACCAACCCCGTACCACGTGGTGGACACCGTGAAGAAACAGCTCCAGCAGGCCGGGTTCGAGGAGTTGTCTGAGCGCCACCCTTGGGAAAGACTAATCCAAAGGGGATCCAAATACTATGTGACCAGAAACGGCTCCTCCATTATTGCCTTCACGATAGGCGGTTCGTACCGGCCGGGAAATGGTGTTGCCATTGTTGGAGGCCACACGGACTCGCCGGTTTTGCGCATCAAGCCGATTTCTGACCAGAGAAAAGAGGGCTACATCCAGGTCGGGGTAGAAACGTACGGCGGAGGAATCTGGCACACCTGGTTCGACAGAGACCTGAGCGTTGCAGGGCGGGTGTTTGTGAACGAAAATGGCAAGTACGTGTCGAAACTGGTCAAGATATACAAGCCGATCATGAGAATCCCCACTCTCGCTATCCATCTCACCAAGGAGAGATACACCAAGTTCGAGTTCAACAAAGAGACCCAGTTCAAGCCGATTGCCGGTCAGTACCAGGAACAGTCCAAGGATGCGGCCGGCTGCTGCGCAGGCGAGCAGCTCAGCAACGACGAATACGAGTCGCTGAAAAGCGTCGTCCAAAGACACAGCAAGGAGCTGCTGGACCTGATTGCGGCAGACCTGTCTGTGGACGTGGCGCAGATCGAGGACTTTGAGCTGATACTCTACGACACACAGCGGTCGACGATCGGCGGCCTCAACGACGAGTTCATCTTCAGCCCGCGTCTCGATAACCAGGTCACGTGCTACTGTGCTACGCGCGGGCTCATCAACTCTGCGCAGAGTCTGGGTACTCAGGAGGGGATCCAGATGATCTCGCTGTTCGACCACGAGGAGATCGGGTCGCTGTCGGCTCAGGGCGCTGACTCGTCGTTCCTGCCCAACGTCCTGGAGAGACTGACCCGGCTGACGTACGACGAGAACGGAAACGGGGCAAGTAGCTCGTCGTCGTCGTATTTCCTGGAGACGATGGCGAAGTCGTTCATTCTGTCGTCAGACATGGCCCACGGCGTGCATCCAAACTACACAGAGAACTACGAGAGCCTCAACAAGCCGCAGCTCAACAAGGGCCCCGTGATCAAGGTCAACGCGAACCAGCGGTATGTGACGAACTCGCCGGGAATCGTGCTGTTGAAGAAGGTTGCCGACTTGGCAAAGGTGCCGCTGCAGCTGTTTGTCGTGAGAAATGACTCTCCGTGTGGGTCGACGATCGGCCCTATGGTGAGTGCCAAGCTCGGCGTGCGCACGCTCGACCTGGGCAACCCGCAGCTGAGCATGCACTCGATCCGCGAGACGTGCGGCTCGCACGACATCGAGAAGCTTGTGTTGCTGTTTGAGAGCTTTTTCGAGCACCTCAATTATCTCGAGCAGAGACTAGAGGTGAATTAAATAGAAAAAAAAAATCATTTTAGATATTATGAGGACCAGTATAGTTATCGTGCAGCTGGTTTGGGTGGCGCTGTGTCTGGCGAAAAACACGTTCCCGGCGCTCGTCGCGTCCAGCAAGCTGATCCCGGGACTTCGGCCCGCGCTGCCGCACAGCGAGCAGCTGCCGTTCGATCTGGGCGAGGCCACGTCTATCATCTACCGCGTGCTGGAACAGTGCACGTCGGACGCCTACATACTGATCAACCTGCCCGGGCTGCGTGTGGACGACTTCCACCACTTCGAGCGGTTCAGACACCTGCGCGAACAGCTGTCGCAGGCCAGCACGGTGGTCACCTTCCCCAACGTTCTTGTGGACGACGAGAGACTGACAACGGACGAGTTTGTGCGGTATTTGCGCATCCATTGCAACACCATCACCTACGACGTGGTAAACGAGGACGCCGCCGAGGTGCCCAAGTACCTGGACACCCGGACGAGGACGATCAACGTCCAGCTGGGCGGTCTGACCGACGAGATGAGCCAGACAGAACGTCTGGACAAACTGGACGAGTACAACGAGCTGCTGCGCGAGATCATGCGCAAGCTGCCGACGCCGCGCTTCACGATCCTCTTTTCCACCAACACAGCAATTCCATACGAGGAAAAAGAGTACAAGGTGATCTATCCGGAAGACGTTCCCGAGGACCCCAAAGACCTGACTGTAAGGGACAGACGTCTTGCCAAAACGGCCTCCAACATGATTTTCCCCGACATCACTGTGTTCGACAAGACGCGGTACCTGGAGCTCGAGCGCAACAAACACGGTGAGCGCGACGAGTACGGCTCGCATCCGGACGGACTTTGGGCCAAGGACGTTTTGGAGGACGACGACACGTGGCTGGCCAAGAAGACCAAGACGATCAAGAAGGAGAAGTCGCTGTACCGCTTCAGCGAGGACCAAAACGAGTCGCCCGCGGTATTCGACCGCGAGTTTCTGATCGACAACGGGCCGGTGATCGTGGGGGGGCTGTTTGTGGTGGTGACGCTGTTTGCGCTGGACATTCTGCGCGGCATCGCGCGGCAGGTGGCGGGGCTGGCTCGGGGGAAGAAATTAAAGAGGGAGTGATGGGATTGTGGCGGGTTCAAGGGACAGGAAAATTAAATATTCATATTAAATAAAATATGTGATCAAATATCCAAACTAAATAAAAATTATGTGGTTAAATATTCAAACTAGATAAAATTAATTATGTGGTAATTTTTCCATAATGTTTTTCCAGCAGATCCGCCGGTACTCGGTGCAGATCGCCGCGGAGATCGCCAATTGCGTGCGCGAGGGCGGCCCCGTGGTGGCTCTGGAGAGCACGATCATCACGCACGGCCTGCCGTACCCTGCGAACCTCGAGATGGCCCAGAGCGTGGAACAGCTCGTCCGAGCCCACGGCGCGGTTCCGGCGACTGTGGGGTTTGTGAACGGCGTGCCGAAGGTGGGGCTGTCGCCGGGCGATCTTGAGGCCATGGCCCGGCCAGGCGACAAGCACAAAGTGTCTCGCAGAGACATTCCGTACGTGATGGCCCGGCAGCTTACGGGCGGGACGACGATCGCTGCGACGATGATTCTCGCCCATCGCGCGGGCATCGACGTGTTTGCGACGGGCGGGCTTGGCGGCGTGTCGCGGCCGTTCGAGCTGATGGACGTGAGCGCCGATTTGGATGAGCTTTCCAAAACACCCGTCGCCGTGGTCTGTTCGGGACCAAAGTCCATTCTGGACGTTGCGCGCACGATGGAGTATCTGGAGACCAAGGGCGTGCCCGTTGCCACGCTGGTAGATGGCGCCAAGACCGCGAACGTGCCCGGATTCTACACGAGAGACTCTGGCGTGGCCTCTCCGTTTGTTCTGGAGACCGCGCTGGAGGCCGCACGGCTGGTGCACAGCGGCAAGGACGCGATGCGGCTGGAGAACGGCTACGTTTTCTGCGTGCCGCCGCCGGCCGCTATCGCGCTTCCGGCAGAGTACATCGACCGGGTCATTGCAGAGACGCAGCAGGAGGCAGAAAAGCTTGGTGTTTCGGGCAAGCAGCTGACGCCGTTCATGCTCGGGCGCATCAACGAGAAGACGGATGGGCTGAGCGTGAAGTGCAACATCGAGTTTGTGCGCAACAATGCAGTCGTCGGGTCAAAAATTGCCGCGGAGCTGGCACAACTGCGCAGCTCGTTCCAGCCGGTGCAGCAGCCTGTCCAGGACAGAGCGCAGACATCCGCCAAGGCAGTGGTCATCGGGTCGGTCGCGCTGGACTCCACCAGCACAGTTGGCACCGTCCGGCTGCACGACTCGTGTCCCGGCCGAACAGAGTACTCTGTTGGCGGTGTCGGCTTCAACGTGGCTCTGGCCGCGGCGGCCGTCGGCGGTCCCCAGAACGTGGCGCTGGTCTCAGGTCTGAACCAGGCAGACGTCGCGGGCAAAACGGTCATGGCTGCCTTTGCCGAACACGGCCTCAGAACAGACGGCCTGGTCGACCTTGCCGGCCGCACCGCGCAGTACACCTCCGTCCACGACGGCCGTGGCGAGCTCGTCATTGCGTGCGCGGACATGGCGATCGTCGAGCAGCTTGCTCCACAGCACGTCGTGGCCAAGCTCGGGCAGCTGGACCCGAACTACGTGCTCATGGACACCAACGTGTCGGAGACGGTGATGGACGCGGTTTTCGACCACTGCAACGGCGCTACGCGGCTGGTGATCGAGCCCACGAGCGGCACAAAGGCGCGGAAGCTCGCGAAAACCACAAAGCTCGGCTGTTTTCCTGATAACAGAGTCCATCTGGTCACCCCAACGGTTCTGGAGCTGGAATCGCTCTACGACGCTTTCTACACCGCGGGCCGGTTCGAGGCGGTGTCCTCGTGGTTCAACGTGCTGGACTCGCTCAACATCGGCTCTGCGCTGCGCAACAAGCTCGAAAAACAGCCACTGGCCAGAAAATACCTCGAAAAAGGCGTGCTCCAGCAGGCGTTCCAGCTGCTACCATACTTCCCTGCTATTTTGGTGAAGGACGGCCGCAACGGCGTTGTGCTGGTGGAGATCGTGGGGTCCGAGACGGCCGAGGGCGCGCCATCCGCGGCGTTCAGCGTTCTCCACCGCGGCCGCAACGGGCTCGGCGTGCTCGTGAGCCACTACGCTGCGCCGAAAATCGAGGAAAAAAACATAAAAAGCGTCACCGGCGCAGGCGACAGTCTCGCGGGCTACCTGCTGGCAAAGCTCGCGCAGACTCGCGGGCTGCCCTTTGCCGCCGGCCGCGACGCTCTCGTGCACGGCGCCCAGCGCGCCGCCGTCGCAAGCTTGCACACCCCCAACGCCGTAAACTACACAGCCCTGGCGAAGCTCGATTACGTAAGCACAGAGTAAAGAGTGGATATTTGGCTCGTATTTTCGCTAGCAGAAAATCAGACCCAGATGAGCATTCCCGAGGGCCGTGCAGAGACGTTGACGAGCGAGCAGGCGCAGGTGCTGAAGACCATCTGGAAGCACTACCTGCAGGCGAACGGGTACACGGTGGGCGACGAGACGGCCAAGAGCAGCAGGCACAACACGCTGAGCTCGGTGAAGTCGAGCGAGAGCATCAAGAAGAGCAGGAAAAAGGGCCTGCTGGGGCGGTTTCGCCGCAGCCACAGCCACAAGAAGGCCGAGGAGGAGCTCAGCTCGCACCTGAGCCACGATCTGGGTGGACGGGTGCACGAGGCGTTCCGGCCGCTGGACGCAGAGACGCGCAACGCGTTCTGGGACTTTCTGCGCCACGACACGCCGGACAACCTGCTGCTGCGGTTTGTGCGTGCGCGGAAGTGGGACGTGGACAAGTCTTTGGCGATGATCGCCAACACGATGGACTGGCGCAGGAACCAGTTTGCTGTGGAGCGGGTGTTCCGCGAGGGCGAGCTGGGGATGCTGGAGGCGGGCAAGCAGGGCGTGCTGAAGCAGTTTGCGACAGGCAAGTGTGTGATCCGCGGCCAGGACAAAAAGGGCCGGCCGATCGTGATTATTCGGCCTCGCTACCACTTTCCGAGCGACCAGACCGAGGAGGAGGTGGAGCTGTTCACGATTCTGGTGATCGAGTACGCGCGGCTGCTGATCAACGAGCCCGTCGACTCGTGCTCGCTGATTTTCGACCTGACCGGGTTCAGCATGAGCAACATGGACTACACCTCGGTAAAGTTCATCATCAAGGCGTTCGAGGCGCACTATCCGGAGTCTCTGGGCGTGCTGTTCATCCACAGCGCTCCGTGGATTTTTGGAGGCATCTGGAACATAGTCAAGAACTGGCTGGACCCGGTGGTTGCGTCGAAAATCCAGTTCACCAAAAAAACCGACGACCTGCTTGCCGTCATTGACAAGGCGCACGTTCCGAAGGATCTGGGCGGCGACGACGAGTACGAGTGGAAGTATCTGGAGCCGACCAAAGAGGCCAATGGCAAGCTGCACACGGACGAGAAGGAGAAAGAGGCGCTGGAGCACGAAAGACACAAGCTGGTGGAACAGTTTATAAATAAAACCATCGAGTGGATCGAGTGCGCCGACCAAGACAGAGACCACCACCTCATGGCCGACAGACTGGCCCTGGGCAGACAGTTGGCGGAAAACTACAAGAGACTGGACGGGTACATCCGCAACCGGGGAATATACGACCGTCTGGGCTACATAAAATTTGAATGATGGATATATATATTTTGTATATTTTGCTGAGGCGCGTTTTTCTACCAATGGGCAGACCCGTCGCCAGAACCCTTGGTCCATTGGCCGGCCAGGCCGACCGTTTCGGAGGACGAAGATGGCGCCGGCTTCTCCTTGTAGCTCAGGATTCTTCTTCCCCAGTTGCCGGCAGCAGCGTTGCCGGTCTCGTCTCTGCACTGCTTGAGGAACGGCAGCAGGGCGGTGCCTCCCGTTCCGCGAATGTCCTTTTTCGGCGTCTTGGCCTTTGCGAGGCCGGCACGCAGCGTGCTGGTGGTCTGGGAGCCGATGCTGCGCGCTTTTTGCGACTGGATCACGATGTAGCGGGTCACGATCTGGATGTGCTTGTCTCTGAAACACTTGAGCATTGCGACGCACGCGTCGTACGACAGAACAAGCTCAGAGTTCTCGTGCGCGTGTCTGGCCACGTAGTCGCTCAGAATGTTGATTTTGCCAAGATGGGCCAGGAAGTCGGCGTGCTTGCCCGGCATGTACCGTCTCATGTCTGCCATGAACGGGTTTTCGCCTGCCGAGGGGGCCTGCTCGCCCGTCGACCGGTGCTCGACGTTCAGCAGCAGGTCGAGCGCCTGGATCAACGACGACTGCGCGTTCGAGCCGCCGCTGTACTCGCGCGGAACGGCCTCGTTGCCGTAGTAGACACCGTTCTCGAGCCCGGCGTCCTTCATGTTTTTCCAGCCGGCCAGGTACGGCCGCAGACGGAAGTAGAACACGTGCGGGTCGCACATTTCCTCCATGCGCATCAGCACAGAGCCGAGGTAGTCGATCTGCTCGGCTAGCCGCTGCAGACACTGCACGACCCGGTCCGAAGAGCCCTCTCTGGCGTATTTGATGGCGTCGAGCCCTGTGGTCAAGCACGAAGCTCCCTTGTACTCGAAGTACACACTCACCAGGTAGAACCAGCTCTCGTCGAAGGACCCAGTAAACGTGGAGATGGTCTGTATGTTGTCGAGGAAATTGGTGTCGGAGTCGGGCAAAAGGTAGCGGAAGTTCCACAGACACAGCCCTGCGTAGGTGGCGACGGGCGGCAGGCGCAGATGCTCGGAAACGGCGATCCACGGCCTGGCCAGCTGTTCGGGAAGACGGTTTGTGGGCTCGGCGACTCCCCAGATGTATGCGTGGGCAAGAAAGCCCAGGACCGAGTATGCTCGCCGGAACTCGGCCTCGGACTGCAGCTGCGACGTCGACAGCAGCGGCAGGGCGTCCACGACGGCGCGAATCCGCTTTGTTAACAGCAGGCCCGGTAAGGCCCGCACAAGACGTTCCCACGGCTCGTAGTAGGGACCCAGCGACTCCAGCGGCATCTCCTCCGGCAGGAAGCCGGTCTTCTCGGAAACGTCGTACTGGGCCAGGTCCGGCAATGGATAGGTGTAGGACATAGAAGGGCAGAAGAAAGGAATAAAATGTTTTTTTTTCCCTTTTTTTTTCCACCTCCAGTTTCCTTGTGGAGGAGTCAGCCGATTTCTGCAATGTCCGGCACACCCACTAAAATGCGAAAGTAGTACGGCTGTATCACGCAGTGGATCTGGTAAGGAGCCAGGACCTAAGATTCACTCCGACCCCATAGCCGGATCCCACTCTCCTCTCCCCTTTTCGGCCCACGCTCCCGACCCCGCCACCGTTTTCTCCGCTTATGTCAGCCCCAGACCATTTTTTTTTTTATTTATTTATCATGACCTCCGACTCAGAAACAGCGGCCACCGACCCGACAGAGGCGCTTCGGCTGATCCCGCCAGAGCCCACGACAGACGAGCAGTTCAGCATCGCGCAGGTCGCGGCCGGGTGCAAGGTGTATGCTTTCAAGGACGGCGAGTGGCGGCTGGCAGAGATTCTTGCCCTCCAGCGCAAGAAGGGCAAGCCCGTGTACTACGTGCACTATGCGGAGTTCAACAAGCGGCTGGACGAGTGGATCGATGAGACAAAGATCGACACGCACCGCCCGATGTACCCTCCGAAGCCGCAGAAGGACAAGAAGGACAAGAAGCAGACCCGCAAGAAAGTCGTCAAGAAGACGGCGCCCAAGTCCGAGACCCCGGAGCCGCAGCGCGCAAAGAGCGAGCCCAACGAGGACGAGATGGACCTGGACAACCTGAACGTGCAGGGGCTGGTGAAGGAAGGCGAGGAGCTGAGCCGCGAGGACGAGATCGAGCGACTGAGAACGAGCGGGTCGATGGCACAGACGTCGACGAGCGAGCTGGCGAAAATCAGGAACTTCAGCAAGGTGATCATCGGCAACCACGAGGTCGAGCCGTGGTATTTTTCGCCGTACCCGGTCGAGCTCACCGAGGAAGAGTGTCTGTATATTTGTGACTTTTCGCTGTGCTACTTTGGGTCGCGCAAACAGTTCGAGCGGTTTCGCGCAAAGTGCACCCTGAGCCACCCGCCGGGCAACGAGATCTACCGCGACGATTACGTCTCGTTTTTCGAGATCGACGGCCGCAAGCAGCGCACCTGGTGCAGAAACTTGTGTTTGTTGTCGAAGCTGTTTCTGGACCACAAGACGCTCTACTACGACGTCGACCCGTTCCTGTTCTACTGCATGACCAGAAGAGACGACAAGGGCCACCATCTGGTGGGGTATTTCTCGAAAGAGAAGGAGAGCGCTGATAATTACAACGTTGCGTGCATCTTGACACTGCCGCAGTACCAGAGACATGGATACGGTAAACTGCTGATCCAGTTCTCGTACGAGCTGTCGAAAATCGAGGGCAAGGTCGGCTCGCCCGAAAAACCGCTTTCTGACCTAGGGCTGCTGTCCTACAGAGCGTACTGGGCAGAAACCATCTGTGCTCTGCTGGTGGAGAACGGAACCACCGACATCAGCATCGACGAGATTTCGCAGCTCACGTCCATGACCACGACAGACATCTTGCACACGCTCCAGACGCTCAACATGCTGCGGTACTACAAGGGCCAGCATATCATCGTGCTCACCAACCAGATTCTTGAAAACTATGAGAAATTGCAGCGCAAAAAAAAGCACAAGCTGGACCCGTCGAAATTGATCTGGAAACCGCCCGTGTTCACGGCGTCGCAGCTGCGGTTCGGGTGGTGATCAGTCCCAGGGTACCGTGTGTTTTGAAAGCGCGCTCGCGGCCGCCGCGCTCGGGACTTTAATTCCGCAGCAATCGCCCCACGTCGAGTGGTCGTGGCCGGCGTGCTCGTCGTCGTCGTCGTCTGCGTGTTCTGAAACGCCGTCGGGACACTTCAGAATGCTGCCAAACAGGAAATGCTGCACCACGGGCAGCTTGCCTAGCACCTCGGCCTTGTACATCTTTATCATGCCCTCCTCGATCTTCGCCCACGACTTCACACCGCTGATGTCGTCCAGCATTGGCGAATGCCATCTGAGCGACTCTGCGCCGGTTTTCACCTGGTTTATAAATGCAATGCACCCAAAGTATAGGTATTTGTCCTTGAACTCGTCGACGTAGTCTTTCTGGTGGATCGTGAGCGGCCGTGGACGCGAGAACGGCGCCAGCTGCGCGGCGCCAAACAGGAACGGCAGAAAATGGTAATCGTCCAGCCCCCATACGCCGTGCGACCCTGCCGGCTCGAGCCAGTAGAGCAGTTGCAGACGGCGCATCAGTTGGAGATACCTGTTGAATATGCGAAGAACGACCCATTTGAAGTCTGCGGGCTGGAAAAAGCCTAGTTTGTACAGACACAGCAGAAAGCACGCGAAATTCAGCTCGTGGCCAGACCCGTAATCGATCCGCGTGCGATCGCCAAACGAGTTCAACAGATAGCTTCCGAGCTCCTCGGCGTGCTCCTCGCCAGCACAGCCTTGAACGAGGCCGCTGGCCTTGGTGGCCAGCTCGTCGTAGAAATCGCGGAACTCGGGCTTGCCAAACCGGCTGCTCGTGTCCTTCACGACGGGGTGGTTGTCGACAATGCTGTTGATTTTCTCCAGAAGCTGTAGAACCTTGCCGATGTTGTCTCCCAGAGAGTTGTCTGTGTATCCGAGTTCCAGGCCGTGCACAGACTTGGCGAGGTCCACGACAAACTGCACCATGTCGCTGTACACGGCGCTGTGTTGGAACTTGGCCAGGTCCTCGGGCGTTCTCAGTCGTTTTGTGGGGACAACCATAACAATTGGCAAATTTAATTATTTCTCTTTCTCGGGCTGTGCTGCTGATTACTTGCTAACACCTGTTGACGGATGTACCTGAGCGAGCGGATCTGATTTTTCGTGAGCACTATTTTCAGGAACGTTTTTGTGCTGGTGCGAAGCCAGCTGTCTGTCCGCTGTGCCTTTTGTAGCTCGCTGACCTGCAGCTGTAGTCTCTGGATGTGCGCGTTGCTCTCGCGCAGTTTGAGCCCGAGCTCCTGCTGAAGCCGTCCAACGCTGAACTCCAGCGACCGCTCCTGCAGCGCGCGGTTGTGCTGTCTGCGCATGAGCCCCAGCTTCAGGCTGCTGAGCTCGGCCTCCATGTCCTCTAGCCGGTCCTCCATCGCAGACGACACCTCCTGCCGTGCCATCTCGGACGGATCAACGTTCACGGCCCAAACCACCGCAAACGGCAGCAGAAAATACAAAAACCGCGTCTCGTTGCACACCAGCGCACTCACCACCAGAATGAGCATAATAATGTGCACAATACCCAGCCTGACGGCGCCGAAAACATGGCCGATCTTGGCGAAAACAAGCCCTATTTTCTGGCCCATCCGCTGCGGGTCCAGCGGCAGGCTGCTGTAGTACAGATATGCCAGACTGCCAATGGCGCACAAAACAAGGAGGTTGACGCTGAAGGGGTTGCTCACAGAGACCCGGAGATGGCTCTTGAGCGCGAACGAGATCAGAACCGAGGTGAGCAGAAGTAGCAGGTTCAGCGCGGCGCGGTCCTGCCGTCGTGGCGGGCGCACGCGCACGGCAATTTCGTCCACACTGCTGCTGAGCGACATGGAGAGAGCCATTTGGGGATGTGCCCAAAATGAGGGAGACGTCCTACGTGGTCACGTGACGTGCTCCCGGGCTCGCGTGCCCTCGCCCTATAATGAAAAATTTTGTAGGCAATTTTATTATTATTCAAGATGGTTTTAGTTCAGGACCTGCTGCACCCAAGTGCCGCCTCTGAGGCCAAGAAACACAAGCTCAAGACCCTCGTGCAAGAGCCTAGATCATTTTTCATGGACGTCAAGTGTCCGGGATGTTTGCAAATCACCACCGTGTTCTCCCACGCCCAAACTGCCGTGACCTGCGATTCGTGCACCACTGTTCTCTGTACGCCAACTGGAGGTAAGGCCAAGCTCTCTGAGGGATGTGCATTCAGAAGAAAGTAAGCAAAGCATAATAATCAGGGGGAGATGTGGATGTCTATAGCTTGAAGCAATGGAATACGATTAAGAACGCGGCGGCCGCAGTGCACAGACAAGCTACGACAGAACGTGCATGCGGTAGTGCCTAGCGGTAGCGTAGTTGAAGCGTAGCTGCTCGGTCGGGGCTTACGTAAGCCAGGTGTTGGGATCGAGAAGGGTGTATTCAGGGGTGTAGCAGAGGTGTGTTGTGTGGGATCCTTGTACATGCGCTCCTAAATCCTCCCCCCACGCTAGACGACGGGTTATGTGAATTTTTCTCCCGCGAAATTGTTCATGTCTGACATTTTTGTCGTTCTGGACAACCCCGTCTCCCTCACCCCCGTGGCGACGCCACGCGTGCTCACCGTGGCTGGGTCAGACCCAAGCGGAGGCGCAGGCATCGAGGCCGATCTCAAGACAATAACCAGTTATGGGTGTTATGGCCTGACGTGCATCGACGTGCTCACCGTGCAGAACACCTTGGGTGTTTCTGGCAAGCTGGAGACGGCAGCGGCGGTTGTGCAAGGCATTCTAGACGCTGATTTCGCCGACGGTGGAGTTGATTGCGTCAAGATCGGAGTTATTACCAGACCGGTGCTCACCGCGCTAGTGCCCTTTCTGGAGACCTTCCGGCCGCCATTGGTGGTCGACACAGTTATAAGTTCAACCTCCGGCTTCACGCTGGCGAAGCAGACACTCGTGAGGGACTGCATTGCGCGGCTGTACCGCTATGCCACCGTTATCACGCCGAACTGGGACGAAGCGAAAATTATATACAGTCTGCTGTTCCCGGACAGCGATGTGGGGGAACCCTCAATAGCCGGATGCGAGGATCTGGCACGCAAGCTCGCGAGCGCCGTTGGGTGTCGCGCTGTGCTGGTAAAGGGAGGCCATGTCCCCGCGCAGGGGGCCGTCACAGATGTGTTGTACGACCGCGCGTGCGACGAGGTGGTGCACTACAGACATCCTAAAATTGTCAATGCAAAAAATACACACGGGACCGGGTGCACGTTGAGCTCGGCGATCGCGAGCGGACTTGCGTGCGGCCTGGACCTGCGCACGGCCGTGGAAAAGGCCACAGTGTACGTCCACGACGCGATCAGGCTCGCCGACTCGACGATCGGCGCTGGCAACGGTCCGCTAAATCATGTCTATAGAATGTCATCATGCTAATTATGTCTCTTTGGAAGCCTGTTGAGCGTGTTTTTCAAGATTTCCTTGGTCTTGAACAGGTTGGTGACACGGATCCGCTCGTTGTTGAGATGCGCGTTGTCGCTGGCCTGGCCAGTGGGCAGGTGCACGGCCTCGCAGCCAAACGTTTTCTCCAGGAACCTGATTGACGGGATCGAGCCGCCCTCTCTGATCAGCAGCGGCTCGACCCCCCACTCTTGCTCGATGTTCTTGAGCAGGATCTTGTTGGCGGCGTTGTTGACGTCGGCGAGCCACGGCTCGGCCTCGTGGATCACACGCACGGTGAGATGGTTTTCCGTGTGCAAGAGCGCAAACTTCTCCTCCAAATAACTGATCAGCGAGCTCTTGATCTGCTGCAGGTCCTGGTCCGGCACTATGCGGATAGACAGCGACGCAGACGCCGTTTGCGGGATCACGGTCGAGTTGTTGGGCCCAGACACGCTCACGTTGTGGATCGTGAGCGACGGTAGCCGCCACTTGGCCATGAGCTCGTCGCTGCGCAGCTTGCTGATCTTGCTGGTGATTTTCTCATACGACTCGAGCTCGTGCTGCGTAACTTTTCGGACCGGCGTGTAGAAGTCTGGCAGGTTCACCTTGCCGTCGTCAGCGTTGAGTTTGGAGAGCAGGTTGATCAGGTCGATCGTCGGCTCCCGCGAGATGCCGCCGTCCACGCCAGAGTGTCTGTCCGGCTTGTCCGAGCGCACCTCCACGGTGGCAGAGATAACCCCACGCAACCCATAGTTGAGACAGGGCACCGTGTCGTCGAGCCAGTACGAGTTGCTCAGGAAAACCCAGTCAATCTCGCCAAACAGCGACCGGTTCTCCTGCACCACCGCCTGGAACCCAAACGAGCCCGACTCCTCCTCACCCTCCAGCAAAATCACCACGTCTGCCTCCAGCTCCCGTTTCTGGTACAGCTCTGCCACCGCGTACATCGCCGCCAGCAGCGGGCCCTTGTTGTCGCTGACGCCCCGTGCGTACAGGTAGCCGTTCTGGGCCGTCAGGCGGAACGGCTCCGTGCTCCAGGAGTCAGTGCTGCTCACGTCGATCACGTCGTAATGGCCGTACCACAGAATTCGAACGGGCTTGTCCGTTGGCCGATTCGCCTTGAACACCGCATACACCACCGGGTTGGCGTTTGGCACCGGCAGCAGCGACACGTGCGACGCGCCGAGGTTGCGCAGCAGCGTGCGCAGGAAGTTTGCGCACCGCCGCGACTGGTCAATGTACAGCGCCGGCAGCTTCGACACGGTTCTGTACTCGACTAGCTTTGCCAGCACCTCGAGCATGCGGTCGGTCGACGTCAAATCGACGGGCCGCTGCTCGGCCTCGGCCTTGTCCAGCACAGAGATGTCCCACAGCGCCACCGAGTGGTCTGTGCCTGCTGTAATGAGGTACGGGTCGTTTTTCAGCTTCACCACCTTGACGGCGTGGCAGCAGCCGTTGTGGTCGATCCAGTTCGACCGGATCTCCCCGCGCGACTTCCACTTGGTCACCCCCGCGTTAGTGCCTTTAAACAGACAGTCCCCGTACACCGCCAGCGACACAATGTCTCCCTCCTCGCTCTCGTATGACTTGATCTGCTGCAACGTGGACAAGTCCCACACGTTTACATGGCCGTGCGCGAGACCGCAGTAGAGGTACGTGCTGCCCTTGTTGCGCGCGAACGAGAGCACCGACTCGTGGTTTTCCAGCGACCACAGTAGCTCAATCCCCGATTTCAGGCCCCATATGTTGACCACGCCGTCGCCGCCGCCGGTGATGAGAAATTCCGTGTAGTCGCCGTGCTCGGCGATACCGTCCTGAAGGGTGAACATCTCCATGCAGTATATATAGCCGTTGTGGGCGTAGGGGATGATGTTCTGCGACGGCACCTCTATCAGCGTGCCGAGCCCTTGCTGGTTCGTGGCGTCGTCTTCTACGGACGCCGGGCGGCCCGCCGAGTCGAAAAACCTGTCGTACCGCCGGAACGGCATCTGGTGCGGGTCCCGCACGTGCGACTCCAGACATATCTGGACATACGACAGGGAGGCGTTCTGTGCGCCAAACATGACGGTTTTGCGCGACTCGGACCACGCAATGGAGAAGATATCCCCCACATCGATCAGCGAGTACACCGTGTACGTTCCTTTGAGCTCGCCGCGCGGACTTATGTCCCAAATGCGGACAAGCGAGTCTGTTCCGCCGCTAAACAGTCTTGTCTCACAGTCGCTCACCAAAAGACAAAGCACAGACCCAGAGTGCGCCTCGTACTCCCTCACGCGCTGGAAAGTGCGCAGGTCGTATACGAGGATGCGCGAGTCCTGGGTTCCGCAGAAAAGCAGGTGATTTTTCGGCGAACAAGCGACGCAGACGATGGAGCTGTCGTTGCTCCATTTGTGCACGAGCGACGGGTCGCCCGTGCCGGGGGATTCCTCGTACACGGAGACCGAGTCCGGGGTTTGCGACCCGGATCGCCAGGTGTTGCTCTGCGAGAGCAGCGGCAGCGATCTGTCGTGCGGTGGGAACATGAACAAATTAAATAAAAATAAAATAAAATAAAATAAAAAAATAAGAATCATAAATAGTACATTGGATTGAGAAAAAAATTGCCCCCACTCAGATTTGAACTGAGGATCTCCACATTACTAGTGTGGCGCCTTACCAACTTGGCCATAAGGGCTTGAGCTGCCAGAATTCGGCAGACAGGAAACTTACGGTGCACCCGGCGGCCGCTACGTCGTTTATTAAGCACTATCACTCCCAACATCCTTGCTTCTGTCCTCGGCATGGATCCACATCTTCATGAACCGGGTCAGGAAGCCCGCACACAGCACCTGCTCGCTCTGGTACAGCACCAGCGGCACCAGCAGCTGTCCCAGGTACTCGTTCCTGTCGCCGTACTGTGCCGACACCAGCGACACCCCCAGTGCGGCCGTTTTCGCCGCGCCGCACAGCATCACGGCCACTGTGTCTGGACGGTCGTAGTAGAACGGAGCCACAGTTTTGTGGAACCAGGCATACGCACCCCGTCCTGCAGGCTCGGGCATTTTTTTCAAGAAAATTGGCCGCGACACAGCAAAGCAGATCACCGTGTACAGCATGTAGATCCCGACGTTGAAAAAACACACCAGAATGATCGACGCGTGGCTCACGTCCGTGAACGCGTGCTGGTAGAACGCCGTTGAAAACGACGAAAACATCACCAGCAGCAGCATAAACGAGCCCACCTTGTTGAACCGGAACGTGGTGAGAAACCACTTGGTCTGTTTCGGGAACAGGTTCTGCACCACCTGTCCCACAAACGTCGGCACAAACACGCTGCACCCGATCTGCTGCATCACGTCTCTGTACACCCGCGTAATCGATGAGCCGTTTGCCGGGTTGCCGAATTCCCACGCTCCTCTGAAGAACATCTGGCACAGCGCCGGCGTAATAAAGGCTCCCAGCATGTTGCCGATGAACACCTCGCACAGCGTCAGGAGCTCGTTTCCGTCGGCCTGCCGCGTCATCACGACGTTCGATGCCACCGTCGTCGGACAGCACGCCGTCACGATCAGTCCCACAAGCAGCCAGTCGTCGATCTGGGGATTGTGGGCCGCCTTAATAGCACAGCAGAATCCGTACATTATGGCCGGCGTGACGAGGAATTGCAGCACCAGCACGACCGTGTGCGCGCGCCAGTTCGCCATGTTGGCCATCAGCTGCTTTGTGCTCATCGACAGGCCCGACCCCAGGAAAATGACCGCCACGGCGCCGTACCCAATGGTGTACTCTGCGCGGATAAGCCCTCCGTGGCGGGCAAAATTCGGCGCAAACCGCGCGATCACCACGAAGATCGCCAGCCCAATGTAGAACCAGTACGTCTTGGCAAACCACAGCGCCGCCTTCTTGACTTTCTCGAGAAAAGCCATGGTGGATGAAGTCGATAAAAATATTAAAAAAAATGCCCAAAAAAGAAATTAGATAATAATTCCGCTGGTCCTGGATTACGTATCTCTGCGGCTAAACGACTCAATCATGCCGATCTCAGACTCGGCGTACTCCTCCACGTCGACGTCGTCCCCACGCAGCACAGTGTTGCCCTGCACAAGCTGCTTCCTAGGCAGCTTCTTGGCCACCACCACGTCTCTGAACTTGAGCAGCTCCGGGCCCGGGGTGGTGTGCTCGACGAAAAATCTCGTCCCGTTCACAACATCGCCAGAACACTTGTAGATGTGCAGTTTCTTGAGGAACGCGTCGATCGCACGCTGTCCGACCGTCTCGATCTTGGCCCTGTCCACCTTAATCACCAGGTCGTCATAGTCCGGCCGAGTGTACTCCAACGAGACCAGTCCCTCGCCGGCGTCCAGGTACGTTTTGAGGATCGCAAACCGGGCCTGACAGTGCGGCTGGCCCCATTTCTTATTTTCCGGGTCGTAGTATTCCAACGCCAGCAGCCCGGCCCGACACATTGTCAGATACGACACAAATAGCACCTCGTCCTGCTCCTTGGGCTCTTTGAACCCAAACACAGACAACAACGTTCTGTTGGTGAACAGACTCATGGCCACAGACTCTGCGCGGCACTCCTCGAACGCGCCCGACACAGAGCCGAACAGCGACCCCCACGTCTCGCCCTTTTTGTAGTACGTCGACACGGGTTTGCCGTCAAGTCCAAGCGGCGGGTTTTCCACGTCAAAATTGAACTTGCCGTCGTCCGTCTCCATCAGCAGCTTCCCGGTGCCATGGCACAGCAGCTCGTGGATGCCCACCTGCACCTCAAACGCCTCGGCACGGTATTTCTCGTACAGCTGCTGCGTCTGCTCGTCCACAAACGTGACCGGCTCCTTGCCAGACTTGGCACTTAGCACGTTGCCCAACGACACGTTCTTGAACCCGAGGTTGATCCGCACCTTGTCGTAGTTGGGCAGGTTGATGCCTGCGGGCACGCCGCTCGTCGTCATCGACAGGACCTCGAGCGACGTGAAGTCCGGCGGCGTGAACACGTCCTTTTCGTAGTCCTTGCTCCACGGCAGCTCCGCAATGAAGTCCTTGGCCTTGCGCACCAGCTCGCCGAACTTCGCCGTCCGGTCCTTGTTGACCATCGCGACCAGACACTCCCACTCGCCACGCACGTTGGCCGGCTCTCTGTACGTCTCGATGAAGCCGATGTTGGTCTCGACCGCAGGTCCCATGTCCTTGACCCAGTGCACCTGCGACTGGTAGTGCGCGTTCATGGAGCCTGTCTGGAACGACTCGATGTAGTTCTCGAGCATCTTCAGCTGTGTCTCGTTGGCAACGTACTTCTTGGCCTCGACCAGGTTCTCGACGATCTTGGCGAACTCGGCCGAGTGGTCGCCGAATTTGAACTCGATTGTCGCCTGTCTACCGCCTGTCTCAAACTCGATCGTGTCCGGGTAGTAGCCCGTCGAGTTCGAGATGTTGGCCGACGCGACGTGCACGCGGAACAGCGTGTCGTCCATCTTCTCGAGTCGGGTGTTTTCCGGCATGATTCCGTGCGCGGCGAGCGCCGCGTTGACGGCCTCGACCTCCGCCTTTGTCAAGGTGTTCAGATAGTAGCCCGTGACGTGGCCCTCGGCGGGCCAGCCCAACAGCACCCGTTTCGAGTCCAGGGCGTACATATCGTCCTTGACCTGCTCAAACAGCTGCAGACACACCTCGTCGTTGACAAGCTCGACCAGCGTCTCGAAGTCGCCCTTGGCCAGCCGCGGGATGAACTTGACGTCGCCAAACGACTTGTAGTTGCCCAAATTGCCCAGAAACTGCGAGGCGTACTCCAGATACCATTTGACGGTGTCCTTGCCCAGATGCTTTTCGAGGCCCGAATAGTCGGCCTTGACGGCGGCGTGGGTGGCCAGGATCAGGTCGTAGATCTGCTCCGACTCGGGCGAGACAGAGCGCAAAACGGCCCTTGTTCCCCAGTGGCCCGCCTTGGCCATGTAGTGGGCATACAGCTTCTCGTTGCGGGACAGCTGCTGGAAGTAGGTTTTGGCCGAGAGCCGTGCAATTGGCGCGCCGGTGTCGGCGTAGTACGCGGAGGAGCTCACAGAGGACATTTTAGAGGTGGCAAAAATCGGGACTGATTTTGCTCGAAAGAAATATCTGAGCATAAAATACAAAATACGCGAAATAAATAAAAAACACCATGGCCGACAAGATGGAGAACCCCGAGGAGAAAATCCAGGAGGGGCTTTTCGACCGCATCATCAACAACCTGGTAAGTACGAGGAGCAGCAGACTAACCGCAGACACAGCTGAACGTGAACGTGGGCAAGATCAACGCGCAGCTCGTGGAGATCGAGAAACAGAACGAGAAGACGGTGCTTGTGAGCGAGCTGTGGGAGAACTACCGCAAAAATGCAGAGTTCCATCTGGCCAAGACGGGCGAGCTCGAGGGGCCGATCGAGTAGAGATCTGCTCGGTCGCGTCGCATACCTACGTGATTACGGTCCGATTTCGGTCCATGTTCGGTCCCATGTTCGGTCCCATGTTCTGCTTGTCGCTATAGCTGGCCTATTATCTTTAATTTCAGTCGAACTAATCAAACGCTTATCCTATATCGATCAACACACCCTTCTCTGCCTACTCCCTCTGCGTAGGCAGCATGTTGAACCTCTTCTTCAGCGTCACTCTCTGTCTGCTGTATTTGTCGTCTGGCGAGAACCGGGCCGGGTGCGCCGACTTCGTGATCTCGCCCGTCTCCGTCTCCTTCTTCAGCGTGTAAATTCTCTTGCCGTCCGGGCCCAGGGTGTACATCAGATGCATGGCGAAGCTGGTGGAAATAAAAATGAATAAATGAAAAATTTGTTCTGCACAGCCTTCACCTCTTTCTTATGTCCAAAGACGTGTTTGCGGATTTGCTGAAAAACTCCGCCAGATCCAGGCCCGCCGCCAACCGGACGCCGCTGGCCCAGCAGCAGCCGCCGCCCGCGCCCGCCGCGGCCGCCCTCGACGTGGACTGGCTCGACCAGCTGTCCTCGCGCGCAAGCCCCAGCAGCACGCCCCAGCAGCAGTCTTCCGACGACTTTGAAAAGCTGTTTGACGTCTTCAAGGCGCCCGCCGCGCCTGCCCCAGCACCCGAGCCCGCCAGCACGCCTCCGGAGCCACGCCCCGCGCCACCGTCAACGTACGCCCAGTTGCTGGACATGGGCTTTTCCGAGCAGCAGGCCGCAGACGCCGTCCGCAACACAGACACGTTCGACGCGGCGATCGCGTATCTTGTCGACGCCGCGCACCAGCACAGCCGGCCGGCGCGGCACGACACCGCGGCGACAGAGGACCTGGGCGCCCTGGTGAACGATCTGTCGGCAGAGCTCATGTCCAAGGCGTCGTTTCTGCTCAATACGGGCAGAAAAAAGCTGAAGCAGGGCATTGAGATGTACAGGCAGCACGAGCGCAGAAACGAGCCGGCGTGGATGCGCAATCAGGACAGGTACAAAAACGAGGGCTTTTCGGAGGAGGAGGAGATCGAGAGGGTGAGAAAGCTGGAGGAGGAGCGGAGCAGACGCGGGAAGGGCGGCGGAGAGGAGACCAGATTGGCGGGCGAGTCGTCGGGCAAACCGCCGACGGGCCCTGCTCCGCTGCTCGATTTCGGCGACGAGCCGGCTGCCACCTCTGACGGCCCGGTAGAGTCCGCTCCCCCATCCGCTCCCCCATCCATCCCCCCACAGTTCCAGTCTCTCAGACAGCAGGGCAGCGACTACTTCGCCAAGGGCGACTTTGCCGGCGCGCTCGAGACGTACCAGCGGGCCCTGGCGCAGCTGCCCGAAAACCATCTCTGCCGCATCATCGCGTACTCCAACCTGGCGATCGTGTACTCGCGTCTCGGCGACGCCAAGAAGCAGCTGGAGTCCGCGGAGAACGGCGTGGCACAGGCCGCGAGTGCCGCGAGCGACACGAAAATAGACGACAAACCAGTGAAAAGCTATTGGATTAAACTGGTGGCTAAAAAGGCAGAGGCGCTGGAGCATCTCGAGAGGTTCAAGGAGGCGCTCGAGGCCTACAACCTGCTGATCGAGAACGGCGGGTTCTCGAAACCCGCCATGGACGGCAAACGAAGATGTCTGAACGTGCTGCAACCGCGGAAACCGGCGAAAAAGCCAGCCCAGAGCTCCCCGTCCCCGACAGCGCCCTCCGCAACCGTCTCGCGCGTCAAGGAACACCACCGCAAGCAGGAGTCGCTCGAGGACGAGAAGTTCGCGCTCCACGACAAGGTCGAACAGCAGCTGCAGAGCTGGAAGGCCGGCAAGGAGGACAACCTGCGCGCGCTGCTTGCATCCTTGCACCAGATCCTGTGGCCGGAGCTGGGCTGGAAAACCGTCGGCCTGCCCGACCTCGTGCTCGACAAGAAGGTCAAGCTGGTGTACATGAAGGCCGTCGCCAAGACGCACCCGGACAAGATCGCCACCGAGACGTCGACGGAGCGCAAGCTGATCGCCAACGGCGTCTTCATCACCCTGAACCAGGCCTGGGACAGGTTCAAGGAGCAGAATAAATAGACAAGTCATCCCACGATAGCTGCCTCGTAGCTTGTCAGCGCCTGCGCCAGCGACGCGCTCAGCGGGTCCATCAGCAGCCTGCCGAGGTCCCTGTCGGCGCCGTCGAGCTGCGCCAGACTCGACTGGACGCGGTCGACACACTTGGTGATGCTGGTGTAGAGTTTTTTCAGCTGGAGCAGCTCGGCGCGGAAGTTGGGGTTTGTCGACGGCGACGAGGTGCTGATCGAGTTGAAGTGCAGCCAGAAGTGGCGCAGGAACTCGACGCTCGTCGAGTGCGTGAGCCGCAGCGCCTCGAGCCTGTCGCGCGGCAGGTCGACGTCGACGTCCTGTTTCTCGACGCTCGTGTCCAGCTTGATTGTCCACGCCTGGCTCTTGGCGTTCTTCTTGGTGATGTTGAGGATCTCTTTGTACGTGTCGAGCAGCGGCTTTTTGTTGGCGTAGACCGCAGACAGGTCCACCTCCCGGAGCTGTTTTTTGTATGTTTTCATGTACTCGTCGTAGACCGTTGGCGTCGGGTTCAGCTGCGACTGCGAGTTGAACTTTTCGAGCACGTCCGCCGGTAGAATGTTGGACGAGAGGTTCGAGCGCTGCGTGTACTCCAGCTGGTTGTATTCGACGGTGTTTGCGTCGTCCAGGTCTCTCAGTTCAAGCTCCTCCTCGAACTCCCTGTCCATGTCGGCGTCGTCCTTGATGTTCTGCATCATGCGCCTGCTGAGCCGGTTCATCGACCGCATCACGCCCACCAGCTCGTCGTTCTGGTCCTCTTTCATCGTGATGTCCGGCCCGTTGCCCAGCGTCTCCGGATTGTCCTCCTTGTTGGCCTTGATATCTATGAATTTCGACACCTGCTTGCCGTCCTGCGTGAAGAGCCTGATTTTCTTCTTGGCCGCCGTCAGCTGCTCCGAGTTGCGCCGTTTCCGGCTGCCGTCCTCCTCCTTTTTCTCCTCCAGCAGCTTGTCAATGTCGGTGTCCTCCTCCTCGCCGTCGTAGTCCGGGTCGTAGAACAGGTAGTTGTCCAGAGTGATGTCTCCACGGTCGTAAAGGTTGACTTTCTCGCCGCGCAGCTTGCGGAACAGTTTCGACGAGAAAAACCGCGACCAGAACTCGCCCTCGCTCATCTTCGGCACGTTGTCGTCGTACGCCTTGCGCACAATCGGGTACTGCTGGAATATCTCGTGGATTTTCTCTCGCGTGACAGAAACGTTCACCTGGTTCTCGCTCGAGGCCACCGGCTTGATGGTGCTTAGGACGTTGTACGGGCCGCGCTTCTGGTTGTTCTGGATGGCGAACGAGCGCAAAAGATGCACTCTGGTCGACCAGAACTCCTCCGGGTCGAGGCCGGACTTGATCACGGCCTCTGCAAACGTCTTCATCAGCGCAGGGCTTTCTCTGAGCAGTTTCTGCTGGAGCGTCAGGTTTTTCAGCAGTTTCTTCGAGTCCAGCATGTCCGCAAGCACCTCGTCCTGTCTGCCGTCCACGGGAGCCGGCGACCCGGCCGCCGACGGCGTCGAACGCCCAGAAGAGGCCGACGCCGCGAGACTGGCGTCTGCTGCCGCGGCCGACTTGCGACGGGCAATCGTCTGCTGCAGCACAGTCTTGACGTTGTCCATGAAGATGCGGCTGTTGAACGCAAACACCACCTCGGACTTCACCTCTGAGCCGGAACCAATGCCGATCTTCAGCAGCATCTTGGGAGACGTCTTCTTGGAGGCCTGCAGGGTAACGACGGTGTCGAGCAGAATCTCCACGGGGGGCGCCACGCCGGCGTCAATGCACTTCCAGATCAGTCGCGGCGGCGACTCCTCCTCCAGGACGGTGATCATGCCGGCCTTTTTCTTGTAAATGGCCGAGCCTGTGATGGGAGACATGACAAGAAAAAATATATAATTTAATTTAATATAATTTGAATTTTTTTTGATTATTGATCTATTGACTTATTAATGTTGCGACTTTTCTCCAGGCCGGTGGTTGGCCCGAGGGCAGGATTTAGGTACGCTGCAATCCGTCTGGCGCAGACGAAGACGCCCGTTTTCGAAAGCAAACACTTCTCTGTCCGGGATGCGGAGGAAGAAAGACAGAAGCAGAACAGGCCAATGACCGTGAACGACGAGCTTCCCGACCCTTTTGCTGCAAAAAGACGCAACAGAAGGGTGTTCATAGGGTTTTGGATCGTGATGGGCGTGTCGCTGTTTGGGATCTTCAACTACGAAAAGGTGTCGTCGCCAGTGATGAGCGCCACGATGTATTTCCTCAGGAGGTCGGAGAACGCGCGCTCGAAGCTGGGCAAATCCATCACTTTTGAGGGCATTTTCCCGTGGATCAGAGGCGAGCTCAACACCATGAAGGGAAACATCGACGTGCAGGTGCGTGTGGCCGGCGACAAGGCCGGCGCGCTGATGAAGCTGCGGGCCGCAAGAGCATCGCGCGGCGACAGCTTCCAGATCGAGGAGTGGCGGCTCATTTTCGACGACGGCACAACGATGGACCTGTTGCAGGACACGAGTGTCAACCTGGAGTTCTAGCAGCGAAGCCCAAAAATCAGTCTTTTGCAATACTTTACATCATGCCTGTATATATTATGCGTATTTAATCCTGCGTAATATGTCTTCACACCAACGAGCCAGATAGATTTGCGTCCCGCACCGTTTCCTCTCTGAACCGCGACTCGCCGTGCAGCTGTTTCACGTACGTGGACCCCTCCAGAACCGGCACCGAGTCCAGATAGTCGCCGTCGTCCTTTTCCTGTCTCTGCCCGAATTCCTCCTCGGGCACCTCTGCGGCGATCTTGTCCTCTTTCTTCTCTCTCATGTGCTGTCTGATAAGTAGGGCGCACACAAATATAACTACCAGTCCGGCTGGAATGCCCACCGCGCAGCCAACAGCACCGGATGTAGATACCATGGCTATGAGGCAATGCTAAATATAGGAATTATTTGGAGTAAAAAGTCCGTCGCGACGATTATTTTGTCTAAGCCATGAACCCATTGCGTTTTTGTCGGCGATTGTCTGGACTGCGCGCGCGCGAGAGGCTTGTGGAGCCCCGTGCACTCATAAACGGCCAGTTTAGGGAGTTTCCAGGGTTCGACGTGGTCAACCCGGCCAACCAGCAGGTGCTAGCCCAGGTCAGCGACACGCCTCTCGAACAGGTCGAATTTGCCGTTTCCGTTGCTGCGCGGGCGTTTAACGACTTCCGCTCGGCGCCCGTCCACGCACGGGCCCGGATCCTCTCCAATTGGCACAATCTGATGGTGGAGCACGAGCAGGACCTTGCGCGGCTCGTCACGCTTGAAAACGGCAAGCCCCTGGCAGACAGTCTTGGCGAAGTGCGGTACGCGGCCAGTTTTTTCAGGTGGTTCGCTGAGGAGGCTGTGCGTTGCTATGGAGACACCATCCCTTCGGCAACGCCTTCGAACCGCATGTACACACAGTGGCAGCCGGTCGGTCCTGTGGGGATCATCACGCCATGGAACTTCCCGCTTGCCATGATCACACGCAAGCTGGGCGCGGCCTTGGCGGCCGGCTGCACTGCGGTGATTAAACCTGCAGCAGAGACACCATTGTCTGCTATGGCAATGGCAGTGCTTGGTGTGGAGGCCGGTGTGCCCGACGGCGTGGTGAATTTTGTTCCCGTTGCGCATAGCAAGACTGCCAAGGTGGGGGAGCTTTTTTGTAAGTCGCCGAATCTGAAGAAAGTGTCCTTCACCGGCTCTACGCGCGTGGGCAAACTGCTGATGGAGCAGAGTTCTAGCACGCTCAAGCGGCTGTCTATGGAGCTTGGCGGCAACGCGCCATTTGTGGTCTTTGAAGATGCCGATCTGGAGAAGGCCGCTGCCGGTTTTATGAGCTGCAAGTTCCGCTCCTCGGGCCAGACGTGCGTGTGCGCAAACCGCATCTTTGTCCATGATAAAGTTCATGCCGAGTTTGTTGCCATGGTGGCAGATTTGATCGATAAGAACACCCGCATGGGTCCTGGGATCGATCCTTCTGTCACACACGGCCCGCTGATTCACGAAAATGCCCTTGCCAAAGTGGAGACTCTGGTGGAGGATGCCGTGGAGAAAGGGGCCAAAATCGTCCGTGGGGGCCGCAGACGGCCTGATCTGGGGGCTCTATTTTACGATCTCACGTTGCTCGCTGACGTGACGCCGGAGATGGACATTTTCCGCACCGAAGCGTTCGGTCCTGTTGCACCAGTTATACGGTTCTCCACCGAGGAGGAGGTTGTGCAGCAGGCCAATAACACAGAGGTCGGCCTGGCGGCCTATTTCTACACGGAAAACAACAGCAGGGCCTGGAGAGTGGCCGAGAAGCTGCAGGCCGGAATGGTGGGCGTCAACACGGGGCTTATCTCGGAAGCTGCGCTGCCGTTTGGCGGTGTGGGAGAAAGCGGCTTTGGCAGAGAGGGCAGCAAGTACGGACTTGCCGAGTACTCTGAGCTCAAGACAGTTGTTGTAGGTATTTAAGGTATTTATGTCTTATTTCAGTTTATTTATTCTATCGTCTAGTTGATAGATGAGAGCCCCCACAGACGCGGTGAGCATGCCCAGATAACCCAATGCTCCCAAGTTATGGCTGAAAAACACCAGAGAGATAACGAACGAGGCGAATCTGCGCAGAAGCAGTACAACACCGAGCGTAAGCGGGTCAGTTTTCTGGGCCAGCATGTTGACTCCGGTGACACAGACGAGCTGCGTGCCGGTATTGAGCATTGCAAACCGCCAAAATTCAGAAGAACGTCCATACAGTTGTAGCTCGGCAACTATGCCGTTGCTAATCAGCAGCAGAGACGGCAGGCCGTAGAAGTGGGTGTAGAAAAGGGTCTGGATCCAGTTGAGTTTCTGCGTTAGCATGATTTTGTTGTTCCAGAACGAGGTAACAACTCCTAGTAGCGTCGACGCAAACACGAGCAGCAGGCCTGCAAGGGTAACGGGGTGGCGGGAGTCACTATTTTCTCCGGAAAGTGTGGTTATAGTTATACCAGCGGACAAAATGGTAGCACCTGCGATCTGGTAGATAGAGTAGCGTCTGCCAAAAAATTGCGACCCAATGATCACGGTCAACGGTGTTGACGCCGACCGCATCACTATGTGCACGGGAACAGAGATGCCGTACTTGAACGCCAGGTTATTCGCGATAGCACACAGGAAAAAGAGCGAGGTGGTCAAAAAATATTGGAACGGAGGACGTTTGTCCTTATTTCGGGGCAGAAAAGGCGCCACGGCGAGCGAGATGAACAGGTACTGGCACGCAGTTATGAGGTTCGATGGCACGGGTTTCAGCTGAGAAATCAGCTCCATGGAGATCACATTGGTGCAGCACCCAGAAAAGGTGAGCAGCCCCGGAAAAAGCATAACTTTGAAAATAGATTAGTTATTTTTTTATGTCGGACGAGACATTACCGTCGCTGGAGGAGTTCAAGCTGCACAATCTCCTGAAAGCGATCCCCGAGGCGCAGCGGGATTTGACGCAGGCCATACTGCGGGTAAGCAAGTGCTACACGAAGGACCTCGACACGCAATGCGAGGAGATTATTAATATAGAGAAGGAAGAGGTGATGGACAGATTGGACCGTGTGCAGGGCAGTTATGAGAGCATCAAGGCTGTCGATAGGACGAGATACATGGACCAGATAAAACGCCTGGAATCTGAGATGGGCGACGTTGCGCAGCAGTTTGCCTCCTCGCAAGAGCGTATCGACCGTCTCGTGACGAAAATCAAGCGAGTAGAAAAGATGATGCAATTGAAAGACCGGCTATTCGACCCGAAAACGTTCCATTATGACCATTACAGAGAGTTATACCAATACGGCATGCGCAAGGACGCAAAAGAAAAAAGCCCGCTGAAAGAGCAGCAGTTTCTAAGTCTCGAGCAGGAGATCGGGGAGCTCCACAGACAGCGGTCCACCAGCATAACGCGAATCCATAACCCGACCCACCTGCTGGTCCACGAGGAGCCAGTCACACAGATCTCGCAAACTGTCGCCACCGCGACGTCGCCGCAACTAGACCACGATGCGTCCACCACGTTGCGTGGGTACGTTAAGTAGTTTTTATCCATCCCAACTGTCGCGCCATTTTCTCAAATATACCGCTCAGCGTACTCTCACCGTACAGCGTAATCAAGTCTCCGCGCTCCTTCCACTCGTTCTGTCTTTCTATAAGCTCGTTGAACGTGGGGTCGATCGGAACACTCCCCAAAAACGGCAGATCCAAACTCTTCGCCAACGCCTCACCCCCACCCGAGCTGAAAATGTTTGTGCACTCCGCGCAATGCGGGCACACAAACCCAGACATGTTCTCCACCAGCCCCAGCACCTTGAAATTCACTTTCTGGCAGAAATTCAGCTCCTTCCTCACGTCGTTGATCGACACCAGCTGCGGCGTCGTCACGACAACCGCGCCGTCCACGTTCGCGCAGTACCTCAGCTCCTCCGCAATGGCAATGTGCTCGTCAGAGGTGCCTGGAGGCGTGTCTACCAGCAGGTAGTCCAGATGCTCCCACTGAACGTCCTTGATAAACTGGCGGATCATGCCGGTTTTTTTCGGTCCCCTCCACACAACGCTGTTGCCCCTGTCGCCCAGCAGGAATCCGAGCGACATCACAGCCAGCCTCTTGGAGTCGTCGTAGTACACGGGGACCCAGCCCTTCGACGACTGGTGGATTTTGCCCTCCTCTATGCCAAACATCCGCGGCATCGACGGGCCTGTCAGGTCGATGTCCAGCACGCCGACCTTGTAGCCCTGGCGGACGAGCGTGAGCGCCAGCTGCGTGGTCACGGACGACTTCCCCACGCCGCCTTTGCCCGACAGCACCAGCACGATGTGGTCGATGTTGTCCAGCATGAATAAAATGAAATAATTATTGATTTATTACACAGCCTTGCGCCCGGTCAGTTTTCCCAGATACGCCGATAGTAATTCAGCCAATTGAGGCCCAGCACCTTGCGCATTCGGTCGGCCGTCCAGCCGCGTCTGGCCATGGCGACGGCCAGCTCCTCGCGGTCGGCGAGCTTGCCCAGCGGCTTGACGACCGGAGCGCTGCCCCACTCGGTCATCTTGCGCGCGTAGCCCTTGTCCTTGTTGCACCACTCCAGGAACGGAGACGGCCGGGCGTGGCCCTCCGACGCGTCGGACCCGATCCCAACAAGATCTTCTCCCACAAGGTCGATGAAATATTCCAGCACCTCCACGTAGTCGTCGATCGTGCTGTCGTTGCCCTTCTTCATGTGGGGGCCGAAGTTGGACGCAGCAACCATGCCGCCCTTGGCCCCCAGCGCCCGGATCTCCTCGTCGGTCTTGTTCCGGCCAGACTCCTTCATTCCGGACGGCAGCACATGCGAGAAGCACGGCGGCTTGCGCGCATACTCGATCGTGTCCATCGTCGTCTGGTGCCCGACGTGCGACAGATCGCACACGATCCCCAGATCCGCCATGTGGTCCACCACCTCTCTGCCGAATCCGGTCAGCCCGGAGTCGCGCAGCTCCGTGTAGCCCGCACCGGAGTAGTTCTGCGTGTTGTAGGTGAGCTGCATCTGGCGGACATTGAGGTCTCGGAAAACACGCAGATAGTCCAGCTGGTCCTCGATGCCGGAGGTGTTCTGGAAATTGAGGATTACGCCTGTCTTGTTGAGTTTCTTGGCAGTGTGGATGTCCTCAATGCTGGTGATCTCCATGATAAGGTCGCTGTACTCCTCGTACCATTTTTTCCATTGAACAATATTGGCAATGGTGCCTTTGAAGTCCTCCCAGAGGCCGCAGGTGCACGAGACGACGGTGATGCCGCCCTTGCGCCAGGCCTGAAAGATCTCTGGTCCCCAGTTGGAGATGTTGAGCGAGTCGATGTGGATGGACTCGCGGTACAATTGGCGGGCTTCGTCTTCGGAGAGCATAATCGGGGAAGAAAAAGTTTGTTTAGTAATTTTCTTGCATGGGCGGAGTTTTGCTGCAGGAAAACTCCGCTGTGGAGGTGTGGCTTCGATAACGATAGATAAAGTCCAGCTAGACGGCCAGGGCCCCTGGAGACACCAGCGCAAGCTCAGAGACACCGGTCGATGGTCTTTACCCACCATATTTGTTTGCTGCGCGCTCGCGTGATTTTACCCACTCTGCGTCTCCTGATGATCTTTTCCAATCTGTATCAAATTGAGGCAGCCTGCATATCTTATTGTCCGAAATTTGCGTGTATCGTAGCCCAAATAGTTAAAAAAGTTACTATATAACAGCACCCTTTCTCTCTCGGACCCACCACCATGTCTGTTTCCGCGTTCTGGCACCGCCACAAGGGCAAGCTCTGGGATACCCTCGACAAATCTCCCAAGGAGAGATACATGTACTTCAAAATTGATTTCTGGATCCTGACGTACGCATGCGTGGGGTATTTCTTGAAGACCTTGGACCAGACGAACCTGTCCAACGCTTATGCGTCGGGCATGAAGGAAGACTATGGTTTCCATGGCAACCAGTATAACATGGCCAGCAGCACGCTGTTCAACATCGGCTACATTGTGGGCCAGATCCCCAGCCAGATGGTCCTCACCAAGGTCCGTCCGTCAATTTGGTTGCCCACAATGGAGCTCCTGTGGGGGATCTGCTGCATGTGTCTAGCTGCAACAAGCAAGTCGCAGGCGGGTGTCAAGCAGGTGTATGCATTGCGGTTTCTGATTGGCCTTTTCGAAAGTACGAGTTATTGCGGTCTCATTGGACTTCTCGGCCAGTGGTACACTCCGTCGCAGCTCGGCAAGCGTGCGGGCATTTTCCAGATCTCGTCCTCGCTCTCCAACATGTTCTCCGGTTATCTTCAGAGCGGACTGCACAGCGGCATGAACGGCGTGCATGGCCTCGCCTCGTACCAGTGGCTTTTTATTTTTGACGGAATCATCACAATCCCGGTGGCCATCTACGGCTACTTTGCGATCCCAGACGCTCCACACGATTCCAAGTCGTGGTGGTTGAAAAAAGACGAGAAAGAGCTGGTTATCGCCAACTTGGACGCCGTCAAGCGGCAGCCACGCAAGAAGCTCACGCTCAACTCGATGAAGGCACTGTTTTTCACGTGGCCCGTGTGGTTGTTCTCCACGGCGTTCATCTTTCACGTCGTGGCCATCAAGCTGTACAGCTACATGAATCTGTGGCTCAAGTCGGAGCACTACTCGGTGTCACACATCAACACATACCCGACAGCCGGTTATGCGGTGCAGATTGTGTGCACCATTTTCATGACGTGGACGTCCGACATCATCGGCAAGAGATGGCCAATGATTGTGGTTTTCTGCACGGTCTCGGTTATAGGGTGCATAATCCTCACCATCTGGCCTACACATAACCACGTCGCCATGTTTGTGGGCTGGTACCTGCTCTTTGCGGAGACAGGTTGCGGCGTGCTGTACATGTCGTGGATCAACGAGACCATGAGCCACTCGGCCGAGCAGCGGTTCGTCTGCATCGGCGTCGTCGAGGCGCTCGCCTTCACGTTCCAGGCCTGGCTGCCGCTCATCATCTACAACACCACCAACGCACCGTACTTTGGAAGCGGCTACCCGACCGCGCTCGCCTTTTTCGCCGGCGAGGCAGTTATGGGGTGCGCCATTGCGTACCTGCTCTACAAGGAGGCCCACGGCTTCTCGTGGCTGCTTGAGCGCAGAGACAACGACTTCCGCCGGATCACGAAAACAGAGTTTGTCAAGGAAAACGAGGACTCGCATATCGTGCAGACGTACGAGCATGCAGATGACAAGTCTTTGTCTATGTAGCCTGATTAATAACTCCGACTCCTCACACCTAGCTGAAAAAAATAATATTAAAAAGATCGCACCACACCCCTATATTTGTAATGAAAATTTGTATTATCGGAGCAGGACCAGCGGGCGTGGCCATGGCTAAGGCTGTAGCCATGGAGCCCCGTAACGACCTGGAAATCCACGTCTACGAGAGAAATGCCTCGGCAGGTGGGCTGTGGAACTACACGGGCAAAGAGAAGGAGAAAGTCTCCTGCACCGTGCCCGCCACAGACCAGCGCCAAGCCCGCGAAAACACCGTCCCCGGCATCCCGTACGTGTCTGCCATGTACGAGCACCTGGAAACCAACATTGTCAAGGACATGATGCGGTACAAAGACGTGCAATTTCCGCCAGAGTGCGAGACGTTCCCGACGAGACAGGAGGTCGCCGAGTACGTCCGCAAATACGCCGCCACGATCCCCGAAAACGTGCGCTTCCACTACAACAGCACCGTCGTCGAGCTCGAGAAGCACGGCTCCTGGCAATTGACGTACAGAGACACCGTTTCCAATGCGCTCTCGACCGAATCGTTTGATTACGTCATCCTCGCCCAAGGACACTTCGACCTGCCCTACATCCCGGAGGTGCGCGGGCTCGCGGAGTGGAACGCCGCGGACCCGGCCAGCATCGTCCACGCCAAGTACTACAACGACGTGGAGCGGTTCGAGAACAAGACCGTGCTGGTGGTTGGGAACTCTGCCTCCGGCATCGACATTGCCACGCAGCTCACCACGTACGCGGGCAGGGTGATAATCTCGGCCGCGTCGCCGTCGCCCGTCGCCGACATCCTCATCGACAACGCTGCGCAGATCGGCAAGGTCGACGAGTACCGCGTCGCTGATCGGTCGGTCGTCACCGTCGACGGCGAGACGGTGTCCGGTGTGGATTACGTAATATTCTGCACGGGGTACCTGTACAGCATCCCGTTTTTGAAGTCGTACACTGAGGGCGAGCATGCGATACTGACGACCGGCGAGCACGTGCGGTATGTGTACAAGCAGCTGTTCTATATTCCGGACCCGACGCTGATCAACGCCGCGCTCGGGAAGAACATTATTCCGTTCCCGTTTGCAGAGTGTCAGGCGCAGTATGTGGCGCGGGTGATCAGCGGCCGCGAGCGGCTGCCCTCGCGGGAGCAGATGATGCGGGAGTATGCGGAGGAGGTGGCTGTCAAGGGCGACGGCAAGGGTTTCCACGAGCTGAAGTACCCGGCCGACGCGGAGTACTGCAACCACATGTTTGAGCTGATTGAGAACACCAAGTCTGACGGGTTTGTGGCTGAGTACTGGGACGAGCAGCGCAGGGACCTGCGTTCGCGCACGGGCCAGATCAAGGCGAAGCGTCTGGAGCGGATTGTGGCGCATGCGCAGCAGCTGCGACAGAAACACGAGAAGTTCCGGCTGCTGCGTGGCTAGTGCCGAGTAGCAGGCGGCGCAGACGGGCCTTGCTGCGCTCAAAGTCGAGGTAGCACAGCCCGTGCAGCAGCGAGTCGGCCACGTCGTCGCCCTTCTTGCGCGACTCTGCCGCGTCGATCTTGTAGACAGAATTGATAGAGTTGAGATACACCATCTGGTCGTAGAGGTGGCGCGACGGGGACCGTGCGGCGGGCAGTTTTGGCGGCGGGCCCGGTGCGTAGCACGCTCCAAGCGCGAACGGGACCTCACGCGCGCCCTGCTCCGCCAGCAGCACGTCCATCCACCGCGCGACTTTGGCCATTCGCTCGGTTTTCGAGTCCTTGCCGCTTGTCCAGTACGACGCCATTTTCTGCGGCGACTGGCTCTCCACGCGGCAGCTGCCCTTGGCCAGTATCGTGGCCACCAGGATGCTCTCCAGAATGTTGCTCTTCAAGATGTGCTCAAACACGTTCTTGTTGCCCATTGTGCGGAACCGCTGCCGCTCCACCACCACCACGTCGGGCACATCGCCGGCGTACACGAGATCGCGCACCACGTGACCCATGATCTGGCTGTAGTTGACGGGCGTGAACTCCTCGTTCTCGATGCCGGTGTACTGGTGTAGGTCCATTTTGTACCACTGCAGGAGCGACGGCACGCTGCTCTCGTCCAGCCTGTCCAGCCGGAAGCGGCTGAACGAGAAGTTGCGCAGGCCGACGTCGATCGCGAGCACGTGAAAGGGCTCCTTCAGCACAGACGGCTGCTCGATGGCGCGGCCGAGCGACTCGGCAAGCTCGCCTTTCGTCCCGGACATTGCTATCCCGCAGCTGTGCGCTGTCCTTCTCAGCCACTCGCCTTTAACATTATTTTTCGATATATATCTGGCCAAAAGAGATCTCAGATCATGACACATGTAAACAAAAAATATTTTTTATATTTATTTATTATTCTCTTGTTCTTGGATGGATACAGTTCTGGGTGAATACAAATAGACATCCGATCCACTTTCCTGCCGCCAAAATGGCCTATCTCACGCTGCCGCCGGAGTTTGTTCCGGAAGCGAAAACCGTCATCAACTGGGTCATGTCGTTCACGCCGCTGGTGTCGTACGGAACGACCCTGCTCAGCATCCGCCGCAAAAAATCCTCCAAGGGTTTTTCTATAGACATTTGCGCGACGATGCTGATTGCGTCCACGCTGCGGGTCTTCTACTACGTCAACGACCCGTTCGAAGTCAGTCTTCTTAGACAGTGTTTTGTCATGATCTTCATACACGTCCTTCTGCTGAGGGTGGCCATCAAATACAGAGACCCCACCGAGACGGCGTATCTGCGGTACGAGGAGTCGTGGCCCGAGTTTCTCAGGTCGGCGTGGAGCGCCGTCTGGGACCCTGCGGACGAGAACTCCGTCTATGGCGACCCACTGGAAAAAGCCTCGAACGCGGCTGTGCAGTACGCCAGACGAGTGTCTGACTTTTGCGGCCGGCTGTTTCTGCGCTTACTGTTTCTGTACGACGCCCGATACATCAGGCCGTTCCGGTTCTGGCAGTGGGACGAGTACTCGCAATACATGCAGTTTCTCGGGGGCTTGGTGCTAAGCCTGACTGCGGTCCAGCTGGTGTTTGGCAAGACCGAGTGGCTGGGGCTGGTGTTTGGGTCGTGCTCGTTTCTGATAGAGAGCACGCTGCCCCTGCCGCAGATCCTGCTGTTCCAGCGGTCGCGGACCGTGGAGAACTTCAAAACCATACTTCTGCTCAGTTGGCTGGGTGGAGACCTCACGAAGATCAGCTACCTGGTGTACGGCACAGACAACGTGGGGGTCATCTTTGTGGTTGCTGCGGTCTTCCAGATGAGTCTGAACTTAGTCATCACGTACCAATTCTTCTACTTCAAACACATGGACACGGTCAGCTCGCGGCAGGTGATTCCGCTAAGCCACGCAAAAGAGGAAATCCCGATGGACGAGGTCCGTGCTGCGGCCACATTCTCTGCGTCGTCGAGCCGCGGCCCGTTCTCGCCGATCTCGTCGTCGCAGTTCCCGTCTCCGGCCACCACGCCGATCCTGAACCCGAAAATCGACCACGCGCGTTCCAGATCAAGCACATTCAACGAGCACGAGGCGAAAATCAACAAGAGTCTGCGCAAGGCGAGCCTGAGCAGCAGCATCAACCTGGATGCGATGAAAGAGCAGAGTAGCAAACTAAATCATTAACATACAAACAATGAAGATACATCGAACATTACTCAGACATTATTCATTTTTTCCGCTTCTAGTCTCTCATCGTTGATCTTCCACCAGAACTCGAACGTCCCCGTCTCGTCGATAAAAGTGTCCCTGTTCACCTCCCATGGCTTGGGGGTGATGATGTAGTGGATGTTTTTGATTTCGTCGATGTCCCAAACATCGGCGTGGCATTTTTTCAGGGTTTTCAGGCAGTTGTACTTGTACGACAGCCCCAGCCAGCGGTTGCGAAACACGTCCGAGAGCAGTTCCTGGTCTGGGAAGTCGTACGACGCCGTTTTCTCCGGCCGCGATAGCGTTTCCAGGATCTTGTTATAATTGTCCATGTCGGGTTTCACGATCAGCAGGCCACCGTTGCAGGCCTTGAGTCCATACCGCGCGTCCGGACCCTTGATGTCGCGGAACTCGTCGTCCTGGCACACGGATTCCTCGATTTTCGCGTGGTAATTAGTGTACGAGCAATTTTTCGGAATCCAGTTTCTCGGATAGTGCTCCAATTTCAAAGGGTTGCACACACACGCCGGGCTGGCGGCAAAGGCAAGGTGGTCGTCGAGGCGCAGGTCCATGAGCTCGTCCATGTTGCGGATCACGACCATATCGGAGTCCAATTGGATGACTCTCTGGAACTGCGTGAGCTTGAACGGCTGTAACTTGGACCAGGTATCGTAGAACCTGGAATCGTGGCCGAACTCCTTGGACTTGGTGGGGATCAACGCGTCGACCTGCATGATGGGGATTCCTCGCCGACGGATCTCCAGCACCGACTTGGGGTCCAGCTGCGAGGTGTACAACGCAATTAGGGGGTATTTGGATTGCGCCCTTTTCAGCGAGAAGTCCAGAGTCAGCAGGCCCTCGAGGTACTTCCTGTTTGTGATCAAGGTGGACCACACCTTGGAGTGCATCGACACGTCGGTGTCGGACGGATAGATATCGTCGGCGGTCATCTAAGCAGCACTCCTGGAAGCCGAAAAACCAACGAAATTCATCAATAGATAATGCGCCACGTATAGATGAGGTAATAGGTGTGGCTTTATCTGTCGTTTTCTGTTCGGGACACGCAAAAGTGGCCCTCGAACAAAAAAAAAGATTCTTAAAAACAACCAGTTTTTTCCACCCGTCCCATAAGCAGACCCCGGCCGAAAAGGATCAAACCTACCAGTCTCGATCGGCGTCAAGTGCTTTGTTTTTGCAGGCACTCAGGTTTCCTCCGTCAGGCTGACATACACACCCTTCGGAGACCGCACAACCGCTATCTACTCATCCCACCATGGTGTTGATCAACGGCGTCAAATACGCCTGTGAGCGGTGTATTAGGGGCCACAGAGTCACCACGTGCACCCACGTCGACCAGCCAATGATGATGATCAAGCCCAAGGGCCGGCCCTCCACGCAGTGTGCGCACTGCCGCCAACAACGCAAGCTCAAGAACGCGCACATAGCGTGCACTTGCAACTCGAAAACCAAAGACCACGACGTGGGCTGTGCGTGCCACGTCGACGGCGAGTGCACGTGCTCGTCGAAGCAGAAGAAGTCTGGCTCCAAGAAGAAGGACGAAGACGCCAAAGACCAGAAATCGAAAATCACCCCTCCCGAGTCGCTGTCGCTGAGTGTTGACAAGGACAACGTCAACAATATTATCCAGTCGTGGGATATGGCGTCGCCGCCTTTGGGATCCGACTCGCACGGGCAGAACGACAGCCTCCAGTCGCTGAACTCTGCAGCCTCAGACAAACCGTCGCAGGGCTTCCAGTACCAGCAGTTCACGAAACGACAGGTGGGGATGGACCCGTTGCAGAACTTCCGGTCGTCGACGCCGCAGGGCCAGCAGAAAAAGGTGGGGGAGATCCACGTTCCCGTGGACGAGTACGTTGCGCCGCTGAACACGATGAACAACAACTTCTCCACTCTCATGAGCAGTTTCTCGACTGCAGAGCCGGTCGTGCCTCCAGCCACGGCAAACGGGCGGTCGAAGTCGAACTCCATGACCAGCGAACCGTACCAGGGCATCAGCGCGTCCGGGTCTGGTCTCTTGGACAGTTTTGACGACAACAACTCGTCCAAGATGTACCACAACCGCAACAGAAACGTCTCGAGCGGCTCGGTGATATCGAGTCCGCGCGAATCGATCAATCCCGACTCGCTGTTCCCGCTGTTTCCCCTGATCGGCCCGTCGCAGTCGCACTCGTCGCACTCGTCTCTCCCCTCCACGCCCTCGCACCAGAGTCTCAACGACCTGATCTCGACGCAGTCCGCGGGACAGAAACTGTCGCATACCAACCTGAACTCCCATAATAGCAAATACCACCATAATTATCCCCAGATGCTCAAGAAAAACCTCACAGGCTCATCCACCCATTCCAGCGGATCGGTGAGCCACTCGCACCACCATGGGGTCCACGGCCACTCTCACCAATCGCACTACTCGCCGTATCCTCAGCACATGGCGGGCCAGCAGCCCCGGAGATCCAACTCGTTTTTATCCGTTTCGTCGTCCAACACGGTGAACTCGTCGCTGGGCTCGCCAAGCTCGATTTTGACCAACGAAAGACCGCCGTTGGTGAGCGCCAACTCGACCGACTCGCTGAACGGGTTCCAACTGACGAACGCGAAAACAAACACCACGCTGATGGACGATCTGTACCAGACCAGAACGTACACGGAATCGGGCATGAAGCCGTTCTCCATAGTTCCAGAAGAAGAAGACTCTGGCTCGACCCCCGCGTCCGATGTGTCGCAGCTGCGCGCCGTCCAGCACACGGTGGACCCGGTGTTCGACCCAAGTGCCATAGGCACGATTCCGCTGACTACCTCGTCCGACCTGCCCAACGCCACGGACCAACGAACAGAGACCGCTGCTGCCCAGGCAGACTACTCGAGCTACCTGGGCAACATCGACTATCTCGACAGTCTACTGGAGCAGTCCACCGACCAGGCGGACCTGTCCAGCTTCATCGACCTCCAGGGCGCCCAGACACAAGAGCAAGCCTAGATAGACTTGTGTATAGAGAACTGGCTTTTTTAAGCGGGTTTGTGAGTGTTGCCGTTAATATTTAATTTAATTTATATTTTCAGGATAATTGATGCAATCATCCCAAAAGCTTGCTTCCAAGCTGGACACCTTGGCGAATATGTCTGCCAAAGTGTCCATGAGTTTGCCCTTATCGAACCCGTCCTCGTGCTGCTTTCTGCTGACGTACTCGTCGAAGTAATCGTTGAGCACCTGCTCGCCGCGCTTGCAGGCGTCCAAATACCACGGAGCCACGTAGTCGCTGAGCCAGTCGCGGTACATTTTTTGTGTCGCGGAGCCTGGGTCGACCGTGTACGGCAGCCCGCCATTCTCCGCGTCTTCCTGCAATTTGCGTGCCCTCGCCAGAGTTCTGGAGTTGTTTTCTGGGTCTGCTACCAAAAATTTCGTGCCGTTATTCAGCGCATTGGCAGCAGCATGATTATATCCGATCAGACACGGCATCAGCGCGGTCTTGCACAGCAGCCAGTCGTGTGTCTTCTCGTACAGCTCCACCAGATAGTTGATATAATTCAGCGTAGCACGCCCAGCCACAATATCCTCCAGATCCAGGTCGGGCCATCTGCTTTTTAGCTTGCCCCTGTGTCTCTCCATCTCGGTCTCTATATTGCCCAGGATGTTGTCCACGTACTCCTGCAGCTCCTGCGACTCGGTGATGCTGCGCAGGTTCACGTGCACGCGGTGGTACGCCTGCAGATAGCGGTAGTCCTGTTTGAGGAAATAATTGAATTTTTCCACCGGCAGCGTGTCTTCCATCACCTGCTGCACAAACTGGTGATTGGTGTACTTTTGCCAGTGTGGGACGACTTTTTCGTGATTGAGCAGAAACGACAGCAGGCCAGCGTCCCTGCGCGCGTCCTGCGGGCGGCTGATCGCCCACATGTGGTTCAGCGGCCCGTTGGGCTTCACCTCGGCGTGTCTGATGGCCTCGTTGACGAACGCGATGGCGTTTTCAACCGCGGCGGCCAGAGACGCCCCGCGGGCCAGATTGCACGCGACCGCCGAGCTCAGCGTGCACCCTGTTCCGTGCAAATTTGGCGAGTCGATGTGGTTCGACCGGAAAACAGTGGTTTTTCCTGATCTGTGCTCGTACAGCACGTTCAGAATATACACGGGGTTTTCCGGGTCAACAACCAGATTCTCGTTCACCGGAACAAGCCCGCCCTTGAACAGCACGTCGACCTTGAACCTCGACCCCAGCACGCGCGCGGCCTCGTAAAAATCGTCCGCCGTGGCAATGGTGATTTCCTCCACGGAAGGGTCCGAGCTGCGCAGCACAGCCAGCAAAACCTCCACCTCGCGCGAGTTCGGGGTAACGAGGGCCGCATGTTTGAACAGCTCGACCGTCCTTCTCAGCGCCGCCACAGAGCTCAGCCGGTCGCCGTTCTTCGCCACAAACACCGGGTCCAGCACAATGGGCGTGCTGGCGGCACGGGCAGCCAGAAACGGCGCGATCACCGACAGTGTCTCGTCCGGCAGCATTCCGAGCTTGATAGCGTCGAGCGCGATCTGGTCGTCGGCAATGGCCACCAGCACCTGCTCCACGGTTTGCGCGGGCGTCACGGTGACATTGTGCACGCCAAGAGAGTTCTGCGCCGTGAGAGCCGTGATACAGGTCACGGCGTAGCACTTGTGCGCGGTGATGGTCTTGACGTCGGCCTCGATGCCTGCGCCGCCCGACGAGTCGGAGCCGGCAACGGCCAGAACCCGCGGAACGTGCACGGGGGCCAATTCGCCGCTCAATTGGTCGCACAGGTCAACAAGAAGTGCCATTGCCTCGTGAAAAAACAAAAAAATCAGTGGCCTCCATTTTTTTATACACAATGCACTGCCCGGTTGCGGATTCTACATCTACAGATTGGAGCCTATTTTGCTGTACGCCTCGGCAAAGCCGTCGACCAGCGCAGCAAGCCCAATGGCGCCGGGGTCCGGCAGCCCGCCCTCGGCCTCGAACGGCTTGAACTCCTCCTCGCTGACGTACGACGCCCGGCCAAACTTGGCCTTGAGCTTTCTCGTCGACTCTGCTCCCTCGTGGCACGCCTTATTGGCCCGGTTGAGGTCGCCCTTGGAGGCGGCAAACTGCTCCACAAACGGCGCCAGCGCGTCGATCAGCGTCCGGTCGCCCGCACGCGCCCGTGTGTACCTGTACAGCGAGTCCAGGGCGTCCTTGAGCGACGCTGCCAGAATCTCGGGCGTCACGTCGTAGGCGCCCTGCTGGAGCTCTCTGTCCTTGAGCGACTTGGCCAGCGCAGAGATGAAGATCGAGTACAGCCCGCCAGAGGTGCCTCCCATGGCCGTCTCGACGACGTCCGTGATCTGGGTCAGACTCCGGACACCGTCTGTGGTCTCGAGCTTATCTGCAGCCAGGAGGTCCAGAATGGCGTGTGCGCCGTTTGCCAGCGTCTCGCCGCAGTCGCCGTCGCCGGCAACCGTGTCGTAGAGCGTAATCTTGGGCTCCTTGGTCAGCAGCTTCTTGCACCCACTCTCCAGCACAGCCTTGGCCGTGCTGCTGGCGAAGCGCACTTTCGAGGCCGCCGACGCGTCGGTCACCTGCGGAGCGTCGATCACAAACGACTCGGACTTCGCCGCCCACTCGGCCGTCGTGTACGCCGAGTTCCATCCAGGAACCTTGGTCGGGTAGTCTAGACACTCGAGAATCTCCTTGCCACCCGCCTTAGTCACGTTCAGCAGCGTGATCGAGAAGCCAGGACCGTCCAGCGACGTGGTGTATGCGCCGGTGTACACTCTTGCCGGCCTGATCTTGTAGTCGCTGGCCAGCTGCTCGACAACTGTGTTCTGGATAGCGTACAACTCGAGGTTCGACGTGCCGCCCAGGTTGTTGACCATCAGCACAACCTCGTCCGACGAGTCGAAGTCCACGTAGTTGCGCTCCTTGTCGCTCTTGTCGAGCAGGTACTTGAGCAGGTCTGCCACGAGCGTGTCAATGGTCGGGATCGGCGACACGCGCTTGATGCCCGACTCGTTGTGGATCCCCATGCCCACCTCGATCTCGTCCTCCTTGAGCAGATGTTTCTGCTCCTCCTCGTCGTCGGACTCGGACTCGTGGTGTCTGGCACCAGGGATCGTGCAGTGGTCGAGCGACGCACCGATGGTGACCAGATTCGCCACCACGGCCTCGCCCAGCCGGTACACCTCGCTCAACGAGGCCCTGTTCGAGTCCTTGGCCGCCTTGGCTCCGACAATCTTGTGCACCAGACTCGTCCCGGCCAAACCGCGTCTGCCCACCATGCCGTTCTTGGTTCTGCCCACAGAAACGTCGTCCTGGACAATCAGCAGCTCCACGGGAACGCCCTCGGCCTTGGCCCGCTCGGCAGCAAGCCCAAAGTGCAAAATGTCGCCAGTGTAATTTTTCACCACAATTAGGGTACCTTTGTTTGAGGGCTTTGCCTTCAGACCTGAGACAATCTGCTTAGTAGAGGGCGAGGCGAAAACGAAACCAGCAACGCCAACGTCCAAACAGCCGTCGCCAACAAAGCCAGCGTGCAATGGCTCGTGGCCAGAGCCGCCGCCAGACAGGATCATCACCTTGTCTGGCTTGGAGTGCTTGTTGATCACCACACGCTCGGACTCGATGAACTGGAGGTCCGGGTTGCCATGACACAGGCCCTTGAGGTGCGCATGGACCAGATCCTGCTTGTAATTCCAGTGTTTGCTCGACATGCTAAAGAAAAGAAGGATGAGAAATGCTGGGTCCTGCTGGGTTTTTTTATTGGGTGCCAGGAGTCGCCTCGGTCGGCTAAGTTTCTTATAGCGGGGAGTTTAACCCCATAGTCTATGGGAAATTCACACCCGGGGAAATAACCGTACAGGGGCCGTGCGCAACCCAGTTCCGCTCCGCGGGTGTGTGTGTGGGTGTGTGTCACGTGACTATTAGTCACGTGACAGGCTGGCCGCTGTGCGCCCCCGATAAAAATCGAAAACAGACAGCCTCGCTGCATGGCCCTCCGCAGTATATCGTTCAACCAGGACTACACGTGTCTCGCGGCCGGCTTCGACGCCCAGTACAAGGTGTACAACTGCGACCCGTTCGGCGAGTGTTTCCACAAAGCTGACGACGGCGGCGCAAACTTGGTCGAGATGCTGTTTTCCACCTCTCTGATCGCCGTTGTTGGGATTGGCGACAAGCCGGCCAACACGATGCGCAAGCTGAAAATCATCAACACAAAGCGCAAGGCTGTGATCTGCGAGCTCACGTTTCCGACGGCCATTTTGTATGTCAAGATGAACCGCAAGCGGCTAGTCGTGGTGCTCGTGGACCAGATCTTTGTGTACGACGTGTCGTGTATGAAGCTGCTGCACAGCATTGAGGCCAGCGCGAGCGCGAACGACCGGATGATATGCGATCTGTGCGCGGACGACGAGAGCGTGCTTGTGTTCCAGCAGTCGGGGGGTTCCGACGAGCTGGCCGCGAATGCGGGCACGGTGGTGGTGTTTGACGCGCTGCGGATCCAGCCGGTCAACGTGATCGAGTGCCACAAGTCGCCGCTGCAGCGGATCGCCGTTTCGAAGGACGGCCGGCTGCTGGCGACGGCGAGCGTCAAGGGCACGATTGTGCGGGTATTCCGGGTGGCCGACGGCAGGAAAGTGCACGAGTTCCGGCGCGGGAGCTACACGGCGCAGATCTCGTGTCTGAGCTTCAACGTGGACTCGACGGTGCTGTGCTGCTCGTCCAATACCGGCACCGTCCACTTCTTCCGGCTTGACGAGGTCGATCGACGCCAGACGGCGGCGTCGATCGACGCGGACGTTGACGGTCCCGAAACGCTGCCGCGCGAAAGCAGCATCACCGAGGAGGAGTCAACAGAGATCAACCGGCTGATCAACAGCCAGCTGGGCGTTCACAACGGGTTCGCCAAGAAGAAGAGCGCCGAGTCGCTCAAGAACTTCATCTGGTCGAAGTCCAAGACGTATCTGCCGTCGCAGATCAACTCCATTCTGGAGCCCAAAAGAGACTACGCATTCATCAAGCTCAGCAGCGAGGTGGAAAGCGTGGTGGGGCTTGTTGACAACAACTGCTACGTGGCGACACGCGCAGGCGATTTTTTCGTCTACTCTGTGCAGCCGGGTCAGTGCGTGCTGCTCAAGCACTATAAAATAGAATAAGACATTTTTGAAACACCACGATTTTTTCCCATGGCCACTGCTCAGAACAGGTCCACCGAGCCCACGCCGTACCTGTGTCTCAAGTCGCGCTGGCTGCTTGCTGTTTGGAACGAGTGGACACTTTTTGCGGGGCTGGTGCTGGCCATTGTGCTGCTAGACGGCAATTCTGCGTGGTCGAGTTCCAGCTCGTCCAGCTCGTCGCTGAACACGTCTGTCTCTATTTCTTCCAACACAGACGTCCAGAACGTCCAGCTGGCGTTTTTGGACGACTTAGAGACCGTCGTGGCTAACGATCTGACGGCCGAAGCTGCGTACCTCAACTCCACTCTCAACGACACAATCACCACAGCATACACGGCCGTTGCCGCCATTGACCTGCGCACGGTTCTGCAGCAGCTCGCCGACTCGATCAACCGCACCGTCTCGTCGTCGCTGGCGTCGCAAAACAACGAGCTCGAGTCGCTCAAGTCGCTTCTGGACTCCCAGGCGGTGTATGTTGGCACTTCAGTGAGTCTGGACAACATGAATATAAATTATACCTGGATCGGCAGCTATCTGGAAAGCGAGATACGGAACCGCACCATAACCAACGCATACGAGAAATACTTCGAAAACCTGCCAGAGTACTTTGCTTTTTTCGACTCTCTCACAAACGAGACGCTCCAAAACGTTTCTGCTGCATTTGACCTGGTGGACTTGTCCGGCCCTGAACTTTACAACTACTCCAATTCGAGCGGCTCAGCACTGCACCTGGCGTACTCGAGCACTACAGCCTCAAAAACTTCCAAGGCCGTGTACGTGCTCGTCGCATTGATGGCTGTATTCGTGGTAGCACAGATGCTACTTGACTGGCTGCGCTTTGCACATGAACAGAAACAGGCGACGTGCTTTCCGCTGGAAGCCTCCGAAAAGACCGACTTCTTGGAGTACAGCTTCCGAGTCGTCGATTTCGAGGCATTCAGGCTCGCAGAGACGCTTGCTCTATTTTTTGGAGACACCATCAGACTGAATTTTCTTGCATCTTTCTGGCTCGGAGTGCGGTCCAACGCAAAAAATCTGATAAAATACATCGTATTCTCGCTGCTTCTATACTCCTGTTGGACACAGAAGACTTCTTCCTCGGTGGACGTTTCCCTGACCGGAAGCACGCGTTTGCACAACACGTCGCACACGCTGAAGACAGATTTTGGATTTGGCTCAGAATCGCTTCTGGACGGTATCCGAGAAATCTACGACGATTTCGAGGCCCAAGTGCGCCAGTTCCTCGACAACGAAGGTCTAGCGCCATTTGTGGCGTACGCTGGGCCGAACTCCTCGTTTTTGGCCGACTATAGCTGGCCCGACGAGATGGCAACGGATCTGACTGTCGCAGTGAATAGCACGGTTTCGCAGGGCAAACTCCATCTCAGCCAGTCGAACGCCAGCCCAGGTGTCTGCCCGCTGCTATATTACGCGTTTGCGCTCTGCGTGGGCGCCACGCTCACGATGGTGGCCATCAGTGTCTACACGCTCCGGTAGCCAGGGGTTACCCGCACGTAGCTTTCGCTAAATTTTTCTGAAAATTTAATCCAGGAGCATTGATCTTGAGAAGCCCCGACTAGCCGACATCGCTGCTGAATTCAGGACACAACGGGCGTTGTAGATTTTGGTACATTGAGATGTCGCACAGGAAGTTACAACAGTAAGTGTGGACAGGGGCCGGGTCTGGGCGATTCCGAGGCCTGGAAACTGGGGAAAAGGGGCCAGGGGTCGTTTGGAACCCGAGACTCAACGCGGTTTACTAACGGACCAGGGAAATTGACCGCGTGTTCAAGAAGATTGGGGAGGGGCTGGAGATATTCAACACCCTGTACGAGCGCCACGAGAACGCCTCGAACGGGTCTCAGAAGGAGAAACTGGAGAACGACCTCAAGAAGGAGATTAAGAAGCTGCAGCGGTTTCGAGAACAGGTGAAGAACTGGCAGGCCACGAATGAGGTCAAGGACAAGGAGCGGCTCAACGAGAACCGTCGGCTGGTCGAGCAGGCGATGGAGAAGTACAAGGTGGTAGAGAAGGGGTCGAAGACAAAAGCGTTTTCGGACGAGTCGCTGGCGAGCTTTGACGACCCGCAGGAGGACAACGAGGCGATCGAGTTTGTGCGCGAGACGCTGGACGAGATCCAGCGGCAGGAGGAGACGCTGGAGAGCGAGCTCGACCGGCTGGGCGCCAAGAAGGGCAAGAAGACCAGCGCCGTCGACGAGCGCAAGTCGGAGATCGAGGACCTGCTGGAGATCCACCAGTTCCACAGAGAAAAGCTCGAGGTGGTATTGCGGCTGCTCGAGAGTCACGTGCTGCGGCCCGAGGAGATAATGAACATCCAAGAGGACATCAAGTACTATCTGGAAGAGAACCAGGACCCGGACTTTGTGAACGACGACACCATCTACGACGACCTGAACCTGGACGTCGACGAGACCACGCTGCACGACGGCAGCTCTGTGCAGAACGGCACGCACAGGGAGGAGGAGTCTGTTCTCGCGTCGACGGCGCCGATCTCCGTGTCTGTGCCGGAAACCACTCCTCAAAAGAAGAAGGAGAGCACGCCGACGCCGTCCACCGTCCAGGCCTCGCCTGTGGCGACCGCCAAGCCACCGGCGCCCCTGAAGCCCGTGCAGACGCCGCCGGTGAGCGTGCCGAAGATGGCCACGCCGACGACGTCGCTGGCCAATCTGGCCGGCAGCCTATCGTCCATGAGCACGCTGAAGCCTGCGCCGGTGCCCGCCAAGCCTGTGGGGGAGCTCAAGTGGGCCGCTGCAGTGAGCCAGACGGCCAACGGGCGGCCGAAACCAGAGGAAAAGCCGGCCACGCCGGCCACGCCGCTCTCGACGCTCAACACCAACGCGCTGAACGCCGCCAGTGTGCTGGAGGCGCTGAAAAAACAACGACCTCAGGACGGGGCGTCGCGCAGCAGCTCAGAGTCCCGGACGGCGTCCAGCACGGCAGGCGTTGGGTCTGTGGGGTCCGGCGACGTTGCCAACGACCCAAACTTTCGGTTTCTGCCTCCAGGCATCCAGAGCACGATCCTGTCGTTTGTGATGGCCAGAAACCGGGGCGAGTCCGAAAAGACGCCGTCGCTGTCGAGCGTCGGCGCCATGCTTGCCGTTCCCCGCCGCTTCTCGCCGCTCAGCGAGGGAACGTATCCGCCGGGACTGGAAGCACAGCGGGTTTCGGCGATCTGGAACAGCGTGCGCGTGAGCAACAACATCGAGATCGACTCGCAGAATGTCGACACCGCCACGCTGTTCTACGCCTACTACTACGCCCTGTCGCAGAAAGAGCGAGACGTCGCCGCGTCGGTGCTGGCCTCCAGGCTCTGGAGAGTCAACAACGACAGGACCATGTGGTACCAGCGCCATTCGCAGGTGAAAGTGTCGGGCGACGGCTTTGAGATCTCCGACTTCAACATTTTCGACGCGGAAAAATGGAGCTTCTACGAGAAGAAGAACCACAGGGTCGACTACTCCCAGTTTGGAAAATCCTAGGTGCGTATATAATTGAATATTGAGGTACAACTACTCGCTAAACTCCTCTTCGCTTTCTGCCTCGCTTTCTGCCTCGCCCGAGATCTTCACCTTCTTCTTCCGCTGGATGTTCTCCTCCTGCTCCTTGCGTCTTTTTTCCTTTTCCTTGCGACGCACAGCGTGGATCTGCTCCAGCTTGCTGATCTCCTTAACGCTCTTCTTAACCCGCGAATGGTACAGCACCTTGCCCTCGCAAACACCCTCCTCGATCTTGACGAGCTCCAGCTTCATCCGCGGACCGATCTCCGTCAGCTTCACCGCCTTCTTGCGCTTGCCCCCTTCCTCGGCAGCACCCTTGGTTTTCACGGCAACGTCCTCCTTCACCTCCACCACGGCGTCGTCCTCCACCTCAGAGTCTGACGTGAACCCGGCCTGGGCATACGGGTCCAGAATGATGTCGGCAACGTCGTCGACCTTCGACAAATTAGGCAGTTTCTTGTTCGTTTTCTTGTGCACCTTGACTAATTTTTTCACGTTCTTGGAGACATCCACCAGCTTTGTGTCGATGACGTAATGACGAAGGTCGACCAGCCCCGTCTCCTTGTCCTTCTGCAACAGCAGAACTCTCTTGATGGTGCTGACCTTGGTGTTCTGCGGCGAAATTGGCGGGAACATGTTCTGGAACATGGTGACCATCAGTTTTTCGTGCTGCTCTGCTTCCTTCGGGTTGGTGAACCCGCTCATCACAAGCAACGGAGGGTTCAGGAACTCCGGGCCAGACTTGCTCACGCTCTTGGGCATCTTCTGGTAGCGCGCGACGTCTTTGCAGAGCGAATATTCGTGGATCTTGAAGTTGATGGTGGGGCCCCGGGGCATTGCTGAGACACGAAGCTGGGTGGACCCCGTCTCCTCGTTCTGGCTGAAAACCATCAGTTGCGAGATTCCAAGCGGCCCTGCCATCACAACAAAGTCCTTGAGTTTGTTGCGGTTGCGCTCGCGAAGATTGATCGCCGTGTGAGGAAGCATCATGATCCTGGTGTCTCTGACTAGTTGTGTAAGGGTGTGGTTGTGCAAAGCTGTTCCCAGATGGATCACCATTGAGCGGGGGATCTTGGCCAGCTGGTCCTCGCTCAGCTTGACGTGGGTCCTCTTTTTTTGCTGGGTTGTTAGTAATTTGAGGCAGTTGTACGTACTCTTCTTTTCGCCATGGTGAAAAGATGGGTCTAAATAAATTTTCAAAATATTTTTGAAATATTTTCAGAAAAAAAATAAATTAAAAAAATTTATCTAATGTCTCCTACAAAGATATCTCGTTCTGGCAATGTAGCCCCTAAAAAGGCCGTGTCCGCCAAGATCGACATAGACTCGCTGAAGAAAAAGCTCACGGCCAACCAGAAGCAGGAAAAGCTAGACGAAGCGCACACGGAGGAACACAAAGACAATCAAAACGAACAAGAACAATCTGAACCAGACGAGTCCCCCAAGCAGGTGACATCGTTCAAAGAACTCGGCCTGCAGCCTGATATTCTTGACGCCATCGAGAAGCTCAACTTCTCCACGCCAACGCCTATCCAAGCCCAATCCTTACCGCACAGTTTGCAAGGCCGCGACATCATTGGTATTGCGCAGACGGGATCCGGTAAAACGGCCGCCTTTGCAATTCCCATCCTCCAGGCTTTGTGGGAAGCGCAGACCCCGTATTTCGCCTGTGTTCTGGCTCCAACCAGAGAGCTGGCGTACCAGATCCGTGAGACGTTCGATGCTTTGGGAGTGAACATGGGGCTCAGGTGTTCCACCATTGTTGGAGGTATGGACATGATGGAACAAGCCAAGGAGCTGATGCGGAAGCCGCACGTGATTGTGGCCACTCCTGGACGTTTGATGGACCATCTGGAGAACACCAAGGGCTTTTCCCTAAAGGCCCTGAAGTACCTTGTCATGGACGAGGCCGACAGACTGCTCGATATGGAGTTTGGGCCTGTGCTAGACAGAATTCTCAACATCATCCCGCGCGAGAGGAAAACCTACCTATTTTCTGCCACATTGACCTCTAAAGTCGAGAAGTTGCAACGTGCTTCGCTCATAGACCCCGTCAAGATCGCCGTCAATGACAAGTACTCGACGGTCGACACGCTGATCCAGACACTCATGGTGGTCCCCGACGGGTACAAAAACACATATCTGATTTACCTTTTGAACGAGTACGTGGGTAAGTCGGTCATAGTCTTTGCCAGAACGTGTGCCCATGCGCAGAAGGTTGCTCTTTTGGCTAGAATTCTCGGTTTTTCGGCCATTCCGCTACACGGCCAGCTCACTCAAGCTCAGAGATTGGGTGCTCTCAACAAGTTCAAGTCTGGAGATAAACAGATTTTGGTGGCCACCGACGTTGCTGCCAGAGGACTGGATATCCCGTCTGTCGACCTTGTGGTGAACTACGACATCCCGACCGACTCCAAGGCGTACATTCACCGTGTCGGACGAACTGCGCGTGCGGGAAGATCCGGCAAATCTGTTTCCCTCGTGACGCAGTACGACTTAGAACTCATTTTGAGGATCGAAAAAGTTATCGACATGAAGCTTCCGAAGGAGGTGCCCAATAAAAACGAGATTCTGGCCTTGCACGATTCGGTCGACAGAGCCAGCGCCCAGGCTGTGTCCAAGGTCAAGGAGTTCCACTCCAAGCGCAAATTCAGAAAGAAGGATTAGTATAGGATCTAATTTATTGGAATGAAAAACGTAGCCATTAATAAGGCTGTGAAAATAATTTTCTGACTTGTTTATGTCTCTGCCTCCTTCTCTTGACGATCTGGTCAAAACCCGGCCGACCAATGGCAAGACGCGATTCCTTACTAAGTCTCAACGGGAGAAGCGCAAGCAGGAGCAGGTAGTCAAACCTCCGTCTGCTGTTGTGAAGCCGAAACTTCTTAAAAAAAAGACACCAGATCCAACTGTAGCGAGCTCCTCGAACAAACGCAATGGAGACATCGACGACACTGACTTCGCTCCCATTGTGGACCTGCCCAGACGTCGGCAGGATCTTGACTTTGACGATGTTCACTGGTCAGAAAAAGAGCTCTCTAAAATGACCGACAGAGACTGGAGAATCATGCGGGAAGACTACAATATCAGCACGAAAGGCGGAAAGTTGGAGAGTCCTCTGCGTAAGTGGGAGGAAAGCCAGATCTCGCCGCTGATTCTCCAGCAACTAGAAGCACTAGGATACAAAGAGCCAACGCCGATTCAGAGAGCAGCTGTTCCGAACGGGCTGACTGGCCGGGATCTGGTGGGTATTGCTGAGACCGGTTCGGGAAAAACGTTGGCGTTTCTGATTCCCAGCGTGAACTATATTCTGCAGCTACCTCGTCTGGGCAGTTTCGAAGGCCCGTATGTGCTGATTTTGGTTCCAACGAGAGAACTGGCGTTGCAGATTGAGCGAGAGTTCTCCAAGTTTGCGTCTCTCGGGTTTGACGTGATCTCGCTGATTGGAGGACACTCGTACGACGAGCATGCCGCAAAGCTGGAGCGAGGCGTGGAGGTGATAATAGCCACTCCTGGACGGCTGGTGGACTGTCTGGAGCAGCAACTGGTGTCTTTAGGTCAGTGCTTTTTCTTGGTGATGGACGAAGCTGACCGGATGATTGACATGGGTTTCGAGAACGATCTCAACAAAATCCTGGAAAGCTTGCCGGATGGGTCTGAGAATCCGCACTACATGGGTCCTGGCGAGCCCAAACGAACCACCATGATGTTTACCGCGACAATGCCACCGCAGATCGAGAAAATCAGCGCCAAGTACCTGAAAAATCCAGGCACCGTTATGGTGGGCGAGGTCGGCGGTGCGGTCGACAGCGTTCGCCAGGAAGCCATCCAGGTTGATGATTCGGAGGAGAAACGCTTGCAAATGCTGCAGAAGGTGCTCACTCGTGGCATCTACTCGCCGCCAATCATAATTTTCGTGAATTTCAGGAAAACATGCGAAATGGTGGCAGAATTTTTGGAGCAGCTGGGGTTCAGTGCGGTGACGATGCATGGCTCCAAAACGCAGGAACAGCGGGAATACGCCATCCAGCAGATAAAGGAGGGCAAGTCGGATATTCTGGTGGCTACAGATGTGGCTGGACGAGGAATCGACATTCCGGATGTGTCGCTCGTGCTGAATTTCCAAATGGCGAAAAATATCGAGGATTACACACACAGAATTGGACGTACTGGACGGGCCGGCAAAGAGGGTACGGCAATCACGTTCTGGAGCGCTGCGGACGCGGATGTGCTGTATAATCTCAAACAGATGATCACCAAAAGCCCTGTCAGCAGGTGTCCTGACGACCTGAGGAGACACCCTGCTGCGCAGAGAAAAGTGGTGAAAAACATTGAAACCTGACGGCTAGTCGCTATCGCTGTCGTAGCCGAGCTTCGTCGCGAGCGTCGGTTTTTTCTGTACCAATTTAATAGCATCTAATGACTTATTCGCAAAAATTGACGATGGCTGCGGAGCAGGAAGAGTTTTAGAAGCATTTTCGGCATCCTCTCGCGAATCTTCTCCGTCCTTCGGCTCCTGCTCCTGTTCTTGCTCCTCCACGCGTCTCAGTTTCTCCTGCATCGTCACTAAAAGTTTTTTGGCGGTCTCCAACGCAGTCTGCTCTTCCTCCTCGTAGTTTCTTTTCTTGGCCACCGGATCAGGGTCCTCGTTGGCCCATTTGACATTAAGCGCCTCCTCGTCATCGTCCTCCCGAAGAGACTGGCCGTACATTGCCTCTTTGGCAAACTGGGCCTGGCTTTCCAATCTATAAGTGACAAACGCTATGCCTTTGCTTCTCACCACCCTGGTGCGCTCCACTTCTCCATACTCTCCAAAATTCTTATTTACAAGCATCTCCACGTTTCCTTCCATCGACCTGAACTTCTCCACAAACAGCGTTTTGTTGACCTTGTTAAAAGACCCCACTCCGGTCATATCGTCTCTGTAGTCCGCAAATCGCTCCCGTCCAAAACAGTCCACTGTATGAGGAAAAAAGTCCATGTCTGTGGGCAGACGGTGTAGATAGTCGCAGTTTTTTCCGTTCGTGCAGTATCCGCGGGCAAAATACAGACAGATGAACTTGTCGCGGTTCACAGATCCTGGCTCCACGTGCTTATCCGCCTTGGTATAGCCTGCGTCTTTAGTAGGATGGCATCTATGTCGAGCGTGCGCGACGGTTCTGCCGTTGTATTCGCCGCCAGTCCATCGGCTGTACCACAGGTTAAACACCTGGCCCGTCTGCGGCGGCTTTGTGTCTGCACTGACGGACTCGGGATCCAACTGGAGTCTAGCAGGACGGCGAGCCATTGAAAAAAATAAAATAAATAAAATAATTTATCTATCTATTTTATGCCCCAGGAATCCCCGTTCAATTCCAACACATTCGGGAACACGCTCTCGCTTCGTGTGGACGGGAATTTTCTGTCAACCATGTCGATCGCCCCCAGCGGGCGCGACGTCGTTTTGGCAGGACGAAAAGGTCTCTTTGTCATCGACCTCGACGACCCTTTCGCCGCTCCTCGCTGGCTCCACCACCAAACGTCCTGGGAGGTGGCTGACGTGCAATGGTCGCCTCACAAGAGCAAGCCGTCGTGGGTGGTATCCACCTCCAACCAGAAAGCCATGGTGTGGAACCTGGCCAGACCGTCTCACAACGCTATAGAACATGTTCTCCATTCCCATACAAGAGCCATTACTGATATAAACTTCCACCCCAACCATCCCGAGCTGCTCGCTACATGCTCCGTGGACACAATGGTGCTGTCCTGGGACATGAGAAGCCCGCAGAAGCCAATAAACAGCTGGTCTGACTGGCGTGCTGCTGCCTCGCAGGTCAAGTGGAACTACATGAACTCGAACGTGTTGGCATCTGCGCACGATAACAATCTCCTCATCTGGGACATTCGGAAGGGTGCCATTCCGCTGGTGAAAATACAAGCCCACAACGCGCGAATCAACGGTATCGATTGGAGCAAGACCGAGGTCGACAAGATTATTTCCTGCTCCAATGATATGAGTGTCAAGTTCTGGGACCAGAGCAAGCCAGACAAGGCCGTATACACGATCAGAACAGATTTCCCGGTGAGCAGGGCGCGCCACGCGCCGATCGGCGACCAGATCTGCGGCATCATGCCGTCCCGTGGCGGACAGAACTCCATATACATTGTGAAATATAAAGACGAAATAGGAGAAAGCAAACTGAAGCCAAGCTATATTTTCAAGGGACACACAGAGCCGGTCAAAGATTTCCTGTGGAGAAGCAGGCATTCGCCAAATACGGAGGTCGACGACCGCGAGTTCCAGCTGGTGACATGGTCTGCAGACTGCGATCTTCGGCTGTGGCCTATCCAGGAAGACATTTACGACAATTTCAACTACAAGAAAAACCAGCCATTGGCTGACCCGTTGCCAGACTACAGCTACGAAACCTATCGTCGCGAGCCGCCAGTTACATCCGAAAATAACCTGATCATCCGGCGACGCAGAAACACCAACCTAGTTTCCAGCAGAAGCAGCTTCACGCTGCAGAACGACCAGTTCAACCACCTTAACTGGATTTCTGGCATTCGAATTGGCCAGTCGGCTGTGCAACAGATGGACGTCCAAGTTGGAGACAGCTCGCAGCCGGCCAATTTGGCGGAGGAGGTCGGAAACGTCGGCCACAAGTTCCCCAAGGTGAGATTCGAGCGGATCAGCGTGTCCACCGGCAACTTGGTGATTTCTTTAAATGGTCCGTGGAAAGACGAATTAATATTTATTCGCGTGGAAATAAACTTCTCCAAGGAATATCCATCGCCCAAAGGAGTTCCAAGGTTTTCAATAGAGGAGACACACGAGCTCACCGAGGAGGACCGCAAGGAGATGCTGGCGCGTTTGGACGAGATTGCCAGCAAATACTGCTCGCTGCGAAAATTCTGTCTCGAGCCCTGCCTGCGATTTTTACTGGGAGAAAAAGTCAGTCTGGACATCGAGCAGGAGGAGGACGATCTGACGCTTGATCCGTTTTCTATTCCGTACGAGGAAGCCAACGAGTCCGACAACAGTATAGGAATCTCTTCCATCTCTGACCGAGACACGGGCAGTGACTCTGAGGACGAGACTGCGGCGATTGTGGACGTCAGCAAGCCGACGTTTGACAGCACGCCTGTCCCAAAGGGCTGTGGGGCCATTTGGACGGCGAGTGGCCATCTGGTGTGTTTTTTCATCCCCAAAGGGGATAAAAAAGCCCCGCAGCAGGTGTTCAAATTTGGGCAGCAGGGATTTAGTCTGGCGAACGGGCTGAAAAGCAAGAGAATTGAGCACGGGATGGAGCTCCCCACTTCTGCCGAGGCAGACTCCGAGGACGACGTTTCTAGTCTGAGCTCAGAGGCGAGCTTCTCCAACGACCTCGATATTCTTCAATACGACAGACTTTACAAAACCAAGCTTCCGTTTAAGAATGCGGCAAGCAACCCTGGCACGCACACTTCAAAGTCGAAACAGAGCCGCAATATCGTGAAAATCTACGACTTCCGCCACTTGATACCTGCCAAAATGGAGCTGGCCTTTGAGTACAGAGTTTTGGGCGACACTCCTGAAAATCTGGCCAAGTGCAACGCGTTGGTTGCAGAAAAATACGGGTTCAAAAATTTGGCCGACTGCTGGAGGATCCTGTCCATTATTCTGGTCAAGGAGGTCCAATTTGAGGACAAGCTCGATCTTGCTGTCCATGCCGGTTTCGTGTCCAAGGAAGAGCCTACAGACAGCTACAAATTCTACTGGGGAGCACATCCATTTGGAGGCAGATGGCTCGCGAAAATGATCATGAGGTACTATGAGCGACTGAGCGATGTCCAGATGTTGGCGATGCTGTCCTGTGTGCTGTATGAGCATTTCGAAAATAAGGACCGTCTAGGCGTCCCGATAAACACTCCCTACTCGCTGAATTCTGTCATTCCTGAAAAGAATATGGTCCGCCATAGCTCTAAGCAAGGACAGGTGGTCTCGTTTGATACCAGAAGCCCCTTGGGCTCGTACCACCACGTTCTATCGCAAAACCGACTTTCTTCGGTGAGCACGGCCTCCATTTCTGAGAGTCTTGTTGGGTCTCCTGGAGAGCTACATGTCTCTAATCGACGCGGCATCCGGCCTCAAAGCATAGCACTAGGCCACTACACGCCAGGCGATTCCTACTCGATGCATCTGGGCCGCTCGCCGGGCGCAATCTCGCCGTCCTCGCTGTCCTCTGCCGGCAACGTCTTCAGCCAGGCGTTCCAGAAATCGCTTAACACCACGGCGACCATAGCACCTGCCGCACCGGCAACGGTCCCGAAAGTCAGCATCCAGATGGTCAACACTGACTCATTGGACCTCTACGAGGACGCGTACTCGATGTCCCTGCTGGACAACCTCGATACAGAGCGGCTCCAGATGTACAGAGCAGAGTACGCCAACCTCTTGTTCTGCTGGGGTCTTCCCGTCTCGAGAGCGAAAATCCTTAAATTTAATCACCGCAGCTCGGAGATGCCGTCAAGCTCAGAGCACCGCGGCGAGGTCGGCTGGCTCAAGCCGGTTGGGAACAGCGTATGGGACAACGTCCGAACGCAGCGGAAGTGCCACTATTGCAACCTGCTGAGCCGGAAAAGGCTGGTGGTTTGCACGGTTTGCAACCATCTGCTGCACGCCGCGTGCGCGCTCCAGTGGTGGGAGCAGGAAAAGATGGAGGAGTGCTGCAGCGGGTGTGGTTGCAGGTGTCTGGAGCATCGACTTCGAGAGGTGGAAGCGTAAAGTAGTGTACGACCAAAAACGGGCTGGAATAAAAATACTACTTAAAATAAAAGGTAGGCAATTTACCACTCAACAGCAACCACTTAATCACACAATAACCCCGTTTCTCTACCAACATGACTAGCCGGTCGCGCCACGACGTAAGGCGGCAGCTTTTCCGCGGCATCACCACGAGGATCTCCTCGCACAACTACGGCGGAGTCAAGGATGACGATAAGGAACAAGTAGCGACCCAGCAGCGGAGCCAGCCGCAGAGCACAGAGCCTGCCCGGCGCAGAGCGCTGCGACGCAGCAGTGCCATCACGCCGACGCTGGCGACAAAATCCAACGTGATGACGCTGACGCCAAGCAACACGTACTCCTCGACGAGTCTGATGTCTGGCTCGACTGACATCAACAGCACCGACGTTAGCGACAAGGTCTCGCTGCGGCAGAAGAGCGAGGCAGATATGGACCAGTACGACTACAAGACGTTCAGCACGAACCATCCTCTTCGTCTGTCGAAGATACGCGCGTTTGAGCAGGCGGAGATGGCGCACAAAATGTATTTTGCTAAAGACGAGGAGCTGGAGCACAAGAAAACCGGGATGCTGGTGCAGGTGCCGGGGCTTTTGCCTCGTGAGTCGCGCGAGCTGAGCGCGGAGGCCGGGCTCGAGCTGGATGACTCGCAGATGGAGGATTCATACGACTACGCTGTCTACGAGGACGACAGCGACGATGACACGAGCCTGGACCGGGACGACCCGTTTGTTTCTGCCGATAGACGACTGAAAATCATGAAGAACGCTCTGCGACCGGTGACGGAGGAGCAGCTTGTGGCCAAGAAGCTGAAACGGTCGCCGCTGAACGCTGTATTCCAGACAAGCTCGCAGTTCATGAAGGACCTGGACCTGCAGGAGCTGGAGCTGTGGGAGCTGATGAACGAGGAGTTTGAAAAAGAGATGGAGGCGGTCGAGGCCGAGGCCAGAGAGGGAGACAAACGACAGAGCCAGCTTAATCTACTCGACACGTCGCTGGAGTCTCTGTCGCACGCCGCGTCTCCAGAGTTGTCGATGGTTGTGTTTGACAGTCTGCGCCGCAAGATCAGGCAGGACATGAGCCAGGACAACCTGGAGTTTAGTATAAGTACGAATTAATCGAAAGGTCGGTCGAGGTCGATCGGCGCGCGTTTCTCAGACCCCAGCCACCTAACGCTAAAATTTCTGCACAGCCCCGTGCAGCAGCGTAGTGGCAAACTTAGCAAGAACAAATAATAGCCATCGCTAGTATTCACCTGGTGGTTTTAGTGTGCTAAAATTGTCGTTATGAACGTTATCAAGCTACAGGTATGTGTGGTGCTGCGCAATGGACGAGCTAACTTTTCCTTAGAAAAAATTCCCTGTGTTGGAACAGCAGGACCTCTTCAATATCATTGAAGACTTCCGCAAGATCGACTTGGACGACAAGGGCTGGGTTGACAGGAAACACGTGATCGAGGCCGTCTCCAGCGACGGCAAAGGCTCGTACGACGATATCAGAGAGACTTTGAAACAGGTCAATGTGGACGCTTCGGGACATGTGGAATTGGAGGACTTTGTCGAGCTGCATGCGAAACTGAAGGAGAAAAAGGCCCAGCCGCCTCCCTCGGGCTCTTCTGGCGTCAGTGCCGGCTCTGCTGTGTCTGGCAGCTCTTCAGCAGGCGGCTTTGTTCACAGAGGTACGGGTGCATCGGCCAAAGTCATCGTTACTGGTAAATCGGGAACCACGCACACTATCAACGACGAGGAGCGAATTGAGTTCACCAGGCACATCAATGCTGTTCTGGCCGGAGATCCGCATGTCGGCGACAGATTGCCTTTCTCATTGGACACTTTCCAGATCTTTGACGAGTGTACGGACGGTCTGGTTCTTTCCAAGCTGATCAACGACTCTGTTCCAGACACGATCGATACGAGAGTGCTCAACTTCCCAAAGAAAGGAAAGAAACTGAACAACTTCACCATGCTGGAAAACGCCAACATTGTGCTTAACTCCGCTAAGGCTATTGGTTGTGTGGTGGTCAACGTGCACTCCGAAGACATCATTGAGGGAAAAGAACACCTGATTCTCGGGCTAATCTGGCAGATCATCAGAAGAGGACTGCTCAGCAAGATCGATATAAAGCTCCATCCTGAGCTTTACAGACTGCTGGAGGACGACGAGACTTTGGAACAGTTCCTCAGACTGCCTCCTGAACAAATCTTGCTCAGATGGTTCAACTACCATCTGAAGGCGGCCAACTGGCACAGAAGAGTGTCTAACTTTACGAGCGATGTGAGCGATGGAGAAAACTACATCATTTTGTTGAACCAGTTGCAGCCAGAGTCCTGCTCCAAGGCTCCGTTGCAGACATCTGACTTGTTGCAGAGAGCTGAGCAGGTGTTGGAAAACGCGGACAAGATCGGGTGCAGAAAGTACCTGACTCCTACCGCCTTGGTTGCCGGTAATCCACGTTTGAACCTTGCCTTTGTGGCCCATCTTTTCAATACTCATCCTGGTCTGGACCCAATCGAGGAAAGCGAGAGGCCAGAAATTGAGGAGTTCGACGCAGAGGGCGAGAGAGAAGCCAGAGTGTTTACTCTGTGGCTCAACTCTCTGGAAGTTGATCCACCAGTCGTTTCTTTGTTTGAGGATCTGAAGGACGGTACCATTTTGCTGCAAGCCTTTGACAAGGTGATGCCAGGCTCTGTTAGCTTGAACCACATAAACAAGAGACCAAGCGGTGGAAAGGAGATGATGAGGTTCAAGGCGCTGGAGAACACTAACTATGCGGTTGAGGTTGGAAAGGCCAACCGGTTTTCGCTTGTTGGTATTGAAGGCTCAGACATTGTGGATGGCAACAAAATGCTCACACTGGGACTGGTGTGGCAACTGATGAGAAGAAACATCAACAACACGCTCCAAAAGCTTGCCTCCAATGGTAAGGAGCTTACCGATGCCGAGATCCTCAATTGGGCCAACACGCAGGTCACCAAGGGCGGTAAGAACTCCACAATTCGCTCGTTCAAAGACCCTTCGCTGGCCACTGGTATATTCCTTTTGGACGTGCTGAATGGATTGAAGCCGGGCTACGTCGACTACTCGCTTGTTACTTCAGGTGCTACCGAGGAAGAGAGATACGCCAATGCCAGACTGGCCATCTCAATTGCCAGAAAACTTGGTGCTTTGATCTGGTTGGTGCCAGAGGATATCAACGAGGTCAGATCGAGACTGATTTTGACGTTTGTTGGTTCCTTGATGTCTTTAAAGGTGTGATGATATGTATTCTAAAATAGAATTTGAAAAATGCGTAAATTAAATTTTGTGCTTTTTATATCTAGCTAATCGTCTGTGTACACTTTTCTGGTATCTGCGATTTGGTTTTTTAGTTTATCATCCCATTGCGATTTGAGATCCTCAAAGTACTTCGCGACGTCTGCCTGGCCCGTTGGGTCGACCTCGGTGATCTTGAGGTACTCTTTGCCTGTGATAGAACATGCACTGCCGTATTTTTTCTCCTGCAGGTCCAGCTCTGGACTGGCTTTTAGACAGACGAAGATCGGAGCATTAGCGCCTTTCCAGCCCGAAATATTGTGCCATGGTGAGCCACAGAGTCTTGCCACGTAGAACATCAGCAGCATTCCGTAGAAAGTGAGCGGATTGAGGTACTGGAAGAACGAGAAGGAGGTGAATATGCCTGGATGGGTCAGGTACTGGTTGATGCCATACTTGGACTTGAGTTCTTTGTATGTGCCGAGATGGAGCAAGTCCACGAGCCGTTTGGAGCCCTCGTACGAGATGTCCGACCTGAGCAGCTGGAGATCGTCAAAGGACAAAAACGAAGGCTTTGACATGATGCTCGAGATCCACACGACTCGGGGATTTTCAGAGTGCGACAGCAATGGCTCGGCCAGATGCTGCACAAAGTAGTAAGGTCCAAACACGTTTGCCTGGAACACGAGGCCCAACCCGTCGAAAGACTTGACACCCACTTTCTGGATCTTGTACGTGGGGAAAGTCGAGGCCTGCACCGGGTTGGAGAGAACTTCTTTAGTGGCCTGGATCCAGTCTATTCCCGAGTAGACGCCCTGGGCAGCATTGATGAACAGGAAGTCGAGCTTGCTGTGGTTTTTCTTGAGTTCGTGGACCGCCGCGAGAATCGACACCATGTTGGAGAAGTCGACGAGGACGTAGTCGAAGTCCAGAATGGCTGTACGACGCACATGTTTTTCGTTGTGCTCTTTGATCTTGGTGATGGCCTCGATGGCTTTAGGCAGCGTTCTGGACGTGACAATGATGGTCAGTCTGATTTCAGAAGGAACTTCGGCCAGCAAACGATATGCAATGTTGAGCCCCAAATTGCTGTTGGTGCCGGTGATCAAGGCCACAAGACTCATGGAGAAAATAAATATTGAACAACTTACACAGCCTGAAACGATAAAATTTGGAAGCTGACAGACAACATGGTCTGCCAGTAAATCCAGCCAGCAAGCTACTGCCGACAAGCACCCGTTGTCTTCCAGCCATCAGGTGGCACTGTCTTGGTCCCGTCGTGCGCTCTGCCTTGTGACCACATGCTGCTACACCCAAACCATGTGCCATGCACTAACAATAGGAATTTGTTTCAGTTTCAGGACCGCCCTTTATCGTGCAGCACAGCCGGCCATACGACCGCTGATTAGCAAGTCTCAGCAGTAATCGTGTCCTGACATGCAGAATATGAAACTTACGGCTTTTCTAGACTAATTGGCCGCCAGTGTCTCAGAATCAGCCTTATATATAGACACCAATGCTCTACGGTCTTGCCAACCATGCACGCTAAACAATTCGTGTTCAACCTGAGAGACTACGAGGTTAGAGACATTCTGGGCGAGGGGGCCTACGGAGTGGTCGCGCTGGGCGTCCATAGAAGATCGGGCACCACGGTTGCAGTCAAGAAGATTGAGCCGTTTGAAAGAGAACTGTTCTGTCTGCGCACGCTCAGAGAAATCAAACTCCTCAAACACTTCAAGCACAACAACATCATCAGCATCCTCGACATCCAGAAACCCCGCGACTTCGAGACCTTCAGAGAGGTGTACATTGTGCAGGAGTACATGGAGACCGACCTGCATCACGTGATCCGGTCGCAGTCGCTGAGCGACGACCATGTGCAGTATCTGATGTACCAGGCGTTGAAGGGCGTCAAGTGTCTGCACTCGTGCGGTGTGATCCACAGAGACCTGAAGCCGGCCAACCTGCTGGTAAACTCCAATTGCGACCTCAAGATCTGCGATTTTGGACTCGCTCGCGTCGGCAGAGACGATTCATCGTCCGTTTCGGAGTCCAAGGACTCTTTTCTCACAGAGTACGTGGCCACGCGGTGGTACCGGGCTCCTGAGATCATGCTCACGTCCTCTCAGTACTCCAAGGCCATCGATATCTGGTCGTTGGCATGCATTTTGGCGGAGATGCTGCTCAGGGAGCCGTTTCTCCCGGGTAAGGACTATAGACATCAGCTGCTTCTTATATTCGAGATTCTGGGCACGCCCGCGGGGGCAGACTTCCAGTCGATCAAGTCCAAGCGCGCGAGGGAGTACATTCGTTCGCAGCGGTTTTTCAAAAAGATCCCGCTCCGAAAAATATTTCCGCATGCCAATCCATCTGCCGTGGACCTGATGGAGAAGATGCTAAAATTCGATCCGACCCAGAGACTCACCGTGGAGGAGGCACTGGAACACCCGTACTTTAGCGCGTACCGCGTTATGGAGGAGGAGACCACTGCCGCGCCAATTCCCAAAGACTTCTTTTTCTTCGACGACTGCAAAGAGCAGCTCGAGATGATTGATCTGAAAAGAATGCTGTATGCTGAAATTCTAGCTACCTAATATATTGATAATAAGAAATTCGGGGGCCTTTTTTAAGGAGTGGTTTCAGGTGTGACAACCTGTTTCAGTAGAATATTAAATTGCAAAAGTACTATCATTTTGCGACTTTTCTATGATCAATGCACGCAAGCAGAGAGTGCTGGCTATTGCCGCACTGTGCTTCATGATCATTCTGTTTGTGTCTGTGACCAATACCGGCGAGAAGAAGCCACAGCTGCTTGCTGGAGAGCGGTCCTATTCTCCCACGCCGGGCAACAATAAGCTGGCCCAGGCTGGAGGAAACGTGAACCAGCTGGTCAAGGACAAGTCAGGGGTGATTGACGAGTCGAAGGTGAAACAGGCAGAGGAGTTTTCCAACATAAAGCCTCCTGTGAAGGCTCCTAGCGGCGATTCGTCGCAGAAGAAGATCACAGCAGACACATCGAAGAAAGCCGGATCGGCCAAAGAGAATTTGGCCATCAAAGATCAAAAGGGTACCTCAGACACGAAGGAACAGAAGGCGGCCGATTCTAAGGATCCACTTGGAAACAGCGTCGCCAAAGACGAAGCCAAAGCGGACATCCAGCGTTCCAACATAGACTCTAAAAAACTGGTTGATTCGGACATCAAGAAGGTGGCAGACACTGAGGAGAACGCCGAGTTCGACGCAGCCAAGGAGTTCAAGGAAATCCTCAGTCTTTCGCCTGTGGCTATTTTCTCCAAGTCATACTGTCCCTACTCGAAAAAACTCAAGGATCTGCTGCAAACAGGCTACGACATCACTCCTCAGCCCACCGTTGTTGAGCTGGATCTCCACAAGCACGGCAAGGAGCTTCAGGACTACATTGCCTCGGTGTCAGGCAGAAGAACCGTGCCGAACCTTTTTGTCAACGGCGTCAGCCGTGGTGGCTCGGACGAAATGAGCGCTTTGCATGCAGACAACAGGCTACTCGACGAGCTCGCTGCCTGGGGAGGTTCAAAGATCAAGGTCGAGAAGATTAATAGGCCGTCGAACTCGTAATAGCCCCCGCTTACGTAACTTTTGATATCTATTTATTTTTATCATGTACGCTTCACCTACCATAGACAGCATTGGCGGCGAAGTGGCCATTCGGAAGCCAGAGTACGTTTCGCGTGGCATCAGACAGCCATCACAGAGTGTACAGAAGCTCATTCATAGCCTGGGCCTCGCTAAACACCAGGAAGGCGGGTATTTCAAGGAGACAGACAGATCGCCGTTCTATATGGAAAGCCCTTACTATCCGGGACACAACAGGGGGACCGAAGGCGAGCCTCTGAGGCTGGGAAAATCACAAGAGCCGGTTCTGCCTCATCCAGAAGACGCGCAAAAGAAAATTGCTCCTTACAGGAACACCTCAACCTTAATTCATTATCTATTGACTTGCGATGCCTACATGGGAAGACTCCATAAAAACCATTCTCGCATAATTCACATTCTACAAAAAGGCCGCGGCCAGTACGTCCTAGTGTACCCTGACGGCACGGTGAAATCGTTTATTGTTGGTTTTGATCTGGAAAAAGGAGAGGTGACTCAGTGGGTGGTCCCCGGGGAGGTGTACAAGGCTTCTTTTTTGCTGCCGTTGAGCGAGGAGCCATCTGCCGACGACCATTTGCTGATCAGCGAGGTTGTGGTTCCGGGGTTTGAATTTGACGATCATCGGTTTATGCAAAGCTACAACGAGCTGGAGGCGCTGGTTGGCGAGCGTGCCGAGGAGCTGAAATGGCTGCTGGAGGCCAACTGAGAGTTGCAACCAGGTACTCTTTACTTATAATTTTTTGTACACGTGATATACACGTGATACGAAACTAACCCTCGCCGTGGAAAAAATACCCAGCCGGTTTTTCACAATTAAAATTTTCAAAGTTTATTGGACTAGTTTAATAGATCAAGATGGCTACTGAATTGACCGTGCAGTCTGAGAAGGCTTTCCAGAAGGTAAGTGACAGAAACGGATGATGGGACAGCGCCAGCAATCAAGATGAGCGACAAGTGCCGCGAAGTTCGCCAGATTTCCTCCATACGAGACGTCATCAGTTGGAAACTCGTATTTCGCCAGGCTGCTTGGGACTCTTGAGGCAGCGTTGCCCTACCAAGTATTCTAACCCTCAGCAACCACACATCTTCACCAACCCAAAGGCCAAGGCCTCCAGAAGAACCAAGAGATGGTACAAGGACGTCGGTCTGGGATTCAAGACTCCTAAGTCCGCTATTGAGGGTACCTACATCGACAAGAAGTGTCCTTTCACCGGTACTGTCTCGATCAGAGGTAGAATTCTGACCGGTACTGTTGTGTCCACCAAAATGCACAGAACCATCATCATCAGAAGAGACTACTTGCACTACATCCCTAAATACAACAGATACGAGAAGAGACACAAGAATCTCGCTGCTCACGTTTCTCCAGCTTTCAGAGTTCAAGAGGGTGACATTGTGACTGTTGGACAGTGCAGACCACTTTCCAAGACCGTTAGATTCAACGTTGTTAAGGTTGCTTCTGCTAAGGGTAAGGCCAAGGCTTTCACCAAGTTCTAAGTTAGTTAGATGTGTAAAATCATAAGGATGAGTATTGAACAGTTTTCCCTGTTTTAGCCGGTGCAAGGATGCGCTTGCAAGTTTCTTTCGCCGTCGCAGCTGATAAATTTTTTTCTCCAAGTACAGCAAACTCACTTACCCTCTCACCTTTGTATCTTACCCTGTCTTGAAGGGTAACTCAGTATATTTGATAAGATAAGGCCAGAATTTTGATGCTGGATCAGCAACATCAGGAGGCACAGGATCAGATCGGAGGTGCTCGCGCCCTGCTGGAGCTGGGCACAAAACAGAAGGAAGGCGGAGATCAAAACAACGACGTCGACCAGCAATCCAAGCACGACGATGAGGACGAGCCGCTTGACAGATCGAGGAAGCGGAATTTTTCCAACGACGACGACATGTCGCAGCTAGAATTCCAGCAGTGGACCACTGGATTTTTGGCCGACGATTTGGAGGGCCAGGAAGGCGACAACGACACCGATGGGTACCATTTTGGGAACCAGTCTGGGCTCGGAATCCCTTCGTTGAGTCAGAACAGTTCAAAGAGACCAAAGAAGACCCCGCGAAAGGATACGAACGGCATAAGTGGCAGAAACAGTACGCCATCCACGAGTAACGTTCACCCCGTGAGAATAAAAAATATCAATGTGGACCCGGAACTGGCAAACCTCGACACCTCTTCGTTTGTCCAGGATGCCATGATTGATGCCAGAACACTGGCCAGTCTGGGATCTATTGACCACGAATATCTGAGACATGCTGCAGAGGGCGCACATTCAGAGTCTGCCGAGGACGAGGTCCAGCATTTGGCAGTCCAAGCTGTTAATCAGGCTGTTGCTGCCGCGCAAGCCCAGGCCGCCGCTGTGATGGAGAAAAACGATCACCAGTCGAACGGAGAGGCACACGACAGAAAACATCTACCGACTCCGCCTTTGCAGCCGGACTCTCAGCAGGACAGGTCTGGGTCTCGAGGAATGACTCCTTCGGGCCATCCATTTTCTGTGCCAAGCGCAGAGACAGCCGCGCTGGTTGCCGAGGCTGCTGAGAAGGCACGAAGCTACGTCACCGTTCACTCGCAAGGACGCTCGTTTTCCAAAGAAGAGTCGAACGCAATCGACCTGTTTATCACAGAGTACCAGAACATTAACAACATGACCAGAGAGGAGATTTGCAAGCGGATTTGGTCGAATGAGCGGAAGAAGGACGATTTTTGGGAATCGCTGCAGAAGGTGTTGCCCGAAAGAACGCGAGCATCGTTGTACAAGCACGTTCGCAGAACTTACCATATATTTAATGTGAGAGGAAAATGGTCGCCTGAGGACGACGAACGCCTTGCCCAGCTGGCTGCCAAGATGGAGGGCCAATGGAAGGAGATTGGAAGGGAGATGAACAGAATGCCAGAGGACTGCAGAGACAGATGGAGGAACTACGTCAAGTGCGGAAATAATAGGCTAAGACACAAGTGGTCTTTGGAGGAGGAAGACAAGTTACGGAGCGTGATACACGGCATGTTGCGAGAACAGACGGCCAACTCTGAGTCGATGGACGTGGAGCCGGTGATCAACTGGACCCTGGTCAGCGAGAGAATGGGCGGCACACGTTCTAGAATCCAGTGCAGATACAAATGGAATAAGCTGGTGAAGCGCGAAGCTGGAAACCGTGCGCGAAGCGTAGACTTGGAAACCAGAAACTGGCTACTTGCGCGGTTAAGAGAGATTTGGAACCGCGAGGGTACAGATTCCATTGACTGGGATACCTTGGCATCTTTACACCCAAGCAATGCTTGGTCGGGTGCAGATTTCAAAAAATGTTTCGAAAAAATGAAGTCCACCATTACCGGTTATAAGAAGAAACCGTTCATTGAGATTGTGGACACATTGCTACAAGAAAACACAGAGAACTATTTCGACTCCGAGAACAAGAGCGTAGACAAGAAGAAGGAGGCGGACAGGCCGGACTCCAAGAAACCCGAGGCGGAGGTGTCGCTTTCCGAGCTTCAGGATTTGGTGAAACGGGAAGTCGAGGCCATTGAGTTTCAGTAATGTATACTTCGATGTAACTATTTGATATAAACTACAAGTGGTTTTATGGACCTGAATAAAGGACGGTATTTTGGTTTATTTTTGATCATGTCCGTTCGGTCCGTTTTTATTGTTTTTTTTTTTTGTCAATACACTGATTTTTCAGATAAAATTAAGCTGCAGAATTTGTATCCGGACATTTTTTTTAGTAAAATAAACCTTCTGGAGGTCACCGTTCCCATTAATGCCAAAGCTAGACGATACAAAAAATAACAAACAGCGCAAGCGGAATAGAGTTCCTATTTCCTGCACGATATGTCGTCGTCGCAAGGTGAAATGCGATAAGAAAAAGCCAGAATGCACCAACTGTATAAAGAATGGTGTCCAGCATTTGTGCAGGTATTTGGAGCCAAGTTGGGCCAAACCTCTGAACGAAAATGAACTACATTTTCCCGGCGCCACGGTAGCGTCGCAAACCCGGGAGTCATCGCTAGATTTCGTCGACAGAGACCAGGAGATGAAGCGATTGTTGGCGAGAATTAGAGACTTAGAAAACGAGAATACCGAGCTCAAGCGGAAAAAAGTCAAGCCGGGCACCTCGAGACCCTTGTTACGCAACACAGATGACCTTGTTGATTTCATTCGAAACTCCAATATCCTCTTTACAGCGAAAAAGGGGCCTACCTACAATTTTCCAATAATCTATCAAATCAGCGTCTTTTCCTGGATGTTTGTGGTGAGAAACGATTCCTACCTTAATGATTTATGGCTCAAGATACTAAAGTTACGCAAACACTATGAATACTATTACAGCAGCAAAAACGCAATGGCCGATGCGTCGAAATCGCTGGAGACAGACTATACGAACTACGATTATAAAATGAGCCACATTCGGCAGCAAAACAAAAACCACGAGGTCCCGAAAGAGAAGAGCAACGAGCACACAAGCAAGCTCAAGAAGTTCCTTGAAACAGCCATGGTTCTTAACAAGCCACAGTCCGAAGCCAAATGCCCAATCACAGGAGAGTCCGGAGTTTGTCCTGCCCAGGAGTCTCCATCTGTAGAAAAACCAGCAACTAGGGTGAGAAAGTGTCCTGTTCTTCACAACGAGGACTCTTCCGAGGGGGGCCTGAACTTCTCCAAGGATGACGACGAGGAAGACGAAATGGAAGACCCAAAGGTGTGTCCGTTGATGATAGGCGACGCCAGGGCCTTGTTCAAAGAAAAGCTTTCGCGAATGTCTGTGTCTGCGATCAGAGACCTTCCGCACTCGAAATCTCCGAAAGTGACGTCGATTTCCGCCGACGTCGTCGAAACGCCCACCGGTACTGCTGCTGCGTCGCCTAATACGGCAGAAGAAGAACCGGCTCTCACAGAACCACAGGAGCCACGCACCACGATCGACGGATTGCAGAGACTAAACAAGAACAACGGCACGAAAAAAATCAAGACGATTTCGCCGTCTGCAATCAAGAGCCTTAACTACAATAACACCAAACAGGTTATTGCGGTGATCGAAAAACACCTCCCGGACCGCGAGGTTGTGTGGTTGCTGATTGACAGGTTTTTCGACAAGCTCTATATTCACCTCCCTTACGTTGACGAAGAGAGTTTCCGGGCCCGGATAGCGTCGATCATCGACGCCACGGACGCCTCGTCACAGCGAATCCGGCTGGGCTCCATTGGATCTCAGTATTGCGAAGAGTTCCTGAACGTGTGTCTATTGTTGATTATTCTCCGTTTGAGTTGGTTGTCCCTGCCCTGCAGGGTGTCTGATTCGCTTTCGCTGGAAGAGCAGGTCATGATGAGACCCGAGAACATCATCACGATGGTTTTGGTCGATATGGTGAAGGAAATATTCTCCAGTGCCAAGATCATGAGCAAGCCGTCTCTGATTATCTTTCAGGTTGGGCTTTTTTTGAAGCTGTACAATATTTTATCGCCGGAAGATGGATTTGACCTCGAAGACTCCTATTCGAACTCCAACACAACGCTGCTTAATTCCAACGATCTCAGCGGAGACCTCACGAACGAGAACCCAAATATGAACGCTCCTAATTTCATGTACATGCTGATTCAGCTGGCGAAAACTATTGGGCTGAATAGAGACCCACTCAATTTCAAGAACTTCTACCCGGCCACAGAGGACCCTGTTTCGAATGCCAGACTTTTCAGAAAGAGACATCTCTGGAGAAAACTCTGGTACGGTCTTCTGGGATTGAGCATCGAGAGCAATCTCAGTCTTGGAGACTATAAAAAGGGACTTCCGATCGAAATCGACATCGACCCAACTCTGGGATCCGTCAACAAGACCTGGGACTGTCGGCTTCCTGGAGGAGTGGAGCAGGGTGTTTTGGAAAAGAGTTTCAATGGAGCACTGCTGAAAAAAGAGCAGCTGGTTGTCACAAACTTCAAGGACTCGATTCTAGTCTACCATCTTCTCTACAAGGGTATGAGCATTTTGTTTTCCGTGGACTCCACGCCTACTTCCAGAGACTTCGACCAGGTCATGGCCAAGTTGCTGGACCTCATTTCTGACAGATCCCGAATCAAGCTGAACATGGCTTCGTTCCTCAACAATGAGGACGAAACACCGCTGGACCACTGCGTGAAAATCTACCGGTTCAAGTTGCACCTGGTGATCAAGTCGATGCTTTTCGCCCTGAACTACCTGCTGTTCTTGAACCATGAGCAAAAGTTTAATAGACTCATTTCTGAAAAGAATTTTACCATGAACAAGCTGGAGAAACAAAAAGAATACATGAACACCTACTTTGAAAGCTGTCTGCTGCTTGCTGTCGACAACTACGACATCTTCAACCAGATCTACGAAAAAAGCGATACGCTGTACCCGAGCTGCGGCTCGCAACTGATTCTGTATCCGTACCTGCTGATACTGAACCACCGCTCGCACGAATTCCTCATTTCGCTGATTCTCCGGTTGCAGCAGAACTCGCCGATCGTGATGGAAATCTTGAGCAGAAACAACATAGACAAGGACGAGCTGCTGAGCCGTTTGTTCAACTATCTGCAGTCGTTCTTGGACAAGCTAGAAAATCTTACAAAGCTGTACTACTACGCCTGGAGACTGAAAAAAATGGTCAAGTTTTTCCACAACATCCTGGCCAACTCAAACAAGCTGTTCAACATCAACTTCAAGACGCTGGGCGAGAACGAGCAGAATAAACAGGAGATCACCTTGCAGACACCAAAAGTGTCGCAGCCATTGCAGCTGCACCAGAGCCCTAGGCCGATCAAGCGCGAGCCAACAAACGCATTCGAGATCGCGTTCGGTACCTCAAAGCTGCCGCCAGTTACCGACTTCACAGGCGCCAACGACCCGATGGCCCAGCCGGCTCCAGAGCAGGCGGAGCCGAACGTCAATGCTGCCTCGATGCCGGACATGTTCGACGACATGTTCTTCACCGAGTTGTCGGATATGAACGGCATGATGACCAGCGAGACAATTCCCAACGTTCCAATGATGGAAATGCAGCAGATGGTGTCTCCAGACCATCCGATGGGCAACGGCGTGCCGGGGCCTGGCTTCCACAACTCTCTTAACGAAATCGACTTCACCAACGTCGATCTCACCTCACAGTTCGAGAGCTACCCGATGAACTACGAGAACGCGTACCCGAACGGGCTGGGAAACCTCCACTTCCATTTCGGCTGAGCCAGCTGTATAATATACGTAGACGTTATGAACAAATTTATGATTTTAGACCGCTTGCTCGGAGTTAAGGTGTGACAGAAAAAAAAACTATTGTCGGGATTAAAGAAATGCAAAGTCCGCAAAAGAGTGCTCTTTCCGAGAATTCGTTCAGCCACATGAGTAGCACAGACAACACAACGGAGATGCGCGACACGCGCCCTAAAACCAAGCGCAACAGGTTGCCGCTCTCGTGCACCATTTGCCGCAAGCGCAAGGTCAAGGTAGGTATACGTTGTTGTTTTACTAACACCCAGTGCGACCGAGGACGCCCTCATTGCAAAGTGTGCGAGAAGTACAAAGTGGCGTACTTATGCACGTACCAGGACTCTTCCTGGATATCTGAGAAAAATGACAAGTCGTCGTATCCCCAGATGGCCCCGACGCCCGAGTCCCCGATGTATGGCAACAGAAGTTCCCTAGATCAGTCTCCTAGCGTTGTTTCGCCGTTCACCCAGATATCATCGCAGTACGACACGCGCGAGCCCAAGAGACAACATCTGTCGCCCGACAGAGGGTACATCGATAGCCACCACCGTTTCAACAGCTTTGCGTCAACGTCGCCGTACGTCATTCCATCTGTCAACCACAACGGCTCGAACGAGCGCACCACCTCGCAGCCACCTCAGGGACTATCCCAGGACGTCGAAAAACCTGTGATGAACGAGCTGCAGCTGCTCAAGGAGAAGATCAGACAGATCGAGGCGTCGATCGCCGTGGCAGACCTGTCCCAGCCAAGAATACACAATCCTCCACATCTTCCGCCCCTGTCGTCTCAGGTTCCGTCCCAGACGCCCACGCCGATTGCCGCGCCCGTGCCCTACAGAAGCCAGCTGCCGCCGATCCAGTCTTGGAACAGCAACAAGACGTACAATTTGCCTCCGCTCAAGTCCTCGCCGCCTGTGCCGCAGCACGGAGACAGCGTGGCAAACTCGGTCGTGCCGCCGGACTCGGGCATGGACCCGGTGGACGCCTTCAACTTCTACAATCACTACGTGCCCGTTCATCTTCTTCACGCGCGGACCAGCAACCACGGGCCGTTGATGTGGGTGACCATGATCAAAAAAGACCAGTTTCTGCGTCCTCTGTGGTTCAAGATCGCCGAGTACAAGAAGAAGAATAAGCTGCCAGCAGTTTTGCAGGCTCAGCTGTCCGCGAACGGGGGTCCTGAGGATAAGGAGTTTAGACAGAAGATCTACGAGACCGAAGGAGTGGTAGATCTGCTCCCGTACAAGTCTGACAAGAAAGAGAAGAAAACGCCCCTCACCGTTGAGCAGATGCGAGACAATATACGCAAGGACGTGGCGCTGAACCTCTACGCCAACAAAGACCCCGACTCTCGCACGATAACGCAGATTTTGAAATCGCTTCCCAACAGAAAAGTGATGTGGCTTCTGGTGGACAGGTTTTTCAAGTATGTGTATCCTTTCCTCCCAATCTTGGACGAGAAATCGTTTGTTGCCGACATAGAGGCAATCACTGGGCCACGCGAGTACGAGGAGACAGAGATCAAAACGCTGAAGATCGACCGCAGACTGAATTTTGCTGTTATTGGCTCGCTTCTTATTATTTTGCGCATGGCCCACCTGTCTCTTCACTCAAACTTCGAGGAAATAAAGGGGTTTCCACAACGATCGGAACAGGAAAAGTACTTGCTGCGGCACCCGATCGATATGGAAATCATTACCGTTGCCCAATTATGTCTCAATCAGTTTAAGCTGCTGAAACGCTGTGCTTTAAGCGTTTTCCAGTGCGCGCTTCTGATGAAAGAGTACCGATTTATTGCTCCCGAGGACGGAAGCGATGGTTTTGGAGACGGCGAGGGCCAAATTTTCACCGGTATGTTGACGCAAATGGCGATTTCTATCGGCCTGAACAGAGATCCGGACCAGTTCTCCATGGTGTGCGAGACCAAGAAGCTCAACAATCTCTGGAGGAAAATATGGTTCAGATTGAGGGATTCGGATGTGTACCACGCGTCTCAGATGGGAAATCCGCTCACCATACGTGCTGACCAGTTCGACACCAAGATACCAGTTTTCGACTCAGAGCTGTCGAATACCGCAGACCTAGCACTCGAACAGGTGGTGATTGATTGTTTGAGCGAGCGTGGCGAACTAAACGACCTAATTTCCGATCTCACAAGCACAGTACTTGACATCACTCGAAAATCGACCGTGGAGACCATCCTGCGGAAAATAGAGGCCATCGAAAGCTTCATCAAGCGCCGTTTTGGCTCCGTCAAAGATATCCTGACTCTCGACAAGGGCAGCCATTTGGAAAGCATCAAGAAAGTGTACCGGATCATTGGCTATTTGGAGGCCCGGTCGTTGGTGCATCCGGTGCTGTACCATATTTTCCTGTTCTACAGCTGCAGAGCGAACTTGCGGGCTTGTTCCTACCTGATGAGAGTCACGCTACAGAAAGTGGTTGAGGTCAACTCGCTCTTCATGCAGCTTCTCAAACGGAACTTTTCGTTTTTCGGACTGGGCTTTGATCTCATACTAACTCCTATTTTGGAGTCTTCGATGCACAAAGCACTACAGTTCCAGTTCTCGCTTTTCATCCGCGCACGACACCACAAATACCGGCTTATCGGACAGTCCCCTCAGCCGGACCGCAAGCTGATTGCCGCCATCACCAAGTTCACCGACGACACCATACTGCCAAACATCAAAATATACCTGCGGGGCCTGACTCTGATCTCGAAAAAATACTTTTACGCCTGGAGAATGAGCAAAGCACAAAACATCGTTCTCAAGCTGATGGAAGATTCAGATGTGTTTTTTGATGAGAAAGAGCTATTCGGTAACGCAGCAGATATTTTCGAGGGGTACACAGTGGCTGACTTTGAGCTGCTGTCGGAGATAGGGAACATGAAGCGATATGTCGTGCATCCTGCTACCAGCGACTGTTCTTCGAATCGGGACGTTCCAGACGACGTCGCAAGCAGTAGTTCCGAATTCCTCGACCATACGCCAGACAATCAGGAGGTCGACAACTTCTGGCTGGAACTCATTTTCCGGTTCAATTCCAATGTGGCCTCCAAAAACGTTCCTCAATCCGAGTCTGTACCCGAGAGCGCATGGACGGGCTCGTTCGAGGGCCTGACGCCTGGCGGCTCCCTCGAGGATACGTCGACCTGGGGAGGCTTTCCTCAGGAAGGATGTGCAATTGAGATCGACCAGCTTTTCAACGACGCTCCCATGTTTGACAATGTGGATTTTCTCAACACCGATTTGCTCCAAGAAAAATAAGTTCGATTAATTCTTTAAATAAAATAAATTGTTAGGCCTTTCTCGGCATGCTCCTGAAAAATCTGAAAATTGCACGTACAGGTCTGCGCTGGAACAGCAGCGGCGTGCAAGCGTCGCGATCCAAGGCCAGGGCGTCGCCCCTAACGGGACATTACGTCGGGTTCGGTCTTTTGGCAGTGACGATGACGGGCCTTGTTTACAACGATGACATGCGACAGCGCACTGTTGAGACATTTCTAATCGCCGAGCGCGTGGGCGTCGTTGCGATAGCCACCGCAAGATGCTTTGCCATGTATCTGAAAACGCTCAACCGCGAATACGACACCAAGGAGGAATACTACCAGGCACTCTCCAAAACCCACAAACAAGCTGCGGAAACAACTCTGCAAGCTTTACGCAAAAACGGAGGAATCTACATCAAGCTTGGGCAGCATGTTTCTGCAATGTCCTACTTGCTCCCGCCGGAGTGGACCAACACGATGGTTCCCCTGCAGTCTGAGTGTCCGGAGTCCTCTCTTGAGGAAATCAAGGAAATGTTTGAGCATGACATGAATATTTCGCTGGACGATTATTTCTTAGACTTCGAGCCAAAACCGATCGGAGTCGCCTCGCTGGCACAAGTGCACATCGCAACGTTGCGCGAAAACGGCCAGAAAGTGGCAGTCAAGCTCCAACACCCGTCGTTGGAGAGATTTGTTCCTCTGGACGTGGAGCTCACAGCGATGGTTTTCAATGCCATGAAAAAAGTGTTTCCAGAATACCCCCTGACCTGGCTTTCCGATGAACTGCGCCAGTCCATTTTTGTGGAGCTGGATTTCCGCAACGAGGCAGAGAATGCCAAGATCACCGCAGACTACTTCAAAGACTACAAGTCCCTGACTGCTCTGCGCATCCCAAACGTTCACGCAGCAAAGCGCCGAATACTCGTTATGGAGTACGTCTCAGGCACTAGGCTGGACGACCTGGAGTATCTTGACAAGCACAACATATCACGGTCCGATGTGTCCAGCTGTCTTTCGCACATTTTTAATAATATGATATTCCAGGCAGGCTTTGTGCATTGCGATCCGCACCATGGGAACCTCGCCATTCGTGCTCTGCCCAAAAAGAAGAATGGCCACAATTTCGAGATCATCCTATACGATCATGGCCTGTACCGCAAAATACCGTCCCAGATGAAAGTTGACTATGCGCGATTCTGGCTTGCCATGATTGAGAGAAAACCAGACCAAATGCAAAAATATGGAAAGAAATTCTCAAAAATTGAGGACGAATCGCTGTTTCCTGTGCTAGCAGCAGCTTTGACAGGTCGCGACTTTGAACATGCATTGAGCGGCAACATTGCGACACCTAGGAGCGAGAAAGAGATCGAGGTGATGAAAAGAGCCCTGACCGACGAGGGTGTCTTGCTTGACTTAATGGCTCTTTTGGCATCAGTTCCTCGCATTGTGCTGCTCATTCTCAAAACCAACGACCTGACTAGACACCTGGACGAGGCATTGCAAAACCCACTGGGCTTGGAACGGACTTTCTTCATAATGGCTACCTACTGTGCAAGAGCAGTGTACGCTGACGATACTGCAAGACTTCGCGAGAAATGGTCCATTTTCTCAGTTCACCGACTCGTCGGCTCTGTCACTGCATTGTGGAATTTGTACAGCCGTATCTTCCTTCTGACGCTTTACGATGTTGTGTTCTATCTTCGCGAGCTACTCTAATATTCAGAGAGCACCCTCACACCGAATGTTTATAGTGAATAAAATTAAACATAGAAAAATCGATTTTTGTTTAGCATTTAAATGTCGACTCTGGCCAACCAGGCGACAAGCCAGCAGAGAAGCCATTCGCGCGGCAATGGATCTCATGGCCGAGGGACCTCTTCTGCACAGGCAAAGATCCCATACAATTCGGGACGCAACAGCCACATAAGCCGTGGTGGAGCAAGAGGCAGGGGAGGACTCAAGAAAACAAGACAGTTCCCGCGAGTAGACAAAACATCTGCCGGGGTCTCAGCGATGAACGACGCTGATTTGGGGCCATTGATCGAAAATCCGGCACAATACGGCTACACAAAAATGGAACATAGAACTCAGGAAATACCGAAATATTTGTTGAAAGAGCAAGTGCTGTTTAGCTGTGACTCGTACGTGACAAATGAATGGGATGCAAACAACCAAAAGTTGATGCTGCAGAAAGAAGCTGAACACAAGGGTGACTATCAGTCGCTGTTCGAGGAGTTTCAAGAGCTGCGGAAGGAAGAGAGGAAAAAGATGGAGCAGATGAATCTGGTTGACGTCGAAAATGCAAAGAAATCACTCAACGAGGCCATCATATTCCGTGGCAGCTGCACAGATATGTGTCCGACTTACGAAAGAATTGAACGGGCCTACAAGAATCAGGTCTCCAAATGGGAGAAAGACCCTGCCACGGGGAAGATTTCTCGAGACTATGCAGTGAAAACGTTCATGCGGCCTTCTGGACAGCCGCCATCGTTGCCATCTGACGTTCGAACCCCTAGCGTTTTGGTGAAAACGCTCGATTACCTGATCGAGAGACTGCTGCCGAAACTGCCCGAGTCCCAGTCTTTCATATGGGATAGGACACGCTCTATCCGACAAGATTTCACGCTTCAAAATAATTACTCGGGCCCCGAAGCGATCGACTGCCATGAGAAAATCTGCCGAATTCACATATTATCGTCGCACGTCATGGCACAGGCAAATGATCCTGATTATCAACAGCAGCAGGAAATCGAGCAGTTCAACAACTCGCTCCAGTCACTAACGCATATGTACGATGACGTGAGGTCGAGGGGTGGAAAATGCCCCAACGAGCCAGAATTCAGGGCATATGAGCTTATATCCAAATTAAAGGACACTGAACTAGACAGAAACATCCAAAAGCTTCCAGCGGCTATTCTCAACAGTGGAATGGTCCAGAAAGCATTGATGTTGCGAGGACTCATCATAAACGGTTTTGGTAACTTCCAGATGTTCGTTGAGTTTTTCCGTGTCATTATGGACCCGAGCACGCCGCTGCTGCTTTCCTGTCTGTGCGAGATCCACTTCAATCAAGTAAGACATATGGCGATGGTGACAATGGCTAAGGCTTACCACTCCAAATCCAAAAAAATGCCTGAGGCTTCGATATTAGCTGATTGGCTTGGCTTCGACTCCGTCGACCAGCTGGTGACGAGCTGCAAGTTTTACGACATACCTATAATTAACGATGATAACACCCTCAGAGTGGAAGTGACGGCACTACGACAAGCATTCAAATCATACCAAAAACCACCAAGCTGCTCGAGACTCAACTACAAAATGGAAAACGTATCATATCAGCAAATTGTCAAGTCAGGTGTTCCTAACACTGGGATAAAAGTCCGTGTTGAGACTGCTATCGCACCCTCGCAAACACAGCCACCAAAGCAGCTGTTCCAGTTTGTTCCACCCCAACCAGAACCTGTAAAATCGACTCCTCCGCAGGAAGTCGAAAAGATTGAGATGCTACCGAACGCGCAAACAATCTCCAAACCAAACCCTGCTGTTTCTGTGCCAGCACCTTTCACATTCGCACCACCACAGCAGCAACAAGAGCAGAACTCTGTTTCCATCGCACCAGCGGAACCTCCAACACCCGTGGAGCCTCCCAAACGCCAAAGAAAGCTAATAAATAATCCAGGATTTGAGACTGCTGCCAAATTGGTGATTGATAACCTTCTCCAAGAAGCAGTTCGAAAAGAGACAGAATTAATCGTCAAGAAGCTGGCTGAGGTGGAAAATCAACGACGAATCCAACACCATAATCGGATTGTCGATTCGCTGAAAAATGAGCTCTTTGTGGCATTCATGAGAGAGCAAATGTACATCACGGCCATAGATGTGAAAGCTAGGCTGTTCAGAGAAAGGAATCTGAAACGAAAAGTATTACGGAGAATCAAAGCAGCTGCGGACAAACTTGTGGTGAAGCAAAGTGCTAAGAAAAGCAAACTAAACGAAATTCACTCGTTTGCCAACAAGGTGCGACCTGCCTTTGTGCTTCCAGCCCATGTTTCCTCTCGACAAACCTCTCTGAGCCCCCCTCCATTGAAGAAGAAAAACGGCTTCGAAGAGGACAACGCGAGCTGTATTGCCGATATTTTACCTTATGTCAATCAGCATCTACGTATGCTGGTCATCGTCGATACATGGGACGATGTGGTTGCACAATGGTTGTCTAATAAGCTGTCTCTTAAAGAAACTTTTGAGTCGGGGAAGCTTGTCAAAACAGCCAAATTGGACACCGCAGAAGGATCCCTTTCCATCAGCTCAATTCCTGACAGATTTCGCTCGCGTGTTGTTTTCAAGAACGTCAATCTCTTGCTGATAAAAATTGAATACCCTAAATCGCATGATCTTACAACATCGAAACAGGTTCTGGCCAAAGTGATTGAATATCTGTCGAGATTCAACAAAGAAGAACCAGTTACCTTGATGCTTGTTCTCATAGATTTTCCTCGAGATATCGATCTGATATCAAACCCGCCCCTCTGGCTCACTGTCAAATGCATCAGCCTGAACGCCAAAATGAGTCCATTGACGCTGCAAAATAAGTTTCATCAGTTTCTCAAGGACTCTGTGGAAAACTATCACTCATCATCATCGTCGATACAAGACGCCGAAACAACGCTAATGTCCAGATACACAACCATTGAAAACTCGCTTATTGGCCTCCTCAAGGACGACCTGAGCAACCGCCACAAACTTGATTATATAAGGTCGCTTGCGGGCAAACGTAAAGCGTCATATGATGCTGAAGTTTCGTTGATGACGGAAGAAACACCGCCGTCTGGCAACTTCGAATTCTGCAAGAATAGCACGCCTTCATTAGACATTTCAAAAAGCAAGAAACAAAAGATCGATGCCTTGCTTGAGCTGTCGGAATCTGTGTTGAAACGCTAATTCTGTGTATTATATTGTATATTAGGAAACTTGTTACAATCTATAGAAACAGTCTATCTGAGCACGATTTGATTGTAGATTTGAGGTGACAATATCGTTGATTTCGTTCGCGTACTTTGTATTTTTTCTGGAGAATCTATCGGAGACACTGATCAATTTATCCAAATTAATCTGCTCCTTAATCCCAGATTGGTTGAGATGTTGAAATAATTCCACGAGGAAGCGCAGATCAACACTGATCTGAAGCAGTCCACTCGAATTGAACTGTTGAATGCTTTTGAGACTCTCAATCAGTTTGAAAATGAAGTGATTTATCAGGTCAAGCTCGATTCTCATAATGTAATTTTTATTTGCATTGTGGCCAAGCAGTCTTGACTTCACCAGTATTATCAAATTGATCGGTTGCAAAATAAATTTCGAGACAAGAATTTGCCTGGCCGAAAACTGGAACCAGTCAACGTTCTTCACTCCACTGAAAATGGTATCCTCTAGCTGCTTTTTGTAAATGCTCATGTAGTCCCCATAAACTTTAATCTCATATTTCTCGATTTTGCCATAGACATCAACACTGGATGTGGAGTACTTGGTGCCGAAGTTGGTATCAAAAATCTTCAGGATTCGAGGCAGAAGACGCAACTTGAGCAAAGACAGGTTACTGAGAATGGCAGGGTAGTAGAAATCTCTGTCTTTGGTGTCATCTGCGTTGGTAACTATACATTCCAACTGGTTATCAGCAATGATATCAAGAGATGTGATAAATTGCTTTTCAACATTAGCCAGCAGTTCCGACTCAGGTTCGTAAATCAAGCTGCGCAGTTTCGGAATAAACATCTGATAGAAGTTCATGATATAATCAGCGGTTTTCGTACAACCTTCAAATGTGTTGCTTGTCGTCCAATCTTCTGTATGCTTCAGCCGCTTGGTATCTTGAATCAGGACACACAGGACACCGTTGACGAGGTTGGAGTTGATTGTCTTCAATGTAGACACAAACCGGCTGTATTCAAGAGAGGTCTTATTTTTCAGTTTGTCGATGGTTTTCTCAAGCTCTTGTTGGAGCACGATACAGTTATTGAGAGATGTCAAAACAGATGTGTGAGGCGGTATAAATCCATACGAATCCAAGGACGCGGCATCCTTGAGAGGCCGCTGACCCGTTTCAGTAGGAATTGTTTTGGTGCTTAGTTCTGCACTGGTAGCATCGAAGATAAATATAAGCTGGCTACACAGTTTTTCTGTGAGCACCTGTAAATACTCATCGAATTTCTTTAACTGATAATCTTCGAGCTTTAAATGCTGGCGGGAATGAGGATTTTTGATAGGCAATTCATGTTGAAGATCATCTTGAGTGAAAAAATCAATCATGGTTGCGAATTTGTAGAATCTATTGGTAATGATTTCCTCAGTCAGCTCACTCACATAGGCTCCTAGGAAGCCCCACAAGTTTGCAACTAGAGGGGGGTCCACAATGTCGACGTCAGATCCGTGCTCTGCAATCAAGTAATGCGTGTGTTTCAATGCAGCGATAGAGATCTCGTAACTATCTTCACTATTGTAAGCTTTAGCCAGGTTTTCACGAGCCTTGAGGAACCGCGAAAGCTGAACCTTGGTGAGATCTCCATCGATGCTCTCCTGGATATAATTGTATTCGAGGTTCAAAAAGTATGGAATTGGGTTCTCACTCACTCCGAGCTCTAGTAATCTCTTTATTATTGAAAGGAAGGAAGATTCAGATTGCGCACTCAACGAGCCAACGTTCTCAATGTGCACGTGTCCCAGTTTCTCCCATAATTGTTTTTTGTAGTCAGAAATAATATCCTCCACCTCGGCCCATATTCTATCCAAAACAGGCTTGTTTTTCTCGTCGTTCTTGGTCGAGCTATAATACACTTTTCTTCCTGCCATGTACTCGTTCAAAATCGAATCAAAATCCCCCAGAGCCACTAATTTTGTGAGCTTTTTAGGGAGGTCCAAAAGAACACTGTTACTGGAGATCAGCGACAGGAAACTCTCAATCTCAGACGCTCTTTCCATACCATCGAAGACGGGGTTCAGCATCATTGTTGAGGACGTGTTAGCTTTCGCAATGGACTCATTCAGGGCGGTGATGTTCGCGGAAAGATTGCTCATGGAGTATTCGCTGTAGACCTCATCAAGCAGCTTTTTATTATCGATGGCTTTTTGGAAATTCTCCCCAATGAGTCGTTGCAATCTGGGTTTTTCAGCTTCCAGGCTTCTCCCTAGATATTCAACGCTTTTCTGTAACTCTTTATACGTTTTTTCCCTGTGTATAGTTGTCAGGAACAAGCGCGCATTAAACGATTTCGAGTCCACCAGGAACTTCAGCTTCTTAGGGTCCCTTGTATCATCAATCACATCTTTGTCAATAAGTTCATCCAGGATCGATTCGTGAAACCCTAATGGATCGGTCAGATTGAAGGCTGAGCGTCGTTTCTCTGCTGCTGGCTCGTCAGGCTGATCCGTGAGCAACTTGTTGAGCTGTTCCTTGGGGATTCTTTTGGTGATCTCGTCCAGATTGTCATTCTCGTTCAGCACAATTGGATTCGAGGCAAGCGATGCGGTTGAGTATTCCGAAGGCTCCAGAGTACGCAATTGGTAAAAGTCCAAAAGCGTCTTTTTGTCTACTACTTCCATGCGTTGGGTGTCCATGGGAAGAAAATAAACAGAGAAATAAATTTCGTCGCGTCGATCAGTCTAGAGCAGTATGGGAGCATCAACAGAGAGCCATCTCTACAGTCGCAGTTTGCTTGGCATCTACGCAGGTCCGATCAGCTGACTCAGCTGTTCTGGACCCACTCAGCTGTGTCTCTTGTTGTTCGTCCTCCGCTTTCCGCACGTGGTTAATTTCCCCATTCGGAAACCGAGTATAAAATATTGGTTTTTTGCTACCTAAAGCAAAACTTGCTGATCTGCTTTCTACCATGGCCACACAGAAATCCGCATCGCTCGATGCTCCTCTCGAGATAAGCAAGCCGAGCACCATTGAATCAATGCCCATTCTGCCTGACCTGGCTGAGCCGGTGACGAATTTGCAGATGGACTACTTATCCTACAAGAAGTCCTTGCTCACTAAGGCAGTGTTTAAGTCCAAAGCTGTTGTTTCTCTGCTAGTGGCCGCGGTTGCGGGACTTTTCTACCGCAAATTTGGGCCTTACTTCACTCCATACAACTTTAAAAACGGAACTATCGAAGGACTACTCAATATCTACCATTCTCCATATTTCATCCAAGACGCATTCTATCTTGTCTCATCGACGTTTATGATTTTCTCCGCCACTCTTGTTGCCGCGTGGCTTCAGACAAACTTCTTGAAGTACGAGGCAGCGGAAGTGCCCAAACACATGGAGCAGTATTTTGGGCTGGACCTGGAAGAGTATGCCAAAACAGCTGTCAAGTCGAAGCTCAGAAAAGTCCCGACAGACGTGAAAAAAAAGGTGGAATTCATGGAGAAACACTCGTTTGTGGTACAATATCGCGAGACACCAATTGCATTTATAGTGCAGCAGAAGGAGACTGACTCCAGCTACAAAATCACGGGTTTTGCGGTGAGACGCGTCTATATCAGGTCCAAGATCCTCGCAGACCTTCTCGACTGGGCCAAAAAACAACTTGGTCCCCAAGAATCGACTTCGGTCGCTGTCTACTCGTTTGAGACGTTCGATATCGACATTCTTAAAGAAAGCGGCTTCAAGCTGCTGAAAAAGGAGCCGTTAGATTCCTTCGTTCTGGGAACATTGTTTGGGATCACTCGCGACACATATATCTACGGGCCAAGCAGCTAAGCTTGCGAATATCCTTTTACGCTGTATATTGTTTCGTTCTCTATAATACATTAATGACCGGCTCCGGCAGCTGTTTCTTCCTGTAGATGGAAAACATCATGGAGCTCGTCGTCCTCGAACTCGTTGTCGATCTCTATCTCGCGAAGAAGACCCGTCTTCACGTCATAAATAAATCCCAGTATCTCAAGCCCGCTGTGTTTCGATGCAGTCACGAAGCTAGGATGTTTGCGGATTTCGCTAATGGAATTGGCAATGTTGAGTTCACTGAGCTTGGTGCATTTGTCAAATGGGTCCTCGATGCTCTTCAGAGTGGCCAGGTTTTTGGCACGGATTTGTCTGACAGGCGCCAGCCAGTTGTCCAGCACGCCGCCGATTTTTTTGGACGCCAGGGCCGCCCAGACTCCGCCACAGTCGGTGTGGCCACACACAATGATCCGTTTCACCTTGAGCACGTCAATGGCAAACTGGAGCGCAGACATGGACGAGAAGTCCTGGTAAGATATCAGGTTGGCGATATTGCGTAGGGTAAACACCTCACCGGGAACGCAACCCAAAGTGGTGCATTCATTCACTCTGGAATCAGAACATCCAACCCACAGAGTGTGCGGAGACTGGCCCTTGCCGGACTTCTCCAACACTGCTGGCATCGTCTCCTGCAGGCGTTTCATCGCAGAGCGGTTAGCCTGTAAAATGTCGTTTACGTTGCTATCTCTGTCAAGCTGGAAAGGCGACTCCGAACTCACAGAAACTGAGGATTGGGAACTAAGAGACGGCGACATGCTGGTGGACGACGTCTTGTCAAGCTCAATCTCGGACTCTGTGGCGCCAGTCTGCTTGTGAGGGTGGTGATGGTGCCGTGGCTCGACGCCCTCCTGCTCGTGCTCGTATCTGATAACGTTGTTGATGCCCATTCTGGTGGAAAAAGTGTGTAATCTTCTTGGTAGGAGAGCAGATCTGAGCATCTAAACCTCGCGGACGGGCCGCTCAGGTATATATATAGTGCAAACCTCCAACGTTTTCTTCCAGGACGCTATTGTTCCGTCATTAGCCGCAACGCAAATTCAATGATGACATCAATATTTTACAATAGTTATCGATGCAACAGCGAACTTTTTCAGACGCACACCGGGTGATGTAAATAAAAAGTTTTTTTAGCTGATCAGGCTGTGCACTTGAACCAGGCTTGTTGAGTCATCTGTTGAGCAATGAAAGCCGCGCTCCGCCAGACGATCAAAACGCGACTCGCTAAAGTGAGCCAGCCAGAGCTTTTGGCGCAGTCGCAGCGAGTTCTCGCCAAGCTCACGGCGTTGCCCCAGTACCAGAACGCCCAGACTATCGCGCTCTACATGTCGATGGACAACTCCGAAATTAAGACAGATCTGCTGGTCAGAGATGCCCTTGAACGCGGAAAGCGTGTCTTCTTGCCCCGCATCACACAGTTGTCAAAGTTCCAGGACTACCGGCGACACGAAAAACAGAAATCCTGCTTGCATTTTCTACAGGTAGAACTAGACGATCTCGAGAAAATGAAGCCGCAGGGAAAATACCAGTTGCGAGAGCCAACGTTCCAATTTGCAGGCGGAAAAGTGGTGAACGATCTTCTGCTTACCAACACCCGGCTCGACCTCATGGTCATGCCGGGACTCGCCTTTACGCCGAACTGCGACCGGCTCGGACACGGCGTGGGCTTCTATGACGACTTCATCAAAAGATATCACGAAAAGTACAGCACAAAACCATATCTGCTGGGAATCGGGCTCAAAGAACAGCTGGAGCAGACGCTGCCCCTGGAGGCTCATGACGAAAAACTCGATTGTGTGATTCTGGGAGACGGGCAGTGCTTCCACTAGAACAGGCCAAAGAACCACTTAGTGCGCTCGGGAACAAACTTTGCGGTTGCCTTAACCAGCGTTCTCTTACCATTCCCAGCCAGCATAACGCCTCTGACCTCGACCTCTCCGTTCTCGACGGGACCAACCTTGGACTTGATGACCACGAAGCTGTCAACGAGCGTCGGGAACTTATAGTTTAGCGTAAGGCTTTTCGTGTGGACCTTTGCTGGGTTTTGCAGCCCATTTTGTAGCATGCAGTGTTTCTTCAGCGTCTCGTCGATCACCAGCGAGATAATGCCACCATGGACCAGAAATGGGTATCCACACAGCTTTTTCCCCAGATGAACAACACTGATGGACTCTCCGGACTCCTGGTTGTGGAATGTGATTGGCGCAATGGCAATGGAGCCAGGTGTGTTGAGTTTCTGATGGATGCCGTCCTTGACGGTGTCCAGCTGGTTCCACGCGCGCATGGCCACATATTTCGGGTCTTTGGACAGGTCTGCAACGACCGGCACTTGTTGCAACTTACTCTCTAGTTCCTGCTGATATTTCTCCGTCTCCTGCGGCGTGGTTGGCAGTGGGGTAGTGATGAACTGGTCCACTATCTCCTGGGCGGAATACTTGTAAGACAGGCCTAAACCAGCGGTGAATGCGAGCACATACAGCGGAACGTACGAGCGTGTGCGTTTTGCAGCTGTCTGCGAGTACGATCTGATAATCTGCTTGCCAATTGGCACGAATACTCTTGCCGTAAACATGACGGGGAAGAAGGGGACAATTACAAAATATCACTGGACGATCGACGCAAACTTAAACTGGAAAATTTTACAAGGCAATCTACAATGTCGTTCCTAGGATTCGGAGGAGGGGCTCCCCAGATCTCTTCAGAGCAGAAAATCCAGGCCGCTGAGGCCGAGCTCGACATGGTCACCACCATGTTCAACCAGCTCGTCGACTCGTGTCACAAGAAGTGTTTTGACAGAAACTACGCCGAAGGAGACCTGACCAAGAACGAGAGCTTGTGCATCGACAGATGTGTTGCCAAGTACTTCGACGCCAACGTCAAGGTGGGCGAGAGCATGCAATCATTGGGCAAGAGCGGAAGTCTCAACAGGAAATAAATGAATCGTGTGTATATACAGATTACCTATTATCAATCTAGCTAATGCAGGTGGCACTAGAGTCCTAATGCTTTGAACAGTCTCAGACGACATCCTTCGAGGGTGTTGAGCTTGGGACGCACGTCCAGATAAAATGCCGGGTCTCCCTCCTTTGCCGGCGGAGTGCTGTAGAAATCGATCACATAGTCCACTCTTTTCCCGCACCGGTCCACGATCCAATCGTGTCTGTCGAACGGCAGGTCTGCGCCAAAAATCAGGTTGCGGATCCGCGCACGAGGAGTGATTTTCTTCGAGTCTCCCTTGAAAGACGTCAGCTGGACTCCACCGCAATTCTCGCCTCCCTGACCGTTTTCCCACATCAGAATGTACGCCCATGCCCGCTCGTTCACCATATTGTGGATCGGAACGATGGTTTTCATGTCTCCCGCGTCCGGGTTCCAATCTTTGCGTCTCATGGCGTTGAAGAACTGTTTCTGCGACGGATATATCCAGTTCGATTTTGCGCCCGTACGTGGGATGGACGAGACCTCGCGCTCCTCAGGGAGGTCCACGTCCACGACGATCGGCTTTGGCGAGTCTAGGTCGTCGGAGGAGCACGTTGTGTCCTGCTCCACGGCCTCGGGAGCAAACGTCGTTTTTCCTGCGGTGAGCCACGTTTTGCGCGCTTCGTGGTCGACAGGACACGTTTCCGAGGAGCTGCCGGTGGCCGGTGGGTGTCCTGGCGGGTATATGCTCTGGGAGGGGGCGATCTGAGCTGGAACGGATGGTGCCCACAGCAGTCGCGAGAGGAACGACTGCGGGGCCGCGGGCTCCCGAGACGGGCTCTGTCTGGCCCGCTCTGTCTGCTTGGCCTTCGCAAGCCACTTTTCGCGGGCCGCGTGGTCCACAGGGCACTTTGGCTGGTCCTGGCTCATGGCTGATGATTGTTTGAAATTTTATTGGAGCACAAATGGTGCGAGGAGTGTGGATACAGTTGAAATACATACATTCAGTGACTACATAAACAAGTTCCAGAATCCACGTTTCTCCAGAGCGACCTCGTCGGAGGCAGTCGAGACGTAGTCCGACGCGTTGGCGTACGTGCTGCTGCTCAGCCGGTAGTATGGGACATACGACGAGTACGCAGACGAGGTGGTGGTGTTGGAGTAAACGGCGGGAGCAGAGTAGCTCGAGCTCGAGGAAGTCGCGGAGGCGCTCGAGGTGATGTAGTCTGTGACGTAGGAGGTCACGTAGGAGGTCGAGACGGCCGTCTCGAAGCACGACTCGGTGGTCAGCACCGTCAGGGTAGAGCCGGCAGAGTCGGTGATAGGGATGGTGGCAGTGACCGACATGGTCAAAGTGGACGTCAGGTACACGGTGCTGGTCAACGTCAAGTCCGAGGAAGCGCTTGACGAGGCGCCGCAGCCCGCGGTGACCGTTTCCGTGACAGTCACGGTAGCAGGGGTGGCCGAGGCTGCTGGTGCAGAGGTTTCCGACGAGGAGGCCGGCGAGCTGCTGGCGGCGGTCTCGACGACGGCGGTTGCCTGGGCAGCGACCGACGAAGGAGAGGCCTCGGGGCTCGAGGTGGACGAGGTGCCTTGTGTGACCGTCACGAAGACTGTGGACGTTCTGGTCGAAGTGGTGGTGATCTCCTTGCCGTTGGACTCGTAGGTGGAAGTCACAACGTCCTCAGTTGGCTCGGACGAGACGCTGACCAGTGCGGACGCAGAGGTCGTGGCAGCAGCAGCGCTCGTGCTCGAGCTGGAGCATGGCACGGTGACGGTGATGGTGACGCCCTCGCTGACAGTGGTGTAAGTGGTGTAGTCAGTTGGAGCAGCAGAGCTGGAGCTGCTGGAGCTGCTGGCGCTGGTGGCCACGCTGACAACGCTGTAGGAAGCGGCGAGGGAGGAGGAGGAGGAGGACGCAGACGAGGAGGCGCTGCTGGACGTGTCTGCCAAGCAAAGAGTGCAAGGTTCCACGATGGTCACTGTCGAGCCAGCTGTAACAGTGGTGTAAGTGGTCAGGGGGGTGGAGGAGTTGTCGTATCTCTTGCCGAGGTTGAAGAACCCGGCAACGGGAAGGGCCTCGGCTTGGGTAGCGGAAAGGGCCAAACAGGTGTAAAGGAGCGACAAGAAGTTCATTCTGGAAGCACTGCGATTTCTGTTCAACGGATGTTTAAAGGAGTGACTGGTTGAGGAAATCGAGAGCACTGAAGCTTGGAAATTGTCAGTTGGTCAGTATCGCTGTGTATTTGTTGTAAACATTTCAACAACAGCCACTGCCTCTTTTTTATAACACGGTGATTTTGGAATGTAAGCGTTACGAAGGAGTAAACTTGCAACCGCGACTGCTATGCATCGAAATAATAAAATATGACAATTGAAATATTTTAGATCAATGTCGCGAAACGCGTCTCGCCTGAAAATCTTGCCTGTTTCGCGTGAGCTTATAACGACAAACAATGCATCCTCGACCTAAAACAAGGTTTTGGGAATGGTCCGACACGGTGTCGTCCACCGCAGCGCTCTATACATGCTACAGATCCGGATCTGGCGTGAGGCCAAGATGCTGTCCTGTGAGGAACTGCATCTCTCCAATTTGTTCTGGAAAATATTCCTGCTTGACCCGTCCGTCCTTGTAGTCCGGATTGTATTTGTAACCTTTCGAGTAGCCAACCTCTTTCATAAGCTTCGTCGGCGCATTGCGCAAATGTAGCGGGATGGACGCCGACGCAAATTCCGGCTCAGAGTCGAGCTTAGCATTCAGCTCGTTCCAGCCTCTGTATATCTCCACAGATTTTGGTGCTCGTGCTAGTTTCACCGCGCAATGCACCAGCGCTAAATCAGCCTCGGGAAGCCCAACAAACTGCACGGCCTGGTACGTCGCTATGGCGAACGGCAGGCACGAATCGTCAAGCACGCCGACGTCCTCGCTTGCTATTCGTATCATTCTCCGGGCGATATAGAGCGGATTCTCGCCCCCTTTCAGCATTCGCCCCAGATAGTACATGGCAGCGTCGGCATTGGATCCTCTGATGGATTTGTGGAACGCAGATATGGTATCATAGTGTGCGTCGCCCACGCGGTCGTAGACCATGTGGGTACGCTTCAGAACTTCTCTCAATTGCTCAGCATTGACCTCTATCACATGTTTGCCTGGCTCCAAACTGTAGTTCGTCATGAAATGCGAGTCTGCGAGCTCCAGCAGGTTCAAGGCACTCCGTGAGTCTCCATCTGCTATATTGCAGATATAGCCAATTGCCTCTTTGTTGAATCGCAGAATTGGGACGTTATGAACCAGTTTGCGCGTTTTGTTGATCACCAAAAGCGCTTTGGACACGATCTTATGGAGTTCGTCGGAGGTGAGTCTGTTGAGCACAAAAACTCTGCAACGCGACAGAAGAGCGCTGTTGAGCTGGAAACTCGGGTTTTCTGTCGTTGCGCCCACAAGCGTGATGGTGCCCTTCTCAACATGGGGCAGAAAAATGTCCTGTTGCGCCTTGTTGAACCGATGGATCTCGTCAATGAATACTATGGTGTGTCTTTTCGTCAGCTTGTACTCGTTGCGTGCCTCTTCGAAAACGCGTTTGCAATCGCTGATTCCGTTGGACGTCGCGCTGAGCTCAATAAATCGCGATTTAGTAGCGTGCGAGATTAATCGTGCCAGCGTCGTCTTGCCTGTGCCCGGATATCCCCATAATATGAGCGATGGAACGCGATCGTTCTGGATAAACCCTCGGAGAATGCCTCCCTCGCCGACCAGATGTTCCTGTCCGATGTAGTCTTCGAGGCTGGAGGGCCGAAGACGCTCTGCCAGGGGCAATTTTGCTTGTGCCTTCAAAAGACGTAGCTCGTCAGCAGGATCGGTTTTTCGCACCTTGGGCTCCGGCTCAACGATCTCAATTGATGTGTTCCCTTCGTGGTCCGACGACAGCGACTGGCTGTCTGAAAGAGTCCGTTTTTGGCTGTTCTCGTACTTATAAGAAGACTTTTTGGTGGACTTGGTACCGGTCAGCAGCGAGGAGACCGATTTGGCAGGCTGCGACGTTAGCTCAGGGGCGGTCTCTGTGGCTGGAGCCGGAGCGGCTGGTGGCGGGACACTTTCGGGCTGTTCTGTGCAGGTATCCAGATGTTTATTAATGAGCGCGATGTCGACTTTTCTCTGACAGACGGGGCAGTTTATCAAACGCATACGCGAAATAGATAAAGAATTTCTTGATCTGCTCAAAAAAAAAAAAAAAAAATCTATGTCAATTACAAATCGAGCTACATAAGTCATAATTCATCCTTGGCGTTTTTAGCGCTTTTGGATTTCGCGGACCTGCTTTTTTTGAAGTCCCTGAAGCTTTTGTACAGACCCTTTTTCAGACCCTTCAAGAAAGCCCCGCGTGGGCTGGTCTCCCCGTCCTCTGCCTCTCCATAATTGCCCAAAAACTCCGCTATGGCTGTTCTTTCGGTGGGGCCTTCGTACCGATGGAACGACCCATCGCGATCAATCACCACGATCTGCGGTAACTCCTTGACGTCAACGTATTTCTCGACCTCAGATCTGATCTCGTCAGTCACCGTCAGATAGCCAAACTCCATCGATCCGAGAAAATCAATTGCCAATGCCTTGAACATGGGCGAGATGGACGTTTTGCTGGTCAGGAGAAGAACCCGCGGTTTGTCCTTGGGAGCCAAGAAGCCGGGGACATTGCGCGCATTGAGCCTCTTCACATAGTTCTTCACACGGCCTTTCACAAACTCCGTGAGCTTGCTGGCAACCCGCTCACCACGGTAGATCTCGGAGCTATGGCCATTTTCCTTGGTGACCTTACCGGTCCACTTTGGCGGTCTGAACACTAAGACCGTTGGAAAACCCTCAATTCTGTACTCGTTGCACAGCTTTTTGTTTTCCGGCAAATCGCAGTTGACCGCAGCATACTGTGCCACGTCGGAGCTGGCTTTGGCTGCCTTGATGTAGTGGCTTCTGAACTGCTGACAGTATCCGCACCAAGGGGCGTAGAACTCGACCACGGATGTGTGGTTTGTCTTGTAGACAACGTCGTCAAACGACTTGGGCGTCAGCTCGTAAATGTGTTTCGAATTGGCATAAAAGGCGTGGGCCAGCGACACCAAAAAGAATAGCACCAACATGATTATGTTTCCACTCTGCGAGTTATTTTTGGTGGAAAAATTTATTATTTTTATTCATCAAAATGATCACCAAGTTCTTCTCCAAGATTGTGGTTAAGTTCAATCCTTTTGGGCCAGAGGCCAAATGCGCGCGCTCTTTCATTGGGCTCATTTCGCCTCAGCTTCGTCAGACATGCCAGGTCGACCTCGAAGTGCTGCCTAGAGCAAGCACTAAACCTCCGCTTCTCAAAGTGACGTTCAAAGATAACACCTCGATGGAGGGCAATCCGGCCGAGCAAACGCTGGAGGATATTAGCCAGATGCTCGATAGACACTCAAGACAGCTACAGTTCAAGGAAGACGCAAACAGATAGAGCCAATGATAGCATGGTGTGCAGTGCTAGGCATTGCACAGTGATGTTTTTTTCAGCTAAATAATTTTCACACTTTTGTACATACTATATGATAAGATCAGCCGTACTAAGAATAGGGAAACGTTCCCTTAGTTCGAAGACTACTGTCATAACAACTCCTATTTTTTATGTCAACGCCAAGCCCCATATCGGACATTACTACTCAATGACTCTCGCGGACGTCTACAACAGATGGCTCAAATTAAGTGGAGAGTCAACTTTTTTCACAACAGGCACGGACGAACATGGTCTCAAGGTCCAAACAGCAGCTTCCATTGCTGGACTAGATCCAAAAACCTTTTGTGATGGACTCTCCCAGAAATTCAGAGACCTGGCTTCCGTAGGAAATATACAGCACGATAGATTCATTAGAACCACAGATCCCGATCACCTGGAGGCCGTGCAATTTTTCTGGAAAACCCTGGAGGAGAAAGGACACATATACAAGGGCAAACATAGCGGATGGTACTCGGTTTCCGACGAGTGCTTCTATTCAGAGACCGAGATCGAGGAGGTGGACGGGAAAATGGTCGCCAAGGAGACAGGCGCGGCCGTTGTGTACGAGACCGAGGAAAACTACTTCTTCCGCTTGCGCGAGCACCAGCAGCGGCTTGTCCAGTTCCTCGAAGCCAACCCAACATTCGTGCAACCTGCCCTCTACCACCAAACACTGCTGCGTGATCTGCGGTCACGTGACCTCGACGACCTGAGCGTCTCGCGGCCCAGTTCGCGGGTGAGCTGGGGCATCAGCGTCCCTGATGACCCGTCTCAGAAGATGTACGTTTGGTTTGATGCTCTGATCAACTATCTGACCTGTATTGGGTATCCTGCTCAGATACCGCACGGGCCATCGTTTGTGCATCTGGTTGGAAAGGAGATCGTCAAGTTCCACTGTATCCACTGGCCAAGCTTTTTGATGGCCTGCGAGCTTCCACTCCCGCGCGGTGTAATTGTTCACGGCCATTGGCTCATGGGTGGGCGCAAGATGAGCAAGAGCCGGGGCAATGTTGCCGATCCGGTCGAAATCTGTGAAAAATACGATACTGACGCACTACGTCTATTTATGATGCGCTATTCTGTGCTGGACTCAGACTGCGACTATTCTGAAAGCAAGCTGAACGCGACGAGAAACGAGTTCATCGACAAGTTCTGCAACCTGCTCACGCGGTCTCTGTCCAAGAAGTTCAGTATTTCTCGGGCTCTCGCAAAGGTTGAGACTCGCGGGGTTTCGAGCCTGCTTGACGAAGCTGGGGAGGAATACGCAGCTGACTTGCGGTCGCTTTATGAGCAGGTGGACGAGCTGCCGGGGATTATCGATCCGCATTTGAGGAAAATGGAGCTGCACAAGGCGGTCCTAGCTATCTGGCAATTGCTTCCTCGAATTAATGGACTATTCGACAAATACGAGCCATGGAGACTAAAAGGGCCTGAAAACGAGCTCAAACAGGACCTTGTGATCTTTAGTGCACTCGACTCACTGCGCTGTTTGCTGATCCTGTTGCAGCCTGTTGTTCCTGACTACACAAAGATGCTGCTCGACAAATTGCAGGTCGAGCCTTCCAAACGAACTATAGACATGGCCGGCATTGCAAGAGACACTAGCTATGCCAAGTCCGCTACTTTCTCGAAAGGAGAGACGGTCCCGTTGCAAAAAATCAAACTAGACTAAACGGCTATTTTTATGGCCTCGCACTGGAGGCTGTCCAGATCCAGTACTGCCATCTGGCCCGTCTCGCAAAAATCCGGCACCGCGACGATCCGTACGGGTATCGGAGGGTCTCGGGCGCAGTGCAGCGTCATCTCGGCGGTCTCGAACTTGGGCTGGTTGCCGACAAAGTACACGTGAGGAGTCTCGTCCAGGGTGAACGGGTCGTCGACGTCGTACGGATAGCACGTGAGCGTGTCTGGCGCAGTAGGGACGACGTTCTGCCAGTGCATTGTTGCTTCCAGAAGCTTGAGTCTGGACTCGTTGACGATTTCGTTTCTGACCGGCGAGTCCATGCCGTTGCCCTCTCCGTTGAGGTCCACCTGTATGTTAGGAATAAAGTACTTGAACATATCGTTGATGTTTTCTCCCGACGTGCCCAGCAGTCGCACGCCGTCGATTTCGAGCCAGGCAGGATTGGTGGAGCGCGCGAAGTTGGCATACGAGCCGGCCTTCTTGAAAAACGCCGGGTGCAGAGGCTGTTTTGGAAGACTCACCTCGCAGGGGTCCGAGTCGCCCGGCATGATGGTCACGGGGACGGAGTTCAGCAGCTCGTAGATGTAGGCGTCCAGCTGCTCGATTGCGTCCGCGTCGTAGTTGGACTTGTTGAGCTCCCTATATTTATCTTTCTCCAGCACCACCTGGTCGGGCGACTCGACGCATCTGATCGAGTTGCCCGCTAAAACGACCCGCGTGATCGATCTCAGGAACTCCACGGTTTCAGGCGACGAGTCCAGCTCTCCCATGAGGTACTCCTTGAGCACTTCGAGCGGACCCAGGCTGCTCTGGTTGTTGATATGGAGCCCCGAGATCAGCAGCACCTTGTTGCCCGCGGTGTGCACCGGACGCGGCACTTGCGGCCCTGGCTCCGGGTATACCACGTCCACCACGGTGAAAATGCCGGCCTCGACCTCCATGCCCAGAACACCAACCACTGCCCCGGTGACGAGCAATATTTTATCGAGGATCTCGCCGTCCAGAATCATCCGTCCAGACTCGTCTTCGAGCATCACCTGGTCGTTCTGCGGGTCAGAGTACGCGGTGGCCCGCAGCTGGTCCAGTTTGCTGAGCTCCGCAGACTCCTGCACGTCGTTTGCCCCGTACACGTTGTTGCTCACCTCCTCGAGAATGTTGGGCTTGTACTTCATGTCCATGAAAACGGTTCCGATGGTGTAGCAGGGCGTCATGTTCTTGATGTCGAGGATTTTGTTCACATACACCACGCTTTTGTTGTTGATTGTCTCCTGTTTCCACTTGGCGTTGGCACGTTTGAGACAACGCGACTTGAGCTTTTTCACGCGCTGGCTGTAGATCTTGTTGAACTGGTTGGCGTACGTCCGCGTGCCGGGAGCAAGCCTGTACGCGTCGGACTTGCTGAACTGGTCGGGGACCGCGGATTCGTGGCGAAGAATGCGGTCAGAGGTCATGGTGTTCATACGCGTAGTACGGTGCAAGGGTGAAAAATTATTTATCGAATCACAATCACTGTGGTTCAAATGGGGTGGGCGCGGGAGTTGGCGTCTGGCGGACACTTTTCGAGCGGTCATCACGGTCCTAGCACACACGCGACGGAAAACGACTTGGTCTAAGCGAGACCTGTCCCGTCCCAATGGCATCTGGCTGCCGCACTCGTAGACTTGTGGCTACTTCTCTGAACAGGAATGAGAGAGACGCCAGCAGCTTCGACGCAAACGAGTCTGTTCTCTTTTGCTGCGCAGCAACAGAGGTCGTCACGACTACGGGGCTGCGTCGTGACGAGCTACAAGATTGCACACCGATGAGAACACAGCGCAGAATGAGAGAGCTAGCGAGTCCTCAACGACACGAGCCACGTCGACATATCAATCGTATCTGTAGACTCTTTAGGACCACATGTGCACACTGCCCAGCCAGACCCAGCGTAGATCGACAGGGTCCTAAAGCTACCTGTGGCGGTGTACAGATGCCCCGGGACTCGAATTCGGGCTGTGGTGCGAGGAGGACCAATGGACACCATAACAAAAATCACAGGGACTTAATTCTGTATATTGCACAATGGAAAGACTCGACCTAGCCACCTACAGCAAGGAGATCAAGCAGTACTACGACAATCTCATCTCCGGTGAGCTGTCCTACGTCATTTACACCACCCAGAAAGACTCGTCTCTCAAGCCGACCGTCCAGGGCGACGGAGACATCAACGAATTCGTGACCGAGTTTGAGGAAGGCGCAGTCCAATTCGGTTACATTCGTGTCACTCCGTACGGTTCTGACGTCCAGAAGATTCTGCTTGTCGGCTGGTGTCCAGACTCTGCCCCCTTGAAGAGCAAGGTCTCGTTCTCGAATAACGTCGCCGAAGTCGGCAGGATCTTGCACTACCACGTCCAGGTGACTGCGAGAGACCCAGATGACCTGGACGTGGACGACCTGCTCAAAACAGTGAGCAATGCGTCCGGTGCTAGGTATTCCATCCAGTCGCTGCCACAGTCCTCTGCTCCTAGAACCACCAAGCCTGCCCCAAAGCCTGTCCCGAAGGCTGCCAAAACGGAAGAACCAGCTCCTCCCAAACCCGCTAGAATGAATCCGCCTAAACCTGCTACAGCCCCTGCTCCAGCTAAGCCTGCCGAACAGGACGATGAATGGGGCGGAGAAGAAGAAATACAAGAGAGAGACTTCAGCAAAAAGCCACTGGAGACCCTTCCTTCCGCATACAAACCAACAAAGGTCGACATTGAGGCCTTGAGAAACGGTCCGTCACAAACGACCAGCTCGCAGCCTGCCACCGTGTCGTTGAGTCTCGGAGACGGTCGCCTGTCTTCCCTGCCAAAACCAAAAGTGACAAACTCTGTCGCTTCCAAATTCCAGGAAGTTGTCCAGCCTTCGTTCGGCTCCAAACCTTCCTTTGGCGCTCCCCCAAAGAGGGAAGACCATGTCTCTTCTGGCCTGAACCGCAATTTTGGAGCCACCAACGGTAAGACCCCTGCACAGCTCTGGGCTGAGAAGAAAGGGCAGTACAAGGATGTGGAGACCGATTCGAAGCCCGTGAATGCTGAGTCTGAAGAAGAGACTAATGTGCATGTCGACGATGTCAGGGCCAAGCTGGAGGCCCTGAAAACCGAGGAGGAGCCAAGGCAAGCATTTCCTCCTCCGCCGGTGAGATCCTCGTTCCCACCTCCTCCAGTCAGAGCTGTTCCGAAGGAGGAAAAAGAGGAAGAAGAAGAGAAGGAGAGTGAGCCAGAAGAGGAGAAAGAGTCCCAAGTCGCTCCTGAACCTGCTCCTGCCCCTCCTACCGCACCACGGCCGGCTCCTGCTGCTCCGTCAGCAGCTCCAACGGCCGTTGCAGAGTACGACTACGAGCCAGCTGAGGATAACGAGATCGGCTTTGCAGAGGGTGAAGTTATCGTGGACATCAAGTTTGTCGACGAAGACTGGTGGCTCGGAACCAACGCTGCTGGCAAAACCGGTCTTTTCCCTGCCACATATGTTGTCTTGAACGAGAAAAACCACGACGAAGAATCAGCTGTCGAAGAGGCTCCAGAACCAGAACCAGAACCACAAACTTCCAAAGGGCTAACTGCTGTGGCAGAGTACGACTACGATGCTACTGAGGATAACGAAATCAGTTTCAAAGAGCAGGATGTCATCACAGAAATTGAACAGGTCGACGAAGATTGGTGGCTGGGATCCTGCAACGGCAAGAGAGGATTATTCCCTGCCAACTACGTTAAGCTACAATAATGCGAAAACGGATATTAGCAAGTTGTATAAATAACATCTAGAATTGGTAGTTCACTCTGAATTTTGCTTGAAGAGCGTCCCCCAGAGATACAGGGCTGGAGCGCCAGCTGCTGTCCTCTTGAGCCCACGCCGTGCAACAATGCCCTCGTGGGCGTTGAGAGATCTCACGTAGACGGGTATTTTGATCCAGTCGAGCTCGTTCAGGCTTGCACACATCAACTTGCGCTTATCATCGTATGGTAACGGTTCGAGCTTATCTGTCAACGGAAGCTCTGCCAGTGGACCAACATCCATCTCATTTATGAGGAATTTGAGAGATTCAGCAGCCTCTTCGGCGTCAAACTCGACCAGAATAGGGTTTGTATCATTGAGCGTTTCGGACCCTGCCCCCGAGTCTGTCGAAGACTCGCCCTTATCGCCCTGATCGGCAGACAGCTCCTGGAGTGTGTTTTCGACAATCTCCTGTGTTGCTTCGGCCAACGGATCCTCGTGTTCTCTTCTTTGGGTATGATGCCGAGCCTTGTTGCCCTCCAGTCGTTTCTGCAGGGTTTTCCAGGCACCTCCGTGGTCGAACACCGGCAGAAGCGACATCCTTATTGCGCTTTTGATTGTTCCAAATACACTCGCCACAAAAATCACCGGCAAGACCAGCGGAAGAAGCATCAGAAACACTCCAATGGCAATATTGCGGGTCCGTTGAAGATGGTCGATTTCTTCCTTATTTTTCAGCTCTGGATGGTACATTGTGGCCTTCAGGTCCACGATTCGAACCGGATACTCTTTGCCTAGCACCTTTACTGACGGCAACCCATCCACGTACTTGATTTCCAGGTTCTCCCAGAATTCGAACGGATTGTAGTTGGAGATGTACGAGGTAGCAAAGCTGACGAGTCTGTCGTTGCGCACATTGGCAAGAAGTATCCTTACTCTGAACAGAGACAGCCCTTTGAAGTACTTGCTTTCCTTGTCTGCTAGCTCCGGAAGCAGATCGGACTTGTGAATGAACAAGTCTCTTCCTGACTGTCCCACGAGTCTGCTACCAAGGAAATTCATCGCCCTGTCCAGAATCCGAGAGACTCTGAAAAACTTCACTCCAAGGTGTGGAGATGCGAACGTGCTGAACACCACGGGCTCAATGCTGTCGAAAAAGCCAATCTCATACAATTCTCCAATACAGTACCTCGCAATCAGCCCCCCTAAACTGTATCCCACCACGCTGATCTTCCTGACCTCCACGTCCTCGTCGCTCTTCAAATTCTCAATTGCGTCAAATATGTCTTTAATGACTCGGTCTCCGTTCACCTTGATGCCGTCGTATGTCTTGAAGGACCCGAAAGACGAGGGCTTCAAATAGTGGATTCGGTCTTCGGAAGACTGCAAACACTCCTGGAGAACCTGTTCCACCATGTCCATATGGCCTGAAACTCCCCACATACTGAATTATTAGCATTGGCGCCTCCTCCGAGCAAACTTACCCGTGGATCAGAACGACTAGATGGCCCACTTTTGCCATCTTTAGTATAGGAAATAAATATCGAACCGCTACAAAAATACCGACGCGTCGAAATATTTTTTTTTCCTATCGTTGACTATGTTTAGTGCTCCTGGCAAAGCCTTTGTGGCCGGAGGCTATCTGGTTCTGGACCCCAAATACAGGGCGTTTGTGATAGCCTTGTCGTCCAGAATGTATGCCCATGCTCACGTGGAGAAAGAGGCCGCAAAATACACCGAGGTTTGTGTCAAGTCCCCCCAATTCGCAGAGGGAGAATGGTGCTACAAGATAGATCTTTCCCGACCAGATCTCGCTCAGGAAATACACGGCCGCCACAATCCCTTTGTGAAATCTACAATAGACGTTGTTTTGCTGTATCTGGCTCCAAAACAGAACAAACGCATCACCATCACCATCTTCTCTGACCCAGAGTACCACTCTCAGAAAGACTCCACGCCGAAGACCTCCAAAACGGGTCTCAAAACTTTATACTACCACTCGCAGCCAATACACAAGGTGGCGAAGACGGGACTGGGCTCTAGTGCGGGTCTGGTTGCGTGCTTGACGACGGCGTTGCTCTCGTGTTTCAGTGAAAGCTTTGACGTGAAAAAGGAAACCACACTCACGAGGATCCACAACCTTGCTCAGGTTGCTCATTGTCACGCCCAGGGCAAAATTGGCTCAGGATTCGATGTGGCTGCTGCAACGTTTGGCTCAATTGTCTACCGCAGGTTCGATCCACAGCTTGTGAACAAAGTGATAGAGTCTTGGAAAAACGACGACTTGGTGCAATTGGTCGACAACACGGACTGGAAGATAGAACACACAAAGTGCTGTCTGCCTCCAGGAATCAAACTGCTCATGGGAGACATTGTCGGGGGGTCAGAGACTCCAAAACTGGTTTCCAAGGTTCTGGAATGGAGGAAGAAGGAACCTGAAAGGTCGCTTGAGGTGTGGACACATTTGAACACGAACAACATGCGGCTTATTGAGTCGCTTGAAAAGCTACAAGACACCAGCAAGATCCAGCCGGAAACATACAAATTATCGCTCCGGAGTCTGGTGGAAGGCAACAAAAGCGGCTTCAGCGACGTTGTATCGAGTATTCGGGGAATTCGCCGGTACATGAAAATCATGACGCAGGAGAGCGGCGCGGAGATTGAGCCAGACCAGCAGACAGAACTGTTAGACTACTGCATGTCGCTAAAAGGTGTTTTGGGCGGAGTGGTGCCTGGAGCTGGAGGCTACGACGCGGTCTGCTTGCTGGTGGCCGAAGACGCCATTCCGGAAGTGGTGGAGCGCACAAAAGACCTGTCTGTGACGTGGCTGAACCTGCGCGAGCAAGAAACAGGCATCCGCGAAGAGGACGTGTCGAGCTTTATCGGTTTTTTATAGATAAAGAATTGTAATTGGCACACCTCGCACCTGCCACAAATCTGTGCGGGCAAGGGTCCCGCTCCGCGAAGCCTCATCACGTAATGAAGCAAATATAGTAACTGAAAACATCAAGGGCACCAAAATAGAGGGTTTGTGTACCTTAGGTTATGTTGTCAACTGAATCCGTAGTGAGCATTTCGGACTCTTCCATTTCCAATAGAGGCTCTGAACACTACGAGCTCAGCAGGTACCTTCCCCCTTATCGGTCGTTATTGAACCCCAACCGAACTTTTGACTACCGAAGCCACAAGTATGTGGAAGGTTCCGTGGAGTTTAAACTCAGCAGTCTTTTTACGAGAAAGAAGAAGCCGGAATCGAATATCAAGATGAAGTACCGGTCGCTGCTTACCCCATTGTCGAATACCAGGAAGCGCATCATGGATGCGGCCTCTGATACATTGTCAGTGAAATCTCTGAAATCTTCACTTTCGGTTGCCAGCTTGAGGAAGTCTACCACCTTGAGTGCGCAACATCTTATGGATCTCCCGGATGAGATTCTGACAACGATTCTCTCGTACCTTAGAGATGACCAGAAATCGCTGGTACATCTGCTCTATGTGAACAAGCGACTGAATATAAGTGTCAAGCCTGTGCTCTATGAAAACCCATACGTCTCGTCCACATACAGGTTAGCTCAGTTAGTCCACACTATCAACAATAGCAAAGAACTGGCTCTCATGATCAGGACCATTGATCTGTCGACAATAAGTCCTGGCTTAGAGTTGGAGGAAAATGCGTTTCGGTTGTATGACATATTTGCAGAACAGGGCGACGACGCAATGCCTTTTGCGTCTGACGACAAAGACATACTTGCCGGCTGGAGAGACTGGAGATACAGAAACCACCCCTTGTATGGTTTGCAGCGCACCCTTACCGGTCAGACCCATCGATCATCGCGGAGTTCTCGACCTCAGATGAAAGATCGCAAATTGTCGGCTTCTTCTAACTCGACCACAGGCTCTCTATTTTCCAACAACGATGATTCTGAGACAGATTCGTCGCGCACATTGTCCGCCTCTCCAATAAGAACTAAGAGGAAAAAACAAACTTTTAGGAACTCCTTGAAGCAGGTTTTCAAGAGTGCTTCCTCCGGAACAGTCACAACGATTGAAATCTCAGACTGGTACAGCGATCTCAAACCCACAAAATCTATAACTCCCAAGTTCCCTCCTAGAGTTAGTGACCTTGACTTCCTGACGCAGTCTGACTCGCTGGCCGTTGGCGAGAACACACAACCGTACTCCACGCCTCATCCGCTTCAAAACAGATTTTTGAGCCAGTATTGCTACTCTAAGGATATCCCGATTGGATACTTGTTGCACATATTCCAGGAATGTGAGAACCTCGTTCACGTGGACCTCACTGGTGTCTCCTGCAGTAACGACTTCGAGATGAAAGATTACGAATACTTCAATTGGCAAACGTCCAAAGGTAAACTCAGGCAACTTCCAGTAATTGGCTACCGTTCTTTGTTGCTCGACACGGAGGAAGATGAGCGCAGGAGGAACGAAGAGCGTGCCATGTTATCTCGATTCAAGTCAGAAAAGCCAATTTTCTGGTCGGACACTCAGCGTGAGATAGACTGGGAGAACACAGATTGCGTGCAACTTGAATTCGACGATATCTGGAAACAACTGAATAGTCTGACAAACTTGCGTACCATCAAACTGTGTTCTATCTGCTGGCTTGAGAAGTCCGTGGTTAAGAGAATGGTGGCCGATTCGCAATCCAAATCTCGCTTGGAGTACATCGACTGTACTGATTCTGGAATGAGAAAGTCGCTAGACTGGGCCAAACGAAGGACCTTCAAACAGTGGAAACGTTACTTCCGTTTCGAGGATGTGCCGCGTGCACCGCAGCCAGCCACCCGGAGCTACAATTTCGAAAATATCGGCCACGAGTATTACTGATGTATATTAGCGCATTTTACGCTGCTAGAATTTATTATGCTGCAATATTAATATCGTACTAAATTTGGACTAAACCCTAAATTAGAAGATATTGACGTTGAACGTACCGACTTCCAAGGCTGAAAACATTCTAGACCATGGTGGTCACAGCGATCTGTTTTTGCGGTTCGCGCACGATCTCCTATTCTTGTCAATATGTGACGAGTAAAAAATGGGGTATCGGAACCAGCAAACATACCGGAAAATGCAAATCTCATGATGAACAGCCCAAATGCACCACAATTTTAATGCTTTTTGCTCGCCCCGCGACAGGAGTCATTTGCCACCGAAGCTTTGTAGATGACTTGGCAACGACAGAGTATTGTTCACGCTTTTGGCGTTGTAATGCTGAGTATGCTGAGTATCTGTAGAGCCACTTGTGGCTAAATTGCGATGTTTGTAAATCCTTAGTGTTGTTCTGTTGTCTCTATTTTTTTGTCGTTTGTGCTACCAATTCCGTTTTTGCTACCAAACAAAAAAAAAAATTATTTCGCTTCGTGCTACCGTCTGCTACCAAGCGAACGAACCCGTTAAAGTAATTTGGGACCTAAAGTGAGAAAACAGGCCGGAGAAGCCAGCTTCGTCGCTTAAGTTTCCAATAAGGACCACTTCGAGCTTTGTTCCGGACTTTTTTACAACCCTATATTACCCGGAACCCTGCTACCATTCAAAGCCATTTTTGAGTGCATCACATACTCAACACCCCGAAAATGGACAGAAGACTCCCATTTCCAAACTACAACGAGTACCAGAGACCATTTGTGTCTGCTGGTGAGCCCAATACTGGCCAGCCGCTCCCGTCGCTGTCGACCCTGGGGTCTTTGCCCACCGTGTCAACAGCGCCGACGGTGTCTACAACGGGTATTTCAGAAGAATCGCACTCGCCAAGGCAGATCCCAATGGCACAGACGCATCAAGATCACCTCATGTCCATCAACAAACATGTGATGAAAACTTTATTACAGTCAAGATCCGGCGAAGGACTACCTCCACAAACGCCTCCCGAAAAACCCAATCTTGGACGGAGCCGCCAGGAGGGGCCGCTCGAAATCCCACGATTCATTCCCTTCCCAGGGTATCCCATCATACCCCCGGGCTACGTGCCGGTGATGATGTCTCCACAAGGTTTTTTGGTACCGATGCAGTTTTCGCAGACTCCTGTCAAAGACGACGAAAAAAACAACGAAAATTATACGGCTCCAGAGTATCACAGTCCGCGCCCCGGGAAGGTGAGCAAAATTGCGCAGCTGATCAATTCGCCGACTTCCGAGCCGCAACAACTCTATGGCGTAGGAAATGCCGGTCCGATGGCTTTTCCCGCCAGTCCAAGCCTGAACTCTAAGGACAAATTGGCTGCTTTCCAGCTTTGCCTGGTTTCGCAGGAGTATTTTTCGACATTGGGGCCGCGACTCTCCGAGAAAGAACAGGATCTGATTGATGAGCTGAAAGCGTTTGAGCCCGAAGTTACGGCCCAAGATATCGAAAAGCTGCGTCAAGAATACGTCAACCAGCTAAACCTTGTATCCAACACAAAGACCATCGAAAAGCCATTTTCTAAACGCAGCCATCGCGTTAACAAGATCCTGCTCGGGCTTGAACGTGACATGGCGGAAAAACGCGATTACGAGGTGCTTCGGTTAAAGCTATACAAAGATTATCGGAGAAAGCAGATTATTGACGAATATGTTGGTCAGACGATGGAAATATACAGCGCGTTATGTCTCGACTACACCACGCGGCTCAGCAAGCTGAAAAAGTTCCTGCTACAACAGAAACAGCTGCTGAAGCGAGAAGATGCCGAGTTTTTCAATGTTGCTACCGCAGACTCAGAACGGCTCTGGCGAAGCACACTCTCAGCTTCAGCAGGAGAGCCTCAGGAGACTGCACCACCACCTAAAAAGAAGCAGAAAGTGGAGCTGGAGCAACAGAAACTCTCGGACAACGATAGTTACTCGTCGTCGGCCTCTGTTTCCGGCCTTCGCTCGTCGTCGAGAATCAGCAAGCAGTCGAAAGAGGACGCAAGACACAAGAAACGGCCACATCCAGTCAGCAAAGAGCCTATCCTGGATGCGATGGCGCCAGTGTCGACAGAAGAACAGTTCCAGATGGTCACGAACCCAAACTCCAGAACGTATCACACACATGTGATTGGTAGCTCGGACTCCTCCATCGCAGACCAGAGCGATCTAAAACAGTTGGCCGAGCACTTCAAAACGGAGTCTACGCTGGCTGCCGTCATTAAGCGAAAGGAGGAAGAGGCGAAGGGCAAAAAGAAGAATAAGGTGCTACGAGACCTGATCATGGCACACGAGTCTCAACAGGCGAAAAACAGAGGAAATGGAGGCCAACGGCCGTCGACGGCAGAATTGCTGAGCGTGCACGACAGTGACACGGACATGTGGAATATAAACTACTCTCTCGCACTGGTGCGGGAATACAAACTACCTCTGGGACTGACTCAGGAGGAGATTGACGACGATCTAGCTGAACTGGGTATTTGATGGTGTATGGAATAGAAGGGAAAAACCCAGCTGGTTACCCTACCATGCATTGGACCAGTATTTACCCGGCGCTGTTTTCGAGATCCGCCTGGCCGATGCCCGGTAGAGTGCGTAAAAGCTGGTACGTATTTCGCTGAAAATAAAGGAAAAAAATTTTCTTGGTGTACGACGAAGACGAATAGGTCCAAATTGAAAAAAAAAATGTATTGCTTGAATACTTTTGATTCAACTTATTTAAAAACTTATCAAGATGGCTGAAGAAGAAGTAAGTAGACAGCCGTGCAATAGTCGCCTTTCTGTACTCTAACCGCCTAGCACACCTTCGAGACCGCTGACGCTGGTTCCTCTTTGACCTACCCAATGCAATGTTCTGCATTGAGAAAGAACGGTTTCGTTGTCATCAAGGGCAGACCATGCAAGATTGTTGACATGTCCACCTCCAAGACCGGTAAGCACGGCCACGCTAAGGTTCACTTGGTTGCCATTGACATCTTCACCCAGAAGAAGTTGGAGGATCTGTCTCCATCTACCCACAACATGGAGGTTCCATTCGTCACCAGAACTGAGTACCAACTGTTGGACATCGACGACGGCTACTTGAACTTGATGACCAACGACGGTGAGACCAAGGATGACGTCAAGGCCCCAGAGGGTGAGCTGGGCGACAAGCTGCAGGCCGACTTCGACGAGGGCAAGGACTTGTTGGTCACCGTCATCTCTGCCATGGGTGAGGAGGCCTGTGTTTCCTACAAGGAGGCTCCAAAGGGCAACTAAATGCGCAGCTTCAATTGCAGCATATATAATATAAAGGATGTTTATTTAATTCTAAATAAACAGACAGATTCGTTCACCTACTCCAAATTATCGAGGTAGTGTAGTCTGTCGAGCACAACCTGTTTGCTCGTTTCCTGAAACTCCCCGCTCAGGAACATCTCGTCCAGCACCTGATACACCTTGTAGAAATTGAAAATAATGTCTAGCTCGCACACGTTGTTGAAGTAACTATCGAGCACTTCCACCATCAGATGGACCATTTCCAAATAGCTCAGCTCATTGTCTTGCACATCAACGGCCATCACGAAAAACAAACCATTATATCGTCTGTACACAAGCTTCTGATTCTCGAAATTCACAAAGTTTGATTGTTTCTGATGATCTCGCGAAGAGATCAGCCTATGCACTTTCAAGATGGTCTGTTTTTTCTGCTTATCGGGAACACTGGTGTACCATTTGGAAATGCGCAGCTTTCCCTGTCGATTCAGCGCGATCAAAAAATGTATGCTCATGGGATGTGGAGCTATTATCGTAGCTTTCAGAGTTATCTAGTTCCGCGCCGATCGACCCCGGTTGTACCTCTTAATATTTTTTTTTTTTGCGTCGTTCATGTCAAAAACTTTGTCCCGGTGGTAGTCGGGTTCTTTGTCATACATATTTTATTTTGTTTCTTTTAAATCTACACACGTCGGCCACTACAGTCGGATCTGCTACTGATACAGTCAGATACCTGCTTTTCTGTGCTCAATAAAAGATCACACGGTACGATCACCTGCATTTTGTTTCTTAGGGCCACTGAATCAACGTCCCTCGAGTTGCCATTTTTCTGAAGGGCTAACTACAAGTCCTTATCGAATTTTTTTTTCACTAGGTTACCCTGTCCCTTTTTTTTTTTTTCGCGAAACAAAGCGTGTCGCAACTACGCGCCTATACATCACGAGCAGATCCCAACACTGGATCAATAAGGTAGGATAGACAATCCATCCTGTGAATTCATGATCTCGTCTGAAGAGAATATATCAGCACAGCAAAAGAGTCAACTAGCTCCATTCGTGGATAGAATACTAGCTAGTCCCCTGAATTTTCAGCGTGCAAAGCACCCAGATAAAGTTGCATTGAGACCATCTACGTATATTGCCTTCAAAAGCTCCAAACTCCGCAAAAAGGAGAAATTGGGATTCAAGCCTATAGACGATCTCACCTCTTCGAAGCCGTCAAAGGAAGACACGATGCCAAGACCGAAATCGATGGCTGAGGCGGTAGCTCTTTACACCGGTAAAAGATATCTATCGAAGAAACAGAAAAAAGAGCTCGAAGAGAAACCAATCAAGAAACAAAAAGTGCAAGAGCCGAAGGACAATAAGGAGCCGGTACTCTCTGACAGTGAATACACCAAAGACGCTGCTGGAGATGAAGAAAGTAGTGACGAGAATTTTCAGACGGCCGACGAGAAAGATGATGAGGATAATGATGATGACGATGAAGGCTCGGCAAGTTTCTCAGATGAGTCAGATGAGGAGGCGGAAGACATGGAGCAGCTGAAAAGAGACTTGAAGGAAGATATTCACAAGGGACTTGACGAGGAAGATGAGGAGCTGGACAGTGATGCTCTACGTCAGATCAAGGCCGAAATAGATACCAAAGACGAAGATTTCAGTATTCCACCCAAGGGCAAAGAAACTCCACCGACTTCTCCTGAGGATCAGGTGGATTTGGTCAAAGGCGAACTTGTGCATTCCAAGTACGATGACTCGGAATTCTATGATTTTGACGAGAATTATAATGATCAGGGGTCGAATGGTTCCGTTAGGATCTACAAGTCCTGGAGAGAATTCAAGAACAAGCCAGGTCCCTTGGGACTACTAAATCATGGCGTGACGTGCTATATGAATTCCGCAGTTCAGGCCATGTGTCATATCCCTGCTGTTCTGCATTATCTCGTCGATGTCCACAATCACAAGTACAAAGACTCGATTAATCCAACTTCTGTTACTCAAATTTTGGCTGATACCGTCGCCAAAATGTACAAGTTGGATAATAAGGGAGAAAAGAAAGTGCGCACAATCAATCCTAAACGTCTCATCAAACGGTTGGGAGACATCAATTGCATGATGTCGGAATGGCAGCAAGAAGACTCCCATGAGTACTTCATGTCGCTGATGTCTCGTCTCCAAGAGGACTCAACTCCAAAAGGCGTCAAACTGAACCAAAGCATAATATATGACATTTTCGGAGGGCTTCTTAGCCAATCGGTCACTTGCAAGAACTGTGGCCATATTTCCACAACTGCTCAGGAATTTTACGACCTATCGCTTGGTCTGGACAACGTCAAAAAGAGAAACAGCAGCTTGCTGGATCCTCAACAGCTGTTTGAACTCAAGAATAAAATAGAAGCAGCCAAATCTAGTGAACCCGATGCAAAGAACAAGCTCTCCGATTTCTTGAAGCAGAAAATTTTGCTCGCACAAGAAGAGAGAAGAAGCCGTTCTCAAACACCAGAAGCTTCAGATTCACAAAATTCGAATTCTCAGTTCTCGGAAACCAACGACAGCGAAAAGTCAAGCCAGCTTCCTGACCGTCCGCAGTCTCCGCCATCATATAAGTATTCCCTGGAGAATTCCATCAGGGACTTCTTCTCGCCTGAACTCCTAAAGACCGACAAAAAGGACAAGTCGGGCTACACATGCGAGAATTGTAAGAAGACCACTAATGCGATCAAAATTTCCACCATTGAGCGTGCCCCAGAGACATTGACCGTCCACCTCAAACGTTTCCGTTTCAACGGTTCCTCGTCAATGAAGGTCAAGGCAAACGTGACATATCCAGAAACCCTGGACCTATCAGAATACACAACCTCAATGAATTCTCCAACAAAGTACAAGTTGAGCTCGGTAATAGTTCATCAGGGACGCTCAGTGTCTTCTGGCCACTATATAGCTCATTGCAGACAACCAGATGGATCTTGGGCTACATATGATGACGAGTTCATCAATAAGATCAAGGCCAGTGATGCGTTGAGCGATGATAGCGCATATGTTCTCTTTTACTCCAGACTCACTCACAAGTCGATCGGCGACAGAAAGAGAAAGTCCTCTGCTAGGAACGAAAAGTCCAAGAAAAGGTTCAAGAGCAATGATTCTAGATGAGTGATTCGCATATGTATATTACGAGATCGAGTCGGGTTCGACCTCTTTATGATCGCTATGTACAAATAGTTCAAATATTCACGGGACAATGTGGACACCAATGGACTTTGCTGTTTCCACAACACTCTTGCAAATATACTGTAGAGGCACATCTTTCAGCTGCTCGTCTTTCTGCTTAATTTTGGCGATTTCGTAAATGTGTTTGAGACTCAACTTGATAGGGGACTTCTTGAGTCCTGGCTGTCCTTTCTCTATTCCAGCTGCTTGCATGAGCAACCATGCGGTAGTTGGAGTTTTAATATCGAATGTGAAAGACCGGTCGGGTTTGACAGTGACTTTGACTGGGATAGGTATTCCTGGCTGGAAATGAGCCGTTCTTGCATTGAACTCTTTGCAGAAATCAATAGCCTTGACACCCTTGGAACCAAGCGCTGGGCCGACTGGCGGTGTTGGCGCGGCCTGGCCGGCCCCCACTATAAGTTTGATCAGCGAATTTTTGGTGGACATGGTTGAAAATTGAGCAAAAAATTATTTACAATCTCGACAATTTCTAATCGCTAAACTTTTTTCTTGAGAGGTGGATATTCATTTATAAAAAAATAGTAGGAATACACTTATAATTTCTTGCCTTTCTTCTTTCTCTCGAGCATGGCAATATGAGCGATGCTTTGGTCCACTTGAGTGTGCTCGTGGTTCGTGGATGGGACCAGCTTATGCTCGCACTCGTCGTTTACCAAAGTGCACATTTGGACTGATTGCAACCATGGGTCGTTGAAACATTCGTCTATCGTTATACGGCAAGCAGGTGCCAACGACACCATTCTTCCAATCATTGGGCGACATTCTGGCGCAAGCGCGTTCAGCAAGCGCTGTTCGCCCATTAGGTTGGATGTATGCTTCAAGGGATCTTCACTATCATGTGTCTCATTAGAGTTGGAGGCAGATGGCGGCGGAGTAGGCATCTCCTCCGGATGGATAACGGTGTTCAGCTCTTCTTGGTGTTTTCCCTTCTCTTTAGGGTATTCTTGTTTATTCTCGAGGTCATCGTAGCTCGGAGGATCTGGCACTCGTCTCAGCAGATTGCCAAAAGTGACTCCCGGTTCTCTGGATGCAAATAATTTGAAACTAGGATCAGAGAGCTTAGGAACCTTCCATGGGAACTTCTTCAGCGTCATGCAGCAGTAGATGATAGCCGCCGACCATATGTCGACGGGACGAGGATCGTACTTGTTGAAAACGCAGACTTCAGGTGCAAGATACGGGTCGGAACCAACGATTCCCTGGGCTTCGATAAGCGTGCTCGAAAATGGATACTGGAACACCACAGCAGAGCCAAAATCGATGAGCTTCACTATTCCGTCTTTCGAGACCACACAGTTATCCAGCTTGAGGTCTCTGTGAGCCAGACCGATGGAATGAATATACCGGATACCATTCAGGATCTGTTTGAAACAGCAGTTGATCTCCTCAGGGGTCATTTTATTTGACATCACAATGGCAAACAAATCATAATCGCAGTATTCCATGACCTGAACAATTCTATCATTTTCATAGGATATTTCAATTGTCTCGATAATATTCGGATGCTTTAAAGTGGACCCAATGCAGTACTCACTTGTGATTTTCTTGATGTAATCCCTTCTAGATTCGTGTTGGTACTTGGCTCTGAACTCTTTCACCGCAAAGACTTTAGAGTCGGAAACTCGTCTGACTAGTCTCACTTGTCCACCTGCTCCAGCACCCAAGTTTTCTCCAAACTTGCTGTACCGCTTACTGAATGGAATCTGCGGCGTGGTATTTCCACCAACGGACATTGGGGTCTGCGCAATGTTGAAGTACGATCCTCCTGGGCTTGACAAGCTTGGAGACGATGGCACCCGTTTGCTAAAGTCCAGAGGTGAAGTGCTGTATTCTTGGGATGGAGACGAGGGCACGGTGTCGGACCCAGCAAATGACTGTCCGTTAAAGGTGACACTAGACGACGGAGTGGTGGTTGTGATTTGGGGAATGGACGTAATGGAACCCTGACGCTGGACGCTCAAGCCGGCGCTCAGGTTTGAAGTCCTTGGCACTCCGGACTGGCCGTTACTTAATGAAACAGACTTTCGGAAAAATCTGCGCAAGTCTGCCATCGAGGAATGACGCGATCCGGGTGCCGTCCCGTTGGTGATGCTTTCCGCGCTGGATTGAGATGACGGAGACTGGCCGGTTTGGTCCTGTTGCGGCGACGACGAAAACTGGTCCAGGGTGGCCGTGCTTCTTCTGGATTTAGAGAAGAAGTTCACAAGCGAGGTATTCGATCTAGAGCTGCTCAGAGTCCCATTTGCAGCTGCTGCTGCCGCGCGCGCCTCCTGGACCTGCTGAACCTTTTGCTTGGAAATGATAAATCTGGGCTCAAGCTGCTTCGGCGACGATATTGCCGGCGACGAAATCTGTGTAGCGGAAATTAGCTGTCCATTGGACAAGTTGACAGCGGGAGAGCCAAGTATCGTTGACGAGCTGTGGACAGAGGTGGACAGTGATGGGTGCCCGCCAGGAGCCGAGTACGGGATTGTGTTGGACAGCGAGCCGGGCAATCCACTGTTGGAGTGTACGCTGGCTGGTCTAAGAGCGTATGGTTGTTGAGGAGTTGACGCTATTGGCTTTGGCGAAACCTGTACCTGTGAGACCGGATCTATGTAGTCTTCCCTGTATGATGTTTCCGGGGACACTCCTTCCAAGGATATTGTGGTTGTAATGGTCTTCTGGAAATCGCTGTCTGTAGGATGAACCTCTGTGCTGTTTATCCTGACTTCTTGAGATGTAGGGGGTTGAGCCCGCTGCTCATTCATCAGCTTGGTGAGCGACGAAACGCCAGGTTTCCTGTCGTTTGAGGCCATCGTCGAACTAGTCTGAACTAATTTATAAATGACTTCAAGCTTTTTTTTTTTACTTCGCACCTGGACGAGTTGCTGATAAGATACGCCGCTGCGCGGACTTGCAACATAATATTATTCGAATCAGCCAATCAGGTAAAATAAATTATTACAGAGTGTTTAGTAGTGCTGACGCTTATTCTTTTCGTGAGCCTGGGACTCGTATCGTCTTTTACGACCTGATGCTCGATCGTATTCATGTTCTGGCATAGCTTGTGAGCCGCTATTGTTCGGTTGTCTGTGCGTCGAAAATTCTCTAGGTCTATAGTCGCGACTGCCCTTGTAGTTGTGTCCGGGAGGATTCGAAGGAGGAGGGAGAGGTGGGGGAGGCAACGGAGACGCAGACGACGAGTTTGGCGAAGAGCTGGCAGCACTAGACGCTTGCCGCTGCATCAGAAGCCGTTTTTCTTCCTCCAAGCGAGCTCGGAGGGCCGACGAGCTTGTGCTGGACGGACCAGTCGGCGTGCTGGCTTTGTTAGTGGTGCTCTGAGGTCCCAGTGGAATAGCAGGAGTAGGCGACCTCGAGGGAGGTTTACTCTTAGTCTCGGTCTGTTTCGGTGGCTCTGAAGCTTCCTTTGGTTTTTCTTCAACAGGCTTTTCTTCCATAGGCTGCTCTTTTTCGGATTCAATTCCTTCCATTTTGTCCTCAGTGCCACCATTTTTGTTGGTCTCTTCAGGATTCTCGACAACTGCTTGTGTTTGCTCTGGTTTTTCGTGCTTCACTTTTTTCTCCAGGCCCACTAGACCATACGGCCTTGCAGTGGGCGTTGCCTTCTCGCGTTCCTTGCGTTCGGCCTCTCTCTTCTCCCTCTCCTGCATTTCTAGCTCAGCCTTGCGGGCGCGCTCCGCGGCCAGCCGTTCCTCTCTCTTTTTCATCAGCTTCTCTTTTTCCTCCGGGTCCATTTCGTAAAACTCCCAGGTCTGAACACATGAGGCCTTTTTGGACGAGATCAAGACAAACAGCGCATTAGAAGCCAGTTTGATATCCTCCCTAGAGTCTGACGAATATATGGACGCAAGTTTGCGAGTCAAAACCTCAGAATGGTCTGCAACCACAGGAAATTCTCCAAGAAGGTTTTTGAGAAAGATGATCGCGTTGTTCCGCGTAGTATATTGCTCAGAATCCAATGATGCAATGATTTGTTTCTGTAAAGATTTGTGCCAATTAAAGAGTGTCTTCCTAAACTCTTCAAACTGCAAATGCTCTCCACCAGGCACTTGCAAACCTGCGAGCAAAGGATCTGAGTCTCCTTCCTTTCCCAGGGCCTTGCTATCATACAATTTGGCGTCCTCCCTCCATGCATTGAGTTCTTTCAGGACATGCAAATAGAAAATCCCCAAATTCTCTATCTCTAAGGTGGTACTAGTGAAGAGCGTAGGCTGGAGGAAGTTGCAGGTGAAGAGCTCATTTAGCACATAAACCAGCGAAAAGCCGTAAGTGTTCAGCGAATGAGCAAGGAACAAGAACTCTGCACAGTAAACCGCATCGAAAGGAGAATGAACCATTCTTGGTAGGAAGCAGTGTTCTAAGATCTGTCTGGTACTTTTCGAAACCGTTTCCTCGTCTGACACATCTTTGAACCATTGATCTTTTTTATTCTTGATACGAGAAATTGTGGCCTGGTAATTATTTTCGTGTTTTGTTGCATCATATCTCACACGGACTGAAATTTGATGCAGTTGACTAAGTTCGTGCTCAAGTCTTTGCAATTCTTTCTTTGGAATGTCTTTATCCTTGCGAGACAGAGAAAGCTTTTTGTTCAGAGTGCTTATTTTCGATTTGATGCTTGCCGATTCCTCTCCATAAGAAATCTTTTCATAGCAGATATCGTAGAGCGATAATTGCCAAAAGTCCGCGTAAAAACTGGCGCTCACAGCATCCCAATCAAGTGGCAATACAGCACACAAAATTGCTTCGAGCTCATCAATGTAGTCCGGATTTGCTTTCAGCTGTCTGCTCAAATGCCGTCTCCAGATCTGAAAAGCCCAAACAGGACGAACAAGAAACCGTTTGATAAGAGTGTCCAAAGATATCATTTTCTCCTTGAAGACGTTTGTGGGAAGACTTTCGTCGACCATGGTCGTGAAGGTGTGAATCAAGGAATTGAGCTCGTCACAGCGACGGTTCAGGATTTTCAGCGGAGCTTGGACAGAGTCGACCGTTTTATCCGGGAGATTGACAAGGAGGATAAATAATTCCGCCAGAATGTCCAGACTCACCATATTATCCAATAATTTCCGAGAGCTTGCAAACGATTCTGCTCTCCTGTCCTGGATCACCATATAAACAAGCTTTTGAAGACTTGTTTCTGCGTTGAGCAAGAATATCTGTCTGGATGTCAAATTGTTGATATGCTGAACACCACTCATAGATCCGACAATCTCATTGACCAGAATGATCAAGTCGGTTGATCCATTGTTGAGACTTTTGGTGATTAGAGTCAGGATTGGGCCCAGTTGGAACTGCTCAGGTCTATTTTTGGCCAACTTACCCACAAACGACGACAAGTTTTGAATCCATTGCATATAATTTAGCCCATCTTCCTGCATCGCCTGTCTGTTTGAGTTGAGCTTGTTGCATAGCTGAAAGGTAAGAGAATCCCAAACAAAAGCACCGAAATATTTTGATGCCTCCACAATTAAATCACTCAAGCTGCTATAACTCTCGATATGGTTGACAAAAGTCGAAGTGACGGCCAAGGGGTTACCAAATGCAATCCTCGTCAATTGGCGCATGAGCACTTCTCCATTTGCCGTGGAAAGTCTCTTGAGGATATCCTTTGTTTTCTTCTCTGCAATATCAAAATTCTGCTTGATCTCCAGATCGTTTTTGGCGATCACGTTCTGGTATTCGCCATACAAGTTGTAACGGGTTTCCAGCTGGTAGAAGTCGAGCAGGATCGAAAAGGCTTCGTTCACAACAGAAGCGTTATTGGCGAACGAAAGGGCTGGGAAAATAAACTTGCGGTAAAGCTGTAATATCTGGTCACGGTCCGCTCCAGTCTGTAGCTGATATCGCAAGATACGAACGAGCTTCGTGAACAAAACCGAATCCTTGGCCACCTTCACGCCATTGAAACAGAGAAACTGATGACAAAATTTGACAAGGTCTTCGAAAGATTCCACCAGCCTCAAGCAAGTGTCTGGTCCTGGTTTTCCAATTCCTGTGATACCGATTTTTTTGTAGTATGGAGTTATAATGTCGTTGGCCAGGTCATTGACCAAATTGCAGACTTCTTCATCTATCAGTGGCAGAAATGGGTGTTGGACCAAAATGAACAGCGCTTCATGGTACATTTTCGATTGCAAGATGTATTTTAGGAACTTGATTTTGGCAATGTATTGTGACTTCTCCTTGACTGAGACTTTTTTCTCAGTAGCAACAGGCGCCTCTTCGGCCCTGGTTGTTTTAGAGGATTCACCTGTATCGTCATCATTATCATCATCGTCATCCAGAACCAGTGGAGCCGCGAGGGCCAGAGCAGAAGCCGTAGCTTTGAAAGCATTCTCCTTCAGCTCGTCATTATATTGGGCGTGAAGGCTGTCCAGTTCTGTGTTTTCTATTGGCTTTATAGCAAAATTGGCATCAGATTCAAACTCCAAAGGCTGTAAAGAGTTGTAGATTGAATGAAAGTCAAGGATTCCTTCCTTTATCAGAAGAGTGATAAGCCTAAGCTCCAAAGGGATTTTCTCTTTTGTGTCAGAATTCAAGAGAAATGACACCACCACCAGCTGTAACGTCTTTGAGTGCTGAGGGGTAAATATGCTGTTCTTGATGACCTGTAAAATAAGCTCTTCGTTTTCGTCAAGGTAAAATGCAAATATACTCAGCATCAGCAGAAACGATCTAGTGATGTCTAGTCTAAAATGACCAATCAACCGTTCAATTACGTGGTTGAAGTATGTGATCTTGCAAAGCGCATCTTCTTGATAAAATATGCTGATGAGCTCAACAGCCAGTTTTGAGTAGCCTTCGCTTGACTCGTGAAGCGAGGAGTATGTGACCACACCGTAGTCGTTCACTCTGGCGTCACTGAAATAGCATTTATTAAAGTCGGGAAACAGCCCATTTTTGAGAATCGAAAAGTCGAGATACTGTCTTTTGAACTGGTTGTCGATCTTGACAGCTTGAATGAATGCATTGAGATGAGGTTTGGGATTGCAAGCCTGAAAGATCAACAAAAACTGCACCGACAGCTCCTGGCGCTCTTTCACGTTTGGAATGGTGTTGATGATTGTGTTCACAAGATTGGTTAGGTTATTGATGGGTATTCTTGAGCTGAAGTCGTTCAAACAAACAACAATCTCGTAGAACACTTCGCTCGGCGAAATGTCTTTCTGAACTATTCGCGACGTCAGACTCTCAATAGTCTGCTTCCAGTTGGAAATCGCTTGCTCGTCAAGAAATTTCCACGTATATTGGTCCGCAGAAGCATTCTCGACCTTGGGAGTTTCCTCAGTCATGATAATTGACGATTGAAAAAAATATTTCTAAATAATCTTCTTTTTCAGATATGGTACGTGTTTAGATTACAGCTTCTGACCTGTAGGCGGATAAGATCAGAGAGAAGCAGCTCTATGAAGCGCTCAAGAGCAAGCATATTGGACTGGGAAATGAGGATATAACGAGGACCGAGTATATCAGCAACATCAAAAGAGATACCTACGCAAGCCTGGTGGCCCATCCGGCCATGCTGGAGTTTTTATCAATCACTTACACCAAACCGAGACAGATTGTACACACTGAAATGATCGAGAAGATGATCCGGCCTATGGAGACGAACAAGTAGATTAGCTCAGCAATGGAGCTTGTTCTTCCCTGTTGACGGTTCTCAGACCCGATCCGAACATGATCACCACCGAAACCACAAAGTTGACGGCTGCAATAATGAAGGCAAACAGCCATTGCAGAGCAACCACCTTAGTGAACAGCTGGCCAAATCCAAGGCCCAACATCAGCAAACTGGTGCTCAAACCAATGGACCAGTCCTGGTAGAAAACTAAGATTGCCAGAGGAACGACGAGGAACTCCCAGACCAGCACGTTTGCCAGAATACGAGCCATGAGTGACTTGTTGTGGGAGTGGAACAAACACGCTCCATTCCAGAATATGGCGTACATGGTCCAAGACAGGGGCAGGGCAGTGACTGGGAAGTGGACGGTGAGCCAATCGCTGACGTTCTTGATGGCAACAGTGCGATGGGTGAAGTAGAGGGCCAACAGGTTCAACAAATTGATGACAAGAACCAATTCACCCAAAGCGAACTTCTCCTTGTGGAAGAAGTAGCACCAAAGAAAATGCAGGGCATTGTTAATAGCAAAATGAGGGCCCACTATTTCACTGATGGCAGCTTTGTTCTCTGCCGCAACAGTCTTGTCGAAGAAGACTTTGATAATAAAAAACACTTGGAGCAACATTGTCACCAGCCAATAGATATCAGTGACAATGAAGAACCCGGTGAACGGAGTTCTGTAGTGCTTTCCAAAGTGGCTGAACAGGAACAAGAATATTGTTCCGTAGCCCGACAGCAGGAACGATGCGACGATCAGGGCCTTTTGGGTAAAAACCTTCGATTCAGTAGTCATGACGAAGAAAGTTAATAAGACTTGGTTTTTAGTTTGCTACTTCTCCATGCGGCCCCGGTTCACGGATGTGAAATATTCTTTTTTCTCAAATTATTTCTGCAGATCAGCAGCAATGCATGTTGGAGAATACAACGCAGGTGACTCCATCTCCGGCATTAGGCAGCATTTCGAAAATCGTAAGTTTTCTCGCACGATATGTCAAATTTGCTCGGCTTTAAGTGCAGAATAAGGAGCTAGACCCGCTGACTAGTTTCGTCACCTAACGTGGCAGGCGCAAAAAATCGTAACCTGACTTGCTTGCCGACAGTACCTTATATAAGACACCACCCCTTCCTTTAATGAGTAGCTATGATTGATTTATGCCACGCTGATCAGGAAGAAAAGATGTTCAATCGCTTGCACTCTGACTGCCGTGTCCCGGTGCCAAGCCCCAAAGTCTCGTGGGCCTCATTCGAGAGGTATAAGAATAACTCGAAGCGCGTGGCTGATATGCTCAAGCCCGCAGTTGAAAAATATCCAAACTATGAACTGGTGCAACGGCTAGAAAAACTCACTTCCAAATACCACACCTCTGTCCCTATCATAATTTCGTCGTGGCTACAAAAAGACGGCCTTGCACTCCAGCTAAACGACGACGATCGACATCTTCTTGACGAAACAGCCAAACTCATCTAGCTTATACCCTAATTAATTTTATACCCGTCTCGCAAATTCGCATAATATTAGACTTACACAATTAATGATCCGGCTATGTCCTATGCAATTCTGGTTTTGGCTCTCACGTCTCTGTAATTACAAGTCACTCATTCCTCCTTGGGGTTTTCAGATTGCTTAGGAACTTCAACCGGACCTTTTTTCTCAGTCCAGTCGGCAAAGGAGCCAACGTAGTTCAATCTTTTTCCGTAACCGAAGGTGCTAGCAAGCTCCTCGGACATACTCGATCTCACACCTGCCAGACAGTAGAAAAGCAGGGTTTTGGATGGGTCTGGCTTTGGGAACCCAAAAGTCTGTTCAAACTCCTCTGGAGAAAGCCCTAGCGCACCGGGACTCGAGTTGACTGGAATATTAATGGCACCGGGAATGTGGCCTTTGGCGTACTCTTCTGGCTCTCTCACATCAACAATAACGTTTTCTGGATCTTTCTTCTCGACAAGTTCCTTAACCTTCGAGAAGTCAACCACTGGGGCTTGCGACTCCTCCTCCAAAACACTGTATTTGCGAATCGAAAATCTGGAGGCCGAAAAGGCCACAGGGGTTCTGTTCACCTGAAATCTATAAATACCATTGGAGCGCAGAGACACCAGTGATCTGGTCAAAGGGCGGGACTTGGCTAATAAAGCCAGAGGGCGCAATTGTCTCAACATTGTTAGTTAATCTTATCAACAAGCTTTCTTATTTGCCGTTATTTTTTTTTTTTTAGTGGAGCACTAGCCATGCACGCCTCAGCCACATTTTTACATACCTTTACGGAAGTTCTGAGCCATCTGTCTCATGGCCGGGTTGTTCATCATCTGCCTCATTTCAGGAGTGTTCATCATCTTCATCATCTCTTGAGGATTTGGCATACCGCCGCCACCCATCAGCTGACTCATATCTGGCATACCTCCGCCTAGTCCTCCCATCATCTTATTAATATTTTGCATGAGAGATGGATTTGACTGCATCTGTTGCATCGCTCTTTGCATGTTCTGGGGATTGAACATTCCGCCACGACCGGCTGCCATTGGGTTGGCGCCACCCTGTTGCATGCTCTTGGTTGTCTGTGCCATTCTAGCAAACATCTTCTGTTGCATTAGCACCGCCTCGACCTCGGTCACAGACGTTCCTGATCCACGCGCAACTCGCACAATTCTGCTTGGCTGGTCCACAAATATATCTCCGTCGCTGTCAAGCTCTTGTTTGGTCATTGAATCCATCACATAAACCATTCTTTTGAATCTTTTGGAGGTTTCTTCCTCGCCAACCTGGTTCATCATCTCGCCAATGCCTCCAGGTAACATCTGGGCAATCTTCGACAAAGGACCCATCTTGAGAATGTTGTTCATCTGCGTTTGGAGATCTCTCAACGTGAATTTACCTTCCTGGAAGTTTTTGATCGTGTCTTTCTGGTCCAGGTTCAACGACTGAACGTGCTCCATAAGACCCTGTATGTCACCAATGCCCAGCAACTTGGAGACAAACTGTCTAGGAGTGAAACTTTCCAGATCATTAATGTGCTCTCCGGTACCGATAAATGCAATCGGAGTGTGCGTAGCAGCCACAGCAGAAATAGCTCCTCCTCCCTTGGCGTGGCCATCCATTTTTGTGAGGATGATGGCTCCGAAATTAGAGGACGTCTTGAAGGCACGCGATTGGGACTCGGCAGCCTGACCGATCGAAGCGTCCAAAACCATAATCGTCTGGTTGGGCTGCACCGCCTCTCCAATTTGGATCATTTCCGCAAACAGCTCTGACTCTTGACGATGACGTCCCGATGTATCCACAATGATGATCTCGAACTTCTCTTTTTTGAACTTTTCAACACCGTCAGAGGCAACTTTCACAGGGTCTGCCTCGGTGTACGAACCGTAGTATGGGATTTTTGCCTTTGTCGCATTCTGTTTGAGTTGGTCAAAAGCACCAGCTCTGAAGGTGTCGGCACACACCATCCCCACCTTGAAACCTCTCCTCTGGTAGTACACGGCGAGTTTCGTACATGTGGTGGTTTTACCTGCACCTTGAAGACCAACAAACATGATCACATTGGTCTTTTTTTTCTTTGGTTTGTAAAGTTCGGTCTCTTTGCAGTCAACCAGATCACACAGCTCATCAAAAACAGCTTTCTGTATCAGTTTCTTCTTGTTGAGGCCTGGCTTCTCCTCCTGCTCGATGGTCGATTTGAGCTTTTTTCGAAGATTGAGCACCAGTTTGACGTTCACGTCTGCCTCAATCAGCGCGTTGGAAATTTCCTTCAACAGACCATCGACCGCCGTTTGATCAACAACACTGGCCTTTGTCACCTCCGAGACCGCACTGTTAATCCGCTTTCCTAAATCTGCGAGAACCATTATAACAAGAGGTCGACAAGATTTTCAACTTTTTGAATTGACGTCGCACATCTATACACCCTCAACAAATTGGTTGCAAGATTGAGGCTAGCATAAATACAGCAGAATCCAAAGCGCAGTGGTTCCGCACTCTATCACGGCCTTGAAAGCTTGCATAGACCAGCACAGACTGTTCAGCACCCTTTGCTCTCTGGCTCTCTGGCGACGCCCCAATACACCCTTGCACGGATTAGGCAAGATTTAGGTTTTAAATCTCCAAACAAGGCCATGAATGTCTTCAATGCGATCCATTCGTCGACCTCAAATCTGATCTCGAAGACAGGAAACACCGGAGCCAATGACACACAGCCGCCACGACTGCTGTACTTTTGCATATTCGACCCGTCTTTGGGTGACCCCAGCAAGGAAGACGATCAACAACTGATCAACCAGATTCTCGTATATCTCAACTTTGAGGACCGGGATGTCCTTGAGACCGAGAAGGCTAAACGAATCGGGTTCATACAAGGGCTTGGTGCATTTGCAGGCCGTTTTCACAGCTCTGGCGACGGTCCTTTAAATTACATTGACACAGATAAATCTAGAGTGGTTACTGGGATCTTCGAGGAAAAATACCATTTCTTCTGTGGATTCAGATTTGCGAAAACTGGACAGTCTTACGTGCGGCGAGGCATTGCAACTCCAACGTATCTACTGAACGAGTTTCAGTATGGCTACAATCTTTACCGAATAAATTATGGACTCATAGATCGCAACGCAAAGAAACGACTGGAAGATTGGTGGCGGATCTGGCTGACGCAGAAATTTGAGTATCCTTCAGGCTTTGGTCTGACAGACCGAGGGGTGCTGAATTTGCTCTCGGGATATCGGCGTTCGTCCGTGGGGCTGCCGCTTGGGTTCAGGGATAATCTCACGAATGCTTTGAAGGAGTTCAGCTCAAAAAACAGCTCCTTGGTTGACTTGTTGATTGTGAACACGAACTGGACGCCGACCAAGAACTTTGGCGTGATATATCTGAACGACGAATCACCCATACCCAGAGAGTGGCTGATAAACCTGGTGAACCATTTCGAGAGACTCGATCTTTCTACAGGCCTCTCTACGTACTCGCTAAGACTCAGCAACATCCCGTCGTTGAAAGCATATTACGCTGCCATTCAGGCTTTGTCTGGAGGGAATAGAACGCTGCTCGATAGGTCGATATTACAACCTGCTATTTATATTCACGAACAATTGACTACACATGTGTTCAATCCTTTCACCTCTGCAATCAATACTGTTGCCTCGGTCCCTCATCTTGTGTCTTCTATTGGCTTGTTCGGACTAGGTTCGTCCTCCAACGAAGAGCCTGAAGTGTTGGATGAGGCAGTCGCGGAAGCCCCAACATCGCAAGAGTCGCTGGGCACGGAGCTTACAGGAAAATTTCTATTAGGCGAGACAAGCGATGGAAGGATCACGAAAACGGTGCATCTGGGAAACTTAATTTTGGAGATGGTTGTGTACGAAATCAATGGGATAATGTTCACCTTGTTGTTCAAAGAGATTGGCAAAGAGTCTGATTTTTTTGCTTCTCTTCAAACACAGCTAGACGATATTTACTCTTCTTATTTCAGTGATGTGGTCGCTACACAATTGAGATCCATGGAAAAAGACTTGAGAGAGAACTCAGAGTTTTTCTATCTAATATACAATCCGATGACCAAAGAAATCAAAACCTCTCTGCCAAATATCCCCGACTCAGATGAAATCAAAGAAATCAAAACTTCTGTGCTACCATCCGAGGGAGTAAACAGGACGCAGATAATCAATCTCACATTGAGCCTCATGACTCATATTCTGGAGAGCCATGAGTTTCTCGGTCTCGAGCCAGTCGAGAAGGTTGTCAAGATCAACCGAAATTGGTGGTGTCTGCATAAGATCGTCGATGGTAAAAGTGTGATCGCTCTCAAGAAGTTTTCTCCCAGTGAGTTCAATTTGGAAGCCGACAATCTGGTTGCCTCTTTTGGAGCAGAATTTAGTAAATGGTTTAATGAGTCTATCGAAAGCGGGTTCATCTAAAACAACCGTGTTTAGTCTTCCTCCCCGTACAACACCTTATTGACCTCACTCAGCGGCAAGTCCCAAACTCCACTGGTGGAAGAAAATAGATAGCGATCGAGGTCTTTTTTCTGATAGTGCGGCAGTTCTGTGATAACAACACCATCCGGGTCTGCAATTGTCCGGGGGTCATCTAAAGGAGGAGTTTTCACTTCTACGTTGTATAATGCAAGGGCCACATATGTGTACATCATGGATACCAAGACATATGCTGGAATGACGAGGGCCCACCATCTTGATGGGTAGTAATATATGCCAACGCTGTTGAGGAGCGAATCTGGGATCATGGACCAGCTCAGCCATATGAACAAGAAGATGAAGCTAATAACGTATGCCGCGAATCCTTTATATTCTGCCTGGGACGTGATGTTTGTCGAGACAGTCACGTCCGACTCTCTGGCCAATGCGTCCGAGATAAATGCCAGATTTTCCGACGTGGAGTTGGCAGTAGCATTCATCAGGCTTGAAGTCGAGTGGTTGGTGCTCAAATTGTACAAGGACGGAATTAGCGAGGTGATCGAGGAAGTGGATAGGGATATCATTCTATTTGCTGCGAACGGGGACGAGCTGGTGTGTCTTGGGGGCGGCGGCACCAGCAGCGTCTGCGAGGTCTGGCTGAACCGCGGCTGAGGTGAAAGGATCTCGCGCGAGCGTCCATTTTCCGGATCCAGCTGGATAACTGGCATCGCAGGAATGAGGAAATAAATAAAATAAAATCTGCCAATTCGACTCCGTGCTGGTTTGTTTTTTTTTGAAGCAAATTGAAGAATATAAAGCTAATAAAAACAAGAGTGACTTGGGCCATATAAAGCCAACTGCTTGCCAACAAACCACGTTAGACATCTTACTAATCTGAAAGTACGGCCATATCTTAGGAAACACTTTTCTACCTTAATTTGCCAAATCTGAACACATATATCAGGATAACACCATGGGTAAGTACACATCCAGGTTCACCATTGGAACGATACTAACACAAGGGCAATGCTTCATTGCCCCTCTTCAGGACCTAAGAAAATGTCTCTAAGCGAGTTCTACGCCGATGAAAGTCTAGGGGGATCCTGGGCCGACGATGACATAGATATCAATTCGATCGCCGTATCACTCCACAAACCAGAGCCGTCCAATTATTTCAATCGCAGCGACCAAGGCTCCTTCGGTCGTGGCAATGGGCACGGTTCATATTCGTCGAGCATGGGTGGATATCATATGTTCAATGGCCGTGGAGGGAGAAACGATGCGATGCTCCGCAACTTGAAACCTCCCTTTATTGCAAAGCTCACTAATCTTCCCGAAAGAGCTACCGGTAAGCTTGTATCGGACTTGTTCGGATCCAGATTTACTCCTTTTGAAAAATGCAAGGTGCTGAAGGACCCCCACCCACCTGCTCCACGATTTAATATCTCTTCATCTGGCAACGTGGAACGCAAATGTGCGTATGTCCAGCTACCTAGCGTACGCGAATTACAGAAAGTGCTAAAGTGGAACGACGTGTTCATTGACAGACTGAGAATCAATGTGGATGTGGCTGATTTCCAGGATTTTGCGGACGTGCAAAAATACAACAAAGAGATTGGCTACGACGACGAGGAAGAGGAGAAAAGACAGGCACACACTGAAAAGGCCCCAATCGAAAAACGCAAGATAGCTACACGGCCAGTGAATGGCCAAGAAGCGGCTCCTATTGGGTCACCGTCTCCTGTCTCGTCAGCAGGACAATCAAAGCCCAAGCCTAATCCTTTCGGAAATGCAAAACCTGTGGACACAGCCAGCAAGCTTCTGGCACTGGAGAATCAAGAGAAGACACTGGCTTCGGCCAAACCAGTCTCACAGCCAAAATCAAATCCATTTGGTGCTGCCAAGCCCGTTGACGTTCTTTCCAAGCAGCTAGAAATTGAGAAGAAATTACAGGATCTAGCCATCAACAGCACAACGTTCAAGACGATAGCCGGTGCTGAGAAGGACCAAGAAAAAGAAAGATCGTCGTCTCCTAAGAAGAGGCACCAGCCGCGGTCACAAGAAAGTGGGAATAGGATAGCGACCGGTAAGGGCTCCAGGCCGGACAGCAGAGCTCGTGAGAAGAAACAGTCACGAAAGGAAGAGAGAAAAGAACGGGGTTCAAAGGAAGTTACTAATGCTGAGAGAGAGGACAAGGAAGGTGGAGAGTCACCTTCGACACAGAAGGAGCAGGAGTCTGGAGATGACGAGACTGTACCAGCGGAAGACCAGAAGCATAGCGGAAGTGGATCACAGATTCCCACTGAGGACGAAAAAGCGGATAAAACCGAAAACGAAGATCTTGTCAAAAGCAGACCAAGGTCCAGAAAAGGGTCCAAGTCTAAGGACGCTAAAAAGAATCAAAACGAAGCCAAGTCTGTGGAAACCACGGTCGAGCAGAGAGAATCTTCAAAAGACAGCTCAGAGGGCAGTTCTTCCGAGTCAAAAGAGAAATCCAGCACACTTCGCGAAAGAAGGCCAAAAGAAGCTTCCCATAGGAATTCCCATAACACGCGGTACGTGCGCGATGGCGAGCCGCCTATCCGTGGTAGAGGCAGAAGCAGAGGCCGTGGTGGCCGTGCCGTGACTTTCCGGCCAAAGGAGGGAACTACGCCAGCAGAGAACTGGGAAAGAGGCGACAAGCTTAAAGAGCAGAGCAAGGATCAAAACGCCACGGAAAAGCCTCTGAATCAAAATGAAAATGAAACCAGTAAGTCTCTCGAGGATGGCTCGCAACCAGAAGCCGAGAAAACATCCAGACCAGTTCGCAGAGGACGTTTTGGCGGACGAGGACGTGGACGCTTTGCAACGCACCAGTACACCAGTCTAAAATATGTCAAACCGGGACTTGCACGCAACGGGGAGCCGTTGAAGCAGGATGAGAAGGAGACTTAGTGCTCTTTGTACGGTATATAAAAAAACGCAAACTGCCGCAATGATCGGTATCGAGTGTTTTACAATGTAAAATCTGCGCATTGCACTCAACAACTAGACATTTGAAATGCCTGTCAACCGCCAGCACGGCGCTCCCATCCGGGAAATAATTTCCCCGGTGATTTCTGATGGCCGTGCCCAGCGCTTTCGCGCCCTGGAATCTCTCAAGAGAATTTTTTTCAGCGGCGGGGTGTATCACCGAATTTCCCACTCGCGAAATTTGCCTTGCGGCCGTTTGAAAGCGAGTACGCGCAGATTGCGACGGTGTGCGTTTCCACTACGCCAAGGGCGCAATGTAGGGATTTTTTTTTGCACTCTGGGTACAGGAGGCATTATTTTTGCGAAGCCAAATGAGAGACCAGCTTCTCTAGCTGAGGCACAGACTTCATCACTGCACTGTTTGTCAAGGTATCCGACACTTTCCGGGTACATGATTCGTACTTTTCTGTAGCAGCCAGACGCAGCGAAGCCGATGGTAGCAAGCTGAATAGGGTTTTGGTGTAAGTTTTCCGCTGCCCGAAAACATACAATCCATGTGTTGCCAACTGTATGGCGCCTATAGAGATGGATGGTTTCGTCCATATGTCTGTGGAGGTGGTTCTGACCAAGGAAATAAGTAGATACCTGTACTTTCCGCCATTTTTCTCTGTTGCTACCAGGACGTTAGCAGATGCGTTGATTCCCAATTTGGCGGTCTTTATGGCAATTATTTCATTGACCAGGGCCTTCTGCTCGGGGTAAGCCGTCAATATGGCCATTTCCTTTTCCGGGTATCCCAGCAGAGCCATATATATGAACAACAGCGCGCAGTATTCCGCTTCCTCTAGATTTTGGAAGCCGTTGCCAGCTGGCGACTCGGTGGTATTCACGGTTACGAATTGACATGCGTCCTTGATTCCAGGATTGGCAATCTCCAAAGAAGTTTCTAAGGCTGTTCCAGGCGCAAATTGAGCAAGCTCAGGGCGAATATTGTGCAGGACCGTGAGATAGTTGGCAGATGGTAGCAGGGTGAGAAGGGACTGGGTTCTGGAGACCAGTGGATTTCCAGCAACCGTGAGTGACTTCAATGAAACTGTGTTTGTTGCCAATATAGTGCAGAACTCGTAAGCACTGAATAATGAGGCATCGAGAATAAAAAGCTGGTCGTATTTCAGCCGTGTGTTTTCTTTGATTTCGTCAAATGTTAAAAAAGTTAGATTTTGTCCAAAATAGCGAGCATTTGGGTAGTGCCTTATTTTATGAGCGAGTTCCAGTTGGTGGAAGAGATTTAGGATTGAGTTGTAGTGCTCAAGAGGTTTTTCAACCTCACCAAAGGGATAATCCGTTGCAGGACTCTGAGAAAAATTCATCCACCTGGGCTCCAGCACGTTTTTGTAAAACGCATACGCCGACTGAAAATCATAAACGTCTTCCGGATCGGTATCCAATGAGGCCGCAAGCTTCTTCACATTCGCCAGTGCTTCATCATACTCAACATAATGGCCCACAGAGACGTCTAGCGCATCAAAGCTCTTTTTGCTTCTTGCTACCACGAGCACCCTGCCATTGGAAGATTTTATCAGCTTACTCACCTTCACTGATTTTCCTGAACAGGTGGGTCCGGCGATAATGGTAATGTTAGACTCTTTTCGTTTCTTGCTCTGCTCGGATTCATGTTTAGAAAAGAGTTGATCCATCCAAGCTGGAAACTGGACTTTGAGATTGCGAACCTCGCGACCAGCCCTAATGGCATATTTGACGCTGGCAAGGTCCGCTCTGTATTGCGCGTCCACAATAACTGAAAGCCTAGAAAATCCACCCTTGCGCATTTCCTCCTTTTCCACTTTGAAAGGAATAATTTTACCACTGTAGAACACACCGTCCGTAGCCCAATCCTTAGATCCCTGCTGTTCTTTGGTGTTCAGTATAGCATCGCATCTCACATTGTCGTTTAGAAGTCCCCCAAGAACTTCCTGCACAGTGATTTTCTCGACCGGAACACAGTACTTGCTGCTCTTCCCCTGCTTCACCCGTGCAAGAATTCCATCAACGGTCTGTTGCAGCTCGCGTTCTGTCTGAGCTTCGTGTTGCCGCTGGGCGCGCTCCAAAAACTCCTCAGCAGACGAGAAGCCAATGTCTGCAACGCTTCTCGCCGGTTCCAGCTGCGCAACCTCCAGCCAGACTGAAAACTCTTTATTTGACGATCGAAGCTCAAACTCATCGTAGAGTCTTTCCACTGTTTTTTTTGCAACAACGCTGACAAACGTTTCAAAGCTACGTCTGAGCTCCAACAGCTCGCGGTACATGTAGATCTCAGAGCTCAGACAGAGACGTTTGAATGCGCTATCGCTAACATCTGCATCTTTGTAGATATACGAGAAAAGCAGCTCGAAGTAAACGTCTGATTGGAATTGAGCCAGGAATCCCGCTTGTCTCAAATACCGTCTGCCGGATGGGTGATTGGTGATGCGCACCACGAAATTGACGTCGTCCAGAGCCAAAGTTTGCTTTTGACTGATTATTTCCACCACGCTCTCCAAATACTGGAATATTGGTCCAGACTGGCCGTAATCGTAAATAACACAGAGCAGAGCACTGAGTCTTTCAAGACTGACATCGATAGCTTTTTGCACGAGTAGCGGCACCTTTTTCTCTAAGACATTGTCGACCAGCTCTCCTTCAGCTAGAACAAGTCTGCACAATAGCACTGTATGATCAGCAGAGCTTTTTGGTCCGAACTGATCAACAATCCAGGACAGCTCTCCATTGACCAGCAACAATGCAAGCTCGTTTGGCTCGCAGGCAGAAAGCTCACGTAGCTTTTCGGTCTCTGCTTTGGCTCGCTTCATGGTGATTTGGTAAAGTGGTGTCTGGGTTTCTAAATTTTTCAAATAAAAATTTTTATACATCATGAACAGAGGAAGAGGAGGATTCAGAGGCGGTCGTGGAGGCAGATCCGGGCCGCCCGTGCCGCAAGGCCCACCAGACAAGGTTTTCGAGATGGGCGAGTTTGTTCATGCGTGCGAGGGCGACATTGTTTGCAAGAGCATCAACGAGAAAATCCCATATTTCAACGCTCCAATATTTCTTGAGAATAAGACCCAGGTCGGCAAGGTGGACGAGATCCTTGGACCTCTGAACGAGGTATTCTTTACCGTGAAACCGAGCGAGGGTGTCCAGGCCACCTCTTTCAAAGAAGGAGACAAATTCTACATCGCTGGTGACAAATTGCTACCTCTAGAGAGATTCCTGCCGAAACCTAAGGCGGTTGGTCCAAAACCACCAAGGAAGAAGAGTTCCCGTGGAGGTGCGTTCGCTGGCCGCGGAGGCGCTCGCGGAGGCTCTTTCAGAGGAGGCAGAGGCGGCGCAAGGGGTTCCTCCAGAGGAGGCTTCTCTAGAGGCGGAAGCCGTGGAGGAAGGGGATCGTTCAGAGGCAGAGGTAGAGGATTTTGAGTGAAGCTACGTAATATATCGCCAAACGTAATCTGGAGCATTGTACGTTATTTGATCCAAGGGTAAAAAATTATATTAGGTGAAGTCTTCGTCCAGTTGTTCAGGGGCCTCCACAACGCTGGTCTTTATCTTGTTGAGCACTCTAATTTTAAAGGCGTCGAGTCTGGAAAATTTGTCGAATTCTTTGGCGCTATTTGCAATGTCGTCGGGGCTTCCGTTGCGCACGGCCTCCACCAACTTGGAAGCAAATTCGTACTCTCTGGTGCTTTCGAATGTAGGATCCCATTGGGTGAATCTCTGGAGAAGAGCGTTTCCGCTTGCGTAGTCGTTGTTGTCTGCAAGTCTGCACAAAATTGCTTTCAGGAAGTATTCTTTCAAAGACCATTTGGCCAGGTTGTTATTCAAAGACTCTTTAGCCACTCTTTCATAAACCACTGCTGCTTTGGCATACTCCTGGACAGTGTTGTCGCAGTAAAGATCAGCAGCCTTGAGGGCAAACTTGTTGCCCAAGGCTGAGGCCGAATCTCCCTTATACCATTCGCTGGCGTCTTCATAGCTCTGGATTGCCTTTGGAATGTCGTTCAGTTCGTTTTCATAGAGTTCACCCAGATCAGCTTTAAAGTTGGCACTACGTCTGAATTGACCCTTGCGCACGAACATTTCGATCGCCTGCTCAAGACATCTTGCCGCTTCAATGGGAACCTCGGTCTTGTAACATTTGAAAGCCTCGACCAGCGTGTTGGCAGCCTCGTCTGGCGATTCGGCCAGCTTCTGGCTCTCAGCAGCCTTCTCGAAGGTCTGACCAGCTTGCGTGTTTCTCTTTTGTAACTTGTAAAGGTTTGCAGCTTGAACATACAGATCGCCAGCCTCTTCGTATCTGGATTGCTGAGACGATCCAAAGAAAGAGGCGAGCCCTCCCACCTTCTTGCACTTCTTTTCGGCCTGGATGTTAGATCAGAATGTGCGGTATAAATACTTACCTCCGCTATCAATTGTTCTGGACTAGACATTTAGATGTTAATAACAGAAACAATTTAACAAATTACGATTTTATATTTATGCGTATCCAGGGCACTTAAACGGATTCCATACTAAGTTGGAGCTGTCATGGCATTTGTCGGGAACGTTAATACTTCGGTAAATTTGCTACGGCCACTACTTACAGTTTGAGGTGTCCGGTTCGATCCTCGCGGTCGGCATTCCACTGCTACGAGAAATCTGGCTCGTGGATGCCAGCAATGAACAGTGTTTCCACTGAAGGGTAGAAATACAGCACAGTTCACTGTCCGTGGGGAGGCGAACGGGGTCGCATCTTGCTGGTTTCCGCAAGGATGGGGTAGTCGCCGTGGTGAATTAGTTGATTGTGACTGACAACTTCTTTTTTTGGTACAAACTCCAGATATTCCTACTGTAGCCAACCCTTCTTGGTGATGTCTACTATCCTTGCCATCTTCATTCATGGAGTTCAGAATTCCTATTAATTACACTCTCTCAATGACAATTGCACTGGCTCCTCCACCACCGTTGCAAATACCAGCAGCACCGTACTTGCCGTTTTCTTGCTCAAGGACAGAGCACAGGGTGGTGACAACTCTGGCACCGGAACATCCCAGTGGATGGCCAATAGCAACAGCACCACCGTAGACGTTGACCTTGGCTGGGTCCAAATTCAGAAGCATGGTGTTTGCAAGACCAACAACAGAGAAGGCTTCATTGAACTCAAAGAAGTCGATATCGTCCATCTTCAACCCAGCGTGCTTGACAGCCTTAGGAACGGCCAGCGCTGGGGCAGTTGTGAAGTCCACTGGAGCATGAGCAGCATCGCCCCATCCCACGATTCTGGCAATTGGCTTGACACCGAGCTCTGCAACCTTCTTGGCACTCATCAGGACAACGGCTGCTCCACCGTCGTTGATTGGCGATGCATTAGGAGCAGTGACAGTGCCGTCCTGCTTGAACACGGTTCTGGCAGATCTCAATTTGGCCTCATTCAGCTTCCCTGTCTCCTCGTCAATCTCTACAACGGTGTCAGGCTTGCCTCTGGTGCCCTTGATGGTGATAGGTGCAATCTCAGACTTGAACTTGCCCTCGGCATGGGCCTTTTGAGCCTTTTTGTACGAGGCAATGGCAAACTCGTCCTGCTCCTCTCTGGAGATGTTGTGGTCCGAGGCACACTTTTCTGCGGCCACACCCATAGCTTTTCCATCGTACGCGTCGTTTAGGCCGTCGCGTGAAATGCCGTCCACAATGGTGCCGTCTCCAAATCTCAGGCCGCCACGAGCACCTGGGAGATAGTATGGAGTGTTGGACATCGACTCAGCGCCACCAGCAACGACAATGTCGCCGCTACCTGTCAGAATGTGTTGGGCACCAAAAATAATAGCCTTCATACCAGAGGCACAGACCTTATTGATGGTGGTGGCTGGAGTGTCCTCGCCGAGGCCAGCCTTTAAAGCGACCTGTCTGGCAGGTGCCTGGCCCACATTGGCTTGCAAAACGTTACCAAAGAAGATCTCCTCCACATCGGTCGGCTTGATCTGAGGCACTTTTTCAACGGCGGCCTTGACAGCGTGGGCTCCCAGGTCCACATAGGACAAGGACGACAGGGCACCCTGGAAAGAGCCAATTGGCGTACGGGCAGCGGCAACTATGTAAACGTATTCTTTGGACATATTAGTTAGTGGGAAACAAAATTGAGTTAGAAAAATGTACCCATCACAAGCTAAACGAGAACGAGCACAGCCTGAAAAAAAAAATTAAAATTAATTTACTATTATTACGTAGTCCAGATCTAACCCTGGATCTCGATATTGGTCACAGAAAAGCGTTCGTTCTGTTCTTTTTGGTATTTTTCCAACTGATCCAGGGTCCAGACGCTGACACCCTGTTCCTGATCCTTCTGCTCTATTGGCTGAGCCAGCGTTCGCAGGAACTTCTTGGCACTGGCTATAGCCATATCTGTAGAGAGATTTATGTCTGCATCAGAAAGTGCCTGGGCTATCCATTTTGGAAGCTGCGACTTCTTTTTCGCGAATCGTCTGTCAGCCAGCACCATTACACCGTAGTCGTCTTTTCCTCGAAGAACCCGTCCAAGACATTGCGCGGCATGCCGCATCGCGTCGAAAGACAGGAAGTCGTTCTCCCTGATTTGGTAGTGGTCTCTGAGAAACTCCAGTCTGGCTTTCAGAATTCTGCTCTCCGTGTACTGGAACGGAATCCCGATCATGAGCACTGTGCGGCCATAATGATGGTCAAAATCGATTCCTTCAGACACTTTGCCACGAGCGACAGAAAGAAGCACCGCGCCTCTCCCGTTGGAACAGGCCTTTCTATACGTTTCGAGCGCCAGCGACGTTTCCTGTGCATCGGGCGTCTCCACCAGAATGAGCTTGTACTTCCAGACTTCGTCCAGAATTCCCATGGTCTGCCATTGCGAGATAATGCTTTCCATGTATAGATACGACGGGAAGAAGACCACCATTCCGTCCGGAGTGATTTTGGAAAACTCGATCAGCAATGTTCCATAGTTCCGCACCACGCTGGGATCGTTTCTGATTTCAAACCGCGACGAGATGGCCACTTGATCTGAGCCTTTGGTGACGACCATCGGCAGGAACGATCTTCTGTCCAGAGTCATGGTGTACGACTCCTGGACAACAGTCTCGAAGTTCAGCATTCTTGGATACATATCCAGCGGAGAGATGGTACCGGAGGTGATGATGACGGAGGAAAAGCGCTCGAAAATCGGCTTCATCGCAATGGACGCGTCAAGACACGCAAACCGTAAAATCGGGTTCGGAACAGTGGCATTTTCTGTCTCGTACGGCTCGAGAATCAGCACAAACCCGGTGTCGTAGGTGGAAACGAGAGTTCCAAACGTAGCAATGTCCTTCAAGGCCATGAATTCCTCGATCTCGACGACTTCAAGCGTCCTGACAAGCAACGACAGCCGCTCGGAACAGAACCTCAATGGTTTGCGGTCAATGAACGTCAGCTGCTTCAAGTGCTGCAAAAACGACACAGGGGTCTCGCTGATCACATGCAGAACCTTCATCCGTGTCTTGAGATACTCGATGAACCGTTTGAGGAAGGATATAAAATGCTCAGCACGACGGATACTTCCAGGAACGGCCTCGGTCAAAACGTCGTCCGGCAGAACAGGGTTCACCATAAACGCATCCTCGTCTGCGTGGTATATTTCCGACTCCCGGAGCCCTTCGACGAGCTTCTCGTACTCGTCCTGGAGCCGTTTGCTGTCGGTTTTCTTCACCTCCTCAACTTTTCTTGCCAAAGCATTGGCACCCTTGCTTGCGCGGCGCAGAACGTCTTCTGTCAGATCCAGCGAAAGAGACTCGATACACACGTTGTCGATGTTGTGCGCCTCGTCGAAGATGATGATGCTGTCTCGCGAAAGCTCCCTGGAAACTCGCTCTGCGATTTTTGGGTCCAATAAATAGTGGTACGAATAAATAATGATGTTACAAAATGGCATCATCCGTCTGATGGTGAAGTACGGACACGTTCCCTCCATTTTGCAGTATTTCATAAGTTGCTCAAACGAATACACTCCCGGCGGAACAAGGTTGGCAGGGTCTTTTTCGTATAGTTTTTCGTGGAATGAGCAAAGCTGGTCTGTGCTCGCCTGGCCTTGCTCTATGCGTGCTTTTAGCTGTCCGTTGGTCATTCGCCGACACATCTCATCCACAACCACGCCCTTTCGCTCTCTGGAAGCCACAGGGTGCAGGCACAGATTCTTACGACTGGTCAGTCCCAGTCCTCTGAAATCTTCGACATAGCCTAGTTCCTTTGATCTGTATTCCATCAGCTTGTGCAGCTCGATCAGCGCCTTTTCGATTTCCGACATGGTACGCGAGCAATACACAATTTTGCGGTGTTCGGGGTAGTGCATTTGGTACGCCACAGTCAGCGAGAGCAGAGAAATGGTCTTGCCGGTACCAGAGGGCATTTCCAGAATGCAGTTGCCTCCAACGTCCAGGGTGCGCTTTATGTCGCACATGTACGCATACTGTTCGGGATAGATCTTGGGATAGGGGAAGAGAACAGGAAGGTCGTCGATAAAGAACCTGGAGTTAGCTGCGGCGCAGTGTGTACTTACTTCATGGAGTATAGGTTATTTATTTTAGTCAGATTTGAAAATTAGAAAAATATCTGATTTTTTGATTATTAGGTAATCGAGATACACCTATCTACTTATCGCCCAAGAAGGCAGTAGTCAGTCTCGGTCGAAATGGCGGGGGAGAGAGACGATTCATTGGTGGGGTCACTGGGGAGGTGTTTGTGGTCTTTTGAAGGCTCAAATAATGACGATCTCTCATTCTTTCTGTACTGCAATCTGGCTCAGGCAAGGCGGCTCGGCAAAAGGCCAGACCAGTCTGCTCAGCAATGGTTTCGACTATTCAGCAACGGTGTGGCCAGCACTGGTGCTTTGGTGAGGAAACCAGTGCACTAAATTTCGCTCCAACCAGTGAGCATCAGAAAAATAATTACATTTAATATTTATGTTTGATCCCAGGGTGCATGTGAGATACTTTCTGCGGTGCCTGGGAATTTTGCCAGCAACCTACGAGGGCGAAGACTCCAACAAGCTCGCGCTGATCTACTTTTGCGTGTGCGGGCTGGATCTGCTTGGTGCGCTCGACCAGCTGCGCGGAAAGACTGAGACCGTCGACTGGGTGTACAGACACTGGGTTGAGGTCGACGACTATGGCGGATTCCGCGGGTCGGACATATACAGGGACACCGGGCCGTACGACGTACCGAATCTCGCGGCGACCGGGTTTGCGTTGCAAATTCTGGTGACGCTAGGCGACGACCTTTCTCGGGTCGACACAAACAAGGTTCGCCGGTTTGTGGAGCGGTGCCAGCGGCCCAACGGCTCGTTCAGCCCGGTGGTGGGTTTCGGCGAGGAAGACCTGCGCTACTGCATGCTGGCCATGACGATCAGCCGGCTGCTGGACGGCACGGCGGTGGACAGCGGCCGCCTTTTGCAGTACGTGCGGTCGACGCTCGCTTTTGACGGCGGGCTGTCGATGAGCGCAGGCGGCGAGTCACACGCGGGACTGACCTACTGCGGGCTGGCTGCGCTCAAATTGGCGGGCAAACTGGATCTGTGCGAGTGGCAGGCGACGCTGGATTTTCTGGTGCATCGGCAAATCCACTACTGCGACTTCAATAAGCGCGAGCTGGAGAACGAGTACGCGGATGAGGACGACAACGGCGCGTTCAACGGCCGCGTCAACAAGTACGGCGACACGTGCTACGCGTTCTGGTGTCTCGCGGCGCTGGAGCTGCTGGACAAAGCCGACCTGGCGGACGGTGAGGCCGTAAAGCGTTTCTTGCTGGAGCAGACGCTGTCGCCGACAATGGGCGGGTTTTGCAAAACGAACGCGCCGGACGAGCTGCCAGACCCGCTGCACTCGTTTCTGGGCATCGCAGCGCTTGGGATCATAGGCACTCCCGGCATTGCTCCAGTGGACGTGACCGTGGTGTTACGAAAAGATAGAATGGTCTAGAATATATGCACGTTAGCGGATGGGCTCGAACTTGATGATCTCCTCGTAGATGGCCCACGCAATCGCCGCGCTGAAGGCTTTCCTGCCGATCCGGAGCGAGATACCGTCAAACAGACGCGTCCAGTGGCTGGCTACCAGAACGCGGCAGGTCTGCCAGAACGTCGGGCACGTGTGCGGGCTGAGCTGCATGTTGGTCTTGATCGTGTCGAACGGCGACGTGAGCGCGGTGGCCATGCACGCCGCCACGAGAGCAGAACACGAGTTGATGGCCGTCGACCTCGAGGTGGTGTAGAGGTGTGTCGGAGAGGCATCTGTGTCGGAGATGAGCAGCGGTGCCCAGCCCTTGCATTTTTGGTAGAATAACACGTACAGCCCGGCGTAGGGGCAGTCACGCAGGCACGTGGCACCGTAGCCACGGAAAAAGCCCGCCAGGCCCTCGTTTTTCAGGATCTGTTTCGTGGCGTCGGACAGAGAAGCGTACTGGTACAGACTGGACTCGAAGCGTACTTTTAGGATGGTGATGGGCATTGTGAGCAGGCCGACAAGGCCGCGGGTGACTGCGCCGGCGGCCAGGTCGAGCGACGACGAGAGTTTGGGCAATTTCGACGACGAGGGCAGGGTGTCTGTCTGGGGCTGCAGTTTGACGAGGCTGGTGCGCACGGCGTTCAGGGAGGTGAGGTAGAGGGCGGAGCCGATGGACGTTCGCAGCGCGCTGGGCAGCGTGCCGCGCCAGAGCTCGAGCGGCGAGCGGATCTGGGCAACGACGTTTCTGAAGGACGTTTTGTCCTGCTGGATCCGCGTTTTCAGCAGGTCCAGCGGCTGCAAGCACACGGCCGACGTGAGGCCGCCCGTGAACCCGGCAATGAGGTGTGTGTAATTGGAGGGGGATCTTTCCATCAGACGATGGAAAATAAATAGTATTTAAATAATTGCGGGCTGGAAAAATATTTAACGTCGATACCAAATACACTGTCTGGGGTCAGAAGTCCCCGCCAAAGTCTCCGCCACCAAAATCGCCGTAGCCACCGCCGTTGTCGTAGATCACCGTGTCGGGGGTCATCATCTCGCCCAACAGCAGGCCTCCGAGCGCACCTGCTCCCAGGCCTCCGAGCATGCCCATGCTGCCCAGCCCGCCAAACCGGCTTCTGGACGACTGGTTGTAGTTAGCGGGGTACTGCTGGGGGTACGGGGCGGGCTGTGCGTAAGGAGCGGGTTGACCGTAGGGAGCGGGCTGCGCGTATGGCTGTGGATACTGCGGATACTGTTGAGGGGCGCCAACGTGTGCGGTCTGGGGCTTTGCGGTGGACGGCAGGTTGATCCGGGACCCGCTGCCGGCGCTCTGTGCGGCTGGCTTGTCGACCACTTCTGAGTATGGAGGAGGGGCCTCCTCGCGGGGCTCGCCGAAACTCGTGCCCTTGGGGGCGTCCCATTGCGATTTGCCTGTTGATTCGTCGACATAGAACCATTCTGGTGTTAGACGCGAGTGGGCGGCTACTTACCATTGTACGTGTCGTCCCAAACGGCGACCCAGCCTTTGGGGACGACTGGCTTGTTGTTTTTGTTGCCCATGGTGAAACGGTGGAAGAAGCCAGAATTTATAAATTGGAGATTATATAAGCGCGGCGCAAGGACGTGACATAGTGTCACGAAAGAGTGGCAGTGATTTATAGACAGGTTTTATCGTTTAGAGTAAAGAGTATCAAACACATAGTATTGTAGGTATCTATATCATATCAACAAAGTAAGAAAGCATATCAGATGAAGTAGACAAGTGCCAGGAACCCGAAGAGCAGCGAGGTGGTTGCAGAACGGGCTGCGCCTCCTTCAAAGGTGGCCACCGAGCTGGCAGTGGCGGAAGAGCCGGACGCGCTGGTCGAAACCGTGCTGGTGTAGAGGGTGTTGTGGCTGGCAGAGTGAGAAGGTTCACTGCCGGAAGCAGCAGACGAAGTTGTCTGCGCAGAGGACGAGCCGGAGTTGGTGCCGGAGCCTGAGCCGGAGCCTGAGCCGGAGGCGGAGGCAGACTCAGAGTTGGAGCTGGAGCTGGAGTCCGAGCTAGAATTGGAGGTGGAATTAGGGCTTGAGCCTGAGCCAGTAGCAGATCCTGTCGCAGATCCAGTAGCAGAGCCAGTAGCAGAGCCGGCTGCAGAGTCAGTTGCAGAGCTGGAGCCGCTGGCTGGTGTAGAGGTGTTCTGGGACTCGGAGGCCGTGGTTTGGGCGTTTGCCTGGCCGGCGACGGACGCGGTGTTCGATGCCGCGGTCAGTGGCTGAGAAGCGGTAGCCGGGGTGGACTCTGCAGAAGTGGTTTCTGGAGTCGAGTTGCCGGCGCTGCCAGAGTTGGCGGAGCCAGCAGAGCCAGCAGAGCTGGAAGCGGCGGAAGAGGCAGAGGTGTTAGAAGCCGTGCCCGATGGGTTTGCGGTGTTGGAGGCTCCAGATGCTGCGGTAGATCCGGCTGCAAGAGACGAAGAACCTGCGACGCTAGAGTCAGCAGGCTCGGTGGCAGAGCCGGTAGACGATCCAGACGTTTCAGAGGCTCCACTTGCAGATGTTTCAGACGTTTCAGAGGTGCCATTTGCAGATGTTTCAGAGGCTCCCGTTGCAGACGTTTGAGAGGCTCCAGTTCCAGCCGTTTCCCATGTTTCAGAGGCCGATGTGCCACTTGGGGCTCCTGTGAACGATTCGGTGGAGGAGCTGGAGCCCGCGGAAGTGCCCGTAGCGGTGGACTGTCCTGCAGAGCCGGTGGAAGGCTCCGTGGCGCCGGTGGCTTGTCCCGCAGCGCCGGTAGAAAGTTCTGTACCGCCCGTAGAATGTTCTGTACCGGCCGTGGAAGCTGTACTGCCCGCGGAAGATGGCGTGCTAGAGGAGCCCGTGGAAGGTCCTGTAGATGGGGAGGTAGGAGGTTCTGTAGACGAGGAGACAGGTAGTCCTGTAGATGAGGAACTAGGAGCTCCTGTAGACGAACCAGACTGTCCTGTGGACTCTGTGCCTGAGGTTGCGCTGGCAGAGCCCGACGAGGCTGAGGTGGCTTCTCCCGAAGTGCCTGTCGAGGATCCGGTGGATTCCGTTGACTCGCCCGTGGCAGCCACAGTGGAGCTGGAGGAGTTGGAAGATGTGGTGGAAGCGGCGGAAGCGGAACTAGTAGAGCCGCTGGAGCTGGTAGAGTCTGTAGAACCTGCAGAACCTGCAGAACCTGCAGAGCCTGTAGAACCTGTAGAACCTGCAGAGGTCTCAGACGAGGCTCCCGAGGTGGTCTCAGTTGACGCTCCCGTTGAAGTTGCGGACGTAGCTCCGGTTGGAGTAGCTGAGTTAGCAGCGGACGTTCCCGAAGTGTTGGATCCTCCAGCAGTAGCTTCGGTGGAAGTGGCTGGTGTGGATTCGGCTGAGGTGGCTGAAGTAGCGGTGGAAGCCTGTGTTGCCGTTCCGGACGTAGCTCCAGTTGGAACGGCGGAAGCAGCAGCGGACGATCCCGAAGTGGTGGATCCTCCAGAAGCGGCTGAGGTAGCGGTCGATGCCGCGGAAGTAGCTTCGGTGGAAGACTGCGATGCCGTTCCGGTAGTAGCTTCGGCTGAAGTGGCTGGAGTGGCTGGAGTGGCTGGAGTGGCTTGCGAGCTGGCCGCTGCTCCCGAGGTCTCGGACTGCGTGGCAGAAGTTTCCGAGGTGCACGTTGGGCAGGCTGTTTCTGAACCACCTTCGGACGTGGCTGAGGCCTGCGAAGTCGAGCCTGCAGATCCTGAGCCAGAGGACTGGGAAGATGTGGCGCCGGAAGCGGACGATGGAGCGGAGACAGAAGTCTGGGAGTTGGAGGCCGACGCGGTGGAGCTGGCGGTCTCTGATCCAGGGGAGCTGGCGGTCTCAAATTCAGAGGAGCCGGCGGAGCTGGTAGAGCCAGAACCGGTGGAGCTGATACCCGAGGAGCTGCTAGCCGTGGAGCTAATAGCCGAAGCTGCTGATCCTGTTGCACCTGTTGTTCCTGAGGCTGTCGAGGAAACTGGGGATCCCGTTGATCCTGCTCCTGCTGATCCCGTTGCTCCCGTTGATTCTGTTGCTCCTGCTGCAGCAGACGAGCTGGAGCTCGAGGTCTGTCCGGCAGTGGATTCCTCGCCCGAGCTCACGGAGCCGGCTGGACTGGTTCCGCTAGCGGCTGGTTCACTGGTTATGGTCGAGCTGGTTGTAGCTGGGCCTGGCGAAGGCGACACGTCGTGGCCAGAAGAGGCGGTGATCGAGTTGAGGCTGGTAGCGCCAGAGACAGTAGAAGCAGCTGTCGAAGCGGTAACAGAGGTATTGAAGTAGCCAGAGAAGCTAGAGCTGAAGCTAGAGCTGAGGCTGGAGCTGAGGCTGGAGACGGCAGACGACTGGCCGGTGCCTGAGGCGCTGGTGTGGCTGGAGCCAGAAGGAGTGCCGGCAGCGCCAGTGGAGACACCGGCGCTGGTCTGGCCGGGAACGCTGACGGCTCCGCTAGATGGGTAGCTAGAGCCAGTTGGAGTGGCGTTAGAGATGGAAGCGCTGGAGGCACTGGAAGCTCCATTGGACACTCCGCTGGACACTCCCGTGACCTGGCTGGCGGCACCGCTGGAAGCTCCAGCTGAGGCGCTGTTTTGGTTGGATGCGCCGCTGTTCTGGCTGGAGATCGTGCTTGATGCTCCAGAGAGTCCGCTGGACGCACCGCCCGCTGGGGAGCTGCCAGTTGGCGTGACTTGGCTAGATGCTCCGCTGGATGCTCCACTGGATGCTCCGCTGGCTGCGCCTGTGTGGCTAGAGACGGCGGATGACGTACCAGCAGCATTGCTAGAAGCACCGGCCGAGCCAGACTGGCTAGGGCCAGATGAGCCTGTGGACTGGGTGCTGCTGAAGACGGAACGAGTAGAGCTGTGCGTTGAGCCACTTGATGCAGAGTTCTGGCCGGAAGCGCTGCTGTAACCGGATAGCCCGTTTGAAGTGGTTTTGCCAGAGTCATTGGAAGCATGCGAGCTCAGATTGCTGGTTGGAGCGGAGCTGGCGACGCCAGACGATCCCCCGGCAGTGTGGCTAGAGTAGACGCTGGAACCACGGAAGGTTGGAGCAGAGCTGACGACAGTTCCAGACGAGCGAGTCACTGTCACGGTGGAGAAGCCAGTTGGGGCGCTGGAAGCGGTGTTGGAAGCAATGCCAGAACCAGATGATTTGCCAGAACCGGCGCTGGAAGAACCGTTGGAACCGCTGGAACCGCTGGACGCACTGGAAACTCCACTCGATCTACTGGCACTCGAGACACCGTTGGAGGCAGCATTGGAGGCAGCACTGGAATTTCCGCCGGAAGCGGTGTTCGATGCTCCGCTGTTGGCAGAAGTGTTGCCGGAAGCCGAAGCCCCGTTCGAACGAGTCGAGCTAGCTTGGCTGGAGGTCACTGGTGCAGAGCTATAGGTGGCAGAGCCAGAAACTCCCGAGCTCGACTGAGTAGAGCCCGAGGTCGGAGAGCTGTAGCCAGAGAAGGAGCGAGAGCTCTGTACGGAGCTGGATCCGGCAGTGTTTCCTCTGCTGGTCGACGCGCCGGATCCCTGGTTGGAGGACTGCGCGCTGCTCGAGCCATAACTGGAGGCAGAGTTAGCAGAGCCGGTAGGATATGCAGAGCTGTGGCCATGACTGGAGGCCTGGATGGATACCGAGCTTTGTCTTGAGGCAGAGCCAGAGCTGGAAGCAGGGTGGCCTGAGCCAGAACCTGACGTAGGGTTAGCAGAGCCAGAGCCATAACTTGAGGTTGGGTTAGCGGAGCCGGAGCCTTGATTTGAGGTTGGAATAACCAAGCCACCTGGGGCAGAACCATAACTTGAGGCAGGATTAGCTGAGCCAGAACCATAACTCGACGTAGGGTTAGCTGAGCCAGAGCCATAATTCGAGGTTGGGTTAGCAGACCCAGAGCCGTAGCTGGAAGACTGGCCAACAGATCCAGAGCCGTAACTTGATGTTGGATTGGCAGAGCCACCTGAGACAGAACCATAACTTGATGTTGGGTTAGCAGAGCCAGAGCCATAACTCGAGGCTGGGTTGGCGGAGCCGGAACCATAACTCGATGTTGGGTGACCTGAGCCAGCAGAGCTCGAACCATAATTCGAGGCAGAGTTAACAGAGCCATAACTTGAGGTAGGGTTAGCAGAGCCAGCTGAACCGGAACCATTTGAGGTTGGATTAGCTGAGCCAGCTGAGCCGGAACCATAACTCGAGGTTGGATTGGCAGGGTTAACAGAGCCAGAGCCATAACTTGATGTTGGAATAGCCGAGCCAGAGCCATTACTTGAGGCTGGATTAGCCAAGCCATAACTTGAGGTTGGACGTCCTGAGCCGGAGCCTTGATTTGAGGTTGGATAAGCTGATCCGGAGCCGTAGCTGGAAGACTGGCCAACAGAGTTAGAGCCATAACTTGAGGTTGGATGAGCAGAGCCAGCAGAACTCGATCCATAATTGGAGGCAGGGTGACCTGAGCCAGAACCATAACTCGACGTAGGGTTAGCTGAGCCAGAACCATAACTCGACGTAGGGTTAGCTGAGCCAGAACCATAGCTCGATGCTGGGTTGGCAGAGCCCGAACCATAGCTTGAGGTTGGGTTAGCGGAAGCAGAGCCGTAACCTGAGGTTGGATTAACAGAGCCAGAACCATAACTCGAGGCTGGATTGACAGAGCCGGAGCCATAAGTCGAGGCTGGGTTGGCGGAGCCCGAACTATAACTTGAGGCCGGGTGACCTGAGCCAGCAGAGCTCGAGCCATAACTTGAGGTTGGATAAGCTGATCCAGAGCCGTAGCTGGAAGACTGGCCAACAGAGTCAGAGCCATAACTTGAGGTTGGATGAGCAGAGCCAGCAGAACTCGATCCATAATTGGAGGCAGGGTGGCCTGAGCCAGAGCCGTGACTTGAGGTTGGAATAGCCGAGCCACCTGGGACAGAACCATAACTTGAGGCAGGATTAGCAGAGCCGGAACCATAACTTGAGGTAGAGTGACCTGATCCAGAACCATAACTCGAGCTAGGATTAGCAGAGCCATAACTAGAGGCAGAGCCAGCTGAACCAGAACCATTACTTGGAGTTGGATTAGCTGAGCCAGAGCCATAGTTTGAGGTTGGATGATCTGAGCCAGCAGAGCTCGAACCATAACTGGAGGCAGAGCCAACCGAGCCAGAGCCATAACTCGATGTTGGGTTAACAGAGCCAGAGCCGTAACTTGAGGTTGGATTAGCAGAGCCAGAGCCGTAACTTGAGGTTGGGTTAGCAGAGGCAGCAGAGCCAGAACCATAACTTGGGGTTGGGTTAGCGGAGCCAGCAGAACTCGAGTTTGGATTAGCTGAGCCAGAGCCATAACTTGAGGTTGGACGACCTGAGCCGGAGCTTTGATTTGAGGTTGGAATCACCAAGCCACCTGGGGCAGAACCATAACTTGAGGCAGGATTAGCCGAGCCAGAGCCATAACTCGACGTAGGGTTGGCGGAGCCGGAACCATAACTCGATGCTGGATTGGCAGAGCCAGAGCCATAACTCGATGTTGGGTTAGCGGAGCCGGAGCCATAGCTTGAGGTTGGATAAGCTGAGCCATAACTGGTTTGACTTGAAGGATGGTTAACAGGGCTAGAACCATAACTGGAAGTCTGGCTGGAAATTTGGTTGGCAGAGCTTGAACCATGACCAGAAGCTTGGTAGGATGACGAGCTTTGGCTTAAAGCTTGGCTGGAGGCATAACTTGAAGCAGGCCTAGTAGAACTGGAACCAGACGCTTGGTTGGATGCTGAGCTTTGTCCCGAAGCGGAGCTGGAAACATTAATCGGCACAGAGTTAGTGGAGCTCGATCCATGACTCGTTGCTTGGCTGAGAGTTTGGCTAACAGAACTGGACCCATAACCTGAGGGATGACTAGCCGAGCTAGCAGAGCCAGAATTAGAACTCGAAGACTGACTAGCAGAGCCAGAGCCATAACTGGAGGCAGGGCCAGCAGAGCTGGCGACGTTACTGGTTGCCTGGGCGGAAGTCTTGATAGCAGAGCTGGATCCATAATTGGTATTATCACTTGAAGCAGAATTAACAGGGCTAGAACCATAACTCGAAGCTTGGTTGGATGCCGAGCTTTGTCTTGAAGTGTAGCTGGAACCATTACTAGTTGCCTGGCTCGAGCCATGATTGGAAGCTTGGCCAGCAGAGTTGGAACCAGAACTCGAGGCAGGGCTAGCAGAGCTGAAGGAACTAGAGCCATAAACAGAACCATAACTTGAAGTTTGGCTGGAAGATTTGGAACCAGAACCGGGGGTAGAACCAACAGAGCTCGAGCCATATTCTGAAGCATAGCTGGAGACATGGCTAGCAGAGCTTGAGCCATAACCTGAAGTTTGGTAGGATGATGAGCTTTGGCTTGGAGAAGCTTGGCTGGAAACATAACTGGAGGCAGGGTTAGCAGAGCTGGAACCATAACTTGAAGCTTGGTTTGATGCTGAACTTTGGCCTGAAGCAGAGCCAGAAACATTACTAGTTGTCTGGTCGGAATTAGACGTGGAACGAGAACTAAATGTCTGGCTGGAGCCATAAATGGAAGCGTGGCTGGAAGTTTGACTCGTAGAACTAAAACCAGAACTTGAGTTAGGGTTAGAAGAGCCAGCAGAGCTTGAAGCATAATTTGAGGCTGAGCTAGAAGGGCTGGAGCCAGAAGCTTGGTTGGGTGCTGAGTTTTGTCCCGAAGAAGCAATGCTCGAACCATAACTTGAGGTAGGGTGAGTTGAGCTAGCAGAGCTTGAGCCAAAACTGGAAACATGACTTGACACAGTATTAGCAGAGCTCGAGCCATACGTTGAGGCAGGGCTAGCAGGGCCAGTAGAGCTATAACCATAACTGAAACTTGGGTTGGATTCTGAGCTCTGGCTCGAAGAAGCAGAGCTGGAACCATAACCGGAGACAGAGCCAGCAGAGCTCGAGCCAAAACCTGAGATAGAACTCGAAGAGCTGGATCTGGAAGCTTGGTTAGATGCTGAGCTTTGGCTCAAGGAAGTTTCGCCGGAAAGGTGACTAGTTGCTATGCTGGAAGTAGAGCTGGAACCGTAACCAGTTGGCTGGCCGGAATTCTGGCTCGAGCCAAAATCGGAGGCAGAGCTAGAAGGGCTGGAGCCATGGCTTGACACCTGATTGGATGCCGAGCTTTGTGCTGGAGCAGAGCTAGGAATAAAACTAGTTTCCTGGCTGTGGCTGGAAATATCGCTAGAAACATAACTAGTTCCCTGGCTGGAGCCAAAACTAGTTGCCTCGCTGGAAATTTGGCTGGCAGAGCTGGAACCATAACTTGAGGTAGGGGTAATGGAGCTCGAGCTATCACTCAAACTTTGGTAGGATGCCGAGCTTTGGCTCGAGCCAGAACTAGTTTCCTGGCCTGAAGTTTGACTAGAAATATCACCCGTTGCTTCGCTCGAAGTCTGGCTGGAGCCATAACTAGTCACTTGGCTGGAAGATTGGCTAGTAGAGCTGGAACTATAATCGGGAGCTGGATTGGATGCAGAGCTCTGGCTTGAAGAAGCAGAGTTGGAAACCTCACCAGTGGCCTGACTGGAAGTCTCGCCAGCAGTGCTGGACGGCAGAGTGGTATAACTCGAACCTTCCTCTGACGATTCAGAACTCTCACTGGAAGCAGTGGAGCTGGAAACATCGTCAGTGGTATAACTCGAACTTTCGTCCTCAGAGGTGGACGGCGCAGTGGTATAACTCGAACCTTCCTCTGACGATTCAGAACTCTCGCTAGAAGCAGTGGAGCTGGAAACATAGTCAGTGGTTCGGCTGGAGCTTTCGTCCTCAGAGCTGGATGGCGCAGTGGTATAACTCGAACTTTCGTCCTCAGAGGTGGATGGAACGGTGGTATAACTCGTACCCTCCTCTGACGACTCAGAACTCTCACTGGAAGCAGTGGAGCTGGAAACATCGTCAGTGGTATAACTCGAACTTTCGTCCTCAGAGGTGGATGGTGCAGTGGTATAACTCGAACCTTCGTCCTCAGAGGTGGACGGCAGAGTGGTATAACTCGAACCTTCCTCTGACGATTCAGAACTCTCGCTAGAAGCAGTGGAGCTGGAAACATAGTCAGTGGTTTGACTCGAACTTTCGTCCTCAGAGCTGGATGGAACGGTGGTATAACTCGAACCCTCCTCTGACGACTCAGAACTCTCACTGGAAGCAGTGGAGCTGGAAACATCGTCAGTGGTTTGACTGGAACTTTCGTCCTCAGACGTGGATGGCGCAGTGGTATAACTCGAACTTTCGTCCTCAGAGGTGGATGGCGCAGCGGTATAACTCGAACTTTCGTCCTCAGAGGTGGATGGAACGGTGGTATAACTCGTACCCTCCTCTGACGACTCAGAACTCTCACTGGAAGCAGTGGAGCTGGAAACATCGTCAGTGGTATAACTCGAACTTTCGTCCTCAGAGGTGGATGGTGCAGTGGTATAACTCGAACCTTCGTCCTCAGAACTGGATGGCGCAGTGCTATAACTCGAACCCTCCTCTGACGATTCAGAACTCTCGCTGGATGCAGTGGAGGCCGATGGTAAGTCGCCGTCGCTGGTGTAGGACTCTGTTGGAGAGCTGGCATTGTCCTCGTCTGATGACGAGCTAATAGGGGATGGACTCACTTCATAACCGGAGGATTGAGGGATCGACGTAAGTGTCCAGCTGACATACTCAGTGTGGTCAAAACTGTCAGAACTGGACGAGGGCAGCAACGTCGAGCTGGAAGTAGTGGACAAAGTAGGGGATTTTTTTGAAGTGCTGGACCTAGTAGTTTGGGTGCCAGAACCAGGTGGGTATCCAGGGGGTCTATGAATTTGCAACTCACAATATGAGTAGAAAAGATTCACCGGCTTACAGTAGTAGAGAGGGTTGCAACATTCTGTTGCGCCGATGTGGAGGAGACCTCCACATTTGTGGCCCTCAGCAGCACACCCCCAACTAAAGGCAGAAGCCGACATTGCAAAAAGCAGAGTCGAAAACACAAGATGGAAAAGCATGGTGTATCAAGGGATTTGCAACGTTTGGTTGGCGCTGCAGAGATAGAGAAAGCGGGGCCTTTTTATTTACTCACCAAGATACACATCGTACGATGCGGCTCGTCCGGGACTGCAAGGAATGAGAGGTCTTGGGACTCGTCAAGCTTGAAAGACAGGCAAACTGATTGCACCCAAAGATGCGTCTGCAGAATGTATAGAAAAACGCATCTCCCCGTGCATGTGCGTTTGAATTGTCAGGCTGCATTCCTGTCCCGTTTTCGCAAATGTTAGCTAGCCGAAACCCTATTCACACAAATAAGCTGCATCCAGCACAAATGCGGAAACACCCAAGATTCTTGGCTGTACGTAACACATCCTCAAGCTTCGGCGCGCTTGCTAGTCCACGATCCGAGCTTTACCGGCCAGTGTTGTCCCTCTTTGCCCCACGCTCCCCACGCTTGGACCAAAAGCAATTTTAGGTTCCAGAGTAAGCATGGGAGGGGGGAATCATGAAGGATTTCCAAAGTTTTCAGTTTTACAAAGTTCTCATCTCGGACCGCATGAACCCAGCGTCCGCCATTACGTCACATAGACAACGCCTCTACACAACGTGAGTGAAGGTTATTCGAAATACACAAAACGTTCAGACGACTGCTTCAAAGAAAAGTTTTTCAGATCCAAACGTACAATAGATCGGCTGAAAATTTTCAGTTCTTCCTGCTGCCGGGACTGGCAAGATATTTGCTCATCCACGCAAGCCCAGCATTGGGATGAGTAAACAAGCGAGACAAGTCCGTCCACACAACTTGCAATGAGCAGACACTGCACCGGTCGCAGCCTCCCACAAACGTCAAGGCACCGTTGTGTGTGCGGTTCTCGGGTCCTCATGCAGCGAACCCTGTCGAGGGCAAAACCAGAAGCTTGCAGCCCACTACAGAAACGAGATATCTAGTGGTACGGCTGAAACCGGTGGAAGCACGCGGGCTTTTGTTCTGTGGGTTCACCCGCATGCGCATGCATATTTCTTGCGCATGGTCTCGGGCGCAGCAAAACTGTATGGAAACCAGTCAGATTTGAGCGCTGCGCAGCCTGCATACAGACTTTTCCACGAGCCTTTAAGCACCAATCAGCTGAATTTCTGCAAAACGAGTTATCCTTCCTATGTACAATGTCTAAAAATGCCACGAATTAGGGCTTCCCAGCCCTATTATTCTCTGGAACCTAAAGTAACCTTAATCCAGTCCACGCCCGGATCAGCACCGATGATCGTATTGCTCAGCCGTGTTGGGAAATACTTGCGTCCCAGAATAGCAGCCTTATGCAAGTCACAGTCAAGAAGACTCTCTCTGCGGGCTTGTCTCATTTCGTCGTCCACATCGTAATTGAAATGCGTGGCGCCCTCGCCGCGGACGCTCACTGGAGCATCGATGTTCTGGAAAATGCTCAGTTTCGCCTGTCCCAGGTCTTCTGGCGTGATTTGCCCATTCTCAATCATGTCGACTATTTTCCCCATGCTCCGCGCAAACGTCTCGATCGACCGTGCAGGATTCGGGTCGCGGAAACTGTAGTACGCAAAAATGCCGTTGAGAGCGTCATATGTCGCGCCTCCGCCATAGGCTCCTCCCTTTTCGCGGACCTCGCTGTGCAAGTGCTTGAACGTGCTGAGCTGGGCCAGGATCTGCAGGGCCGCGCCGTCGTCGCAGGTGTACGACGAGCCCGGTGCCACTGCTGCCGCAAAGCTCACTTGGGCAGCAATCTCAACTACTCTGTCCTGCGCAGTTTGCTGCATCTCCATCTCGTAGGCGCCCGGAGCGTGCCGCAATTGGAACCGCTCGCCGTATCGGGCAACCAGCTTTTCCTGTGTGGTCACATTTGCTCTATCGGTAGTGACGGCGAACTTAAAGTTCGAGCCCCCCAGCAAAACGCTCTGTATCCGTTTCAGGGCAGTGGACACTTCCTCCAGCCGGTTCTGCTCGTCCAACGCCCGCAGCTCGTTCAAAAACGACACCTGCTCTATTCCTCCCAACAGCTGCTGCAGCTTTGCGGCCTTCGACAGCTGCGCCGCCGAGTACCCCCGCGCGTAGCTGTGGCCGCTGCTGACGATTGCGCTGATGTTGTCGCTTGTCAGGGTCTTCACCAGCACGCTCAGCTTGTCGTGGTTGTCGAAATCGGTCTCTGCGAGCAGCTGGTACGACAAATCGAGCAGCCGCTCGAAATTCCCGTTCAGAGCCACGCCGTTCAGCCCAAACTTCAGATACGCCGTGTCCATGTCGTCGGGCGAACTGTGCGAGAACACCGTCGGCGAGATCCCGCCCGTGTAAAGCTTGATCTCGTCCTCCAGCTGCGCCATCGACTTCTTCTTCGTGCCCAGGTTCGTCAGACAGTCCGTGAACAGGGGCAGGTACTTCACCAGCTCCAGCGGCAGCTCGTCAGACGAGACCGTCTTGAGCGACCGGAAATACGTCAGGCCGTTCGTCTTGGGCGACACCCTCGTCTGTAGCTCGGTGGCCCCGGTGTTTTTGAGGTTCAGCCGCACGCTGTCGCCGTCTCTGCTGATGTCGGCCGTCGACAGCGTCGGCAAGCACGAGAGGTCTTCCTGTCTGCTCTGGTTCTCCAGTAGCTTCAACCCCCGCTTGTACAGCACCTCCCTGTCGTTCTCGTCCAGCGTGGCAATTTTCTTCGCCAGCCGCTGCTGCTCCTCGCCGGAAATCTGTTTTTCCAGCCCGTCGTCCGGAAACATCGTGTAGTGGAAATACGGAGCGTCCAGAATGTACTTGTCGATGCGCTCTGCAAACATGGCGCCACCCTGCCTCTCGTACTCCTGCCTGAACCGGCCAATCACGCTGTCCCATTTGAGCATCTCGAGCGGATCCACCCTGTTGACCCAGCCCGGCACCAGCGAGCTCAGCAGATTTAGCCCGAACGACGCGCTCTCGGCCTTCCGGCCAACCTCCAGCTGGTGTATCATGGCGTCAATTTTTTCCCGCACAAATCCGGCCGTCTTGGCCCGCTGCACAGCGTCTCTGACGATCCCGGGAAGCTTGGCAGCAGTCTCCGCGCTCATACCCTGCAACCCCACACTGAGCATGTTCACGTCTGTCATCGAGTCCATGCCCGAGTTGATGCTGAAGTCGGTGCCCAGCCCCGTCTCCACCAGCTCCTGGTACAGCGGCGACGAGTGGCCGTCGATCAGCAGGTTCGACACGAGCCGCATCACAAACGTCTCGTACACGTCGTCCGGCCGGCTGCAGTACCACGTCAGCGAGCCCTTGTACTGTCTTTCCACGGGCAGAAGCGGGTCCACGGGGCCCGCGACGCGCAACGAGGTGTTGCCACGCAGCTCCACGGGCTGCTTCACGTCCTGGCGCCGCTGCCGGCGGCCAAACCGCGCGTACTTCTCGTTGATCCGCGCCAGGTGTCTCTCCAGCGGCAGGCTGCCGTACGTGAACGTGGCGCCGTTGGACGGGTGGTAGTACCTGGCGTGGAAATCGACCAGATCCTCATACACCAGGTCTGTCATCTTGGCCGGGTCGCCGCCGGAGTTGTGGAGCGAGGGGTAGATCGCCTCCTGGAACTTGATCCAGAACCAGTACCCGGCGTCCGACAGCTGGCCCTTCATCTCGTTGTACACCACGCCCTTGAAACACAGCGGGCTGGCGCGGTCCTTGGGGTCCTCGTGCTCCAGCCGCCAGCCCTCCTGGTAGAAGTCGTCCTCGCACAGCAGCGGGTTCAGCGTCGCGTCCAGATACACGTCCATCAGGTTGTAGAAGTCCGTGTGGTTGGTGGTGGCAAACGGGTAGAACGTGTAGTCGTGGCCGGTCATGGCGTTCATGAAGTTGGCGAGCGACCGGTTGAGCATCTTGAAGAACGGGTCGCGCACGGGGTACCTCTCGGAGCCGCACAGCGTGGTGTGCTCCAGGATGTGGGGCAGTCCCGTGCTGTCGGGCGGGTTGGTCTTGAACACCATGCTGAAGACGTTGTTTTTGTCCTGGCGGTCGATGTGCAGGTGGCTGGCGCCGGTGCGCTCGTGGACGAGGTCGACGGCCGTGAGGCTGAACTCCGGCACGTCGAGCGCGCGGCGCACCACAAACCCGTGGACACGGTGGCCCAGAGGGTATTTTCCGCGTGCCACAGTGGCGAATCGACGCAGCGACATGAAAAAATTAAATAAAATAAAATAAAATAAAATTAAATAAAATAAAATAAAAAAATAAATTAATTTTTGATTACCTGTTCTTCCCTTCATGCTCCTCAACTTTTTGCTGCTGGCCGCCGCGTGCGTGGCCGAAAAGGTCGAACTGACCTCGACCGCAGCAGAGTACTGCACGGGAATGTACTCGAAGCAGGACTGGGGCGGGCCGGTCGACCCGTTCATCAAGGTCGACGTCAAGAGGTTCGCCTCGGACGACCCCGCCACCAGCCCGCTCTCGCTCATCGTGTTCGAGTACAGAGACCTCGACTACATCGGCGTGCGCGACAACGCCACAGGAGCCGCCCACTACGTGTGCACGCCGGAGCTCTTGCAGGAGGCGCAGTGCTCCAGTGACCAGCTCAACCAGTTCTTCGTGCAGTCCAACACGTCCGGCTCGAACCCGATCAGCACGGCCCAGCTCACCGAGCTCGGCACAAACGGCTTCAGCTACCACGTCGCCAACACGGGCTACTACTGCGTCGCCGTGTACGACCCGCAAGTGTCGGCGTCGGCGTCGTTCAGCGTGATTGTCAACTTCCACAACGCGTACGGCAACCTGCCCGCGTCGGAGATCCCGAAACTGCCGCTGTACGGGCTTCTGGCCGTCGTGTACGCCGTGTGTTTGAGCGTGTACCTGTTCCAGGTGTTCAAGCACCGGTCGGAGCTGCTTCTGCTGCAGAAGTATCTCGCCGGCTTCTTCGTGTTCCTCACCGTCGAGAACATCCTGGTGTGGTCGCTGTACGACGTGGAAAACAACAACAAGAAGTTCCCGATCCCCGACGGCATCAAGTTCTACATCTCGTTCGTGTCGATGCTGAACGCGTTCCGGATCTCGTTCTCGCTGTTCCTGCTGCTCATCATCTCGCTCGGATACGGCGTCGTGTACCCGAAGCTGCAGCGCAACGTGATGAACAAGTGCAAGCTGCTGGCGGCGGCGCACTTCGTCGTCAGCACCGTCTACATCTGGTTCTCGTACTACTCGAGCCAGGTCCAGCCGGCCGACACCACCACGCAGACGGCCAAGGCGTCGAGCACGATCGAGTCGAACTCGTGGCTCGTGATCGCGGTCACGCTGCCGCTCGCGGTCCTGCTGGTGGTGTTCTATTTTCTGATCCTCTCGTCGCTGCAGAAGACCGTCAAGCTGCTCGCCGAGAAGAAACAGATCGTCAAGCTCAAGATGTACAGAAACCTGTTCAAGCTCATCTTCTTCTCGATGCTGCTCATGCTGTTTGCGCTCATCATCAACGTCGTTCTCGTCTTCAACGACTCGCTCACCGAGTCGATCGAGAGACTGTGGAAGTTCAGCGACGTGCTCACTGACTTCTGGCCCGCCTGTATATATTTCATTGTGTTTATCGGGCTGGCCATCATCTGGCGACCAACGGACTCGTCGTATCTGCTGGCTGCGTCCTCGCAAATTCCGACAAGCGACAACGGCGAGATCGACCCCGAGGAGCCGCAGGAAATCTACAACAATCTGGACCAGTTCGGCAACGAGTTTGAGTTCGACGACCTGCGCAGCTTGGACAGCGACAATCCGTTTGACGACCGCGCAGCCACAGAACACAGCCCGGAAAACCCGTTCAGGGACCCCGAGCACAAACCGGACAGCGACCACTTCAAGATAGACGACGAGGACGAGCACGAGGTGCCGCGGGAGGACAAGGATAAGTAGGAAATAGATGTGACAAGTATTAGTTGGTAGCTGAGGTTTTTTTGTGTTTTTTGAATGTGCTGCGCCGGAGCCGGGACTTGCGTATATTGAGCTCCCAAACCAACTTAGCACCTCCCGCGTAAATGGTTTAGTGGTAAAATTCGTCGTTGCCATCGACGAGCCCCCGGTTCGATTCCGGGTTTACGCATTTTTTTTTTTTGAAACTTTGTTCATTTTTTTTTATCCATGTCCAAAGTATCACTCCAGGAACGCTACAACAAGTTCAGCAAGGCGGCCAAGTACAACCTGAACTCGGAGGAGCTGTTCTGCGTGTGTCGGCGCGTGGACGACGGCGAGCTGATGGTGGCGTGCGACGGCTGCGACGAGTGGTTCCATTTCTCGTGCATGAAGCTCGATCCCAAATACAAGGACCTCGTGAGCAATTTCTACTGCGTTTTCTGCGACGAGCTGCTCCACAGGGGCTCGACGCTGTGGAAGAAGAAGTGTCGGCTGGCCGGCTGCTACAAGCCGGTCCGGATCGACGCCGAGTCGCAGAAAACGTCGAAATACTGCAGCGACGAGCACGGCGTCGAGTTCATGCGCACCGAGCTGCTGAAGAGGTTCAGCGGGTCCAGCAAGGAGTGCCGGCTGCGCGAGCCGGAGATCGCGAGCGTGGTGTGCGGAGTGGCCGATCTGGACGAGTTCCGCGTGCTGGGCGACAGCATGCCCGTTTACGACGGCATGGACGTGGACATGCCGGAGGAGCTGGCGCGGCGTGTGGCGCAGCTGGACGCCGAGCTCGCAGAGCTGCGCCGCGCCGAGGCGCTGTACGCTTCCAAGGAAAAGTACCTGCTGAAGCTGCGGGACAAGATCCGGCTGGTAAACGAGGTGCTTGCCGGGACGGAGCCGGAGCCGGCGAAAAAGGGCAAGAAGCACAAGGTCGACGTGTGCGGCTACGACGCGACGCTGGTGCTGGACGACGAGCAGTGGCGCGCGTTCGCGGCGAGCGAGGAGTGCCAGAAGACGCTTCGGCTCGCGGGCTGGGCCGATCTCGGCGCGACGCCGCAGCAGGCGCTGGAGGCGCACCGCGCGCAGCAGCCGTTTGCCAGGCTTTGCATGGCGGACCGCAGGAAGTGCGTGCGGCACCTGACGTGGTACAGCATCCAGTACGACGCGGTCATGTTGCGCTTGAACGAGGTGCTATACAGGGTGGCGCAGCTCGAGCGCGAGAAAAGCGGCGTGGCGCAGCAGTGGCGCAGCCAGCTTCTAGACAGCTAGTATGTACTCCGAATCTACTCGTCCTCCTCGCGCTGGTCGACGTGGCGCGGGCGCCAGACCTCCACCAGGCCGTCCTCTGCGCAGCTGGCCACAACGTTGTCCAGCACGGGGTGCCAGTCGGCCTCGCAGATGCGGCCCGTGTGGCCCCCGTGCATGAACACCAGGCACGGGTCTGTGTAGTCGCCCTTCTTCCGCTCGTGCTCCTTGACGTCGAACTCGCCGTCGCGGACGTGGCACAGGTCCCACACCAGCACGCGGCGGTCGCTCGACGACGACAGCAGCAGGTTTTCGCGGAACTTGAGGTCCACCACCGAGCCCGCGTGGCCGTACAGTTTGCGCGTCGGCTGCTCCATCAGCCGCAAGTCCCAGCAGTTTATCAGGTTGTCGGACGACCCGGTCGCCAGCAGCGTGCCCACGTCCGGGTGGAACGCCACCGCGTTGAGCGGGCCGCCGTGCGCGTTGGCAACGGCCACCACGGGCCGCGGCGCGCGCAGATCGTGGATCTGCAGCGACAGGTCGTCGCTTGCCGACGCGACCACGCTGCTGTGCTGCCTGTTCCATGCCACGTCGTTCACAATGCCAGTGTGCGTGCGGAACACCCGCACCGGCACGTCTGCGTCCATGCTCCAGAGAGCGACCGTGTGGTCCTCGGAGCTCGACAGAAGCTGGTTCTGCGCGAAATCCGGGTTCCACTCGAGTCCGAACCCCTCCTTGGTGTGGTGTCTGAGCGTTTTGGCAGGCCCGCCGCTCTCCAGGTCGTAGATCAGCACGTCGCCGCTGTTGGTCTGTGTGGCCACCAGCCCGGTCTCCTGGTTCACGCGCAGCTTGTTGATCTCGCCAGGGTGCGCCCATTCGCGCTGGAGAGATATCTGGTTGCCCTGGAACAGACTTTTGTCTGGAGACTCGTCTGTGCTGGGCAGCTGAACCGAGTACTGGCGCAGATAGTTCTGCGAGCCGTCAGAGGTGTGCGTGCCGGCCAAAAAGCTCGCACGCACCGCGTGGCCCGTCTGCTCGGTCTGGCGCAGCCATTCCACGGTCAGACTCGGCCACGGCAGCGCGTACGAGTAGATAACGTCGTACAGCAGGGGCGACGTTTTCTTCCAGATTTTGTACTCCTCGTTGACGATTTTCTCTGCCACCTGGTACTTTTCCTTGACGGACACGGCGGGCGCGGCGGGCGCGGCCGCGGGCGCCGTGCCTGGTGTGTGTTTGCTCTGAGGCTCCGACTGAACAGACGTCATGGAAATAGTTTGTAATTTAATTTTGCTGGTTTTAGACGGCGGCGTGTCCGACTCAATTCGGCCTGGTTGAAAATTCGGCTCTGTCCGAGACAGCACTCGGGATGTCAGGGGCCAGTGCCGCCGGCCGGTGCCCTGACGGGTGGGCCGTTTTGGAGAGGACGAAACGGTGCAAAAAGTGCAAAAAGTGCCCAGAAAAGTGCCCAGAAAAGAGGCCAGAAAAGGTGCCGTGAGGAGGCCCTGCTGCTCTGCTAGCAGCTGCCAACCCCTTCCCCGGTCTGTGCTCACCCTCGGTGCCTGGCTCGGCCAGATCGGGCCACCTTCTCTGATACTGGGTTATCGGACTATCCTTGCGCGTGCGATAGATCGCGCAATAGTCGGACGCGTTTGTTTCCTGGTTGCAGGGGGGTTGAAAAGGAGACGAAAAAAGTGCACGAGACGAGCACTTGACGAGCTACCAGCGGGCCAGGTTTGGGATGGGGTCGTTGCCAGTAGTGTCTGGAAGGCCTGTACCGAAGAAGAGCGCATTTTTGGGGATTTTCTGGTGCTCGGACAGTAAAACCCCTTGTCTCCCCACTAGCAGGATTTGTTTACAGACGCGTCTGGGAAAAAAACTATATAAGGTGCATTAATTCAGTAGGCAATTTTCAGAAAAAAAAAACCTTTTGTCTTTACAAATGTCTGTGCAAGAAACGCCTTCCAAAACCACAGCCAACGCTCTGTCCACCCTCGACCTGTCCTCTGCCGATAAGAAGGACCTGACCGCCACGCTGACGGCCGCCGCCAAGGCCAAGGCCGCAGCTAATGGCGTCGAGGAGACTCCCGAGGAGGACTCGTCCGACAAGGCCAAGGAACACAAGGAGTTCCTGGCCAAACACAAGGTGCACCGTCACAAGCTGATGCAGATGGAGAAGGACGAGCCTCTGCTGGTCGAAAACAAGAGAAGATTCGTCCTGTTCCCTATCAGATACCACGAGATTTGGCAGATGTACAAGAAGGCAGAAGCCTCGTTCTGGACTGCCGAGGAGATCGACTTGTCCAAGGACATGCACGACTGGAACAACAAGCTGAACGAGAACGAGCGGTTCTTTATTTCGAGAGTGCTGGCCTTCTTTGCTGCCTCCGATGGCATTGTCAACGAGAACCTGGTCGAGAACTTCTCTGCCGAGGTGCAGGTTCCCGAGGCCAAGTGTTTCTACGGGTTCCAGATCATGATGGAGAACATCCACTCGGAAACGTACTCCCTGCTGATCGAGACCTACGTCAAGGACCCTCAGGAGGCCGAGTTCCTGTTCAACGCCATCGAGACCATCCCATGTATCAAGGAGAAGGCCGAGTGGGCCATGAGATGGATCAACGACGAGGACGCGCTGTTTGCCGAAAGACTCGTTGCGTTTGCTGCCGTCGAGGGGATCTTCTTCTCTGGCTCGTTTGCCTCGATCTTCTGGCTCAAGAAGAGAGGTCTGATGCCTGGCCTGACCTTTTCGAACGAGCTCATCTGCAGAGACGAGGGCCTGCACACAGACTTCGCCTGTCTGCTTTTCTCGCACCTCAACAACACCCCAAACAACGACATCGTGCTCAAGATCATCACCGAGGCCGTCGAGATCGAAAAAAGATACTTCACCGACGCCCTGCCCGTCAACCTGCTGGGCATGAACTGCAGTCTGATGTGCCAGTACGTGGAGTTTGTTGCCGACCGGCTGCTTTTGTCTCTGGGCTGCAAGAAGCACTACAACGCCACGAACCCGTTCGACTTCATGGAGAACATCTCTCTTGCAGGCAAGACCAACTTCTTCGAGAAGAGAGTGTCCGACTACCAGAAGGCGGGCGTCATGGCCAAGAACACCCAGGAAAAGGCCGACACCGAGACCGGCTTCACCTTCGACGAGGAGTTCTAATGAGGATCACGCGCCGTCCACTAATGTATACTAGAATGATTTTTTAAAGCATACGATGAATCGAATTTTTGTGCAAGGATGTAGAACATTTTATTTGTCTGTGGAAAATATTTCTCCCTCTGTTTATGAACACACACAAGGGCGGTGGCCATCCTTCCGGTTCGATGATAAAGCGCACGTACAAGGACGCAATCACTGCGCTGAACTCCCTGCAGTCGAACGCCGCCACCATAGAGGCCGCCCGCCGCGCCGCGGGCGCCAACAACTCGCGGCTGATTCCCGAGATGCTGGAGTGGACAAGACGCATAGGGTACAAGCCACAGGACCTGGACAGGCTGAACGTGATCCACGTGACGGGGACTAAGGGCAAGGGCTCGACGTGTGCGTTTGCGACAAGCATCTTGTTGCAGTACCGGTCGCCGGCGCAGGTCCCTGGTGCCAAGATCACCAAGATTGGCCTGTATACGTCCCCCCATCTGAAGAGCGTGCGGGAGCGGCTGGTGATCAACGGCAAGCCGATCTCGGAGGCGCTGTTCACCAAGTACTTTTTCGACGTGTGGGACCGTCTCAGCACGTCTGCGTCCGACCCTGAGCGGTTCCCGGAGATGGGTCCTGGTGTCAAGCCTGCGTATTTCCGGTTTCTGACGCTGCTGTCGTTCCACGCGTTTGCGAGCGAGAAGGTCGACACCGCCGTGTACGAGGTGGGCGTCGGGGGCGAGTACGACTCCACCAACATCTTTGTGCACCCGACCGCGTGCGGCATCTCGTCGCTCGGGATCGACCACACCGCTGTTCTGGGAGACACTTTGGAGAAGATTGCGTGGAACAAGGCGGGCATCCTCAAGCAGGGCGCGGCGTGCTTCACCGTGGAGCAGCCGGAGGCCGCGCTGCGGGTGATCCGCGAGCGCGCGGCCGAGAGAAACGCGGCCAGTCTCGAGGTGGTGCACACAAGGCCCGACGTGGCAGAGATCCGGCTCGGCATCAACGGGGACTTCCAGCGCCAGAACGCGTCGCTGGCCGTCCATCTGTGCAAGGCGCATCTGGAGCGGCTCGGGTTCGAGCTGGGCGACTTTGAGGTGCTGCCCGAGGAGTTCGTCACGGGGCTCGAGCAGGCGTCGTGGCCCGGCCGGTGCCAGATCATTCGCGACAGCAAAAGAGACGACATCACCTGGTACGTGGACGGCGCGCACACGGCCGAGAGCATTGCGAGCGGCACGGCGTGGTTTGCGCAGTGCGCGCGCGATTCGCACCGCAAGGTGCTGCTGTTCAACCAGCAGACGAGAAACGTGGAGAGCCTGCTGCGGAAACTGCACGAGCAGATGGACGCGGCGGGCAAGCGGTTCGACAACGCCATCTTCTGCACAAACGTGACGTACGCGGACGGCAGGTACAGCGACGACCTGGTCTCGATGAACGTGGCGCAGGACAAGGTGGACTCGATGGAGGTGCAGAAGCAGATGGCCTCGATCTGGGACGGGCTGAGCAAGGACTCGCGCAAGCACCTGTTCCACGACATCGAGACGAGCCTGAACTTCATCCGGACGCTGGAGGGCCCGCTGGACGTGTTTGTGTGCGGGTCTCTGCATCTGGTGGGCGGCTTCTTGCTGGTTCTGGAGGGTCGAGGTTGAATAAATATTTTATAAGTAGTTTGCACAGCCATGGAAAAATAAATTAGAATGCTAAATCGCAGCGTCATCGACGAGAGGGCGATATACACCAAGCGCGCCGAGGACTACGCGGAGCTGGTGCGCCGGTTCAGCGAGCCGGGGCTGCGCGAGGTGGGCAACTACCGGCTGGGCGACGAGATCGGCTCCGGCGCCTTCGGCAAGGTGTACATCGCGCACCACAAGCTGCTGAGGTCCAAGGTTGTTGTGAAGAAGGGCGACCGCGTGACGCCGTCGGGCTGCAACGACAACCTCATGCGCGAGTACTACTACCTGAAGGAGTTTGGTGCGCACCCCAACGTCACCAAGCTGTACGAGCTGATCTTGACCGAGACCAGTGCGTTCATGGTGCTGGAGTTCTGTCCCGAGGGCGATTTATTCGAGTACCTGAGCCGGCACAGACGGCTTCCCCTGGACGAGAGCCTGCGGATGTTTGTGCAGCTGGCGTCTGCGGTCCACTACATGCACCGCAGCGGCTGTTGCCACCGGGACCTGAAGCTGGAAAACGTGCTGCTGGACAAAAACCACAACGTGAAGCTGTCGGACTTTGGGTTTGCGCGCGAGTTCCCGATGGCGCAGCACGGCCCGCGCGGGCTGCTCAGCGACATTTGCGGCACGAGCGCGTACATGGCCCCGGAGCTGCTGAGAAAGACGCCGTACGTGGGCACGAAAACAGACATCTGGGCGCTCGGCGTGATTCTGTACACGCTTGTGGCGGGCGAGATGCCGTGGGACGACTCGCTCGACGAGGACGCGCTTGTGGCGGCCGTGTGCGGGCGCGAGCCGACGTACAGCCCCGAGCTGTTTGGGCCGGAGCTGCTGCCGCTTGCGCGCGCGATGCTGGCCAAGGACGCGGACCGACGCGCGTCGTCGCTCGAGGAGGTGCTGCGCGCGCCCGTGCTGCACGCGTACGGCGGGCCCGCGCAGCTCGAGCTCGTCAGCCGGCTGCTGTACCGGGCAACGCCCGCGCTCGAGCTCTCGCACAAGGACAAGTTCCTGCTCAAGGAGCTCACGAGCGTCGGCGTCGACAAGGACACGCTCAAACGCACCATCTACCACGAGACGATGGACCAGGTGTACGGGTTTTGGCAGCTGGCGCGCGAGAAGAACCGCAAGGGCCGCACGAAACGGATCCGCCACCGTAGCAGGAGCATGCTGCGCATCTCGACGTCGAAGTCGTTTATGGAGTCGCGGCTCAGCTCGACGCCCGAGCAGGCCGCGCAGCCGGCGCAGCAGTTGCCCGAACCGCAGCGCTCAGCGGCCCCGAGCGCCCAGTCGTCCGACCAGAGCAGTCTGCGCAAGGGCCATGGGTTCTCGCTGAAGCGGCTGCTGGGCAGGATGCGGCCCGCCAGGGAGCACGAGCTGCAGCCGTCGCCGCCGCCGCCGTCTGCACAGGCCACCGACACGGCGCGCCAGCAGCTGTCTGCGGTGTCTCCAACACAGCCGGTGTCGGCGAACGTGGTGGTGATCGAGCCGCCCAAGTCGCCGCGGGTCAAGAACGTCGGCACGAGCGCCGACAACACGCCGCGCGCAATGCGCCCGCAGTCGCTCGTGTCCTCGTACTCGATGCAGACGACCGTCTCAGAAACGTCGAACGGCTCGGGCTACAACACGGGCTACTCCACAGACACGAACTTGAACGGCACGGGCACCACGCTCGGCAGCCACACGGCGCCGCTGGCGCACTCGTCCACGCCTGGCGGGCGCCCGCAGTACGCGCGCGGGCTGAGCGACTGGTCGCTGAACTCGAAGAACGTCGCGTCGCAGCCGACGTCGCCCACGTCGTCGTTCACGACGGTGTCGCGCTCCAACTCGCTCGAGTCGGCGTCGCGGTCGGTGCGCGGACGCTCGCGCAGACGCAAGAACTCGGGCATCTTTGGCACGTCGGGCAACAGCAACGGGTTCCTGTCGAAGCGCGGCAAGTCGCCGCTGCAGTCGAAAATAAACACCAAGTGGAGCTTTGGCGCGATCCAGAAGTCCACCAAAGAGAACCGGTTTGGCAAGAGCTCCAAACAGCAGCAGATTATCGAGGAAGAGGCCGAGGACGATGCGTCGGAGGACGAGCTACTGAACGAGACAGAGTACGCGGACGGCGAGCTGGAGGAGATGGGGGACTCGGAGTTCGAGCAGGGCGAGGTGCAGGACGTTGCCGAGCAGCTCTCAAACTACAAGCTCGACCAGCCGGAAGATAGATAGATGTTAATAAAGGTGCGCAAAAAAAAAGGTACAAAAAATGCGTAAACCCGGAATCGAACCGGGGGCTCGTCGATGGCAACGACGAATTTTACCACTAAACCATTTACGCGGCTGGTACTGTGTTGTCGCCCCCCCACACATCACATCGAGCCGTAGGGGGTGTGCGTCTGCATAATCTGCGAGTGATGCATGCCCTATCTGACGCATGCAAAAATATCAGATATGCATATACCCGGAAAACATCGCCGGCAGATTGAGCCAAGCGAGATCCATCTGCCGCAGCAAAGGTCACTCACTTCCTTGTTTGGGCAGCCGTGAAAATTGTTGTGCGTCCGAAAATCACAGCAGGCTCCCTGAGGCATTGCAAAGTACCCAAAAATGGCAATGTCAAATCGGATCCAGTTGCTCGTTCCGGGGTCTTACCGTTTAAAATCAATCGGAAATATGCATAAGGGTTCCCCGTTGACCATGTATGTGGCTTTTCTTTTAACAGTCTGTTCGAAGCACAGCACTACAGACCAGTCCCAACCCTCCGCTGACGCCTTCTGCCTCGCTCGTATTCGAAGATGCATTCCGTACTCTGCAACCATACGCCTGTCGCAGACACTCGCTCTTTTTAAAAAATATCAGTTTTAATTACACATTCATCAGTCGTAGCGTAAGATAAATTACTCGTTCACAATGCATTCATCAACAGGCCCTTGAGCTCTTTCTTGAAAATGTCCATCTCCTCGCTTTTGATCGGCGTCGACGTCGACAGCGACCCGTCGTTTTCGCGGCACTCAAACGTCTCGTTTGTCTCCCTGAGCTCTCCAGCACAAAGCTTCTCCAGCGTCTTTTTTAGATCCTCCTTGCTCTGCACACCTGGAATCTGCTCGGCCGGGCCCAGCTCTGCAACGCCGTGCTCCGTGTGAACCACGTCTTTGGTCTCCGCCTGGTCCTCAAACACGGTGATCAAGTTGAAGTTGAGCCCGCTGCTATGCCGTTTTTTCGGCGGCGGAAATTCTCTGTTGGCCAGCTGCGGCGACGAGACCGGCGTTGCGCGCACAGAAACGTCCGCATCCTTGAGACCGTCGATTGTGGCGTTGTACAGGTCGACGAGCTCGTTGATCGAGGCGCCAACCTGTGTCAGATTCTCCACAGAATCTGTCTCGTTGAGCTCCATCGCACTCAGCCTGTTGCTGATTGAGTCCAATTTGCCAATGAGCCCTTTGTATCGGGACTGCTCCTCCGGCGAGGATACTTCCATCTCTGCGACCGGCGGTCCTTCATTTGCTGCCGCCACCTCCTGTTGCAGACTTTGTTGCAGAGCGATCAGCTGCTGCAGAACCTGGCTCATAAGCACCAGCTTCGTCGGCAGAGTCAGATGGTGGCTGGCAAGCGGCACGTTGAACTTGCGGGCGCACAGCCGGGCAAACTGCGCTGTTTCGTCCGTCCGCGCAACGCGGGCATTTTCTGCGATCGCAAGCAGCACACACAAAAAAATCTTGCGCAGATATTTAAAACACTGGAACGTCCGCGACGGACTGGACGCCAATTGGAGCGGCGGCGGCGGCGCGGCTTTTGGCTGCGGGAACGTTGGACTGTGCTGGAGCGGCGAGTCGCTCGAAAATGACCGCAGTCGCAGGGGTTTCAGCGGGACAGGGCCAGGCCCGTCGGCAAGCCCCTCGGAGTTGAGCACGCCCACGAACCGCAGATCCTGGCTTCCCAGGTCCAGCTGGTAAACGTCCAGGTATCTGTGGAGGTACTCGAGATCGGCGAACGGGAGCATTGCGGCGACTTTCTGATTTGTAGTTGCCAGAAGCGTGTTGAGCACACCCTGTAGCAGAATCGGAGAGGCAACACGGCGACTCTGGGCATTTCCGCCCAGAAGCACATTAAGATTGTCGTTCGCGAGGTTTGTAAATGTTCGTACGTGAGAAGAAAGCGTTCTGTCGAGCTGGTGGCTGATCTGCAGAAACTTGTCCAGCTTATTTGTGACCAGTTGCAAATATATGCGAATAGCGATTTTCTTTGTGTTGAGGTCGAGAACCAAAATCGCCGTTGCCAGCAGCGTCGCCAGCTTCAGGCACGCGGGGCTTATGCGATCCAAATTTCTTCTAGCAAAGTGCAGTAGCGCCAGCGCCAGGTGGAAAGCCCGATGAGAGTGAACAAGCCGATGCGACGGGACGTCGCAGACGTTGATCCGAACTTTGGTCTGCGCCGCCGCAGAGCTTGCTGGAGTGCCAGCGCTGCTCATCAGGTTCGACGCGATGATTTCGAACTTGAATTTATCAAGCGCCAGGAACACCTGGTTATTTAACTCAGAGCAGTCTTCAGAGTAGTCCTCAATCAGTTGAGCATAACTCAATGGAAGCGAGTACTTGGCAGTAATCGGGCTAGTTGTTGACGGTACCAGTGTTGAGCCATTGGAATGCGAAACAGACCCGAATCTCGTCTGGTTTGTGGTGCTAGAGCTCTGATCCGGCTGTGTATATATATGCTGGCTGATGGACGACGAGGCCTCGGAAACCGTTTCGTCAAGACCCCATTCGGAAAGAGCGTCTAGGGACGGCCAGAACTTGGGATCTCGGCCGGCCATGGTTATTCGGGCGTCCATAGCGGTGCCGTGATGCGCTCTGGTGAGGGTAGAAAAATGCTGAAATAAAAAAAACAAAAACACCCTTCTCTGGCAGACGCGTCGATTTGCGGCTAATTTTCGGGCGGAGCGAAATGCACTGCATAATCTGGCCGCAATAGGCTACGCAGACGACACAAATATTGCGGAGCACCAAATGGGCAGTGGACATCGAGCATGTGTCTCAGGGATCATTGCCCAAATGAAGTGTGAATGTGTATATAGCGAGAGACATAAATTCGCGAAACTGCCTTCTTAGCTTAGTGGTAGAGCGTTGCACTTGTAATGCAAAGGTCGCTAGTTCAATTCTGGCAGGAGGCATGTTTTTGGCCATTTTTTTTTTCTCAATTCATTAATTTATTTTTTTTACTCTCAATGCAACGCGACGAGCTCGCCAGAGCGCGTGCTGCGGTGCTCAACCAGCTCACCAGCCAGGACGCGATGATGGTGCACGCACTCAATCACCAGTTTGCTCCAATATACGGCACGAAAGCAAAAGACCCCGTCACGACCACGAAGCAGTACGAACACGAGCTGATGAAGCAGCTGTGCGGCAAAAAACGAACGTGACTGCGTCCAATACTATCTATTACTCTATGCTCGTTCTATAATACATGTCATCTCCGCTTGTCCTTCTTCTCCTTACGTTTTCGCTTGGACACATATCCAGACCGCGACGGAGCAGGCAGGCCTGCTGGTTTCTGCGGGAGTACCCCGGACTTCTTGGGCTGGGGCGTCCTGTTGTCTTTGTACTTGCCGCCGAACTTGCCGTTTTTGTCCTTCTTTTCGATCTTGTTGTTTTTGTCGCCCTGGTCGTACTTTTTCTGACGCTTGTCTCTGTGTCCGTTTTCTCGATATTCTTCAAACAGCGGCCGCCGCTTTCTGGATTGCGACGAATGGTACTGTCTTCGGAGCTGGCGAGGCAGATTTTCGCCCGTGAACGCAGACCCGTTGATGTTCGGCGTCTTCGACACCCGCGGCCGCGGACACTCGTCGCCGTAGTGGCCCCGTTCCGCGCAATTGTAACAGTATATATAGTCTGCCGGATATTTGAATTTGTGATTTTTCTCGTATGCTATGGTGATGTAGCTTCGCCAGATGTTGGGACAGCGGTCGGCGGAGTGGGTTTTCGAGTTGCAGTCGGTGCAGAAGTTGAATTTCCGTCTCTGCTTGCACTGGTTGCGGAAATGGCCGCGCTCACCGCAGTTGGTGCACACCATGGAGTTCGGACACTGTGTTTCGTAGTGGTCGTCAACTTTGCCGCACGCGTGGCAGACGACGACCTTGCAGTTGGCGCGGATGTGGCCGCGGCGGTGGCAGTTGGAGCACACGGGCTGCGACAGCTCTGGATCTGTGACTCCAAAATATCGTCCCTCACCCCTGAGCTCCACCAGCTCGTCGTTATTGTTGTTGACCTCTCCATAGTCTAGCGACACCACGGGTGGCACGCTTGGAGTCCCGCTGGACGGTCTGAGGGTTAGCTGGGGGGCAATAGTATGTACTTACATCTCGTCCAAGTCTTCTGGATCAGACATGATAAAAAACAATATTTTTAATAGCGAAAATTCTTACCCGGCCAGTTTGTTGAAAAATAGGAATATCAAAATGTAATTTATTTTCAGTAATTCACCATGTCTGAAATCGAAAAGAAAGTCGAAGCGCTTTCTGTCAAGGACAAGAAGCCCAAGAAGGCCGCCAAAAAGTCTGGAGATGACGCCGCCAAAAGACCGCTCGAGCTGGATCCGAAGCCGGAGTTTATTGAGCACAGAATTAAAATCTTTGAGAGAATCAAGGCTAGACAAGAGGCAGAACTCGCAGCCAAGGAGAGACTGCCAATCAAGGTCACCCTGAAGGATGGCACGGTCAAGGAGGCCACTTCCTGGGAAACCACGCCGTTCGATATCGCCAAGGAGATCGGCAAGTCGTTCTGCGAAAGACAAGTGATTTCCAAGGTCAACGGCGAGCTGTGGGACCTGGAGAGACCATTTGAGACCGACTCTAAGCTGGAGTTTTTTGACTTCGACTCCCCAGAGGGAAAACAGGTTTTTTGGCATTCTTCCGCCCATATTTTGGGAGAGGGCTGCGAAAATCACTACGGTGCTCACCTGTGTTTTGGTCCTCCCACTGAAGACGGATTTTTCTACGACATGGCCATTGATGAGGGAGATTACAAAGTGTCTCAGAACGATTTCAGCGACATTGAAACTCTGTGTTCCAGGGCCATTAAGGAGAAACAGCCGTTTGAGAGACTTGTCATGACCAAAGACGAGCTTTTGGAAATGTTCAGCTACAACAAGTACAAGGTCGCGCTGATCAAGAGCAAGATCCCAGATGGCACCTCGTCTACGGTCTACAGATGCGGTCCGTTGATCGATTTGTGCAGAGGCCCCCACGTTCCTCACACCGGAAGAGTTAAGGCGTTCAAGGTGCTCAAGAACTCCTCGTCCTACTTCCTTGGAGACTCCAACAACGACTCTTTGCAGAGAGTGTACGGTGTTTCTTTCCCAGACAAGGCTCTAATGAAGGAGCATCTCAAGTTTTTGGAGGAAGCTGCTGCTAGAGACCATAGAAAGATCGGAAGAGAGCAGGACTTATTCTTCTTCCACGAAATGTCGCCAGGTTCGTGTTTCTGGCTGCCTCACGGTGCCAGAATTTACAACGGCCTGTGCGATCTTCTGAGAGCTCAGTACAGAAAGAGAGGCTACGAGGAGGTTATCACTCCAAACATGTACAACTCCAAACTCTGGGAGACCTCTGGTCACTGGGCCAACTACAAGGAAAACATGTTCACATTTGAAGTCGAAAAGGATACTTTCGGTCTCAAGCCAATGAACTGTCCTGGCCACTGTCTGATGTTCAAGTCCAGAGAGAGATCGTACAGAGAGTTGCCGTGGAGAGTGGCCGATTTCGGTGTGATTCACAGAAACGAATTTTCCGGTGCTCTTTCCGGGCTGACCAGAGTCAGAAGATTCCAACAAGACGACGCGCACATTTTCTGTACCCAGGACCAGATTGAGGACGAGATCTCGGGCGTTTTCGATTTCTTGCAGCACATCTACGGTATATTCGGATTTGAGTTCAAGATGGAGCTGTCTACAAGGCCAGAGAAGTACGTGGGGGATATTGAGACCTGGAACAACGCAGAGGCAAAGCTGGAGAGCGCTTTGAACAAGTGGGGCGGCAAATGGGAGCTGAACCCTGGAGACGGTGCGTTCTACGGTCCGAAGATCGATATCATGATCTCGGATGCCTTAAGAAGATGGCATCAATGTGCCACTATCCAGCTCGACTTCCAGCTGCCAAACAGATTCGAGCTTGAGTTTAGAGGCAAGGACGACTCTGCCGAGGTCCAGCGTCCGGTGATGATCCACAGAGCCATCTTGGGATCCATCGAGAGAATGACTGCCATCCTGACTGAGCATTTTGCCGGTAAGTGGCCGTTCTGGCTGTCTCCTAGACAGATACTGGTGGTTCCTGTTGGTGTCAGGTACTTCGACTATGCTCAGGAGGTGCAGAAGCTGCTGCAGACCGAAGGGTTTTATGCAGACGTGGATCTTTCCGGCAACACTTTGCAGAAAAAGGTGAGAACTGGCCAGACGCAAAAGTACAATTTCATCTTCATCGTTGGTGAGCAGGAGCAGAACGAGAAGGCCGTCAACATTAGAAACAGAGACATCCTGGAGTTACAGAGCAAAAACGACATGATCAAGCTCCACGACGTGCTTCCTAAGTTGCATGCTCTTAGAGACGAAAAGAGAAATGATAATGCTCTATAGGTATATTTTTTTCACATCCTTGCACGCAGTCTATGTGGTAAATGTGGGGTCAAATAAATAAATTTAAACTTGATAATCTATGACTTCGCGTCGTCTAGCCCACTACTCTTCAATACAGCTCAAGCGTCGACTGACAGCCGTCAATGGCAGCCCAGCCACTCAATCGCCCTCTATTCTGGACTCGCTGATTCGCACGGTAGATGCAAAGTCCAAGAATGCCCAGCTCCCAACGACCACCTTCCTTGTTCACGAGCGGCTGCTGTACCCCAAGGGAGCAGCGCTGGACAACATGCTGAAGCTGGTGTCAAGAATAGCTCCCGGGACACCAATTGCAAAGGCCCAGCTGATGGAAACCTGGCAGGAGGAAGTGTCAAAAGCAGTAGTTTTCCCCTCTCTCACGGAGCATGCTGCACAGCGCAAATTCGGGGAGATCGTCAAGACCATGTTCTGGCCATATTTTAGGGCGTCTCCAGATGTGATGAGCCAACTGCTGAGCACTAAGTTTCACACCGATCTCGCGGATGCCATGCTGAACAACCGGCATTTAGACGAACACAATTTAAATATTTTGGCCCAAATAAAGGAGGAGAACGGGGGCCACAAATTCCAGGTATTTAGAGATAGCGAGATGCTGCTGTTTCCAAATGCCAGAGATAAACACAAGAAGTCTTTGGCCAAGCTGACACGCTCCCGCTTCTTTACCGTCCATGAAACAGACGACCAGGAGACCAGCGAAAACCACCTTTTGAAGGGCTCAAACTCCAATTTTTTGCTGGTTGCAGGTGACACCAAGACGGCCATGGAGTATTTCAGACTCCTAAGCGCCCTAAAAAGTAAATCTTCCGAAATCAAAGGATCGGTTGCCTTGGTGGTGCCTGGCTCGCTCTATTCGCGCTCTGACGATTTCTGGACTCTGGGGTCGCTAGACGATGTATATTCGACAATGAAAAAAATTGCGTAAACCCGGAATCGAACCGGGGGCTCGTCGATGGCAACGACGAATTTTACCACTAAACCATTTACGCTTTGTTGTGTTAATGAGCGGTAGCCAGTTGTCAGATAGAGTGATTGATAGAGATTGTAGAATCAATGATAGTAGATGCTACCGATAGCAAAACCAGTGTATATGTATGTCGTTGTGATCCGAAAGCTATAAAATATAGAACTATCACGAAAAGTCCCATAAGAAGGGCAACATTCCAGCAAAAGCGTATATCGCACCTATTTGGGTGAAGTCATCTCGACAACACGATAGCTACTCGCGTTTTGCTAGCTAAACAGCAATTGGTTGCGTGGTCTAGTTGGTTATGGCATCTGCTTAACACGCAGAGGGTCCCCAGTTCGATCCTGGGCGCGATCATTTTTTTATCTACAAGTCTTTTACGGCCCCGAATTTTTTTTTACTCGAAAATTCCACGAACAGTATTTAAAAGGAAAGATTTTGGAGAAACTTGAATACTTAACCAAATTTTCACTAATGCTAAGATTTGCACGTCCTCAAATCAAGAAGAACCTTGCTTCTCTGGCTCGTACGTACGCTCACAAGGAGCTGAAATTCGGTGTGGAAGGCAGAGCTGCCCTTTTGAAGGGTGTCGAGACTCTTGCTGATGCTGTTGCCGTTACCCTGGGTCCAAAAGGTCGTAATGTTCTGATTGAACAACCATTTGGTGCTCCAAAGATCACCAAGGATGGTGTCACTGTGGCTAAGAGCGTCAATCTTGAAGATAAGTTTGAGAACTTGGGTGCGAAACTTCTGCAAGACGTTGCCTCCAAGACCAACGAGAGTGCCGGAGACGGTACGACTTCTGCCACTATTCTTGGAAGAGCTATTTTCTCTGAGTCTGTCAAGAACGTGGCTGCCGGATGCAACCCTATGGACCTCAGAAGGGGTTCGCAGGCCGCCGTCGAGGCCGTGATCGACTTCCTGCAGAAGAACAAGAAAGAGATCACCACCTCTGCCGAGATCGCCCAGGTGGCCACCATCTCTGCCAACGGTGACACCCACATCGGTAAGCTTCTGGCTTCTGCCATGGAGAAAGTCGGTAAGGAGGGCGTGATCACAATCAAGGAAGGTAAGACCTTGGAGGACGAGTTGGAAGTCACCGAGGGTATGAGATTTGACAGGGGCTACATCTCTCCTTACTTTATCACTGAGGCCAAGAGTGGAAAGGTTGAGTTTGAAAACCCTCTTCTGTTGCTGTCTGAGAAGAAATTGTCGTCCATCCAGGACATTCTTCCAAGTTTGGAGATCTCCAACAAGCTGAGAAGACCATTGCTTATTATTGCCGAGGACGTTGATGGCGAGGCATTGGCTGCCTGTATTCTCAACAAATTGAGAGGCCAGGTCCAGGTTGCCTGTGTTAAGGCTCCAGGCTTCGGAGACAACAGAAAGAACATTTTGGGCGACATTGCCATTTTGTCCGGAGGTACTGTCTTCACTGAGGAGTTGGACATCAAGCCGGAGAACGCCACTCCAGAACTGTTGGGACAATGTGGATCTGTCACGGTCACCAAGGAGGACACTGTCATCTTGAATGGTGCCGGAGAGAAGGACAACATCTTGCAAAGATGCGAGCAGATCAAGGGCGCGATCGAGGACGCTTCGACCTCCGATTACGAGAAGGAGAAGCTCCACGAGAGACTGGCCAAGCTTTCGGGCGGTGTTGCGGTCGTGAGAGTGGGTGGCTCTTCTGAGGTCGAGGTCGGAGAGAAGAAAGACAGATACGACGATGCCCTGTGTGCTACGCGTGCTGCTGTTCAGGAGGGTATCTTGCCAGGTGGAGGTACTGCTCTCCTGAAGGCATCCAAGGTTTTGGACCAGATCGAGGTTGATAACTTTGACCAGAAGCTGGGTGTGCAGATCATCAAGGCTGCCATCACCAAGCCAGCCAAGAGAATTGTCGACAATGCTGGCGAGGAGGGATCTGTCATCATTGGCAAGATCCTGGACACCTACGGCGACCAGTTCAACCACGGTTACGACAGCTCCAAGGGCGAGTTTGTGGACATGATTCAGGCCGGTATCATTGATCCATTCAAAGTCGTCAAGAGCGGTCTGGTCGACGCCGCAGGTGTTGCCTCCCTGTTGGCTACCACCGAATGCGCTATTGTCGACGCTCCAGAACCAAAGGGTCCACCTGCTGCTCCAGCAGGCGGTATGGGCGGTATGCCAGGAATGGGCTTCTAATGTAAATAGGATGTAAATAGAAGCTGAGATTTGTTATGACATCATGTCCATTGTATTATATACGGAGATGACATTTAGCGAAAAACTGTGATTTTGTGCAGGTTTGAACTCCGCGCACTCCGCAATGTCGTCCAGCGTGCCGTCCCGTCCATACGCCTCCATCATTTTTGAGTATAGAACATTTAGTTTCGAGGGATTGCTGAGTGCCGCAATGGAGGTGTCGAAGCCGTAGTAGTGGATGATAGCGAAGAACTTGGCAACGAGATCGGTGTCTGCTTCCGCAACGGTTTCCAAAGTGTCCTTCAGCACTTTCTCATTTTCTGTGCTCTGCGGCAATGCCAGGAGATAGTCTTTGGGCGCAAAACGCTCCAGACATTGGTCAATCGCGACGGATCGGTTCAGATTGAGCGAGAGACCATACTCATCCACTATTATGACATTGCACGGTATAGCCAGCACAATTGGGACAATAAAGAGAAAAGCGAGCATTGCAACTGACAGTAGTTGAACCGCAGCAGTCAGCCCTGACACAAGTCCTAATCTCTAGCAGTAACTGAATTGTCGTCAGAAATACTTTAACCTTTGCGGCTCTCCGGTGCCTTAACTTTAGCCTCGCGACGAATATCTATTTTTTATTTACTGTTATCTTTTATTTCCATGCTCAACAGGACATTCGCTGCGTTTTGGCTTTTCGGACTGGTCAATAACGTTCTCTACGTCGTGATTCTTTCGGCAGCAGTAGACCTCGTTGGTCCATTGACTCCCAAGGCCATTGTGCTCATGGCTGATGTGCTTCCGTCATTCCTGCTAAAGCTGGCCTCGCCGTTTTTCATCCACACAATCCCCTACCATATTCGCATTTGCATCCTTGTGTCTCTAAGTTTTGTGGGAATGCTGACAGTCTCCCTGTTTGAAAATGTTGCCCTTGTCCTCTTTGGTATCATTCTGGCATCCATGTCCTCCGGTCTAGGAGAGACCACATTTCTTCAACTGACTCACTACTACACGGAATCGGCCCTGAGCGCGTGGTCTTCGGGAACCGGTGGGGCAGGGCTTGCAGGAGCCTTTATTTACATGTTCTTGACTACCTGGATGGGGATTAGTGTCAGAAATGCGCTTTTGACATTTTCCATCGCTCCGCTCACTTTTATTATCTGCTACTTCAGACTGCTTCCTTCCCCAAGCATGAAACTGTCTGAGCCGACGGAGCAGCCAATCCTCCTGGTGGAGTCGAATTACCAAAGCACCATCAGGAGAATCAAACCGTTGGTCGTACCGTACATGCTCCCTCTGTTCACGGTGTATGTGGCAGAGTACGTTATCAACCAGGGAGTCAGTCCAACGCTGCTTTTCCCAATTGACGAAATGCCATTCCACAACTATAGAGACGCGTATGTCACGTACGGAACACTGTACCAGCTCGGAGTGTTTGTATCGAGGTCATCGGGACAGTTTGTGCGGATCCGTAACCTCGCGATGCCTGCGCTGCTCCAGTCGATCAATCTGGTAATTTGTGTGCTCCAGGCCATGTATGTCATTTTCCCCAACATCTACTGGCTGTTCCTTCTTATACTGTACGAAGGACTTTTAGGAGGGTCTGCGTATGTGAACACGTTCATGCTGGTGACAGAAACAGTGCCTCTTGCCGAGCGAGAATTTGCCATGGGATGTGTGGGGATCAGTGACAGCGCCGGAATTGTCGTTGCTGCGTCCTTGGCCATGATGCTAGAGCCCCAGCTGTGCGCTTTCCAAGTCGCAGCGGGCCGGGATTATTGCCAACGTTGATCGTTAGATTAGCATGCTTTTCATAGAGGGCTGCGTATTCATGTTGCATTTTTCCCTCACCTGCTGCATAAGGTTTTCCACGATTTTCTGGTTTGTGTCGTTGGTGTCTGCACGGTTCAGGACCGAGAGACAATGCAGCAGCTTTTCGTTGTTTCGCTGCTCTCGTCCGGCGTTTGCTCCCCGGAGATTTTCATGCGAGATGCGCGACAGCGAGATCGAAGAGTTGGTTGCAAATGACATGGTCCGCTCTTTTCTGCGCTCTTTTTCTGCGTCTGCCTGTCTCATGCTCTCGTAAAGCGGGATGACGACATTGTCGCGGAAGCTGACAAAAACAATGTTCTCCACGCACGGCTTGCCTCTCCAGCCGCCGCTCAAAATATCCTCGAATGAGTCGTCCTCAAGCGGTAAAAATACTCCTTGTAGGTAGAAATGCATATCTTGGAAAAAGTAATCCCAGAGCAGAGCACAGGCGTCGCGGAAGCTGGGCTCGCTCGTGACAAGTGATAGTGCAGACCCCCTTGTGGGCGAGGTTTTGCGGTCGCGGGGCTTGAGCATAAATTCCTTGGTCGTGTCGTCTTGGTACAACTGTGAAAGAAAGGTGTTCATTCCATGTTTGAGAAATTCTTGTATTTCTTGGACAATGCTGGAGCTCTTCACGGGAGACATGGTCCCATAAGAGCTGGAAGGAGACCTTCCGGATGATGCAAAAGTAGGCGTAGGAGCTCCCAGAGGAGTGTAAGGGGTAGTAGCAGCTGCTCCGTCAAAGACGCTGGAGAAGTTGTTCGGAGAAAATATAGGCGAGTAAGCGATCTGGTCAGACGGAATCTGGTTGGATCGCAGTCTGAGATGGAGATAGACCAGCTTGTTGATCTCCTCTATCGGGATTTTAAGTCGCTCGCAGTAGAATATGGGTGATACTAGGGACGAAACCAACGACCATGCTTCGTCTGCTATAGCGTCCGTGTCTCCCGACAACGACGAGTTATTGACACTCATTTTCTCGAGCTCCGTGATGGTGTTTTGCAATTCTTGCACTGTCATGGAGCTGTTCACAAGAGACGGGTGAAACGAGTAGAGCATCTCACCGCCATGCAGGGCTGAGACTCTCGAGTTAGAGCTCGAAGAGGACTTGGTGGTATCTTTGCGCGAGCGCAAAATACCATGGTAGTGTTTATGTTTGTTTTGCTGGTCGTTCAAGGTGCTGAAACTGGCTATTCGCTCGACTTCCTTAGACGTCCTCGCCAGCGGCGACTTGAGCTCTTTGGACGGCATGATGGTCGTCTGGATCGATAGATTGTCCGGTCTTTTCAGTTTTGCCGAAAACGTGCTGCTGTTGCCGCTGTTTTTGTCGTTTGTAAGAGTTGATGTCGAAGCTGCCGAGTCATTGGAACTTGATTGGTAATTCGCATGAGACTCGGAAGGTGATCGCTTCATCTTTTCTGCCGTCTTGTTAAAAAATCGCGTCAGCTTCGTTTCCATGGTTCCGAGCCGCGAGATGGTGGTGGAGGAAGACACTGTTCGATGCAAGGAAGAGTGCGAGGCGGTATCCTGAGGATCTTGGCTATTGCGGACATTGTTGAACTCTACATTAGAGACTGTATTTTGTTGAAGGAAGGATGTTGCTGATTCGTTGCCCAAAGTGTAACTGAATGTGCTATTGCTTCGCTGTTTGGGATTGCCATCGAACCGCGTAGACTCAGAACTGCTATTGCGTCTATGCGACATGACGAATAATTATATTTAAGTGAGATTTATTTTTGTTATTCCTTCCTGATGGACCCTATCGCACTCCACGAAAATTACATCCACCGGGATTCCATCTCGAGCGGCGAGTCCGGCCAATTCGATCGGCCACAGGTCGCCAGATTGGCCGCACAGAAGTCGCAGGTTTCGCTCGTATCCAATTCTTTGGTTTTGTCGCGTCCTCCAGAGAGCACCAGTGGTGTCACGTTCGTCTGTTCCCAGCCAGACAACGCCAGTATGGCAGCCAGCATGGAGGCCAGTATCGGTGGGACCATCTTCAGTGACAGTGAGACTGCATTTCATAGCTTGCCAGAAACCCAGCCTACTATTGACCTGGGTTTCAGGCCGCAGAAGGCAGACATGAACGACAGCGAAAATGCCTTCTTCGTGCAAAACAAGCATTTTTTTATCCTTTCGGTTGCTGGTAAGCCGATCTACTCGATGCACGGATCCGACGAGATTCTCACGGTCCACGCAGGTATTATTCAGACGATAGTTTCCTATTTCGAGTTCAACCCGGACGGCGAAACGGAGCAGCTGCGCACTTTCACGTCTGGCGACGAGAATAAAACGCGCTTCTGTTTCCTGAACAAAGCGCCCATCATCCTAATGGCAATTTCGTCTCTCGATGAAAGTGAGCTGCAGCTGAATCAGCAGCTGGATTTTCTCTACAACTTCCTTCTCACGATCCTGAGCAAGCCTCACATAGATAAAGTATTTCGGAAAAGAGATAACTTTGATCTGCGTAAGTTGCTCGGAAAGGCAGACATAGCCTGTTTGGACTCAATATGCAACGATCTCGCTAATTTCAACAACCCAGGGCTTATCATTGGCGGTTTGGAATGCCTAAGGATGCGCAAGTCTGTGAGACGACGAATCGAAAATGTGCTGCTTGCTGAAAAATCGGAAAATCTACTTTATGCGCTGCTAGTGGCTCCTGGTGGAAGACTTGTCACCGTGTTACGTCCGCGTCGACATACTTTACACACGTCGGATCTGCAATTGCTGTTTTCCATGATTTTCAACACAAACACATTTAGATCGACGCCTGAGGGAAACGAAACTCAACAGCTTGCATCCAACGAAGAATTCTGGGTTCCTATATGCTTCCCAAAATTCAATCCTAATGGATTTCTCTATTCATTTATTCAGTTTGTGGATTTGAAAGACGAGAAACTGATGTACCTACATGATCTGAACATGAGTGCGCTGGAACAGGACGCAAATCCGGACTCGAGCAAAATTACTGTCATATTGGTAAGCGCGTACAAAGACAGCTTTTTTGAGATGAGGAAGATCGCGAGCTCTATCATCAAGACCGTGAAGCTCAATAGAACAATATACAGAGACCTATTTAAGGCAGTCGTTGGCACACAAGGAGCTAACGGCGAAACGGGGGCAAGCTCAGGCAAGGTGGACCCAGTGGAGATACCTGCGCCGCTAGTTCAGCATTTTGTGTTCAAGAGCAAGAAACATACACAGTTTGTTTTTTCAAAACTAGCACATCAACGGGAGCCTGACGAGAATATGAGAGGGCAACTGATGATGCTCTATGCAAAATTGCACTCGCAATTTAGTGGTGCTTCTCGAATCACTGGCTCGCAGCATGATTCAGATTTTTTGGATGAAAGCCATTTTATCAACCTGGTCAGATGGAAACACCAGAACGATAACTTGGTGGGTTTCTTGATTACCACCACCAATTATGAGCTCTACCTACTTACGAATGGAGGCATAATGGACGAAAAAGTGCTGCTACGCTCATGCAAAAATATAATTAAGTGGTGCAAAAAAAATCAAGATCGTCTATTCATCTCCTCCGGTGCAGTGTTCTAATGAGTGATAATTCCAGAGGTATGACAATATTTATATGACTCTGTCAGTCCTTTGAAGTGCGAATATGCACTCAGTACCACAAGAACGTGAAATATCTGATGGGAGTTTCCCCAAAGATCGAAAGCCCCGGGAAAGTGTCTTTCTGGGGTCCGCATAGCATATATAACAGCGCCCGAAATATATCCCACGCCTTCTAGTAACACGAATCCCAACCCCGCACGGTTCCAGACCTCGTCAAAACCATACCTCCATAAGCCATATCCGATTGGGACCACGCTGGACACACCGAAAATGATAAACATGGTAGCACGGAAAGTTCTCCATTCTGGTTCCCGAAAGCGTGGATTGAGAGTGAGCACCAAGCAGATTGTTCCCTGAGCCCCAACGAACAAAATACAGAACCAATGTGCTATTGGGTCGTCATAAAGAGAGTAATGGATAATTCCAACCATGGACGTCACAATCAGACTGATAATTCCCACATAATCCAGGGAAGAACCCCATTTCATGATTTTGTACGAATGACATTTGGTAGCATGGAAAGCAGCAGAGAGTGTAAGACATGAGGCAAAGCCAAAATAGAACAGATTGAACATAAAGTTGTCTACTTTCGAGGTGGTTTCGTAAACTGGTACATCCATAAGCCATGTGGGCACTGATTTGATCAGCCTGTTGTGTGCCACCAACCACGGAGACGCAAGCAAAAGCGCTAATGGGAGGAGGAATCCTGGGATTAGATGCGTAAAGATATTGACCGTCTCATTGTGTAAATAGAAGAGGGAATTAAAGCAATCTTTGAAGCTGTTGGTTTCCAGCACATAGCCTGATCTAATATAATGGTTGTCCTGTTGCCACAGGGGGATCTCGTCAAACAAATACTTTCCCTGCTTGCGGGTTACGCCGGCCAATGGTGTGTGCTCTGAAGCAACCGTAGTAGTTTGCGTGTTTGTAGAGCGTCGTTTATGAGCCATTGTTGCGGACGATTAGATTTGGCTATATGATAAAGCAGGGAAAGTATTTGTTGGGTGTGTAAAGATGTGCCAAATGACTACCGAAAGTAAATATTTATATAGATTTCTTTTCAGGCGTCGTGGTTAAGCCAATTTTTGTCAAAAACCGAAGAAATTAATTATCAATATAAGTGGTTCTCAGCTACGGTCATCATGAGCCATTTCAAGTGGGGAAGACGGTGTCTGGCTACAAATGTAGCTACTCCGCTTAGTAATGTTCAAACTGGAGTAATTCTATCAAGAGTCCCCCAAGTCACACCCGAGGTGACGGATTTTGAGCAAAAATTTTACAAATATCAAGATGAACTGGAAAGAAGACTCATGTGGACATTTCCAAGATGGTTCTATTTCAAAAAAGGTACTGTTGCTGAGCGAGAATTTTCGCAAGCTCAGAAATATCCACTGCCAGCAAGAGATGGTGTGTGGTTCCCAAAAGGAAAACCGGAAATCAGACACGGCAGAGACAGAAGATTCAAAGAGAATATCGTGTTACCTAAGGCTGAGGGACATGAAAAGCAGGGCGAATCGTCTGCAACACAAGTAGAAAATTTGGATGACGCTAGCAGGCCCATAAAACCGTTGCCTAGAGTCACAGAAGCCGACAAAACCAACAATCAGCATTCTTTGGAGAGAAAACTTTCAAGAACTCTATACCTGCTCGTCAGACAAAACAACATGTGGAAATTCCCTGCTTTTCCGGTTCCAGACGACTCCAAACCATTACACACGATTGCTGAAGAGGGTCTAAAGAATTTGGGAGGAGAAAAGCTCAACGTGTGGACCGTTTCCCATACCCCCACTGCATTATTGAAGTTTTCGAATGGCAAGCTTGTTCATGATTTACCTCAAGATGGTATTCGAGAATATTTGATTAGGTCACACATCATTGCGGGAGAGTTTCAACTAAACAAAATTGACGGCTGCGAAGAATACAAATGGCTCACGAGAGAGGAAATTCAGCAACAGACAGACCCTGCTTACTTTGAAAAGATTGATTGTCTTCTCTCCAAGGTGTGATGTTCTATCTATCTATGTACATAAAAATATAGAAGGTGCTAGGTGTAGATAATATAGTTTACATTATAACAAATTAAGTTGATCCACTCTGAAGTCCCTGAATAGAAGTTCGTCCTTTTGTATGGCTTCCAACAGCGAAATAAAAGACTCACGTTTGGCCCCAGTATCCTTGTCATCTGTGGATGTGGCATTTAGCCAGCCTGAAGATCGTGTGGTCAAATTGATCGCAGTGGGGCTTAAGGAAGCATCTACAGACTCTCCCAGTTTTAGAGCTTCGGTCAACTACATGAATTCCGAAATCAGATCCTATCAAATCCTGATGAAAAAAACCATTGATCATCTCAAGCGATTCATAGCTGCATGTGCGGCGTTACAAGGCATTAGTTCCGATTTTCAAACAATATTCAGTTCAGTCGGTCAAAATAGCCTGGTGAACAGAGACATTGCGAAGACATGTATTGAGCGAACGTCACAAGATATGGATCAGGTGTTGGGCTTTATCAACGGTGCTCTTGTCTCTAAGAAAGAACCCATACAGAATTTGTTGAATCTTGATGGAGATTTTGCTGCGTATTTTGAACTACGCCGTGCCTTCGAGGGTATACAAGCTAAGTACGATTCATACCTCGACAAGTTTGTTGCCCAGCCTAAAACCCTAGACCCTACAACCGCCAGAGAAGACGCCCAACAACTCTTCGAGCTCCGAAAACAATACATCCATATATCGCTAAGCATATGGATTTCCATTACCAAATTGAGACACAAGGTTAGCTCTGCACTTGTCGAACTTTGTGACAATTTGAGGAACTCGTCAGAACAATCAAGAAAGTTGGCTGAATTTTTGGGATTGGAAGAGTCTTCCATAAAGATAGAAAGAGCTCGGTACTTCATGGACTTGCAGGCGCGCTCACATAAAAACTTAATCAAGGACCTGCAATCTGCTCGGAGGACCTCGGAGGAAAGTGTGGTGAATATATGCACTCCCTCAAATGACCTGGATTCTTATCTACCTGCGACCATCAACATGGCGCATCTAACGGATACGGATGTGGAGCAATATGAGAAACACGGCTGGGTGTTTCTTAAAAGCAAAAGAATCAATTCAAAAGAAGTTGTTTGGGCTAAAAGATGGCTTTTCATCAAAGGTGATTTATTTGGATTCCTCTCAATAAGTACATCTGGTACCTACGTCGAAGAATCTGACAAAATTGGCATTCTATTGGCTAATGTTCGCTACAAGCCTGAGGAAGACAGGAAGTTCTGTTTTGAAATTAAAACTCTTCAGACAGAGGTTACAATCCAAGTTGAAACTCTGGGAGAGCTCAAAAGCTGGCTTTCCGTATTCCACACGGTGAAAACTGCAGCTTTGCAGCGCAACAGTACGATATCCATGTCAAGATACGAGCCAATGTTGGACCTGTTTGCGCTTGAGCCCGTCGTTGAAAAAGACCTCGAGCTCGTCAATCTACCAAGTACGAAGCCGGAAAATGCGCAATTGTTATTGAACAAGTCTCTTCCTAGTTTGAAAGTGGACATCGATTTTAGTGCTCCTCTGGTCACGGAGTTAACCAACCTTGCTTGCTTGTCACATTTATATTTGACATCCCCAAAAGTACCTTCTGCCTTCACTGCAAATGTTTGGGGGTTTGTTAATTGGGGACTATATTATGCAATCAAGAATCGTCATGATACCATTGAAACTGCCACAAAGATGCATTCAAGCACGTTGAATTCTATTAATTTACGTTATCCTGCATCTTATCCAATTGAGTTGAGACAATTGGATCTTCAGGTGCGATCTCTTTTTGAGTCTTATGTTGGTACGGACGAATTTGTTTTAGTGGCATTCAAAGCATTCTGGTCAGCGAATTCAAAACAGGAGCTGTTTTGTCATCTTTATGTCACTGAAAGTCATATTTATGTTTACACCACAAATTGCGGACTGGTCTCGATTTCTCTCTTCAAGTTGACAAACTTTCTTTACGTCGATTCGGTTCAGAAGGCAAATTATGACTTGCTTCGACTTTATACTGTTAGTGGAGTGTCCACCAAAATGAAGCTTTGCTTAGAGCCAGGTAACTTGATTAAAGACCAAGTCAATTATCTAATCTCTCTGAAAAAGTCAACAGTAAGCAAACCTCTCGAAACAATAATGGATGAGCTGACCAAAATTAAACATGTTCATTCGAAATTTGAGCCCAAGGTGCCTTCCTCAGTGCCTCTAGCAGTTCCACAGGATTCAGAAGGGGAGAAGCCCATTGTGACGATTGCCTCATCTGCAGATATGGACACGAACGTGAAACTCAATTACAACGACGATATGCATCTTATATGGATACAAAAGTATGACTTGGCTGCAAAAGCTCTGTTTCATGTTTTGGTTGGCGATCAATCATTTTTGCTGCAATCTATGCTTCCCTTTGCCCAGCTTTCTGTAGACACTGGAACACAGCATACCGTTTGGAGATGCGACTCGCAACAGAAGCTCACCCGGATTATTTGGAGTCCTACAATGGAATTATTGTCGGCCGAGCAACGTATTGAATCTATGTTAAACAACAAATATTACAACTTTACGCAAAGCACGCCATATTTGTATCTTCCTTTCGGAAGCGCTGGACGTCTCATTATCAGATTCATTATCTTCAACACAGATTCGCGTTCTTCCAAATTGCTCGTTTATTACAAGGTAATGAGAAACACAAATATCCTGGAATTATTCAGCTCGTTCTTTTTCAGACAGGTGATTCTGTTCAAAATTGAGGATCTTCATAAGCATCTCCTATCTGCCATACAGAACTTGGCGAACGAAAATCGCAAAATTGCATCTGCGATAAAGCTGTATGGGCCGATCACCAAGTTCGATGCCGATGAGTTGACCGAGGAAGAAGTCAGGTTCGAAAAAGACGTCAAGCACATAAAAATGGAGTTTTTGTTTAACCTTGTTCTACAGAAGCTCAACTTGGAATTCGACAAACTGCTCCATGTGGCTACAAAGCTACTCATTAATGCACTTTTTTCAACGTATAAGAACTTCCAGCTCCATTGGCTGCTAGTCTTATCTTTGGGCATTTCGCTACTCCTCAATGTTTACTTTTCGGGTAAGACCACCTATGAGTACTGGATCGAGCACAATACTGAAAAGTACGTGAACTCGCTAGTCCAGAAACCAACACTCATGAAAAGAATGATATCAGTGAGGGATATACAAGACTTGGCACACAACACGAGCGCTCAACTATCCTATAATTCCACTGAGTCTCAGTGTTTCTTAGAATTTCGAAAACAAACTAGCACTGCCGAAAACTCTTCTCCCACCCAAAGCAAGATACAGTCCCGTTTGGTGGAGTTTGGGTTGCAAAGAAATGAACTACTGACTGAAATCGGGATATTGAACGCTGCAGAAAGAGCCTACTTGACGTCTGAATGGAAACGGTGGGTTTTCGATGAGCATCGTAATTGCGAGCTTGTTCGTGCTAAATACCCTCAAAGATATGATGAGCAGCTCTCCCGGTATTGCGACTCGGCAAAGACCGAAATGGATTACATATCGCACTCGTTGTTATAATTGTATATAAGTGAGATTTCATAGACCCTTTTTCGCCAAATTGTCCACAATATCAAGATATAGCGCGACCGGATTGAAGGTCCCTGCTCCGATCACAATTTTAAGACGTTTCGAAATGTTCATCCAGTTAATAAGATCCAGATGATCCACATTCTCTAGACTCCCCAAAAATTCGCCCCATTTAGCACTCTTGATGCTCACCAGGCCATCATTTGGGCCCTCTTTCGGATATACCATTTTCCATGTAGGATAGAAAACATTGAATATACCAGGAGTGAAAGTTGCACCATAGCTGAAATACTTGACATTGGGGTCGTCTGTAATATGTATATTTAGGCGAGCGCAACTCTCTAAAGTGAGTTCTTTCAGGGAAGGTAAAAAACTGTCAACTAAGCCGGTTGGAATGAGTTGAAGCATGCGATCGGCAGCGTAGCTCCCTCTATGGGGAGTCGATACCGTTGTCAACGAGACAATCTCAAAATTTTCTTGTTCATAAGCGGAAATAAGGTATCGACAATCAAGGCCTCCCATGGAATGGGCAATCAGGTTGACCTTGACAGGCTGCGTGGCACTTGGAAAGCGTGTGGCTATTTTGTGTTTGATAAACTCGTTCAAAATTTTGGATCTCGTTTCTATCGTAGCAAATGGGGGCACCTTGGCTACCAAAACCTGACATCCACGCGCCCTTAGCTCCTTACGAATTCCGTGCCAGTATTCAAAGAACTCAATTTTAGTGTCTGCCTCTTGTGCCATTTCCCTAGCAGATGCTTCTTTACTCTTAGCTTTGTGGAAGAGCTCGACTGCGGGTAAGCTAACAAGACTATCGAATCCCGAAAACCCATGACAAAGAACAATTGGATACTTCGGTATCTGGTATTCATCTCGAAAGCTGTTGAATTTGTATAGCTGTGAAGTTGTTTGGCTTAGGTTTTCTTTTGTTCTTTCGAGTTTCGGTTGATGAGACCCATTCCGGTAGAACGCAAATGGGTAGCGTAAAGGCCGTGAACTGAATTGTTTGTTGATTCCCATATTCTATAGTTCAAAAGCTGACCATGTTCAGGGCCACAAACGAGTAACCTTTGGTGTACGGTTCACAATGAAAACTTGCCGATCCCAGTTCGAAAGTTAGCTTTGCTAAAGTTTTCAGGCAGTGAAAGACTCACCAAGTAATCACTTGAGTACTCATCATGACAATGAAGCTTCTATTTAGTTTCATACTACTGCTCCTTTCTACTCAGGCAACAATTATACTTGATGAGAGTGTACCACACTACAGTATTATTATGGCATCAAATCTGACTGAACCATCTGGTGTGAATTCGAGTGTTAAATTCAAACACTTTGATCAGCTTTATAACTGCCACTTTGTGGGGAATGTCGATCAAAGAGACCTCTCCACGAGCGAGAGCAGTTATCAGTCAGATCTTGAGAGTACTGTGGCCATTCTGTGGTCGTTAGGAGAGACTTATTCAAAACAGAACAAGATGAAATGTCTCTATCAGTCATCAAGTGATTATTGGAAATACTGCTTTTGTCTAGATGGCAATATTACACAATTTAGAGGGTTCAATAAACTCTTCGGAGTCTCCACTGATACATCCTTGATAGACCCAGACAAACCCTTCTTTACTCTGGGAAGCTTTGAGAACGCCAATAAAAAGGATTATACAAATTTCAATTTAGTGTCAAATTATGATGGTCCAGTCTATCTTGAACAAACTATTGGCGGAGGAGACATTTGTGATAAGACAGGCAAACAACGGCTCTCTACAATCCGATATCGTTGCGATGAGACTTACCCAGGAGCAAAACTGCTCTCGGTGAGAGAAATTAAAACTTGTCGCTACGAGGTTCAAGTTTATCTTCCCGAAATCTGTAGTTCTCCTTTGTTCAAGAGCCGACCTTCGAAACAGGAGCAGGTTTTCTGCGATATTGAATATACTGCTGCGTCGTTAAAGCCAGAATTACTGGATATCAAATCTGTCAACCTTATTCCTCTTGGGTATAGCGTTTATCTGGGAATAGACGAAGCAAATCGCGACCGACCTAATATTTTGATTACCAACAAACGAATTCCCGATATCAATAGCTCGGAAATAGTTCATGAGTTACTTGGCGACGCAGCAAAGGCGTTTGCAAACTTGATATCAAAATCCTTGATATTCCATCCTCACCAAATAGAGCCAGGAAGATATGTATCTGGCAAAGATTCTTTTACTTACACCACGTCGATATTTGGCGTAGGTGGAATACACCTATTCGATATGATGATATTACAGGATGAAAATGGCAAGGTTGTCGCTCAGCTGATTTCTGATGGCTCACCACCAAGAAACTTCATCGAATTAAACGGTGCTGAAGTCTAACTAACAATCGAAAAATCATACCCTAATATAATCAACTTCAGAAAATAAACTCACCGGCGCCTTTTCAGTGGTCTGTTGTAAGTTGCCATTTGCACGGCCTGAGAATTGTGGGCATCGCTCATCATCGATGATGGTAACGAGCCGCTATAATTGTGTTGTAGCACTGGCATTTTAGGACTTAGCTCTATTTCTAAGCTTTGTGGCTGAACATTTTTGTGCTTTATCATCCCCGTTATCATGCGCTTCAGCTGATTGAATCTAAGAATCTCAGTTTTGCTCGGCTTGAACACCTTCATCTTACCGGCTGCGATGCCTCTGAAACGCTCGCGTCTTAGTTGATTCAGTTCTAATAGGAGTTTGGTAATCGTTTTTTGGGCACAATTGTCAGTGACAGCTTGCTGTTCGTCTTCACCGATTACATTTCCAACATTCCATTTTATGACTTTTTCTAAGTCTATTGGTTCCGTATCCAGTTCAATGTCTTCCTCGCTAGAATCTTCAGTACCGTTTTGAGTCTGACCGTGCTCTTTCTCATTAACGACAATTCTAGCTTCAGCAGTTGCTTCTGATTCTGCCTTTATGGCGTCCTGCACATTTGAGGTCTGCAACATTTCGGCGCCGTTTGTAACACAGGTAGAATCTGCAAATTTCTCAACATCAGCTTCGTTTTGATTCTCGTCCCTCTCAAATTGTTTTTTGATCTGCAATATTCTTTTGAGGCCATAGTGCTGCAACCAAATAAGACCTTTCCACTCATTGGAGATGATAGACCGACTTTCATCATACATTGGTGCAAAAGAGAAAGCATCCTGGTTTATTCCATGTTTAATCCACTGAGACACAGGGATGTTATACCAATTTGGATGAAAACTTTGTGAAAGGATCTCAGTTGGCAGAGCTTGCTGGTTGATCAGTGATTGACATAAAATCGATAAGGTCTCTGTTTTTGCACCTAACAGACTTGGAACAACTGTCAAGGCTTCAACAGGTACGTCGTCATCTAAATTCGGCTTTCTGTCATCCAGCTCAGAAATGCGCTTGTTTAATGAGGAGAAGAGTGGAACACCATTAGCCGCAGTCAACAACAGTGCATCCCCCGACCTGTTGAAATAGGAAGTGGTTATCAATTCGAAGTCGCGAACAATGGCCTTTCTCAAACTTGTTCTGATATCATCTTCATTTTCAATCTCCTGTTTGTTTGCCTTTTGCCTGATTTCATTGCGAAAAGATTTTCTTGTTTCTCTCTCCTGCAGCGTCACTGTACTTTCTAGTCGTAAGCTTTCCTTTAACAAGAGCTCTACGGCAATTCGATAAAATTGGTCAATCTGGAAATGATCAGCTTCTGAGTTCTTCCTCGAAGAATAAACAATCAGTGATGCAATCTTTATATCATGGTAAATTTGGTAGATGGACTCGTACTCAGCAGAAACGAGTTTGTCTTTAATGCTGACATCCCTCGTAAAGTCGTTTCCGGTCGAATCCAAAAAGTTCAGGAAATTACTTGTTATCTTCTTCGGATCATTTTCGAAAAACTTATCATTTTTGGGTAACTCAACCGAGAGTACCTCATAAGTATCTATCTGTTCTAGTACTTTTATAAGATCTGTGAAAAAAAGGCTGAACTTTATCCTGTCGTCTTTCCTCATCTTGATTGACCACAAAAGCTTTTCCAGTTTTTGACAATAATAAATTTGTATCTGAACCTTGATCCTGTGCGTTTGTGGCTTTTTTTTTATGACAAATTAAAAGAAAGATTTCTGGTGTTGTGATGAGACCGATGCAACGTCTTTGAAAATCACTTTAGAGAGCAGTACGAAGTTTCTTCGTTACCTAATTATGTAAATTAATTTTTCGACGTGAATAGGAAATATTAGTTTCTACACTACTGACTTCACAACCAAGAGAATTGTCAATGTAGTACATTATGATCATTATTGTTTGATAACCCAGCTCCCTCTGACTTTGCTTTGGCGAACTTTTATTGCCGGAAGGTCCCATCCTACTCCACCGGTTCCAATATTGGCTCCCATTCTTGGCACAACATAGCACTCTCTCTCTCTTTGACTGATCTCCTTTGGAGCGTATGGGTGACCTAATGGCTTTGAGTATGTTATCAAGCCAGATTTGGCGGCCACGTTTGCCAGTGCGCGACCCCCGATATCGGTCAGTGGTCGCATTCTCAATTTGTTAGTTGCAGATGCACTGTTGGTGGTAAGCGATTCATAAACTAAGAATGATGGTGGCAGTTCACCACACTTGGATAGGACGGAATTTGGATGAATGTAAACAAAACCATCTGATTTGGATTCACTTGTAGGCATCAGTGTGAAATATTGAATTGCTGTAATCGGTGCATTGTTAGGTATCTTGATATTCTTGTCCACGAGGTCTGCGCGCACGGCAACGTGATCAATAAAACCTGCTGTTATCATTTGTTTTATTGCTTCCACTTGGACCTTTGTAGGTGGACTGAGCTTAAGTTCCTCTTCTTTGACCAGAGAAGAAACAGCTATAGACTCTTTGCTGAGGTTCACTTTGACAATGTAGGTCAGTTGCTTCCTCAGTTTCAGTATCTCATCCATAATTTTGGGTCTTAAAAAGTTAGTCTCGAAAAACTTCTCACGACCAGCTCTGGGAATATGATCTTGTGCACAAATCGCTGACAGCATTTGCAATCCGTCACTGAATTTATCCAGTTTGGTGAACAATAGGCGAGAGTTGTTCAACTTGGACAATTGTTGTTTCCTCCACTCGTTCTCTTCATCTTCTTCTCCTCTTTGAATGATCTCCGACTCGCTAATGAACGGGTCGCCGACTGACAAGCCAGAAACCACAGCAATAATATACGGTAAACAGCCTTGTTGATTTGCCACTAGGAGCATTTTAGCAAACCTGGGGCTCAGCGGAAAACGGCTCATTTTTTGGCCCAGATTTGTTATTATCATGCGGTCGTCCAATGCACCCAAATGCTGAAGCAGTTTTTCAGCTTTTCGAAGAGAGTCTCTAGTAGGTGGTGTGACGAAAGGGAAATTGGTAATATTGTCTATCCCCATGCTTTTCATTGTCAAAACTACGCTTTCCACCGGCATCCTCAGAATCTCAGGTTTGGAGAATTGTGCGAATTCGCTTTCATAGAGCGCCGAAGAAAAAAGCCTGTAACAATGACCCGGTCCTGTTCTTCCTGCTCTTCCAGCACGCTGATCTGCATTGGCTTTGGATATCCATCTGATTTCATATGATTGAACCCCTGTGTCTTCGTTGAAAGTTCTCTCCTTTGACCTTCCGCAATCAACCACATACCTGATGTCCGGGATTGTTAGTGAGGTTTCTGCAATATTGGTAGCGACCACGCAAAGCCTAGCACCCTTGGGGGGGTGCTCAAAAATCTTCATCTGCTCTCTTGTAGGAAGCAGGGAATAGAGAGGTAGTACATATAGTGGATCTTCTGCCGTTTGTCCTTCCTCTAGAGTTTCTTCAAACCCCTCCTCCTCTTCCTCATCCTCTTCATTTGAATCTTCCTCGCTGAAATCGTCGATCATGTCATTGACAGAAAAGTCCACCTCCTCAGCTTCCATATCAACATTTCTAGAATCGACTTTGACTTCTGCAACATCGTCATAGCTGTTCCCCTTTTTTAGCGGAAATCGCTTCCTGAGTCGCCTGACCATGTCATTGATTTCTCCTTTTCCAGTCAAAAAAACCAATATTCCACCCGGTGGAAGCTTCGAATGAATTTTGCAAGTTTTTCTAAAGGCCTCTTCGATGTAGTTGAAAGGTGTTTTTCTATTGAAATGAATGGACACAGGATATTGCCTAGCCTGCACGTTTATTATTGGCGGTGGTGAGGCAAATAAGTTCTTATTCTCGCTGAAGTCTGACACTCTTAGGGTGGCAGACATGATAATCAGTTTCAACGGTCCGCATTTGGCTGGATCTTTGCAGCTCATGTCTCTGCGAAGCTTCAATACCCTGCTTAACATTCCTATGAGAATATCAGTGTTAATGTTTCTTTCATGGGCCTCATCGATTATCAATGCAGAATACTTTTTAAGAAGAAAATCTGACATCATCTCCCTCAAAAGAACACCGTCAGTCATAAATTTAACAGATGTTTCATCCCCAACCGAAGCGTCAAACCTTATTTGATGTCCAACTCGGTTTCTGTAATTGCCAAGTTCCCGTCCGACTCTTTCTGCCATAGCAACTGCGGCAACTCTTCTTGGTTGAGTTATTCCGATCATACCTGGAGTATCAGAATCTGGACTTCCATAACCAGACTCAAAGAGAAACTGAGGAACCTGAGTAGTCTTACCGGATCCTGTCTCACCACATATAATTACGCAATCATTGTGATGAATTGCCTCCATGATTTTGTGCTCCTCCTCAAAAACGGGCAACTGCATTCTGGCCTTCTGTATACAGTCATCTCTTTGGACATCAATAGTGACTATTTTTCTTCGTAGGTCCTCATTGATCGGAATGAAATCTCCATCCAAATCATCATCTAGATCTTCTTGCCGAACAATAGGCGTGTAAGCCATTTGTGGTGCTGAGGGAGTAACAAAATCGCTTATGCCTTCCAGTTTTTTGACTTGGGCTTCAGCCCATTCTTTGAAATTCTGTGCACGTTGGCTGTGTCCCTTCTTGTTCATACCCATCTCGAATTCTCCTTCATCTTCCTCATCATCAAATCTGTCCTCGCCCTGGTCGTCGTCGTCTTCTTCTTCTTCTTCTTCTTCTTCTTCTTCTTCTTCTTCTTCTTCTTCTTCTTCTTTTTCTTTCTTGTCTTGCTTCTCACCATTTTTTGATTTCTCTCCAGTCTCATTCACATCATCACTAACCATTTCTTCATCTTCATGATCATCAGTTGCAAAATCCAATTTGTCCTCGTCAGCCTTTTTCTTCGACCCTTCAAGCTCAAGCCTGGCCCTCCAGCTATAATTTTTGGTGCTCTTCTTCTTTGGCGCCTTTTTATGGCTTGCGAATCCAAATCCAGATGTTAGATTCATCGGAAGAAAGATATTTGCTTTGTTCTCGATTTGAATGTCCGTATGTCCTACTTCTTCCTCCTCATCGCGCCATTCTTTTACTGTTCTCTGGTCATAAAGAATTTCCTGTGTCTCCTCATCTCCATTTCCATGCCTTTCTTTCTCCAGAGCTTCTAAAAAGCGTTCTCGTTTGGTCCGATGAGTCCCTGTTCCTATAAGTTTGGCAGATTTGAGAATGCTGGAATCTATCCTGGTCTCGCTAAGCTTCTGGAGGAGAATCTCCTTCTCTTCTCTTTTCATTTGGTGCTCAATATACTTGTCAAGTCGTTTTCTTTTTTGCCTTGAAAGCTTCTCCTTATGCTGTTCTAGTAAGCTTTCTTTCAATTTTCTTTTTCTCTTGCCCTTTTCGTGCTCCAGTATTGCAGTCACTTGCGGTCCTTGTGTTTCTCCTTCAATTTCCTGTTCAGTATTCTCGTCAGTTGATGACGGTGCCTGACCATTGTATTTTCGCCCCATAGTGATTTCTTTGATCGCTAAAGTAAAAAAGACCGGTGATAAAAATTAAAAAAATTTGAACCGCTTATGTAAGTATAACTCATATTGTTGTTGATATGACGAACTCGAACGATTTACCCGATTACGGATCGCTCAACTACAGAAATGTTGAAAGAGTTACGCTGGGTAGCTTTGAATTCAATACATGGTTTGGCAATTCCGTGATTTTCTTTCCATCGGAGCCACAAGTTCTGGGCTATCAAGTTCTTGAAAAGAAGACTAAGCTCACATCTTCTATCAAAAAGGTCAGTCAGCTCACTAAAGAGCGCATACCTTGGATCAAAAAGCTTTCCTTTTGCCCCTACTGCTTCAGATATACAACCAATGCAGACGACTCATTGCGCCATTTGTCTTACTGCTCGTATAAGAGAAACCTACCAGGTCAAGTGATGTATCTTGATGACGTGTGTTCGATAAGAAGAGTGAATGGGAAACAGCACAAGCTTTTCTGTCAATGCATGTCCATTTTGGCAAAGTTCTTTCTCGACAATAAATCTGTCTTTTTCAACGTGGACCTTTTTGATTTCTTCGTGATCTATCAAACATTGGATGGGGTATCCACTCCTATGGGCTTTTATTCACGCGAGCTCGTATCCTGGGAACAGAACAACTTATCATGCATTTTTGTAATTCCCTGCTATCAGAAGCAAAGATTGGGCTCCAAACTGATTGAATTCTCATATTATCTTTCGAACCATGAGCAAATCATTAGCGGACCGGAAAGGCCCCTATCACCTTTCGGAAAACTAGCATATCTTAGTTACTGGTGTCGATCACTCTCAAGGGAACTGTTGTATGGCAGATTGTCGACTTTCGATCATGTGACCTTGGAATTGATGAGTTTTAAAACAGGCTTTAGATCTGAAGATATTCTTCTCACCCTGGACTATATGCAAGCATTGTACGAAACTGGTGAGAAATTTATTTACACAGACTACTATAGTAACCCTTGTCGCAAAAACCAAAACTTCGTTTTTCTGGAAGACGCTGAATTCAGAATGTTTATCGACAAGGCAAAAATAAGAAACTGGGTAATAAATCATAACATTTCGGCAGAGCCAAACCTCGATCCGCAATACTTATTGTTGGACTAAAATGCTCAATCGGCGAACAGAATTTCAATCTCTTCAACTTTCTTTTTTCGTCTCTCCTCATCGTTCATGGATAACGCCTCTCCAAGCTGATTCTTTCGTTCTTGAATCTTAAGCATTCTTTCCTCTATACTTCCTTCCATAATGAATCTAACGACTTTCACACTTTTACTCTGTCCAACTCTATGAATACGATCTATAGCTTGGAACTCGGTGGCATTATTCCAATGAGGATCAAGCAAGAAAGCTTTGGATGCAATAGTCAAATTCAAGCCCACCCCTCCTGCCTTCAGGCTGATCAAAAGAACGGTTATTTTCCCATCTACTGTCTTTGTGTTGAATTCGTTTAGAGTTGCTTGTCTTTGGTCCACGTTCATTCTCCCGTCAAACTTTAAAGTTCTGAATTTAGACTTGTAACTCCTCAGCTCCTTTTCGATAAGATCTAAAAACGTTGTGAATTGGGAGAATACAATCACGTGGTCACCGGGACATTCTTCATATATCTGTTGAAGGTGTGAAAGAAGAGCATTGGTTTTCGAGGATTTCCCACAAGTATTAAACGGGCGAATGTAGTAGTTCCTTGCATGCGTAGAATCGATCTGTGTAAGGAAAGCGTTAGTATCATCCACCTTTATAGAAGAACAGCCTTTAAACTCGGGTTTGAAAGTTTTGAATAAACGGTTCTTATGAATTGGATGTCTGCAAACAGGGCAAAGTACTTCTGTCGATATTACTGGAGCCTCGGAAAGCTGGGATTGAATCAGATTGTTGCTAGCACTAATAGAAGTATGAAGCCGAGATTGAAAATTGAAATGCTCCATAAGACAGCCAAGACAAAAACAATGCTTACATTCAGTAATCACACATGTCTCAATTTCAATGGGGCCTGTGCAAATGGCGCATTCGATCCCGTCAAAGTCTGGATATGACTGGTATATCTCGTTCTTCATGGCAAGCAATTGCTCAGAAGATATTTTACTTTTTTCTTCTTCTTTCTCAAGATCCTGCAAAACTCGAAAACTCTCGTCCACAGCCTGATCTGCCAGTAACTTTGAACTTTCTTTCAGATCTTCATCTTCGTTTAGCATATCCTTGAAAGACAATCTCATTAGGTCCAAATGGCAACATACTTGTCTTAAACGCAAAAGATGAGTTAGTATTGAAGAATAGTTTTTTAGAACAAGCCCTGCCTTCAGATTCTCGGTGAGCACGGTGATTGCTTTGGCTTTTAGATGATTATAAAGAGCTTCTTCTTTCTCATTAAATTTCAGTCTTTCGATTATGATCTCCCTCGACGGGAGTGATACCAACAAATTGCCATCCTTGTCCTTCTGATCTTTTGTTCTTCGAAGAATTATTGGATTCAAAATTGACTTTAATAGGGCAAACGCATTATTCAAGTCTCTTCCCTGATCAAACGGTTCAGTGATAAATCGTCTCCAAATGAAATATTTTGCCCACGGTTGCAGATCCAAAAAAACGAAAAGTGAGTATAAGTCATCCAGTCTGTTGACGATTGGGGTACCTGTTAGAACCCATTTTCTGCTTGACATGAGAGAATTCACAGCTTTTGTTGTCTTGGCTGATCTATTTCTTATATTATGACCTTCGTCGATGATAATACGGAAAAACGTAACTGAAAACAAACCTATCCTATTTCCTGTCTTTGTGATTCTCGCTGCCTCGCTTTGAACCGTTCCGTATGTGGTCAAAATCATAATGGGTGCAGTGGGGTTCTCGCACAGTAATAGACTCAAATCGCCTAATGTTTCACTGCCATAATAAATAAAGCACTTTTTTTGCGTGTTGCCATTCGCTTTTGCAAATTCACTTTCCCACTGCGATAGTAGGGCCATGGGAACAATTACCAGCGTAGTCCTATAAGCATATCTGTCTCTGCGGCGTGGTTGAGTATAAGACTTATCTTGGTGGCAGCTGAGGATAAGCGCCAGGGTAGTGATTGTCTTCCCTAATCCCATTTCATCAGCTAGTATGCCACCATACGTATGATTTTGTATCACAGGGCAATAATGGGAACACGCACCGGTGTAAAGATTCACGTAAAAAGAATTTTCCGTGTTTTCACAAAAACCATCGTCTGATAATGATGAGAAAGTAGGCCATTTACATTCCTTCCATAAGGGGTTTCTAGTGCCATTATTTTCTGTCATCATTTTTTTGAAATTCTCTTTTCGTTCATCTGTGACTTGGGGATTGTTGAGTCCAACCAAATCATATTCATGTTCACGGAAAAGCATCCAGCTCAATCCGTATTTCTGATAGGGACGTAATTCCAACAAAAAATCATTGGGTTTTGAATCCGGGAGCAGTGTATCTTCATATTTCAGTTCAGTAGACTGATAGAAAGATTTTAGCTGATTCATGGCTAACGCCCCATCATTTTCCTCTAAATGCTGATCCTGTAATCTTCTTTCGTTTTCATCTTCTGGTTCCCCAAAACCTGTCGCCTCTTTTACTTTAACATCTTGACTGTCGTCTGAAATTATGTTCAGCTTTTTGAACAAGCTGATCAATGCAGTACCTTTATCCAGAGCATATTGGGTGTTCGCTGATCTGGCATGTTGGGCAGTTTTCAAAACGTTTTCCAGATCTTCTTCATCAAAGGGTCTTGCTTCAAATAGTTGATCAGTCACAAAACAGTCAAGCGTTATGTAGAATGAATCTCCTGTCCTAAGCTTTCGACTTGATATAGGGCTCAATGACGCACTGAACTCAATACCATGACATTCCAATAATGGTGCTACTATTTTTGCACATATTTCCACAATTCTTCCAATTTCACGCCTATTCCCTGACTTCTCAACTCTATTAACATGAACAAAATTATCTTTTGATTGACTTTTGGATAGCAAAACTTTTTCATTGACGTCGAGCAAGCCGACGACGTACCTTGTACACCAACATTCTACTTCAAAACTACCCACATATCTCCTCCAGTTGGCTGGCTGCTTTTGTCGCTTATTAGTATGAAATTCAAAATCGAGGGTGTTTTTAGATACATGATCAACGTTATTGCTAAAATCATCGTCTGAATGCGTGGGAATTATGTCCTTTTTGTTTGTTGTCTGGTCTTCGTATTGATACTTCTGGGGATCATCTAAGAAAGCGTTTATTGCAAGTGGTAATGCTTCAGGCTTATCATGAAATTCGTGATACAAATGTTTAATCGTCTGTGATTTGATATCCGAGAACATGGATTTTAATTCGTACTGAAAGCAATCAAAATCATCACCCTCAATATTCCCCTTTTCGGGGGGTTCAGACTTTTGTGCTATTTGTCTGCTGGTAGAACTATGGTCAAAAAAAGGTTTCTTATCAGGCATCCCTTACTTGCCTTGTCAAATTTTATTAAAGTCAGTAACTGATGTTATGAGTCCCTGCTGACATCTATACACCACCATTGAAAGAATGGTGAATAACTCATATTTTTGTTTAAATATGTACAAAAAAAAAAAAAAAAAAAAAAAACCATCTCCCTTAGAGTGATTGTCAGTTCACCGTTGTATCTTATATTCACAACAATGTTCTAAGTGGGTAATAGTCACGATTTCTGATAATGAATTGAAATGAATTCAATAGCAAAATCATCTCATTGATAGCAATTCAATACAATCAAATTAGATTCAAATTAGTAATATACTATCAATTACTCTCTTACTTGGTTCGCACTTACTCTCCACTTTTTAGAACACTCTAGGGACATTTTAAGCTCTGCTTCCACTGAGCATGGCTTTAGAATTCAAATGGGTCAAACTGTATATGCGATCTGAATAATGTGACTTCAATTTAGCTAATCAAACATGGGAATCTGTTTCTACAACTATTAGTCTTGAGAGCTGGATTTGTATGCTCCGAATATCAAAGAACTGGACCGAGCTTTGGTCACCATTATGAGTACAATGCCAAATATCAAGTTCCATTACATTAGCTTATACAGTGCATGACGTATTGTCTGACAGTTCAGCTTTTTCTACATTGACAATTTGAAAGCAGGCAATGTCGAAGTGATGGGAGCATAAATTGTTTTACCCCGAGTGATTGACCATATCTTTACTACTTTTACGCATTTCAGTGTGTATTTTATACCTGGTTGGGGCAATTTGGTGACTTGAAGCTATAACTCCGGGGATGCGTATAATAGTCACCGAGGTTTGCATATTTTTTCGAAGCAACGAGTCATGCATGCCACAAGTTAAGATCAATATTCTAATTATTGCTCAAGTAGAGTCGTCTGTATTCCGAAAGTCTCTTTCAATGCATATTCATTCTGAGGCTTGCGCTACCTCACGTGTATCCTTCTAGTGTACAATAAAAATGCAACTGTGGAGAGTACGGCGCAATATGCGACTAATATAATGACGGCAATGGTATCACTCATGTCAATTGTGTTAAAGGTCAAATTCACAAGACCCGTAAGCACGTTCGCCAGTATAAATATAGTCAGACCATTGTAATTTACTGCGCGTAGGCCCACCGGAACACAGTCCTTATCACGATAATCATTGATTACAGTACTTTTGGCTCCGCTGTTTGTTAATGCGTATTGGGGTTCTCCCCAAACAAGATTCTCCACAAGCTTGTAGCCAAATAAGAACGTATAATTGTAAGCAGAAACCCAAATGACATATAGGGAATTTGCCATTCTTCGAGAAACTCCATAAATATAGCATGTGTCCAATATGTAATACAGGGCATGAAATAGAGTTGCCAAAATGAATAACCCTTTTATTGGTGAAACGGTGAATACCTGGCCGCTTCTATTTCTCAGGCACTCGTCTTTGGACCCATTAACTCTCAACAGATTGTTACGGGTAGGGAAAAGAGGTAATATGGTATATCCAAGAGACATCCCATTCAAGTATATTGCAAGGTACCCCGCTAAAGAGAAAAGTCCCTCTTTGTTCATGCCAACTAATCCCTCTCGCTGGGAATTGAGAATGTATTCCACAAAGCCAAATCTTGTCAAAACAGTTTCGTATACTAGCAAAATTAAAAACCCTGTCACAATTGGCGATAGGATATCAATAATTGGTGCAAAAGTGTTTGCCACTAGTGGAAGAAAACTCAGCGTAAAGAAGAAATTCCAGTGTTTTCCATATTCAGTGATGTGCTCTTGGTAATCAAGTACCTTAACGCTTGTCAACCTTATCACACCCAAAATAAGTATGGGTATGCTATTTCTGATCGAATTGATCAAATTATTGACGTAACTGTAGTTTGAGTCAAATCTTTGCTTAATAGTTTGTTTCGCACTCACGAGACCCATTGAAAATACGAAAGAGCCAACCCCAAGATCCATCAGGCTAGTGCCCCATGTTTCAACTTTGGCAAATCTCCTGGGAAACACGTGAAAATCAACTGACAAAATACAGATACAAGTGATTATCATCATTTGTGCTCGATAGACAGTCACGTAGGTTATGAACGGTGTGAACTGTTTGGATGATAAGGTGTTCACGTTTATTTTGATTTCTTTCTCATTCGAGTCTTTCGTCCTCTTGAACACTACTAAAAAAAGTGGTGCTATTGAAGCAGTGATTAATGTGCCAACATTGTCACAGTAGCATGTAACGGAAAGCAAAAGGAGCACCCAGTTAATAAAAAATTCAAGAACAATCGCCTGAACATCATTTGAATCGCTGAAGACAGATGTTTTTCTTTTTAGGATGGACCACACCAAATAAGATACAATTGATACAGACGTCACTCCATATATGTCCATAGTTGAACCTCCTGTAAGTCCCGTTACAAAATGCTCTTTTCTCTCCTTCAATGATGCAGACATAACCTCCCAAAAGATAACCGACTAATTTCGACCTATTTTTTTTTTATATCAAGGGCTGAACTAATGTCACTTTCATGAAGCATGCATTTTTTTAACAAGTGACAATTTAATTTGATGAATGAGGAAGTATGTCATTTAAATTACAAACTAACAGTAGTTGCTTTTGAAGACTGCGCTCAAGATGACAAGCTCCAAGCTTCAGTTCAAGATTGGCAAAATGAAGTCAATTAACAAAGCCACTCTTATTCAGCTATCCAAAAATTTAAGAGCACTTAACAAAACTGCTGGAGCTCAATTTGAGCGGGAATTAATGCTAACGAGGGTCAAGATTGCTAAAGTTGTTAACGATGACAAAACGATTGACTTGTTAGAGATACTGGTAGTTGATTGTGAAGTACTGCATTCGAAACTGCATCAGCTTCTCTGCAACTCTGATGATGAGGGTACTCTTAAGCTCGTGCGCGAATTGATGTATGCAAGCTCATACATCAATATCAAAGAATTCAAAAAGCTTGTGGCTTTGTTGGCTCACAAATACGGAAAGGATTTCTACGAGAACGCGCTAAACCATCCCGATAATCCAGACATAATTCATAAATGCAATAGCGACAACGTTGACTCCTTAACTGAAAGGTACTTGCAAGAAATCTGTGATTGCTATCAAATTGACTTGAAAAATGAAAAACAAAATTCCAGCATGCCAAATAACGAAGAAGCTGATTCGACTTTGAAAAATGAAGATAATTTAGATGACCTGAGAAGAAGATTTAACGCACTAAGAAATTAGTCCTTGCTGCCCATCCTTCTTTGATTACAATTGCTATACAAATACACTAGATACAGATTAGCTGATGGGCCAGAAGCAGTCGAAAGAAATGGAATTGAGAAAACTAAATCACAAAATCATTTAATTGGAAAAGGGAGTCATTGATTATCATCTCGCAATGATTCCCGTAAAAAAGCGCGCTCTTATTTAATGGACCCTTTTTGTTTTTTCGTCTAATGTCTGCTTGGCAACTCAAATTATCAACCAAGGCTAGATTGATTTTATCGTGGCTGTAGCGGTATTCAAATTTCCTTCTGCGAGACAATGTGCCCGAATGGTCAATTGCATTATTTGGAGAAGACGAAGTCAGACGTTCATTATCCATATCGCTGGTTGTGCAGCTGTCTTCACCTAAATTCAAAAACTCGTCAAATGGAACGTCAGATGTTTCATAAGGTTCCAGCGTTTGAGACTTATCTCTGATTTCAGGTGGCCACAGTGCATTTTGATTCTCGTTCGAAAGCGAACGAAAGGTGGAAGTCTCAGATATGAGTTGACAATTACTTTGTTTTGTAAATTCCCCTGTTACACAAGGCATCTTAGAAAGATTGCGCTCTTTGAGCTTGACATCTGATTCATACTCGAACGATTTTAGGATGCTTTGTTCGTGGATATTCAGAACGTCCAGTTCCGCATTGTGATCGTTCAGCTGTCTGATTAGCTGATCAACCTGCTCCAAGCCGGTGGTTAAGGATTCCAGCCCTGAAATGCATGAATTATAATCACTTCCAAAAGTCTTTAATTCGTGAAGCTTTGGAAGCTTGGAATCCATGAGATCCTCATCTTCCGATGAAGGGAAACTTAGCAAGTCATCGTCAGATCCTGTTTCATCATCGTCCTTTGTGTCGTCAAGCTCCTTCTCTCTAAGCATGTCAAGTTCGACCAGTCTTCTTTGACGCTGTAACTTCATTTCACTGTGAAGATCAATTGTAGGATGCGAGGGATGGGAAAAGAATGGCTGTTGATTGATAATGTTAGAGAAATTAAACCGCAGGTCACGCTTTGAAGTGGATTTATCATTTTGCGCATCATATGCAGAGGAGGCCTCCTCCTCTGTTGTCCTGTCAACTATACTCGTTACCAACTCTTTTGCAACATTTGTCTTCAGTACCTTCCTCTTTTTCCTTAACTCCATATCAGCCTCGTGAACTCTTTTAGCTTGCTTCTTTGCACTTGATGCTTTCTTGCTTTTATGTGCGCTAGACATCGTGAGATGACCTTTGCTTTTCACCTAAGTTGATGGTTTCTATACCAAAACAATCAGTTATAAGGTTCGAAGTTTTCGCCACTAGCAAGCACCACAAGAATATTCGTCGATTTCCTCTAATTAATAACTCCCCTAGGAACATGGAATAGAAACCTATGCATCCCAATAAATAGTAACTACATTGTTCATTGACAATAGAGAGATGCAAGGCAAAAAAAATTTGAGCTCCAAAAAAAAAAGAAATGCTACAACACTACAAAGTCAGAAATTGCATTGCACCTGACTCAGTACAAAAGTGATTTTGCAGTAGATTCAAATAGCCTATGAATACACTCCCCAGATGGATATTCGAATTACATATAATATCTATATAACGATCTTTCTTCAAAGATCGAACCTTTCAGGAAAAAATCAACATGCCATGAAATTTTAATTGGCGATAAGTATTTCGGTCAATCACAACATGAAAAATAAAAATCATTAGGCTCAGATTTGCTATTTACATATTTTGTCTTAAAATTGACGCTCATCTCCCATCGTGATCATTTGAGGCGTCGTCAAGGTTTCTTTCAGGGACTATCATCAAATGATCATTTTCTGTATCAACTTTCACCATACAATTGTTTTTGATCTCGCCCTTCAGCATCATTATGGACATGGGATTTAGCAAAGCTCTTTTGATCAACCTATTCAGTGGCCGGGCACCATATTGTGGTTCATAGCCATTTGTAGTTAACCAGTCTTTGGCTCTATCAGTCAGGTGGAGTTCAATTCTTCTTTCCGACAGTCTGTCCTGTAAATCGCCGATTCTCAAGTCGACAATATTTCTCAACGCCTCCTTAGACAGTTTGTTGAATATGACCACTTCGTCAATTCTATTTATGAATTCTGGTGAGTAATAAGATTTCATCAATTGAAGAATTTGATCTTTGTCTGGTTTATCTGAAAGCATAATATCTTGTCCAATATTTGAGGTCATAACAATAAGGGTATTGCGAAAATCAACTTTATTTCCTTGTGAATCTGTCAGTTTGCCCTCGTCCAAGACTTGTAATAAGAGCTTTGAGACATCAGGGTGGGCTTTTTCAAACTCATCGAAAAGAATCACTGAGTAGGGTTTTCTTCTAATTTTCTCCGTTAGCTCTCCACCTTCTTCATATCCCACGTACGAAGGTGGGGCGCCAATAAGTCTCATGATAGAGTGTTTCTCTTGAAATTCCGACATGTCAAATCTAATGATGGCGTTCTCGTCGTCAAATAGAAAATCGGCGACCGCTTTTGTAAGTTCTGTTTTTCCGGTACCTGTTGGCCCTAAAAACATGAAAGAGGCAATAGGCCTTTTGTCGTTGGTAAGACCGGCCCGCTGTAAACGTATAGCGTTGGAAATTGAAGCTATTGCTTCATCTTGTCCTATCACTCTTCCTCGCAAAGCAGCCTCCATATACAAAAGTTTATCCTTTTCACCTCTCATCATATTCTGCACTGGAATTCCAGTGGCTTTCGAAACAACTCTTGCTATGTCATCGGAAGTAACAGATTCGTGAAGTAGGTTTGCACCACCTCCCTCTTCGTCAGCCTCAGCGGCGGCCTCTTGATTTTTGATTGACGCATTGACTTTTGCTTCTAACTCTGGGATCGTTGCATATTGAAGTTTCGAAGCTTGTGCAAAATTGCCTTCTCGTCTCTCTTTTTCCAAATCACGTTTGGCTATCTCCAGTTCTTGCTTAAGCTGTTTAATTCTGTCAAGCTCATGCTTTTGTTTTTCCCAAATCTCTGTAAGTCGTTTAAGCTCTGCTTGCTTGTATTTTAATTGCTCTTCCAGCTTCTCTCTTCTTTCCTTACTCAAGGTGTCAGACTCCTTCCGAAGAGATTCTAATTCGATTTGGATAGTCATGATAGATCTATCCAACTCTTGAATAGAGTCCGGTTTTGACTCATGCTGCAGGCGAAGAGCCGAGCAAGCCTCGTCCACCAAATCAATAGCTTTGTCCGGCAAAAATCGGTCGGTGATGTACCGATTACTATAAACTGCTGCAGTGACGAGAGCGCTATCAGTTATCCGAACTCCATGATGTACCTCATACTTTTCTTTGAGACCTCTCAAAATGCTTATTGCATCTTCAACAGTTGGCTCATTAACCAAGATTGGCTGAAATCGTCTAGCAAGCGCAACATCCTTTTCGATATACTTTTTGTATTCATCAATGGTCGTAGCGCCACAACACTGTAGCTGGCCTCTTGCAAGGGCAGGCTTGAGCAAATTCGAAGCGTCCATTGATCCTTCCGATTTTCCTAAACCGAGAAGTATATGAAGCTCGTCGATGAAGAGAATGTAGTGTTCGTCAAGCTCTTTTAAAAACTGTTTAAGTCTTTCCTCAAATTCACCTCTGTATTTTGCACCACTGATTAATGAGCCTAAATCTAGCGATATGACCTCCTTGTCTTTCATGCTTTCTGGAACCTCACCTTTGACGATTCGTTGTGCCAAGCCTTCCATTATCGCAGTTTTTCCTGTACCAGCGTTTCCTATCAATACAGGATTGTTTTTTGTTCTTCTTGACAGGATTTGGATCGTTCTGCGTATCTCTTCATCTCTTCCAATTACTGGATCCAGTTTGCCTTTCTTCGCCAGTTCTGTCAAATTGGTAGCAAATTTCTTCAACGCTGGTTCGTCTGATTGCTCTGGATTCATCTTCATCTGAAGATGTAACCTCGGACCTGAAGAGAAATGTCTACAATGGAAGTTTTGGCCTAGACTTGTTGATGGCATAATTGATAGTGTAACGCGGTTCAAACGTGATATCATGGAAGATGGCTTAACAGAGGCTAATAGTGCGAGCTCGCACGCATGCACCTTATATGTGCGAGTCTCACGAATACACCGAATATTTCTGGACCCTTGTTTGATACTTGACAAGCTTGTGCGCAACATAGGTTAATTCTCTAGGGAAAGAAGCTGACAATAGCTGAGAGGTCTTATTTTTATAGGCAACCTATTCAATTGGGTGCTAGAATTTTCTAGGGTACCCCGGACTAAATTTCGTCGCGTCTGAAAAACCTATCGTGACTAGACGTTATCGAAGAGTGCATGCAGCTTTGCTCAGTTCTTCAATTCTGTGTGCGAAGAACTCACCTGATCTGAACACCTGAATTATTGCAGCAGCCTCACGAACTTTAACCGAACTATATTGAAATCGTCACTTAATTGCTAGACGAAAAGCAGACTAAAACTGTCATGGCTGACATATCTTTCAGAAAGGTCTTCCGTGTTTCTTGGGCCTTAATCGATCTCTAAACTTTATAGATTGATCAGTTTCGTTTATAGTACGTAAGTTGGCAATTTCTAGCTACAATAACCTTTATCGTCCCACAATTATATCCAATAGCATCAACTGCTGGGTTTAATAAAAGCTTGTATTTATTATTGCAGGTCCTAGCTCACCCCAATCTCCTGGCGAGCCTTTATTATATTCATCGACAGCAAAACCCTCGTCACTGAGAATTCATAGCGGTGGAAGTGAGCCCACGATTATATTATTGTTTTGCGCATCTGTTTCGGATCTTGCCAAGCCAGCTTTGGGTTGCTCTTCTCCCGAGTCACTAGTGCTAGTCGCCTCATTTGAGATTTGGTGCTCTGGGGCTGCTCTAGAAACCGGAGACTCGGATCTCGATGTAGATATTCTATCCTTGTTCAAGGCAGGTGAAGTCTGACTATTAGTGACAGATGTTTTTGGAGCAATCGTAATTAAGGATGAGTTAGAGTCGGGTTTTTTCATGTTTGAAGGACTAGTCTTCTTTCTTTTGTTGCTTGAAGAACTCGTTGAGGCAGTCGGTTTTCTTTTCCCAGTGGTAGATTTGTTATCATCAGAAATGGGACCGTAAAAAACGTAGAACCCATCCTTGTTGTTCTTCGTCTGTTCTTCAAATAGAAGCTCTTCATCATCGATGAAAGGGTCAAGAAGGTCATATTTTCCAATCCTTTTATTGCTCTCCATCTTTCGTCTATGAATCTCTTTCAGGATCATCTCCTCCTTTTCTTCGTCGGTCATTCCGGCTCTGAATTTCATTCCCAGCTTCCTTATAGTGTCAGCTTCCTCCTCCACCTCTGCGGTATCTTCGTCAATTTGTTCTTGATTTTCATCCTCGGCAATATCTTCATCATTTTCCATATTTTCGAAAGTTATTCGCCCGTTGGGATGCATGGCGTCAAATCCATATTTGTCTTCACAGAGTCTCATCACATTGAAAATCGCCTGCGTATCACCGGGCTGCTTCCCAGGTGGTACAAGTGGAATATGTAATGCAATTATTGGTTCTTTCGTATTTATATCGAGCTGTTTAATTTGGCTCTCATGAAGGGCCAATACAGAAGGTGCTGGTAAAGAGGACATTGATTTTTGGACAATTTTTCTGTCATCGTTTTTAGAAGAAGACTTCGATTGAACACTAGGGTTGACAGCTGCGTTTGAGGATTCGAGTTTTGGTATACTTATTTTCTTCTTCGATTGTTTTTCAGCACCCCTTGCAGGATCTCCCACTTTCGACCTTGTTGATTTGGTTTTCGCGCTTTTCGTTGTCTCTTTTTGGTCGTGATTCTGCGCTCTTGATTTCGGCGAAACAAGTCTTTCTGGGTCCTCCGTATCCTTCCAATCATTGCTGGTATTTGAAATACCCTGTTCGTTGCAGCCAGGTGTAGTATAACCTGAAACCCCTCCAGTGACTAATCTAGATGACTGGGCGTGAGATGATGACTGAGTGCGGGAAGTGCTGTATTCGTCGGCATTAATCATCGAGCTCAGAGACATCCTATTCATTGGTTTTGCTTGCCCCGAGAGCGCTACTTTTGTCGGCACTTCTGGCTTAGAAAAGTTTAAGGATGGTTGGTTACTCGATTGTGTGAAAATGCTTAGATCCTTCTTGGAATCAAAGGAGCTGGTGTGCTCTGCAGAGGTTCTTTTATCTGTATCTAAAGTCTCGGCAATCAGTCGCCCCTGTCGTAATATACCATCTTCATGTAATTCATGTAACTCTAAATCTCCTGCTTCTGATTTTGAAGAATCATTTCTTGATGGAGGCAACTGACAATCTGGCTTACCCAGGGACTCCATCACTCCAGATTAACGATTTAATACCTAGAACGAAATTAAAGAAAAATACGTAGTTATTTTATATATGCTTAACTAATTAAGACGTCCACGTTTTATTTCAAGTGATCTTTAATGGAATAGAATTCTACCATTTGAAAGGATATGTGTAATAATTGTTTAAACTACCCATCTTTGAAAAACTTTGCTTCCTTCAGTATAGTTATTTGGCCGACATAAAAAGCTACTTTAGCAGCTGAGTAACTCTCACAGCATTGATTCTGCCTTAGGTAGTTGTACTCATTTATTTTCGCGTTACAGCATTCCAAGCTACGTTCCTTTAATTTGCCATAGAATCCCCTATAATTTTCTTGACTGTGATGATAGTGAGCATACGATTCATAGAGGCTTTGCCACTTTCTGCACAATTTAGACTGCTTTTGGTCTGTCAAGCTAGAATCATCAAACGGGCGACTACCAAATACTCGCAGCTTGAATCGCAACTCATAATATTGAGAGGCTGGACTTTTTTACATCACACGATTCAGTTCAAGTTAGCGAATGCGATCTGAAATCTCACCGATAACCTTCTGCTTTTTCGCCTTAGCTGTATAACCTTAAAAGCTAGAGAGGCAAATGACCCCACATGACCTTAAAAAAATTGATGCCTTAACTGGGTTTTCATGTAGTCGTGTCATTTGAGAGCAATTCTGTCTTTAGCGTGATCTAGAGGAAGCTGAAAAAAAGAACTGCAGTCATTTGTCATACTGTATATAAATACGTGTGTCACGTAGTCGGGTTTGATGCTGTGATATGGGGTCTTGTAACTTGATACTTTGGTTTGAAAACAACAGGCAAATCTACAGAGTCCTTTTTCCATGAACACCTCTAATGAACCTTACCAATTACTTGATTGCTATCAAGCACAGTCCTCCGGACTCAATAATTGTGAGATTTGAATTCATCACTATGCTTTATCGAGCTGAGGCCGCTCAACGTTCCCCAGTCTTTTCAACGTCAAGAAAACATCAGTCCCGTAACCTTCGACAGAACGCATGTCAAGTTCCCCATTCCAGTAGTCGGTATAGACCTTGCACATAGGCATAGAAATTCCTAGCGTAAATTTTAGTGGCCGTCTGACTAAGGATATGAGCACAGACTTGTGTTTATGATCACCACTGGATTCCATTTTTCCAATATTGTGAATCATATCACTTAAATTCCCATAGTCAGTAGCACTCTCAGACACGACAGGCGAAGAGAAGTCAAAATTGAGACCAGGCATTTTGTGAAAATTTGAGAGGTATTCTTCTGCTAGTATAGGAGACTTTCCAAAAGACCATACTTTCTTCAGCTTATTTGAAGACATACCGCCCCCTTGATCCGAAAACTTGAACGTCATGTTCTTCTTTGTCTGGGTTATCTCCACAATGATAGGTGGTGGCTTCAATTTTCTTACCTCATTTTGCCTGAGTTTCTCGTGGCGATGTATAAAGTTTTGAATCGTTGATTTCAATGAGTTCCGGAGAATCTCTGCATAGATGTAGTTCAAGTGATTTGTCAAGAATTGGAACTTGACATCTTCGCCAATTATTATTAGTTCTGGCATTTGAAGTTCAGGATAAATACTTTGCAGAAAACTCGATACAATGTCCTTGCAGGTCCTGAGTTGTTCATGTGCAGAAAGATATTGAAATGCAGCACCTATGTAATTAGGGGGTCTCTGCAGAGTATCATCATCTTGATTCTTGAAAGATTCAGATAAGGTTGTGTGTTGCTCGATAATGACTCTTCTGCTTATTCTAGATCTAAGCATCGAAGACATAAAATCATCTAGTTCTTCTTGTCGCATTTTCTCCAAAATGGACACCTCTAGGGCTCCCATCATGAGATGTGGTAGCACGAGCAGATGATCATCCAAAACTTTCCTCAGGAAATCACAAAATTTGTCGTTCTCATCAAGCGTTTCAATCCTTCCCATCTTCCTAAAAGCATTAAAGCAATGATAATAGCTTTGATAGACTTGGTTTATATGGTGATTGTTGATCACACTATAATCTAGACTTTGCAGCTCTCGAATCTTCAGGCTCAACCTAACAGGCAGCTCCGTTCGAACAAAATTTGCACTGCTTATCAGCTTTTCTTTCGTAAGCTTTTTGCCGAAATTTGCCAGATGTCTCAAAGTTACAGGATGGGCATCTCTTTCAGACCAGCCAAGAAGTATAGAGTTTTGATAAAAATGCTGCTCATTTAGTAGAGATGACGCATGCGACTGGAATGGAGAAAGTGACGCAACTTTTGTTGCCGCTTCCCCAAATCTGATGCTTCTGGACATCTTGTTTTTTTCTGTCAAAGTCTTACTCTGCTCAGTTAAAATCGGATTAGACCAGTTTAAATGATATAATGCCGTAGCAATTGAAGAGTCATCGAGTTACAGTTTTTTTTAAGATTGATCAGAATCCAATAAGATAGGTGCACAGCCAAACTTTCTGATAAGTCAAAACAAAAAAAATCTCTTTTCCGGCCAGAATCTGAAAGTATGGAGATCTTGGCGGCTTTTTTCCTAAGCCGCCTCTTATCATCATTATTTTATTTATGGAGAATGGTACAGAAATTTCTTGAGACCTAAAAAGCTATGTACTTGTTACTTATTACCCTCACATTTGTGCAACACGCTGTTTCATTGTGTATCCCCAATTGTCATGATGATAGTTTAAGAAGCTCATTTGAGGATACACAAAGCTCACTCATGCACGATATATTTGGCTCTTTGGTGCACGATAGCACCAATATCGCAGAACAGAATGTAGCTTATCAAAAAGAGCCTCTGCTCCAGCAACATGAACTATCGACCATATCTTTTCCATTCAAAATGAATCAATTTCAATATCCAGATAATGATGATCTCACAGATTTCAAGCAGCGGGGACCACTTTTTTCAGGTATTGTAACCTTTGCCCATCTACCCGAAGGTGAATGCTTTTTTGCGAGGGAGCCAATGGACATTGCAATTGTCGGAGCTCCATTCGATTTGGGAGTTTCATACAACAGCGGCGCGAGGTTCGGACCAAATGGCGCTCGTCAAGGATCGCGAAGGCTAGGAGGAGGGATTAGTCCAATAAGAGGCAATTCCCGGTTTTCAAAACTCGGACGTCTTGACCCTTACAATTCAGGGCTTAAATTGATAGACTGCGGAGATGTTCCGATGACTCCATTTGATTCCAGGATAGCCTTGAATCAGCTTTATCGCGGTCACCATGCGATTCATAAACATCCAAGCTTCAACTCCACGCAGTTCAACAATACGCGTATTGTGACTTTAGGTGGCGATCACACGATCACTCTAATGAACTTAAGATCAGCATATGAAACCTTTGGTGATCCAGGGGGGCTGGCTGTGATCCATTTCGATGCTCATATAGATACATGGGATCCGAAAGTTTTGGGTGGAGGAATATCAGATTACGCCAGCCTGAATCACGGTACATTTTTACACTTTGCTGCTGAGGCTGGCTACGTAGCCAAAAATCACAGCGTTCACGTTGGGATCAGGGCTCCATTCATTTCCGGGACAGACGAAAAGCATGATGCTATGGACTGTGGCTTCAAGACCCTGACTTCCAAGGACGTGGATTTGTACACGGCAAAAGGAGTTGCAGAGAAAATCAAATCCATCGTTGGACAGCGAAAAGCCTATCTGACTTTTGACATTGATACATTTGACGTTGGATACATTAACTCGGGTACCCTGGAAGCTGGAGGACTCAGCTCAAGGGAAATTCTGACAATCTTAGATGGTTTGGAGGGAATCAACATAATTGGATGCGATGTTGTGGAGGTCAGCACTGCACCTAACACCGTCAATAGTGCTAGTACAGAGCTTTTGGCCGCTCAGGTGGTGGATTCAATGCTGGGGCTAATGACTGTTTTCGACCAGCCTGAGTAGCACAAGTTCTCCGGGGGTCTTACAATAATTATCGAGGCTATAATTTCGATAGATCTGCTGTATTACATTGTGTCACTCAGTCACTGATTAAATAAACAAACTCTATAAACCTTGAAAATTAACTTCGATTTACTAGCAACATAAAATATTGTCGTGATATGATTGTCATTTATTAGGGGCTCGTAACCAGATTTGCTAAACAGTCAGTATACCTGAAAGCAGCCTCAATTTTAAGCGATAAATTGCAAGGTAGGATTTGCATCGTCACCTGCGTTATAGATTGGAAGGAATTTGTAAAAGGTTCGAGAGTTTACAATATGGTATGTATAGAGTGGTTCAAAATTGAGATTGACTTGGCTTTGCTCTAGTTACACAGGTTCTGTGATCTTTGAAGCTTAGCCTCGGGATTTTGGTTCATTCTCGATTACTAACCAACTAAACAGGCTGGTGCTCTGGAGAATGCGCGTAAAACTATCCAAAAACTATCGTTGGATGCCGATGAAACACTCTATGGTCAGATTTATTCTGTTTCTGGTCCCGTGGTTGTTGCTGAAAACATGATTGGATGTGCCATGTACGAACTCGTCAAAGTTGGCCACGACAATCTTGTCGGTGAAGTTATTAGAATCGATGGTGACAAGGCTACTATTCAAGTGTATGAAGAAACCGCAGGAGTCACCGTTGGAGACCCTGTTTTGAGAACGGGTAAACCTCTCTCGGTTGAACTTGGCCCAGGATTAATGGAGACGATCTATGATGGCATTCAGAGACCTCTGAAGGCGATCAAAGACGTTTCACAGTCCATCTATATCCCGAGGGGCATTGATGCGCCAGCATTGTCGCGTACTGCAGAATATGAATTTTGTCCGGGATCTCTGAAAGTTGGAGACCATATCACAGGCGGCGACATCTTTGGCTCTACGTTTGAGAACTCTTTAGTGTCAGATCACAAGATACTGCTACCACCAAGAGCTAGGGGTACAATTGTTTCTATAGCGGAACCTGGCTCTTACCACGTGAATGATCCTGTGCTTGAGGTTGAGTATGACGGGGTGAAACATGAATACTCTATGATGCATACGTGGCCAGTTAGGGTTCCTAGACCTGTCGCTCAAAAGCTTTCAGCAGACTATCCCTTGCTCACAGGTCAGCGAGTTCTTGACTCTTTGTTCCCTTGTGTTCAAGGTGGAACAACATGTATTCCTGGAGCGTTTGGCTGCGGTAAAACTGTTATTTCACAGTCGCTCTCAAAATACTCGAATTCGGACATCATCATTTATGTTGGCTGTGGAGAAAGAGGCAATGAAATGGCAGAAGTTTTGATGGAGTTCCCAGAATTATTCACTGAACAAAATGGGCAGAAAGAACCAATTATGAAACGTACCACCTTGGTCGCCAATACCTCAAACATGCCTGTTGCGGCAAGAGAAGCGTCCATTTACACTGGTATTACATTGGCTGAGTATTTCAGAGACCAGGGAAAAAATGTTTCCATGATAGCAGATTCTTCCTCCAGATGGGCAGAGGCTTTGAGAGAAATTTCCGGTCGATTAGGAGAAATGCCAGCAGATCAAGGTTTTCCAGCTTATCTAGGAGCTAAGCTTGCCTCATTCTATGAAAGAGCAGGCAAATCAGTTGCTCTTGGCTCCCCAGATAGATTGGGTTCAGTCTCTATTGTTGCTGCTGTGTCTCCTGCAGGAGGTGACTTCTCAGATCCAGTTACCACTTCTACCCTCGGTATTACTCAAGTTTTTTGGGGTTTGGATAAGAAATTGGCGCAAAGGAAACACTTCCCTTCTATCAACACGTCAATTTCGTATTCCAAATATACGAATGTTTTGAATAAGTACTATGACGCCAACTATCCAGAATTTGCAAGTTTGAGGGACAAGATTAAAGAAATTATATCCAATGCTGAAGAATTAGAGCAAGTTGTTCAACTAGTTGGCAAGTCCGCTTTATCGGATTCAGATAAGATTGTTTTGGATGTTGCCAACCTCATCAAAGAAGACTTCTTGCAGCAAAACGGCTACTCTACGTACGATGCTTTTTGCCCAATTTGGAAAACTTACGATATGATGAAAGCCTTTGTTGCTTATTATGACGAAGCCCAGAAAGCCGTTGCAAATGGCGCTCAGTGGTCTAAGCTTTCCGAGGCCACGGCAGATGTCAAGCATGCAGTATCGTCTGCTAAGTTTTTTGAACCTAGCAAGGGAGAGGTTGCTATCTCTGAAGAGTTTGATAAACTCTTGAGCAGTATCTCTGAAAGATTCCAAGAGGCCGCTGAGTAAATCTTCTATACATGGTTCCGATCTCACGTAATTAGGAGTAAATTACCGGCTCATAGTGCTGTCGAATATTTTTTGGTCTCTAGCACACACACGAAATCCACGAGCAAGGGCTTTTTTTCTTCTGTTATTAATTGACATAGATTTCTTTGTGACTGCAGTTACGGTGACTGTTCTAATAGACATTGTTCATGAATTTTCTCACTAAAACAATCAATTCAACCATTAGTACATTAACGGGTAGCTCGATACCATATGATATAGGTCAGAAAATTGTGAACGGTGTTTGCAGTGACTCTCTCGAACCCAACTCTGTGTGGAATGTTTATGAAGGAACTTCTCGCAAAGAGCCTAATGTGCAGGTAACTGTATTCGAGTTTGATCTTAAGGACTCACGAGCTTCGAAGTTTGTGCCTTTTGCAAGAAATGCATTTAGAAAACTTAGATCTTTGAGTCTTTTACCGGGAATTTTGAACATAGTTGATTTCATTGAAAACGATTCATTCCTCTACATCATAAGTGAAAGGGTGAGACCGCTGGGGAGCGTGCTGATGGCATCCTGTGATCATGAGCCACATAGTGAGCTTCTTTTACTGGGGATATATCAAATTACAGAAGCTTTGAAATATCTCAACAAAGAAGGTTCATCCATTCATGGCTCGCTTAGCAAAGACTCTATATTCGTTAATGAAGCAGGAGAATGGAAACTTGGTGGATTTGAGCTTGTCGTGAGCATTCATGAACGTAATAAGGAGATTCTGAGCCGAGCATTTGACTTGCCTTCTTATATGTCGACTATGCACCCACCCGAATTAAATGAGCGCCCATTGGACTACATTTCAAGCGCAAGCATGATCCAGATCTCAAAACTCGATGCTTTTGATTTGGGGGTTTTTATCTACAGTCTTTTCAATTATGAGGAACAAAGGCTCGATCCTACCAAACTCAATAAGCTAAACAAACTTCCTAGATCTCTTGCATCGCACGTCAGAAAGCTTCTTCATAAATCGCCGTCCGTAAGATACTCGGTGGATGAGTTTTTCCATGCTGGCGCGCAATCGTGTTTCAACATACCGCTGATCAATGTCTCTAAACAGATTTCCGAGCTTAGTTTGAAATCCAATGCTGAAAAACTAGAAATTTTCGGCTCCCTAGATGAAATTGAACAATTTCCTGATGGCTTCTTTGAGTACAAGGTTTTGCCAGAGCTCATCATCACCTTTCAGTCTTTGTCAACTAACGAAGACAGCCAGCAGTCAGCTCTGTTACTATTGATTTTAAAGCGTGTGGATCAACTGGAGAACAGAACCTTTCAGCGTCAGGTCAAACCTCTCGTGTTGCAAGCATTTGAACTACCCGATAGAGCAATACGGATTACACTTCTCAGCTCATTACCAACGATCATAGAATATTTTACTTATTATGAAATTCAAGATAGAATCTTTCCGCATTTGGTTCAAGGCTTCAATGATACCAATTCTTCGATACGAGAAGCTACAATAAAGTCAGTGCTTCCAATCGCAGATAAATTATCGGATAGACAACTCAACAATGATATTTTGAAATACATGGCAAAACTTCAAAATGACCCAACGCCAGAAATCAGAACCAATACAATAATCTGTTTATCCAGAATTGCAACGTACATGAAATCATCTTCAAGAGCTGCCGTACTCATTACTGCATATTCAAAAGCATTGAAGGATCCATTTGTACCCTCTCGGATAAATTCCCTGCTCGCTTTTGAAAACTCTATTGAGTACTTTTCTCCAGAGGTGTGTTGCTCAAAAGTTTTGTCAGCTATTGCTCCTGCTTTATTGGACAAGTCATCGAAGGTGAGAATAGAGGCTCAGAGAGTGTTTGACTTGTACATTTCAAAAATCAATGAGGCTGCCAATCAACTTCCATTAGACAATGAGGAGACGCTAAATTTGGAGAACCAAGCATCGGAAAAGATACTCTCTCGATTGAAACCGCTATCACTCTCAAGTATGGAACTTAAGAGCACGCAATCGCTAATATTAGGCTTGGGATCAAATTCACAATCAAATTCCACAGTGAGCCTGACGATGAAGAACGTGAACTCAAGCTCAGAGTCTTTCAATGTTGATCGGCCTTTGAAAAAATTATCAAATTCGAACGTAGAGGACAGTTGGAATGCTATGGCTGATGAGCGCGATTGTACTTACGATATAGAAGACAGAACTGTGCTACAACATTTGGAGGCGAGTCAACAACCTCGAGAAAACGAACAGTCTAAAACTGCACACCCCCAGAGCAAAAAAATTCCAGAAACACCCAGAGGGTCACTAAAATTACAACCTAAATCCAAACTGAAGCTCAATTTGGATGACGATGATGTTGATGGCTGGGCAAGTGAGTGGTGACTTTCTGCCTGTGTTGACCAAGTTCAAAATCGATAATAGTATATAGTATGTTATCACAAGCAATTTATTTTTGCACCCCAAAAAAAAGCTCCTTATCAGGGGCTCGAACCCTGGACATTTCGGTCGACTTCCGAACAAAATCCTTAAAAGCCGAACGCTCTACCAACTGAGCTAATAAGGATGGAACTGCTTATCTAAGATATTTTACAAACACATAGTGGTAAAGCAATCAAATTATTGACAGAAATCGACTTTGGTAAGTAGTGGAATAATGAATACTAGGAGTTAAAGTGATTCGTGAATTTTTTTGATCGTAAGTAAAGTCCATCTAAAGAGGAGAGAAATTTCTGTGAGTTAGATGACTAGAATCAACACAAGCATACAATAAATAGTATAGCTGAATAGGTATGGGTCTCCTCCTTGCTACGAATAACTCGTATTGCGATGGTATCTTGGCACCCCTCTGCATACGCGATACTAGCTCAAACTATCTGTCTAAAAGATTTATGAATAGATGGAGCCCAGGGCCGGTCTAATTGTGCTCACATAAGGTAATCATGCATCCAATCCATGTTCAAGAGCTCTGCGGTTCCACAGTTAACGTGCTGAATTAACATTGTGAAAGCATAGACCAGCCCATCCAGTTGGAAAGTATTTCATACCTCAAATCTTACGAAACTGTGAAATGGTGGAAATTAGCATTTGGATCGATTATATGCAGTTGGCGCTAAGTGAATTATGAAGCTGGCTTTAAATAATTATTCAGAATTGCTTCACAAGGTAGCTCCACAAACAATCGATTGTTCACATTTGATTGGATTGCTATATAAGGTAAGGCTAAATATCCTGAGTCCAAGAATATCTGCTGGATAAGTCTGTCGGAACCTGCATCAGCTTTCTGCAGTGTGAAAATACTCATGCAAGTATCAAAAATTAACAATATGTGCTTGCCAAACTTACTAAAACTCTTTCATTACACGGAATACTCGATATCTAGAGTGAATATGTTGTGATTATGTAGCCATACAATCTATGCTGAGTTGAGAGAGTGACAAGATATATGCTTCAATGTTGCAATTTATTCATTAATTTTGAATATAAAACGGAAACAGCAACAATTACAAAGCAAAGCGAATTCCTAATGAATTAATCACTATATAGTATTGCTTCCATGGGGACTACAACAATAGGAACATCAATTTTCATACATTCATCATTGATATAGCAGGGTGCAGGGTGCTGTATGTGCACTTATTTCACATTATAGATATAAAGACAAGCTCTGATAATTCAAGGAGATAGATAGCCTTTTCAAGCTCCAGAATCTTGTTATCGATTTTCGCACGAATGCTAAATAATACAGCTATTACTCTTTTTATTCGTAAGTGACCTTGTCCATCAACTTTAGCCACTAAAGTAAACCTGTATCGGATCCCTAAACACATGCTCCACTGGACATTGAATAATGTCGCTTCTCGTTTGCAGAGTGCTAACTCATGAACAAATTATGTGATATATCCCCATTGATAAAAACTGAATGACATTGATGTCCAGTGTGATAATCTGAATATTTGCAAACCTGATTTATCAGATGAACCTTTCTTGCAAACACTTATCATAAGCCAGAGCCGTAATAGAGGAAATTTTAACATGGATACTTTCCAATGGTACGCTCCTGAATTTTGTCCACATATAACATATATGGATCAGAGGCAGACAGACTTCCGAAGGAAAAGATAGATCGCGCTCTCAATAACCAAAATATCGTAGAAATCTACTATCACGAATGTACTCAAGTTAGACACAATTCGATGTACATCTTCCATCTAGCATTATGGTTACAATTTCAAGTAATGAAGATCCTCGTTTTATCAATCTCTAATATCTCATATTCAGTACTCGCAAGTCTACCCGCAACAGAATCAATTTTTGGAGTATTCATGTTTAACTGATTAGCCAGTAGATCTGCCAGAATGATTCTGATCCTCCCTAGGAGATGTTGATGTATATCATCTCCGAACAGAATTCCATAGAAGTATCTGTCTCCTTGTATAGTATCTCTAGCAACACGGGATGTGTGTTAAGTTGGTCTCATAAACGCAAGCACAAGACAAGTACTGTTATGCATGAGCCGCATACCTCTCAATTAAGGATGGGACCCCTAAATATATTGCACGTGACTGAAACTTTAAAAAGGAAGTCTCTTTGAAGGATGTCATCAGATGCTAATCATGCAAGTGATTTACCTGAAAGTGCGACTTCCCCAGCTGGAAATGTAGGTTTTTGTGACTAGCTCCATATTCATTTATATAGCCGCATCAGTCAAGCAGCAAGATACAGTCGCAACTCCAACTGCCAAAACTAAATACGTGGATACTTGAGAGGCTGTGAGAGTAACGCTACGGGTAAAATTATTGGTGAGGCGCCGTTTGAGTGTTTTGAAGCATTGAGGCTCGGGGGACGCTACCCGATTGCTGTATCTTGAGATAAGATAGTCATAGATTATATCATGGCTGTGCGGCTTATCCTGATATGAAGGTTTGTCGGTCTTAGCGCATGCATAGCATGTGTATCAGATCCAGATGATACAAATCTGAAACACATATGACACTAACCGAATAATATATAAGGGTGTGTCATATCCCACTTATAAGTGGGGGACTAAGGTATACCAAAGATACTAACTATCTGATACATAGTTACACTATTGAAGGAAGAACAATGACCGTAGACATTACACTTATCAAAACAAAGTTTCAACAGGTTTGTGGGTCTTAGCACATGCATTGGCTCAACCCCTGAACATTAGACTCTTATAGTGTCTTGTGGAGGATCCCTAAGTGTACTCAAAGTAACAGGTTTCTTCTTGTGTATTCGTTCAAATTCTACACGGTAGCCGCTTTATACAAGTTCTACACTGCTGTTAATATTCTTAGAGATGTCTGGCTTTAGTGAAGATGTTGCCTTATTTAATGCACTCTCAAGTATTCACTTGAATAGCTGAATGACCTATCTTGTGAATTGATGGAAAGGAAAAAAGCTGAATTTTTTGCTTATGACAGCAGATGCATACCAATTATATGAGCGACTGACTTGGATAAAGAGATGTTGCTCAATGCTGACGAGTATTTTAACACCCCTAGCATGTACTTATGTGTCTGAGTAGATCTTCAGAGTCTGCAATTTGTAGTGGCTACATCATAATTGTACTAAAACTATTAAGAAGATACAAGGTCTGAGCACTCGCCAGCAAAATTTGCTGTGTTAGGTTTGTTAGCTTCGCTTTGTAAAGTATTACAAGTGGGATGAATATTCTATCTTAATCTCCAAGGGGGCTGGCTAGCCAGCTCAAAAAATCGTGAATGGGATCTGACAATAGTGGTCTCTGCGATATAACTTGTTTTCACGGGACTGAGTAGCTCATTCATTTCGTTGAGAACATTCATGAGAATCATCACAAATTAATCATCTCGGAGTTTGGTAAAGACTGCCGTTTCATTTATCCAAGTTTTCCCCTATTCTTATTAAAAGGGGAAGAAGTGGCTACGCATCACCCTGCAGTCAATTATGTTAGAGAATGATATCTGTTTTTACAATGCACTCATGCATTCTATCCTATTATCTTAACGCTTTAGGAAGATTCACAATGAGCGGCCGCACCGAGCCTCAGGTCCACTAGTTTTCATGTTGATGACATTTTGTTGCTTTCTGCCTCTTCTACGGCAATCTAACGTTTGCAATGTCTTCTGTGTTCATACGTTGAGATAGAAGTTTTTGGCGCAAGTTCAATTTTTACTCTGCATAAATATCGTTAAGTGTACGTTTACTATTTTTCCCAGCCTTTCCACATGTACACCCTCCATGTTGAGTGAATATGGACCAGATTTGTAATACAGTAACTTGTGTCGCGCCAGCAGCTGGACGCCAACTTGGCAGATCTCGAATTGGAAGCTCCCGACCAAG